CCCCTCTCTCAACGCAACTCGTGGGCCGAACGCCGCACATGGCGCATGCAAAAGTCGTCGTCGAGCCCCAAAGCGGCATGGCCCGGTGGATGGGCATCCCTGGAGCCACGCGCCGATCTGGGTTGAAACTCGTGCGCGCCCACGAGGGAGCGAGGTCCGCTTCTGCGCCATGCGCCCATGCCCATCCACATTTCGCGGCCGTGCCACGCGCCGCCGTGCCAATGCCCATGTTGTGCCCATGCCGTGCCCATGCCATGCCCGTGAGATGTGCCACGGCTTTGTGGCTCGCGATGCCCCCATGCCGTGTGGCCATGCTATCCATGCATGCCACCACCACGCCGCCCAGTGCCGTGCGTGCTTGCATCGCCCCCCCTCATGCACCACAACTGTGAGTGACCGGCGATGTGCGATTGCCACAGCGATCAAGAGTCGCCTCTGTGGCAGCCAGCCCACACGTCGCTGGCGTTCCGTCGCCGCCCACTTCCCGCGCGCTCCATCCCTTTATCTTTGCATCGCAGCCGTCATTGTTCTCCGTCAATGACGATGGACGACCTCAGCGGCGGCGGGAGACAAACGGTGTGGTGCCTCTACCCTCTCAGCGCTCGCCTGGCCACCCCGCTCGCGCGGCCTGCCAGCCAGAGGGGTCCCCTGTAAAACGTACAGATACCGTACTGCCCGTACCAACCTGCCCGACGACCTGGAGGGCTTCCTTAGTTGGTGCTCACGCCCCGCAGCGCCCAGCCAAGCACCTACCTACCAGCCAGCTCTCCGAGGGCGCCGCGCCGGCCTCGCGAGACTACATCGTTTCGAGTTAGGCCCACCTGTCCTGGAGCGAGCGCGCGCCGCCGCCCTGCCGGATGCTGCTGCAGGCGTCATGTGCGAATTGAACTGGGGTGGGGGATACCGACTCTCAACTAACAACCTGCCTGCCGCACCTCCTCCGGGCTGCTGGTGCAAGCTCTGACAGGCAAATACCGTGTGCGACCGGTGCCCTAGTGGCCATCGCTGGGCAAGCCGTGCCAGCAAAAGATACAATCGAAGGCAAATTTGCCTCAGAGGTGCGCCCGTTGCAGCCGCCATGCCGCATGGCGACAATGCCGTGGCTGGATCTCACGCACAGTTTAGGGATCGACGTCCAGTCTCTCGGATGCGAGTCTGACACCTCTTCGGGTTGGGTTACGTACTGGAGTGAGTTGATATCTTGCTCACCCATCCATCGAGGAGGCGGCTCCCTGGGGGATGAGTGAGATGCGAGGGCCTCGATGCCCGTGCGCTGGTGCTGGTGCTGGTGCTAGTAATGGTGGTGGTGGAGGTGTTGCCTCTGCCGCCGCCAATGCGATGCCACGGACATCGGCCGTTGCCCATGACACGATGCCACGGCCAATGTTCGCTCGCTCGTCCCCCAGGCCCAGGGGCACGCATATCGCATCCGGCAGCGGGGACTCATGCCGAAAAGCCAAGCGGGCAGTTGGTCACTGCGCCGCGTGGTCTCTGCGGCACTGCATGGTGCACAGGCGTGATGCGGAACGGCGAGAGCCCGTCCTCATGTGCCATCATCCATGCCATGCCATGCCATGCCGTGCCATGTGGTGTGCTCCCGTCTCGTGCGCCGCCCGGTTGGGAGGAATCGAGGCGAGACTCGGACGGCCATGTACTCGGTATCTCGGACATGATCCGACGACACCGACATCGCAATGCGCTGCACTCGCTACTCTCGTGCCTCTCGAGGTGGTCGGTGGTGGTCCGGGGAGGGGGCTGAGGCACAGGACCCGGCAGCCGGATTGCCTGCTACGAGTAAGGCAATCATGTTGTTGTATGGACCAGGCAATGAGAGGAAGCTCCGAGTACGAGTATGAAGTCGCTCCATGTCCCGCCCGGCAGGGTGGTGATGACACGGCGCCGCACCGCACGGCACTGCATCACGACGCTGGAGCCGATGGACTTCCACGGACGGGACGCCTGCCCTTCCCCACCGCATCAACATCGCCAATCTGAGCCTGCCGCCCTACTCACTGCTGCTGGCCACCAGGCAGCGGGTAGCGTGCGAACCGGCTTTCACCATTCTCGCATGCTGCCCGTCCATCCCATCTCACCCGCCGCTCTGCCCCCCTTGGGCTTGGGCCGTTGATCGACGACGATTGCCTTGCGGTCAACCGATTGAGCCACAGGGCTCTAGTCGCGCTAGCAGGCGCCGCAGCATCCGTGGGCGGTCGCTGGCCCCTATTGTTCGCCCACCTCGCCTGAGGCTCAACCTCGACCGACCCAACTCCTCAACCTCCCTCCATCCATACATCCTTCCATCCATGTCTGATAGCATGGTCCCGTTTTCGAAGAGGCCCCCCCCTCCCTCTCTACTCTGCCGAAGCGCCGCCCCGCCGCCCTGTTATGTCGACGCACAACCCGCCCGCGCCCTGCTGCTATAATTTATTGACACGAGGCGACCACCACCACCACCACCACGCAACCACCCACCGCCCCGCCATGCTTCGGCAACAGCTGCGGCCTTGGGCAACCCGGGGACCCTCTCCCCCCATCGTACCCCGGTTGATTCGTCGCGCGCAATTCCAAATCGCCCTTCTGCCGTTTCCGGTGCTCGCCTGCACGTGGCCCGACGCGGGACAGACGGGCAGACGGACCGGGGGGCGGGAGGGGGGAGGAGGAGGCTCGTGGTCGGAGTCGAGAGGCGTCGAGGAGCGAGACGAGAGAGTGAGAGAGCCCAACCCAACGGTGCAGCAGCAGCAGCAGCGCCGCAGCACCGAGGGCCTGGGGCGACACAACACACGCACGCACGCCCGACTAAGGCACCGCATCTTACCTCATGTGCTGCATGCCGTACGCCGCACCAGCCATCCCGTACGTTGCAGTTCTCAATCGTGACTTTTAGAGTGAGCAAAAATTTGTGATGGTGATGGGGACGGCCCTGTTTCTGGCAAACCTGCCGAAGAGAAACATGCCACTTTTCGGGTCTCTTGGAACAGCGNCCCCCCCTTCTCCCTTCCGATCCGACGAACTCTCTTGTGTCGTTGCCCGGTTCTCCGTTCCGTATTGGCAGCAGACAGGTACTCGTAAAATGTACCAGGACCTGTCTTCGCATCCTGCCTGTCGTTCCAGCCGAGAGAGAGCGTGGTTGGCCTGCTCGCCCCCGGGGCCTGGCGTGGCCTGAGTGGCCCCAGAAACGAAATACGCTGTGCAGGGTTTCCAGAAGACTTCGCTCCCGGCGCACCGTTCAGTTGAAGCCAACAACCTTGGTATTACTCAAACCCGACAACCTGGCCAGTCAATCCGGCCAGCCAGACCCTCCAGACCCGGGAACAGCTGCTCTGGCCCTGGCCAGGCTGGGCCACTCACTGCCTTTACCGTACGTAGGCCGCACCGCACCGCTGCCGACCCAACGTCGTCGTCGTCTTCTTCGTCGTCGTCGTTCCGTTACAGACAGAGCCAGCCAGCCCAGCCCAGCCCATCCCCATCCCAGCCTGGCCCGGGCCTCCTCCCCCTCCATCCTCAGTCAGGGTCGCCTCAGGGCTCGCTCGCACTGTACCCAAAACCCTGCCTGAAAAAGCCGGCGGCCGTGTGCTGCAGCCACCCCTCACCACCCCGCCGTGGCCCCTCCTCCCCCCTGCTGCCCCCACCCCTGAGGTACCGTCTACAACTGCCAACTGCCCTGGCCGCCTCCGGCGCCGCTGGTGCTGCTGGTGCTGCTGAATTGCCCTCCGCTCGATGTGCCATGCCATGCCCGGGTGGTGCTGCCAGTGGCGCTCGTACAGTGGGTGTGCAGCGCCGCACCGCACCGTGGTACCTCCCAGGCAGGCCGGGCTCCTCCACCTCGCCCACTGCCAACCCTCCTCGGGGGGGTTCCCTGTCACGCCTGTTCTCGTCCCTCGTTCTCTTCCTCAGCGGCGCCCACTTTCGTCCACTCGTCCACTCTTTCTTCCGTCCACCCCCCCAGCCCACCCGCCAGAAAAGAGCGCCGGCCGCTGGGTTCCAGTTGTACCGCCCATCTCCCCAATCTTCCACGCTCGTCCCACGCCGCCGTCTCTTTGCCCGTTCGTTTGCCTTTTTATTACTTTGACCTCGTCACCACGTGTCTCCGGCCGCTTCTTTTTCTTCTTCTCCTTCCTCGTTCGTCAGATGGCAGCTCTCTCGCATCCTCTCACGACTGCCGCCGACAAACCGCCTCCGGAAGCACCCAAGGAGCCGCAGCTGTCCTTTCCCACCGCCGCGAATCTCCACCACAAGCATCACCACCACCAGCAGCAGCACTACCACCAGCACCACCACCGTTCCTCGATTTCGCGTTCCTCCATTTCGGTTTCGGAACGCCCACCCAACGACCACCTGCCCGCTGGCAGCTCCTCGCAGCGCCCCGCGCACACCAGCACGCCGTCGACCGGCTCGCTTTCCACCAAGTCGCAGCGTTCGTCCAGCCTGCTCAACCGCGCCGCCGCCGCCTTTGACCGGACCCAGATCGCCATCGCCAGCTTTTCAGAGCCCGTCATCCGACCCCGCCAATCCAACTCGGCGCTCGCCCGCCTCTCCCTCGCGCCCGCCTCCCCCGTCACCAATTCGGAGCCCGCGAGCCCGGAAAGGAATCCTAACCTGAGGGCCTCGTCCAGTCAGTCTTTGGCCTCGAGCTTAAAGGTCGACGCGAGGCAGTTGGCTCACGCTGCGTCGGCCAAAGACCCCCCGTCTCAGCCATATTCTGAGACAGACCCTGGCCACCCTGCCCCCATCAAGCTGCCCGCGCCAGATAACAAGATGCATCAAACCTCGTCGCGCTTGTTGCGCATGACGGACGATGACCGGCCTTTTACGAGGGTATGTGACCTGAATCCCGTGTCAAATTCTGCCTGGTCGGGTTGTGGCCGAGTGCCTGCCTGCGTGCGTGAGTGTGTGTGTCTGTTGGTTGCACGCTTTCTTCACATGAGCTTGAACCAACACGCCTCGCGCCGCACGCTGCCCAAGACTCAATTGCGGCATCGTAGTCTCACCAGTTCCTCATTTTGCTGACCACGTCGTGCAGGATTTCAAGGATCTCTTTGCTACCCTGATAGTCAGCCTCTTGCCCCTCTCCGCACACCGAGTACGGTTATCAAAAGTGGAATACACTTTTCTGTCTGAAGATGCCATCAACAACCTCGGCTCCCTCAAGTTCTCTCAGTCCAATCGCATGCCCGATCCCAAGGACCCGTCAAGGATAGTCACAACGACGACCACCACGACCTTCTCCATGGCCAAGGACATGGCGAGGTCCATTTGCCAGCGCTTCGTCGAGGCTCGCTTCATCGAGTCCGCCGACGGCAAGTACCAGCAGGTGTACAACATGAAGGGTTCCGTGTGGCAGCTCACGCCGAAGGGAGTCACCGTGCTGGATAGGTTCTGCGCGCGTAATGGCATCCAACAGAAGCAAGTCACGGAGCTGGCGGCCGTGAACTCGGCTCAGCTCGTCATCCTCGAACGTGACCAGCAGTCGGACAAGCTGTTGAATGACGTCGGCACCATTGAGGTCATTTTCCGGAGATTCGTGGGCGCCGACGGCCGCAACATCAAGACGTCGGCGGCGGCTGCTGACTCCGACTCGCTCCACGATTACAAGGACGGCCTGACTGGCGTCAAGATGGCAGCCGAGCGCAAGATCAACGGCAAGGCGTACCGCGACTCCTTCACCGGCAAGGCGACCGTGGATTGGTTGATGGATTGCTCCACCATTGTCGACCGTCGGGAGACAGTCGAGGTTGCGACCCTCTTCGTCGAGTACGGCTTGATCGAGGCGGTCGTGCCCGACCGGACGTTCATCGCCCAGAACACGGGCTTCAACCTGTTCCAGCCCACCAAGCACGCCATTTATCAGCTCACCCAGCGAGGCAAGGACCTGATCAACGGCAACGGCTCACGAGGCCGGGCGTCGGAGAGCGAGGGCGGTACGGGCTCGCAGCGCAACGGCATCACCCGCGACTCGAACACGCAGCGGCTGGAGAAGATCCTCAATGATCCCGCCCTCCGCCTCCTCTTCCGCGAGAACCTGCGTGAGACGCACTGCGAAGAGAACCTCTCCTTCTACAAGGACGTGGCCGAGTTTGTGCGAGGCTGCAAGGCCGCCATCCGACAGGCCCAGAAGACGCCGTCGGCCACGTCGATGGACACCATCAAGGAGATCATGGCTCAGGCATACGGCATCTACAACGCCTTCTTGGCGCCCGGTTCGCCCTGCGAGCTCAACATTGACCATCAGCTCCGCAACAGCCTGGCCACGCGAATGACCAAGGCGGTCGGGCAGGACAACACGATGATCGAGACGCTGCAAGAGGTGACGGCGTTGTTTGAGGACGCCCAGAACGCCGTGTTCAAGCTCATGGCTAGCGTAAGTACAATCTGGGTCGTTCTGTCTTTGATCGGTAGACTGACAACGGGGCGATGCAGGATTCCGTGCCGAAATTTCTTCGCAATGCAAAGTACGAGCAGCAATTGCGGACCTACGACCTGGAGTTGACCGGCGGCCGTGCACCCGAGAGGAGCCAAAGCCGCTCTAACCGCAAGTAAGGCCGATCGGGCATGAAGACAAAACATGTCGAGCAGGCGGAGCCTGCGTAGCGGGCACAGCTAGCTTCTAGCTCTCCACGTCATGCGGGCGCCGGCAACCCGGGCCATTCCTGCGGCGGCACGCCGGCTCGAAAGCGCAATGACGATTGCCATATTGCGACACTGCAGCATTTCGCCTTGGGACGGGAACTGCATGAAAATTCTCTCTAGATTCCACGCTATACCTCTGCATCATCCGGAGTTCTTGCGACATTTTACTGCGATTTTTTGGTCCATCATTTTTGGTGGAATCATCCATGGGTTGACCCACCTTCGAACGAGCGAGGCTGCATCTGCGGAGTGCACGAATCAGGCTGCATTAACATACCCTTGACCACGGCGCCGAACGAGCACACACAGACCCAATCGGCGCCGTGCGGCATCTCTTGCGCATTTGCGTTTCGTTTCCGCTGATTGTCTGCGACGCATGGCTTGGAAAGGGAGACGGGGCGTTTTGGGGGGCATACCGAGCATAGACGGGACGGAGCGGCGTATCTACGGCTACGCACAGCTTCTGGTACAACAAGGGAATGACATGGGAGAAACAAAGGGGTCGGGATCATGCCCGCCTGGGCCGGTCGTCATGAGGTCGGAAGAGGGCAGGGCTCGGTCGGCCTGTGCCGGCCCGGAAACGAGGCCCCGTGGGACAGGGCGGCGTGCGTGGGAGATGAGACTGATGAGCTCCGAGGAAGCGGACGGTCGATGTCGAGAAGCTCGTGTTTTGCTGCGAGACAGGCTGAGACAAGCGAGCAGGTGTTGGATCGGTGCGACCGGGGCTCATTGGGCTGGATCGCGGGCGCTGCGCTGTAGATGAATGGCGATTAGGCGAGGAAAGAATAAAGAGAACCGAGACTCTAGCCTCGAGCTGAAGGAGAACCACGCTGTGACAGGGAATGCGCGACATGTTGCCGGGCCGCCGCGGATTTCGGGCGCAGGACGACAGGGCGCGGGGGGCGGTTGGTCCGGCACGACGGGGTGGATGGGTAATCTGCGAGCGAGGGGGTTGGAATGCGGGCTGGGCATATTGACGGTTGTTTACCATTCTTGAGGCGACGACGCGCCGGCGTGATTGGGCCCGACGTGTCTCGCCTCCGAGGATTGTGGGCTGGCCGCCGGGCGGCGATGGGCATTGTCGCTTTGCTTGCTGGGTGCTGCTGCAGTTGCTGCGGTTCGCTGGCCGCCGTGCTGGGTGGTGGTGGTGGTGCGGTCTGCGGATGTTGTGTGTGTTGTTGGTGAATCCCACTCAGGACCGCCCCCCCATACCGTAGAGGCGAACAGGTTCGTTGACGGACGGAACGAAAGCATAAAGAGCGGCATCCGACGCAAGTCCTCTCCTCTTCTCTTCTTTTCTCTCTCCTCAGCACACTGCTCTGCCATCCACAATCGCTCTTCGCTTTCCCTCGCACATTCGCTCCAAACAAGACTCACATTCGCTACAGCAAAAGCCCAACCTAAAAACGTTTACTCGTTTTTACAACAACAGTCGTTCAGACACATCTCGAAACATTCACTTTTCAGATCTTCTTTTAGAAGCAACAACATCAGTCAAAATGGTCAACGCCAAGGTCATCGTCCTCTCGGCCCTTGCCGGCCTCGTCGCCGCTGGCGAGTACGCTGAGCCGCCTCACCCCACGACGCACCACGAGGTCACCACCACCAAGACGACCGAGTCGCACCACTCCAAGCCCACCACCTGGTCGCACCACGGCAACAACACCGTCGTCACCACCACCAAGGTCGTCAGCCGGTACACCACCTGGTGCCCCGAGCCCACCACCGTCTGCATCGGCAGCAAGACCTACACCGTCACCAAGCCCACCACCCTGACCGTCACCGACTGCCCCTGCACCATCACCGAGGTGAGTGGCCCTCCTTCCCTCCGTCGTTGTCTCTTGCTATCTGGCAAGGCAAAGATGATGAGATATGTGAACGCAAAGCTGACAGCCAGATACAGACTCACAGGCCCACCAAGCCCGTCACCACGCCGGTCAAGCCCGTGGAGCCCACCAAGGAGACGACCCCTCCCCCGCCCGTCAAGCCCACAAGCCCCGTCGTCGTTGCCGGCGCCGAGGGCCGCGCCGCTGCCTACGGCTTCGCCATGGCCGCCGCTGGCTTCGTCGGTGCCGTGGCTCTGTAAGCGCCTCGAAGCGCGAGCGAGCAAGTCGGTGGGGTGGGTATCAAGATCCCACGCACGTCTTCGGAGCTGGACACAACATAGTTGGCTCTGTCATTCACTCAAACTCATGTCAAACACACAACCTTCGTTTCGTCAAGCAAAGCAAAGTATATGGTGCGGTTGTCGGCGGGACACGGCGGCGGCCGGTGCTGCTCCTCCTCGGTGGTAGCGAGCAGAGGGCCTCTCGTCCTCCCGTCAGGCTTTAATAGTGGTGGTGGTGGTGGCAACCCTGACGCGGTGACATCCAGACGGGGAGTTGGGTGGCGTTCTGTCCTTGGTGTTGTTGCATACATATCGAGGGAAGGAAGAAGAGCCCATTGATCTTGTTCCATTCTCGTAGATATAATGAAACGGTTTCGAGAAAATGATTCCACTTGATCGCTTCCATGTCTGACGTGAGAGGTCTTTGGTCTTTGTGTGCTTTCCGCCTTCGAATAAAACGCACAAGGCATCCGTGTCAACAACAAGGCGTCTATTCCAGCTCGACTCTTCGTCCGGGGTCCGTGTCAGCCAGCTCAAAGGGCGCCCGCGGCAGCGGCTTCATGAGGTCCCCGTTGCCGATTCTGCTTTGGTGATGGGGGTGATTGTGCTGCTCCTCCAGCTCTGGGCGCGGCAGGGCGGGGCCCTTCTCCAGCGTCGGCGATAGCTCGCCTTGGAAGGACAGACGGCGGGGGATACTGATGCGCCGGGGTTGCGGCAGCGGTCTGTTCTTCGCGGCAATGGCTTCCTCGTCTCTAATAAGCCTGGCTTTCTCCGCCAGCCGTACGACCAGCGCGCCATGGGACTTCTTGAGCGTCTTCTTGACGAACGCGGCCATGACGATGTTGCAGCGCATGTCGACGTCCTCGCGGAGGTACAGGCCGGTGGCGGGCGCGCCGATGCCCAGCTCGACGGGCTCGCGGGGCTCCCCCGGCATGGACCCGCCGACGGACCAGCGATCGCGGATGTCGAGCCCCAGGGGCGCGTAGCAGTGCGTCTGCAAGCCGGTAGGCAGGTCGTGGAAGGCACAGGTGTAGTCCACGTCGCTGGCGGCGAGCCCGCCGGGGAGGTACGAGACCTTGTCGGTGAGCTGGTACCAGATGCAGCCGCGCTCCTCGGCCGGGCAGTGGGCCGGGGGCGGGATGCGCTCGTGCCGGACGATGAGCGGGTTGAGGTCGATCATCTCCAGGTGGTTGTGCAGGAAGGAGAGGGCCGTCTGCCGCGAGATGCCGGCGGGGAGCGGCGTGATGGATGTGAAGACGGTGCGTTTAGACATGGTTGTATCTTTGACGCGCGGATGGCGAGAGGCGGTCGTGTGATGGGAATCAATGAGGAGAGCAGCTGAGAACAGCGCCGATGAAAGTGAGGCGCGCTCGGCGGGACGTCGTCCTGAGAGGGAGAGGAGTGAGTGCGGCAGCCGTGAGGCTCACCGACGAGTCACGACGATGAGAGACGAGGTCGAAGGGGATCAGCGTCCGTCGTGTGTAGAAAGAGCGCTCGCGATGCTCTTTCCCCTTTGGCAACACTGTCCGTGCACAGGTAAAATTTCAAATGACAGCGAACAGGGCACAAGCAGCGCCGGGGTATCAAGGAAGGAATGAAGAAGGAAGAAGCGTGTCGTCGTCGTTGTCGTACACCACCGTCAGCGGACGGGGCCTTGCCTGCAGGTTAAGTCTCCAGAGAGCCAGGCGCGCGCTTGAGCGAGGTGGGACGCAGGGCTGGCAGCTGGGGTGTGGATTTTGATCCTGCCCAAGGAAACAAGCAAGGGTGGTGGTCGTCGTCGTGACCACATGGCGGCGGTCGACGTTGGTGGACTGGGGGCTGGCGCTGGCGCTGGGATGGGCGCCTGCCGGGCTGCTGGTTTAGGCCCCTCCCCTCTCAGCCATCAAGCACCGCGCTTTGAGTCTACAATCGTGCACCAGACATTGAAAAAGGTGCTCATTGAGTGAAGCGCCCCCCGCCTGCCACTGACGCATGGCCCGCGCCTGTGGTCGGATGCCCGCTGGCGTCAAGCCTGGCGCAGCCGCACGCGCCACCGCGATGGATCCTCCGACGGGGTCCAGTGACCTCCAGTACTACTCTGTGTAAAGTGTCACTGTTACTCAGGAGTCAGAGCCCGCAACACCGACACCTCACGCCGCACAATCACGAGCGCCTGCCTGCTCGGCAAGAGAAAGGCTCCCAAGTTGGGCTGGAAATGTCTCGCATGGCTCTTCAACAACTGCCGGGCCGCCCCAAACAATAAACCCGTCTCCTGGAAACACCACAGCCCGCGCCGCCGCACGCCGCAGGGTAGCGCCCCGGCGCGGCATCTTGCCTGCCCACGCTGCGCGTCGTCTCACGGAAACGGAAACGGGAGCCGCAAATGCGCCACCCGGGGGACCCTGACACACATACAGCTGCGTTCTGTATGTGCCTGCTACGTACTGCACTGTAGATATAGATATGCATGCACCTATAATTATTACGTGTGCGGGCTGTCCAGGGATCTATAGAGACGGGAAGCCGGAACCTATCACTGGGGCATTGATTACACACATCTGCCCGGGGCAAAACGGCCGCTGGACAGCGCTGTGCCACAGCCACTCGCTCGGCCGCCCGGACACGCCTACGGTGCGCGCGGCGCAGCTTGCGCCCCTCGCCCCGTCCACTGACTGATGCGGTGCCTGCTATTCTTGGTCGGGCCCCAGGCCCGCCGCTGGCGGAAGCTCAACCATCCGAGACGGAGCTGTCAGACCTCCGGCGCGCTAGGCCCGGTGCATGCAAGCCCCCGACAGCCGTGCGTGCGCTGGCACTCGCTGACGTTGGCCGACTTGGCACCACCTCACTGACTGAGGCTGCTTGTCAGGGACGGGATGACCGACTCGTGCATGGATTACAGCAACTACATTGGTTGATTGGCCATCGTCATCACCAAGACGACAGCTCGCCATCACGTCCTCACTGGCGTAGGATACCAATTTGTTATTGAGCAACACCCTGCCTGCCGGCCATGGGTGTCCTGAGAATAGCCTGGGGTGCTCGGGCACTCATATCTCGCGGCACCACTTAGCCAGCACGTTGCTCAGCTTCACCGCCGCCGGAATCTCCTCCAGCATCACCTCCACCTTCCACATTTTCCCGTCCAGCCCGCCGTGGCCCAGTGCTCTGCTCCCGCCGATGCCCGCCGGTACCAGCATCCCCAGCGAGATGAGCCGCTCCCACGCGATGCCCGCCACGCCCCGGCTCCACGCCCGCGTCCCGCCCCCCATCGCCAGCATCCCCGACGTCGCCGACTGCACCCGCTGCCTTCCCACCAGCGAGCTGTACTCGTCGTACGCCATGGCAAAGTTGACCGTGTCTGTGTGCGCCACAATGTCCAACCTGGCCGCCGCGATCAAGAGGCCTAGGTCCAGCTCCGACAGCGTCGACAACACCTGCAGCCGCGAATCCGGCGCCGCCAGGCACGTCGCCTCTGAGCCCGTCGTCGGACAGCTCAGCGTCACGTCCTTCTCCGATAGGGCTGACAGCGGTAGTATCCACTCCGTCAGGAACGACGACGTCGACTTGCTTGTGTAAAAGTGGTATTGCAGCAGGTTCTGAAACGAGCGCTGCTTGTAGAGTTCCTGTGCATGCACTTGTCAGCTGTGTTCGCTATGCCCAGCGTGAAGAAGCTAGATCTCACCTCAATCTTCCGGGTCCAGTACTTGTGGAAGTCGTCGTACCCTTCCAAACTGACATCCAGACCCTCCCGTTCCACGTCCGTTCTGTCAATCATCAGACCTTGCCGGCAAATCTGCCAGTACGCAGGCAGCGCCCTCGGCAGCGACAGATAGACATATCTGTGGCTGAATCGGCTCTTGACGCGCTTCTCCAGCATCTCCACCACGTCCAGCCGCGTCGTGCAGCCGAGAACCGCGATCGGCGCCTTGCGGGACTGCGCAATGTCGAAGAGGTTGTACAGAAGCGTCTGCCGAGGATGCGCAGCAAACATGTCGAATTCGTCGACGACAAAGATGACAGACTGCGACGTCACGCTCTCGTCTGTGCCCATGATTTCTGATGGGTGTGAGAGCAGCGCCAGCAACGAGGCCATGGTGTCTGCGTAGTTTGTCTAGAGCCTGTTAGCAGTGTGAAGCTTGAAGCCCCTGCGGCCGTATCGACTGACCCTATTGACGAGGTCCTCCTCCACCTCCATCTCCTTGCCAAGTTGCCTCCAAATCTCCTTCAGTGCCACCTTGTCGTCGGTGTGAATGAAGCCATTGAGTCTGACGACGTGGAAGAGGTGTCCGTGAGCCTGAGCTAGATCCGTGACGATGTTCTCGACCATCTGTATATGCTTAGCTGTGATACCTTCCGCGTCGATCTTACGCAGGCTTACCGTAGTTTTGCCACACCCCCTTGGTCCAATGAGAAGCATCGAGTTGCCCTCTCCGGCCACGACTGTCTGCTCAACAAGCTGCTTCGCTTTTTCATACGTCTCCTCTTGTCCGAACATCTTGATCCGCCTTTGGCCCAAGCACCGATCGAGAAGCACACGCTGAAATGACCGCAAATGATGTGACAGGTTTGGTATATCAGGCACTTCGGCCACTGGTTTACTGGTGGCGATGGAGTCGGCTGGCTTGACAGGCGTCTTGAGAACGTCCTCTTGGGCGCAAGACTTACATAGCCAGTCGCCTTCTGGTATCTCCGGCACCTCGTAGCATTCTTGATGCACCGCGAAGTCGCAGTTGTCGCAAAGAATGATCTCGTTTGGGGCCTTCGAGTCCGCCTTGGCGCAGATCGCACATCGAATCTCGTCATCGTCCTCTTCGACCTTGGGCTTGGGACCGCGTTTTCGGCCGCTAGGCGTCTTTGGAAGGTCCTGGAAGTAGACCTCGCCGTCGAGGCCTCGGTTAAAGGTAACGCTCTTGGGCGGGCGACCTCGTCTCTTGGTCGGAGTCAGGATACCTTTCGGCGCCTTGATCTTGCCGGTAGAGCCGAGGATCAGGTTCTGCGCTGCTTTGCCGCGACCTGACGGCGTCCCGGGCTCAGTCTGGAGCTCGTCAATCAAGTCGGTACCAGCATCGCTGTCCGATGCACGGCCCCCCTTTGAGGGCGACTCCGGGCCGCCGTTCTGTTGGCGCCCTCTAACAGCCGCAGGAGAAGGTCGTGCGGCAATCTTAGCCGACGCTGTCGATGGCTTCCGTGCGAGCTTAGCGCTGCCAATATTTCCAGTGTCCCATTTCGTCCCCTTGAGTGCTGCCAGCTTGATTGCTGGACGCGGCTTCGGGGCTGCGGCAGGAGGGGGTGGTCTGGGACCTGCGACAAGCCCATTTCCATTCACGCCATTTGGGACAATTGCGGTGGGCTGTGCGACACCGTCTGCGGCCTTTTGCGGCTGTCGGCTGAAGCCCAAAACGCCAGAAATCGCATTTGCGATGGCGGTCAGGGCTTTTGGCGTCGAGGGTGACTCGGCGCCGACATGCTCGAGCTTCGCCCGTTTGAGAGATGCCGGCGTGGCAATGGATTCGATATCGGCTTCGGGCAGGGAGCGTTTGCGATTCGTGGGTGTCGTGGCATCGAGGGAATCCATGGCCATGGCTTGGGTGAAATGGAGCCTCGTCAATTAGACCACGAGGACAGAGGCACCCCCAAGCACAGTCGCATAGCCCGAACTGAAGCTGAGATGACCGAGCATGTGTCGTAGATGATGCAGTACAATGGGGGTGAGCACTGCGAGTCGCTGGTGATACGGGCCGTCTGGTGATGGAGGTCGAAAGACAGGCTGTCGCGTAGAGCTCAATTGCAGAAGACGGTGGGACGCGTCTGAACGCGCTGACCGGGAAGCACTTTACGCGAAAGGACCCAATTGCCAGGGTGCCAATTGGCGAGTGGGGGTGCTGGTGCCTGAGCCACAGCGACCGCCACAGAGGCGCCACAGAGGCGGTACAACGCATCACGCAGGCGTACGTCAACATTTTCTTGGTGACCTGACCCGGCCTGGGCGCCTGGCCGCTATTGGACACTTGACGGACGGTGTCCTCGGCGCCCGCAGCCATCAACTTGGCGTGGAAGGCACGACCTGCCCTCCATGGTTCCCAGTCTCGCGACCCTGATGCCTGATTGCCTGACTACCTAAGGCCAAGATCCCAAGGAGCAATGAAGGTGCCCAGCTCTGAGTGAGCCTGGCCGACGACGCAATTATTCCCCAGGCCCCCCACGAACCATTCAGACTGGGCCAAAGGCAATCCTCCCCATCGGCACAGCCCTGAAAGAGGAGCCAGCGGCTGCGACCTAGCCCGGGTCGGGGGGTATTCTGCGACATCATCGTCGGCGCAGTGGGCGCACGCCTTGCGAGACCCTTCGGTCCGGCTGCAGACGACGCCAAGCGTCGGCTTCCACGAGCACAAGCGTGACAGATGGCGCGCCCTACGGCAGCAACGTCCCGAACCTGGCTGATTCGGCCAACGACATTCGGCAATCGTCCGTGGTTGGGGATCTCCGGAGCGGCGGACACAGCCCCAACTTCCCAGACCCGCTACTGCTTCAAGCCCTGTCGCTACTCCTGTCGACGTCGGCCTTGGAGTGACGACGTTTGGCACGATGCATCGCTATCCCGACCGCTCGGCGGATCGTCATGGCCTATTGCAAAGGCAGCCAGAGCCAGAGCCAGGGCACAGAGCCAGAGCCAGAGCCATCGCGGGGACGTGTGTTGTTGCGGTGACGCCAGGAGACGCGATTGCCCCTGTCAGCATGCGAGCGGGTCGTTGACTTATTAGCGTGGGACCTTGCCGACATTATGCAGACAAATGCCCCAACCGAGCAGTTTCGAGCGAGACACTCCGATCCTCAGCCCTGTGGCCAAGAGAGCCCCTGCTGCCGGAGGAGTCATTCTGCCCAGGATGCCAGGATGCCAGGGACAGCCACAGGGACAGTGAACGGGCTTCCTTCCCCTCTGTCTTTAATGCAGTAATTGTGATGTGACAACCTGCTGACGGCCCAAGCCCCAGGCTATCTTGTCGATTGGCTTTCGGGGTTTGAATGGGGGGTTCGGCACCCGCCAAACCTCGTCAAACCTTGCCCACCCCGTCCGGACTGCCGCTGCGGACGGGTCCATGACGGAGATTCGGGCTTCCCGTTTGTGGGGCGGCGTGCCGTCTTGCTCTGATCGAGCAAATGCATGGTTCGGACGCCACGCTTAGCTCGGCCGCGCCAAGGTCCATGGCCTCGAAGCCTATTGCGGCAGTGCTCTGCTCCTAGCCCGGCAGTCAAGGCTTCTTAAGACCCTTCCAGATCCCCCGGGCCACGGCGATCGCACGCCGACAATTTGTGAGCATGCACGCCGTACCGCTCCGCACTTACACAGCTCGCCGGCTTGGCTTGTCGTGGTACGCTGCAGACGCTCCGGAGCAAGGCGGTCAACATGTCGGAGCACGGACCCGGCCATTTTCAGCATCGCCGTGACAAGCTGCGCATCTTCAGCAGCCCCCTTGTTCGTCGAACGAGCACCGGTGGTAGCGATGAATCGGAAGACAGCACCCGCCATCCCATCGAACACAGTCACACCGAGTTCAAGGGCGGATACGCTCACGATGATGAAAACTTGCCTCGATTCAAACGCGTGAGCTTAGCTTATTCTCGAACTCGAACCCGCCATCCAACTGACATTCCGACAGTACGAGGAGCCGACGCTTCTGGAAATCTTCTTTGACCTCTTCTTCGCCGCCAACTACAATGTCTTCTCCGACACCCAGCAGGTCACCAACCACGCCAAATTCAAGGCCTATGTTGGATATTTCTGGTTTGTTCAGCTCGCTCCGTGGTGCTCGTCAACATTTCGTGCTGACGCAGGATGTCAGTCTCCTCTGGTTGACTTGGTTTCTCGTCACTCTCTTCGACGTCCGCTTTGTTACGGACAGCATCTTTTGTATGTCTTCGGCATCCCTCTCAGCTTTGGTGATGCATGTTCGACTAATGGAAGTCTATAGCCCGCGTCACCAGAGCCATCCAGCTTGGGGTTTTGGTAGGCTTCGCTGTGGTTGCGCCAAAGTTCAACCCTAGCAACCAGCACCGAGACACGATGCGAGCCATGTGTAAGTGCGGTCGCCTCAGGGCCAAGGCCCGGGCTTGATTCATGTCTAGGACAGCTCGCTGACCACTGCAGCCCTCATCCTCATGATCTCGCGACTCTGTCTGGCGGTCGAGTATGCTTCCACCCTTTGGCATGTGAGAAAGTACAAAAAGGCACGACTGCCTCTCTACGTGCAAATCGCTCTCCACCTCTGCGCATCAGCAGTGTATTTCGGCATCTCCTTCCGCTTCCGGGTCGGAGAGCGCAGCCGAGTGTACATGACGTGGTACTTTATCTCGGGTGCAGAGGCCATCGGCAGTCTGCTCTTGTCCAACTTCTCACCCGTCGTCAGCCTCACCAAGACGCATTTGATGAAGCGTATGACCCTCTTGACTGTCATGATTATGGGCGATGGCATCGTTCAAGTAGCCAAAGAAGTTGTGATAATCGTCAAGAACCCGGATGCGTGGGGTAAAGTCACAGCCTCCCTGCGCAATGTTCGGAATGGTCAATCTTGGCTAACAGCCCGATATAGACTCGACAACCATTGGTCTCGTCTCGGCAGCAGCGGCGACAATCTACTTCGTTTTCTTGATCTATTTCGACTGGCTAAAGTCGTCCTTCTACCTTCCCCCCGTACGACAACAGCTTTGGACGGCCATTCACCTGCCGTTTCATCTCGCCCTGGTCTTGTTCATGCAAGGGTTTACGCAATACCTCATTTGGTCCAAGATCATTAACCAGTTTAACCGCCTCGTCCTGATCGCGGACCCGCGGGATGATGCAAAGTTGGCGACGAGCGTAGCCGTCCGCGACTCCCTGAACGCGTCGGTTCAGGCGTTTTTCAAAGACTACCCACCCAGAATTTCTACCACGCAAGACACGATAAACGATGCTCTGAACAACATCACCAAGATTCCCGACAGCGTGTGGCCATTAGTGGAGAACTCATCAGTCACTTGGGACCTTGATTCAGAAGTCCCACAGGCGGTAGAAGACGCCTTGGTAACACTGTTTACCTCTGTGACCACCATGGCTATTGCGATGCTGAACGCTCTGTTCGCGGCATTCGGCATAAAGATCGACGAGGATATTGCTGAAAAGGATCCCGGTGCCTCCAGAGACTTTAGCCACGGGAAGTACCAACTTCTAGTGCAGGAGAAGACGTGGAGTCGCTACGCACTAGTGGTAAGTTTTGAACCTGAGGGCGCGTGCCCCTGCGAGGATCTATGGTGATCTAACAAAGGACCAGTTTGCGTACGGATACATTGCCTCGGGGTGCACCATGCTCTTCATGGCCGTTCTAACCATCACCGTCAAGACGACGCCCTATACGGCCTGGCCAATCATCCGCCTCGTGTTGGTCTTTCTACTGGCCATCGGCACCGGCCTGGTCGCCGTGCTATGGTTCGACGAAGAGAAGCTCTGGGAGTTTCTCTTCTCGACGTGGGTGCTGCCCACCATCACTATCGTCTGGTCCGTCATCCTTGTCCTCACGCACCTCAACGGCGAGGGCATCAAGCGCAACAAGCACCGCTTCAAGCGCACCAGGAACCCCCAGGAGGACAAGTCCCCGTACGACGCCTTTTCGGTGCCCATGACGTCTCCGTCGGAGTGGAGCAGCGGGCGCCATGACCGCAAGTACGCGCCCGACGACCGCGACGCCGAGACCCAGCAGCGGGTGCCGTTTACCCAGTCTTCAGATGCTGCGACGCATCACGATTCGCATGGGAGGCAGCGGTCCTACGACGGTATCGGCATGGCGTACGGCGGGTCGGACAGGCCGCACTCCAGCTACGACCCGCTCAAGACCTCGACTGAGTACAGAGGAGCCGCGGGTGTGTGATACCCGGTACAGTGCTGACGAGACTCGATGGCCCATCTGAAGCGCATTCAGCAGCCATGCAGAGAAGGGACGACTAGAGCGCGCTGGATCCACGCCTGGCACGCCCCTTATACTCAGCCGCCTTCCAAATGAGACTGGAGGCGCATTCCGCCCATTGTAGATAGGGCATGGCGATTGGTGTACAAAAACTGTTGAATATTTCAGCTCTGTTTAATCCAATACCCCTTGCAGCGACCACGTGCGCTCATGCACACGGCGCGTCATTCTTCAAATCTACTGCTACTGTATCTGAGCGTCCACTCATCCAGCCACGAGCTGCTGTTGTGACTGGCGCCCCCATCCCTGAGCATCGACGTGTTCCTCTTCCGCCTCCTCCCGTGGTAAACGCAGAGACCCGTCCCACCCCCGGCATGGCGGGCATTTGCGGGACACATGGGGCTACTCGGTAGGTGCTCCGGAATATCGAACTCAAAAGCCGTCGGAAGCACGGGCGAATGCTGGATCCTGCGACTCGCGCGCCCGGGAATGGGATCCCACCACTCGCGCGTCTGGTGCCGCTGCGTAGAGATTACACTGATTCGCCGAGAGTTGCGTCGAAGGCCGTCGGGCCTGCCGCCTCCCTCGTTAGGAGATGAAGAGGCTCGCCCACCGAAGCTGCTGGGATACTCGACGGGCGGCGTCGTGCAAGTAAAGAAGCCGCGAGGCCTGCCATCGGCCGTGTTCTCATCAAGCGGTGGTGTACTGACGCGAACAGCTTCCTGCATAAATGTAAGTGCGAACATACTCTGGCGCAGAAGCCATGAGTGAAACTCACGCCGCCGGGAAACTGGCTGTTGACCGTCTTGGAGGCGCCTGTGCGGATAATCAGCACTTCGCTGCTCCGACTTTTAATGTAGGGCTCCTGGAGCTTAGACTGGCCGGAACACGGATCAACTCACGCTTAGCTGTATAAATAGACATTGGAGTCACAGGAGGCGTTGGGCCCCTCAACACATTGCCAACCGAGCTCGAAACGGTAGTAAACGATCCCGCAGACGTTTTCTCACGCCACGGTGGTCTGCCAAACAACTTCCGAGGGACTTTGGACATGCTGCTTTCGTCCTTGAACCACGTCCTTGCCCTGCCAAGGCTTCGCGGCCAAGCACAGTTACTCGCGCTTATGGGACTTGCTGCTCTGTCAGCCCCGCCTCCCACACCTGCAGAAGCACTGTGGTCAGCCCGAGGGCACTCTTGGTTCTACGATGCACGGGCGCAATAAACATCAGCAACAGAATAAGAATTGTAGTGAAGGTATCCGGTTTCACGTACCTCGGTCTGAGTTCTGTGCTTGAATATGGACACGAGGCAAGCCTTGGTCTTGCAAAACCATGTTTGGGCGACTGGGTGAGGTAGCGAGGCCACCCTCGTCGACCGCGCGTGCGCGGAGGTAGAGTTGACTCTGGAACCGAGACGAGAGGTACCACCTCTAAGTCCCTCGCCCGGAGCCTCTTTGGAGCGTGGGGACAAAGCCAGGCTCTCCGTAGATGCCTGGGCGAGCATATTCCCCGTGGGATGCTGGAGCGATAGCACGTGCGCAGACTCGGAGAGGAAAGGACTCGGCGCCGGGACGTTGTCTGCTTGGTCCAAGAGAGCTTCATTCTGCTAGTCCGAAGAAATGCTCGCCAGTGGCAACGAAAAGCCCAGATCGCCCCCGTTGGCAGTCTCGCTCGTCGACTTGTTGGACCTGGAACGCCATTTCCAGAAACGCGAGCTGGCGTTGCTTTTGTTCCTCGGCGCCGGCAGCGGGGGTGCGACGGCGTCGACGATCCGCCGCTCGGCCCAGTATCCCTCGGGAAACCAGACCTACTCGAATCCATCACGGGGCGGGCGAGGGGGGTCGACGCCGAACAAGGGAGGCGGCGGGCGGCGGGCGGGCATGGCGGTGGTCGTGATAGATCTCGTGCCGGTGTTTATGCCGACGGGGCCTGGGGGGTGTCGATAATGGCTGGCGTGAGTAGGATACTGTGATAGTGCTGGAGAGACTGGAGAGACAGAGTTGGCTCCGTCGTCGGCCATTACGCGCTGCCATGCGACGTCTAAGGTGGTGTATTCAGCGGGTGCGGACGAATGCGCCGGATGCGAGGCGTTGTAGAAGAGTGGCGGTGGTTCGGCGGACTGAAACGGCAGGGTAAAGTAACTACATATCGTAATCATTAGACGGGGATACGCATAGAGAGCCGATCAAGACTACATATCGGCTACGCAATAGGCAAGATTCTCGCAGTCGGGGAATCGAGATCAGGGGCGTTGGCCACGTACTTTACATCGCCTGCAGTCGTCGGCGATGCTCTAGGAAGCATATCTCCTCCCTGTACTAGAAGCGAATCCGGCATCTCGCTTGGGGCCAAGGATAAGCGCCGAGTCGGCGGCGGTAGGCTGCTGCTCTCGCGTGGATAAAGAGGGCACACCGGTGAGAGGAGGCTGGCCAGGCCGGCTGGCGGCGTGTCATCGCAGGTGCCGTCTATTGGATTGAATAGGTGATGGAGGATGGTCTCTAGGGAGATGAACGAGTGGCACGAGCGCGAAGGGAGTTCCCTACCGTGCAAGGGGCTGTGCACGTACATCGGACGGGGGCAGCTCATGAGATGGTGTAAAGCCGCCAGGAGAGCAGAGAGCTCGATGGTTTTGCAATCGCCCCGGCACGTGAGGTGGTAGATTCCATGTAGATGGATGTCGCTCCTTCCGCGTCTTTGACGGGAGCTCTCGGCACCACCTCGAACCTCGTCCCCTGTTGTACTTGTAGCTCAAAGGAGCAAAGACAAAAAGAAACTTGAATCGGAGGCCGATAGACACTACGGGTACGGAAGATGATTCTTCTATTGGTATCAACTTTTCCAATGCCACAGCATTGCGCTCGCTTCCTGACGGGGCGTCAAACATCCACCTGTCCTCCGCATATCGTCCATGCTATGTGTACCGTTCAGATCATAATGCCAGTGCGCCATACGCCATACACGACCCCATGTAAAATTCTCGTAGCCGCCGTGACTGCACACGCCCTCAGTCAATGGCCATGGTGTCGTCTCCATCCAGCACGGCCTCCTGCTCCAGAGGCACGCCACGGCCTCTCCCCGCCAGCAGCTCCCTCCGGACCTCGGGTCCGATGGCCGAGTGCCCGTGGCTGAGGAGCAGGTCCAGCAGCGCCTCGCGCTGGTCCTCAGTGATGTCGCCCTTGTATCTCTGCGCGAACGCCAGCAGGCTCTGGTGCCAGATGACGGGAAGCTTCGTCTTGACGTCGCCCTCGGCAACGCCCGTCATGGCGTCACCCTGCTGCACGCTGGCGGGGTCGACGCTGCGGAACCGCAGGAAGTGGAAAACCAGCGCGTCGATGACCTGGTACGGCAGAGCGTACTTCTTCTCCAGCAGCGTCTTGATGAAGATGTTGGTCGCGCCGCCACCCTCGCTGCCCGCTGACGCCTCTTGCGCGGCAATGTCGCACAGGCCCTTGAGAGCAGCTGCCGAATGCAGGACGGGGATCGATATCCTTGCCAGGACGGCCGAGATGATGTGTGCCTCCCGCAGAGTGCAAGTACCACTGCCAACAAGCGGGAAGAGGAAGCCCTTGAAGAAGGCGGCCGGCTTGTAGAGGGCCTTCTTGAGCGAGTTGAAAAGGTGGACGTTGAGTTTCTTCGTCTCGTAGATGTCCTCGCGGACTCGCTCCAGAATCACCATCTCGAGGAACCGCTGGATCACGATGGGCTTGTGGGAGACGAATATCCTCGTGGCTTGGTAGCAGGCGTTGGTCGTCCAGCTCTCGGGCTTGGTGATTTCCAGAATTTCCTCCCAGTGGGGAATGGTGGGGAGGATCTTGAAGGGCTTAGGGAGCGGCCCAGACTTGTAGCGCGAAAGGATCTGTCCGATTCTGGAGACCGTTAGCAAGAGCAGATTGACGAAGGTGAGCAAGTGCACTTACTTGGTGTAGGCCTCGACCACCTTGGGGGGCAGTTCGTAGTCGTCCACTGGCAGGCCGGCTTCCTTTCTGGCCTCGGCAGCCTCGTGGGCGGCAATCTTCTCGAGGATGAGGTCTGCCAGGTTGCGGCTCTCACCCTCGGCGGGCTCGTCGCCCGACGGCTTCTGGTCCCAACCATGCTTCAACAGGTCGTCTTCCTCGTCGGGCATGAACCTCTTGTACGTCTCCAGGTCTTCCGGATCAACCTCAATCTCCTCGACGACCTCGTCCTCATCGCCCCATGCCTCGTCATCGTCGTACGCCTTGCCGTCGTCGGCAATGTCGTCGAAGCGCGAGTCGAAGCCAAAGTTGTCCACCGTGGGCGGGGGCATGGCAGCCGCCTTCTCGGCATTTTCCTCCTCTGCAAGCTCGCGGCCTATCCGCAGGATGTTCTTGGACGCCTTGGAGTCGACGAAGCCCTCCTCGGCGTCGTTTTCCGTCTTGGCCCTCTTCTTGCTCGGCTTGTTGCGCAGCACGCCGGTTGCGACGATGTCATCCTCGAGAGGATTGTGGCGCTTGGCCTGGCGGCCAGCCATTGGAGTCGTGGCCTTGGGCATTGTGTGTCGGTTTTCGGTCTTGCGGATTGAAGCGGTCCGTCAAGAGCTCAGGCAGCTTGGGGGGGTGCGGTTGGGATGGAGTTGCGCACGGCGGTGGGCGGGCGGTGGACGCAAAATCAAAAATTTGTGCCTTATCGATCTGCCACCCCTCAGTCCAAATACGGCTTAGCGCAACGGGCCAAACTGGTGAGTCTGGCTCACCGCCTTCAGCCGAGGACCTCAATAGGCATTGGAAACAAGTTGAGGAATCGTTGCCTTTGCGTGTAGGAAATTGAGACGAAAGGGCATGTGAGACACTGAGGAGTTAGAAGGGGTCTGATTCGGCTTGGAGCAGTTACGAGTCGACAAGTGTGCGAGACGCTTGGGCATCACGCTACAATTTACTTCAGTGACCATCATGGCTGACAATTGCTTGAAACGATCAATCAGTATGAGTCAAACTTGGAAACTAACGAACATCCTGAAACCGAATACCTCAAAATGAATGGATGAATGTACTTGGCACAGGAAGTGCCCTATTAGCTGTGTCATCCTCGAGGCCGTGGTGGTGCTTCCAGAACATTCAGGCGACCCTTCTGTGGCAAGGGACCGCGGACCCCTGTGGGCCAACAGAGCAGAGCCCAACCCCTGCCGATGACGCTGGGCCTTCAGACTCTGAGGCCGGCGCCCCCACTACCAAAAATGCCCCTCCATCGACGCCAACACTTAACTCACCTCAACCTCATCTCAGTGACCTGTTCGTGAGTGTCTTGCGAAACAAAGCAACACAGTAATCGCGATGCCGTCAGAATTAGAAGAGGTACGTTCTTCCGAGCACCACCAGAGGAATGCGCTCTGCAAGGAGGCATGCATTCATGCGCAACACGTGCTAACGCGGCGCAAAACAGCTCGTCGGCTTCATCGCCCACGCCAACCCCCAGATCCGCCTCGCGGCTACGGAGAACCTGGTCCCGTACTCGACCTCGGACCCCGAGGTCTTCAAGGCAGATGGCCTCAAGCCGATAAAGAACCTCAAGCTCCTCATCAAAGACCACCCTGTGAGTTTCCTCCCACCTCAAGAGCGCAAGCGTAGGGGCGGGACTGACCGCGGACGATTGCTGTCACAGAAAATCGCCGAGCATGTCCTTACCATGCTGGTCAACCTCTCCGGCGACCCGGATGTATTATCAGAACTGGTCAAAGATGAAAAGTTCCTGGACACGCTGCTGTCATACATCATTGTACGTGCCCTCCCCGTTGTATCTCATTCTTGGGATTCCGCGTGACTCACATGACATGTCCTTCCAGCAACCAGAGGAGCCCAACGCCGACGTCCAGGCCATGCTCCTCGCCAACATCTCCAAGGACGATTCCTTCCTGTCCGTGATAGACCGCACGCAAAAGGCGCCCGCGGAGCTGTCCCCGTCCGAGCGCGTCATCGACCAGCTCATGGACCTGTTCGTCAAGGGCCAAGACGGCAGCTACAACAAAAAGGCCAACTTCGACTACCTCGCCTACGTCTTCGCCAATCTGTCCAAGCACGAGCGCGTGCGGCAGTACTTTTCCTCCCCACAGGACTACGACGGCGTCGTGCCGCTTGGCAAGATCAAGGTCTTCACCGAGCACAAGTCGGACGTGCGCCGCAAGGGCGTCGCCAGCACCATCAAGAACGCCGCCTTCGACATCGCCGCCCACCCCTCCTTCCTGTCCGACGCGGGTGTCGACATCCTGCCCTACGTGCTGCTGCCCATCACGGGCAACGAGGAGTACGACGTCGACGAGGCCCTCGCCATGCTGCCCGACCTGCAGCTCCTGCCGCCCGACAAGCGCCGCGACCCGGACCCGGCTATTGTGCAGACGCACGTCGAGACGCTGACGCTGCTGACGACCACGCGCGAGGGCAGGGACCTCATGCGCGAGGTCAAGGTGTATCCCATCATTCGCGAGACGCACGCGCGCGTCAACGACGAGGGCGTCAGGGAGGCCTGCGACCGCTTGGTGCAGGTGCTGATGCGGGATGAGGAGGGTGAGGGCAAGAGTGAGGCGGAGATGATGGCGCACATGGGAGAGAACCCGCGCGTGCAGGAGATTGAGGCGGATGAGGACGACGAGATTGTTGAGGTATGAAAGGGATGAGCTGGCACAGAGACACAGTGGGACGGAATGAACGGAAGCTTTGTTTGCGGTCTTGCGTTGGGATATTAAGCTTGGTATAGAGAACCGGACCGCCGACCATACGTGGTTCTGGCAGGGGGCGTACAAAATTGCGATATTAACAACAGTCTTATGGCTCGACCGTGATTTGTGGCCAGGCAACTATAATACGTGCCGAATTCGAAGAAACCTCCCAGTGATATCAAAGAGCCCAAGCACCCTTTCTGTGCCTCAATCATTCCTCATATATACTAGTCCTACCGAGCTCCTCCCATGTCCTCGTCATTCTCCCGAAAGATGCTCTTCTTACGTGACGCACTCGCCACTTCCCCAGCCGACAGGTAATCCTCGCCGCGTGCGTCTCCCGAGGTAGGCGGCGAGACGGGCCCCGGCGAACCAATGGGTTCATCGTCCTCGGCATTGCCCCTAACCGGCGATTCGGGCACCGGCGGAGGCGTTGGTCTCGTGTCGCCCAGGGAGCCCATTTGCAGAGACGCGTGGGGGACCACAGGCGAGTCGATGCGGGCACTGGAGCCAGATACGAAGCTTGTGTTGTCGCCGAGGCCGGAAAAGGAGCTGTGCGAGGGGTTTGACGGCGACCGAGTGCTGTTGCGCCCAAAATTGGAGTGCTTCTGTATCACCTCAACGGGGGTAAGCCCCGTGTCGTGCAGCTCCGCCGGCGGCGATGTGTCTGTCACAAGGAATTAGCCATGGCCTCTCTCGACAGCTTCGGGCCGAAACTGATACTCACCTCCAAGCTCAGCGACCTGGGTATCGGCCATTTCGTGATGGACCGAGGGATCTGGCTCAGGCGACACGGGTGGATACAAGGCTGTGACCTTGGCCATCTCTGGGGTCGGACTCGGATAGGCGGCCTCGGAGCTTGTGACAGTGAAAGACTTGGCGCCGCCGTTCTGGCCTCTGATCCAGGAGCGGATGCGGTTCCCAGCCTCATCTGTTGAGTCCTTGGAGACACTGCTCCCACCTCGTCTCCGACGACGCATACACCAGAACGCGACCAGGCCGGCGCCGATGAGGGCCACGACGGGTACAACCACCGCGGGAATGATGACGTTTTTCTTGCTGCTGCTTCCGCCGTCTTGCTGGGGCAGATCCGGCCGCCCAGTAGGCGTCGCCGACTTGTATGGCCAGTACGTCGTAATCTTGCTGGTGTCGTACTTTGTCGCAAACACATCGCCAAGCGCCGCCGAATCCCACCCGGAAGCAGGCTTCGTCTTCGTAGCGCCGCCGGACGCGTCACCGCCAATGGCGGAGTATACCTTCTCGTGGACCGCGTATTTGCCATACTTGGCTGGATCGTAAGAATCGAGCCATTGACCGCTTGTGATATTGTAGAGAACAATGGGGCCCTTGTCTAGGCACGATGGGAGGGCGCCAGGGGTTGGGGGATAGCCGCCGAAAACCATCATCTGATCCGGGTATGGCATGAAGCACTTATGGCCAGCCCGGGCGTGAAGCGATGTGCCATTGCTAAGTTGCGTCCAAGTAAATGACGGCAGTGAAAGCACCCACACGTCGTCGTAGAAGTCGTTGGCGGGATGTATGCCATCGAATCCACCATAGTAGTAGATGTTGAAGCTCGAGCGATCAGCGGCCGTGCCAACAACGGCGCAGCCCCTGGCGCGGGTGCTGGGGCCGTCTTTGGTTGACTGCTGGTACCACTTCTTGCTGTCCACATCGTAGATGTCGATGGTGCGCATAAATTCGGGGCTCTGCTTTTTCTGTACATGGATTAGTGACGCATTGAGGAATACTGGCTGCATGGGAGACATACACTGGCATCTTCATCTGACGAAGCGTGCGACTTGGTTGTCCATGCCCATTCGGGGTAGACGACGCCGCCGAGCACGACCAGAATGCCGCGCTTGCCCACTGGCACCCAGACGACCTCGGCATTGGACCGGCCCTTGATTTTGTCTGGAAGCGTGTCGTTGCTCCACTTCTCGCTGAGCTGTGTTGTTAAGTCCAAGGAGATTAGGGTGTTGGACACGTTGAGCGCCCTCGTCGATGCGTTGTTGGAATTGGAGTAGAAAGGACCACGGCCTGGCGCTGTCAGGCCGGAAAAGTACCAGGCCATGTTCTCCGATGGCGCGCTGACGCCGGCGCCGTAGGAGACGTAACGGTTCACTCCGTTATCGAGGCGCGCGTCGAGCAGACCTGTCTTGAATAGCGGCTTGTCTACGCCATACTGATACGCCGTGTATTTGAGAATGGAATCCGCGGGGGGTTCTTCGTACAGCGCGCTGTTCTTAAGCATCGTGCCACCGTACAAGAAGAACTCGGCATCGTTTCCGAGTAGGGCTCCGTCCTGGAAGTTGGGTTCGGAGCTAATGCTATCCAGCTTGCCTCCCCTGGCTTTGGAGAATTCATTCTTGAGTAGCAGCTGGGTGACATTGGTGTCTGGAGAGAATGAGTCGCTAAGATTGTACGCGAGAATGATTCCCTGCAGGTTTCCTACGTCGGGTCAGCCCAACCGCATAGCTATTGACCACAGCCATGGTCGACATGTCGAAATGAGGCAGACGTACCATCGTTGACGACGGTCCCTAGCTTCCCTGAGTCGAGTCCAGGAGACCACCAGATGTCCCCTCCATCAAGATATACAGTGTCTCTTATCAAGGCAGCTGCAGGCCAGGTCAGCGACGCTCCTCACCGAAAGTAGATGGCAGTGTCGTACCCCGAGGCTGTATCCAGTAGCATATACTTGTATTGATCTGATGCTGCTGCCAGTTGGTGAACTGCGCCGAGCAGGGAGACCCCCAGACGGCGAGGATTCCCAGCAGGAGACTGGCACAACACTTCATTGTCATGAAAGTGTTTACGGTGCCAGAGCTGACACCTGCGAAGATGCCAGGCAGGCCAGAAGGGGAGGAGGGTTGGCCGTACCCCAGGGTCGCCTGGACAATCGATCTCTTTGCCGCGATGGCCCGCCAGGAACTACTGTACAACGTGGAGGGAGGGGCCAAGAGAACGTGAGGCGTCACGTTGGCTCCAGATGGCGTCAAGCCGTTGCAGGCACAAACGCGATAACGACCCGAAGCCAGGTGGAAGCCACAGGACGGAGGCACCGAGGGCTGCGCTTGCGGCTTGAAAGCCTCAACAAGTATCGAACATGGCGGCTCAAACACGGGGTACCCACGAGGGGGGCGCAACTCACGGGGACGAAAAGAGAAGCACACGGACTGGGCGACATGCACGGGCAGGACGGAGCATGCGGGTCAGAACATGGTTGGGACAACGCAGAACACAATCGGCGTTCCAGCCAACCGCACGGCGTCAGCCACGGGGGAGAGGGCCTCGACAAAAGGTCTAAAAATTTCATGTGTGGTTGCCTGTCGTGCAAGGGCAAATTCCTGCTTCGGGCGTTGAAGGCAGTACACACTGTTTCCCTGTGGTTACGCTTGCTGCAACGTGCAAGGTAGCATCGCCGGCAGCAGGGTTCCGCCGTCGTGTGATGCCTCGACCGGCCGCAGCGAGAGCAAGCTGTCCATTCTGCGCAGCCCATCCGGGGCAGTGTGGCACAGGCCAGAGGAGAGGCTGTCCGCTGAGATGGGCGCGGTGTGGTTGTGATGGCAGAGCGGGGACGTGGGCGGCGCGATGCACACCAGTCTGGAATCTGAATTGTCCGGCCCTGATCCAGCCAGAGCCCTGGTCGTGTTGAAGGCCTCAGAAGGACGTGGTGGTCAGCAAGGAAGGCTTTTGCGAGACCGAGTCGGGGTGATGTGGCCGACAACCAGGCGACGGGTGGCCGTCCCGAGCCTTCAGCCGCAACCCAAAGAACCGGCGGCACCGGCCGCGGTCCAGCGAGACATGCAAGACCCCGCACGGCGGGCGATGTTGTGAGGGAAGGCAAGGATGTGAGGACTGGCGTGGGGGCCGGAGGCACCGGGACCAAGAAGGTAATAGCCGGACGAAGACGATGATCCTCCGGGCGGGCCGTGCCCGATCCTGCCTTTGCCGTCGCGGCTTTGGAGATGCTTTGTCATGTCATGTTCTATAATGAAGTCGACCCGCGAGCAGCAAAGCTGCTCCTGGCAACAAGCGCTTCCTGCCATGGCGAAAGCTGGTGAACATTGTTACACCGCCATGTCTTGTCGCGTGGCCGGATAATTCGCTCTGGAGAGCCCGGGAGAATGATGGCGGCGAGGCTGGCAATCCGCCCGACCGATGTGCCGCCGCGCCTTGTCGAGTCTTGACTGCTGCTTGGCTGCAGGGCAGGCCCGCGAGCAGGGCTGGAGTGCGGGCAAGCAAGCTGGCAAGGATGGTGAGCGAGCTGGTTGCCCAGCTGCATGTCTGACTGCAGTCGGGGAGCGTGGTGATTGCTGCGACGGGTCCGACAAGGCCCGCACGCAGCGGCCACTGCATGCCGCGTCATGCAAGTGCGCTGTGTGCGGCCATGGGTGGCCAACAGCTGGCGCCGGCTCTGGTGGCGAGACGATGCGATGCGAAGCGATGCAGGTGACGAGGGAGGCTCCCGGTGTCTGGACTCGCGTCTGGATCCGCGCAGCGCAGCACGACAGCATTGCAGAGCGCAGAGCCACTGCCGGAGTGCCCCATTGGACTGCAAGGGGCAGAGACGCTGTTGCTCGCTCGGGCCACTGCTGGGCCCTGCGCGAGCTAATAGTTGCTGCTCCTGTTGGGCGAGGCCAACAACAATAGGCGGGAGTGCGCGGCGGGCTGGCGGTGACAGTGGTGAGGCGAGTCGTGAGGGGGAGGAGGGGCGGGTTCAGTGGACGGAGGTGGTTGGCGGCGGGGAACCTTGCTTGCCTAGGCGGTTACCTGAGGTGGACGTGGACATCCCGAGCCAGGCGCGACCCATGTCACACTTGCAAGCTGCCGGGCATCCCTGGTGGAAGCGGCGGGACGAAAAAGTAGAACCACGACGGAGCAGCAACACCACTTGGGCAGCTCAAGGTCGAGCAAACCCGCAGTGTCCAGTCCAATTTGTACGGCAGCGATACGAAGGCACCCGACGGCCCTTCTGTCTCGATCAACCGCCCGCATGACTCGATCGGGCAGCACGCCGACAATGAGCTCGGAAGCGACATGCCCGCTAAAGCCGCCGCCCGCAAGGCTGAGGACGACCGGGGTGACTTGGCAGCTTGATGCCTTGGGCTCGCCAGAGCCGCTTCCGCGGGTGATCCATGTTCGTATTTTTTTCTTCCCCGTCCAGCTCGGGCACCAGTTCGCAGGCGGGTGAGACCGCCAGAGCAAGCTGGAGAGACATGCGCAACGGCGGCCGCGCCGCGGGTGGTGAGCTCCGTCCATCTGGCGGTGCATGCAACCTACGTAACTGTTACCGCTGCAGCACAGTCCAGTGTTGTTACCCCTGCCCCTGGCCGCGCCGCTGGGCTCCCGCTGCCAGGACCCTGGACCCCTGGCCCGGGCTGGCTTGGCTCGACGCCACAGCCCGTCGGAGGGTGGGTGGAAGCTTTCTAGCGGCCATCCAGTGGGCATCCAGCGGCCATCCAGTGGCCTGGCTGTTTCCCTCGGGCTTTGCCTGGAGAGGCAGCTTGCTCGGCGGCAGCCAATCGAAGGCCCTCGCTTGGCCCCCCATTGCCGTTTGTGGAACGGGCAGACAACGGGTAACCTTGGGTCCTTGGGACTTCGATCCGATGGCTGTCCCGCTCTCGGTCCACTCCAACCTCGCAACCACCCTCCGTCTGCCGGTACCAGACCACGACATCCCCATCCAGAAAGGCGACCACAGCCGTCACTGCCACCACCACTCCGCACGGCGCCCAACAGTCGACAAGCCCGCTGCTAGTTTCTCACCTCATCTGTTGGTTGCCCTTTGCCAAAGACCACCTGCTCAGCCTCGTCATCGAAACGTGGAAGGCAGGCTGAACGGTCGGCTGGGCGACTCGCGATGCCGGCAGCCCGACGTCGGACTCGACAGCAGGCCAGCTCCCCATGCTAGTGCGCCTCGTGCATGAAATCCCGGCCGGGATGGTCACCTTCTCACGGGCATTCACAGCCTGGCAGCGGCCAAGTGTCGTACGACGCTCGTCGTCCAGTGCCAAGTCCTTCTGCACAGGGCAGGCACTGCTCAACTTGGAGCGGCACACGGACCTTGAGTCCCGCCTTCACGACACACCTCCGCCCGTATCTCACTGCCTGACAAGCACGGGCCATGGCGTCTCATCTCATCTTGGAACCATCTGCCTTTGGCGCGGCGGCCGTGCGGCACCGCACCCGAGGTGACACAGCCGGGCGCAGCGAGCCGGACCATAGCCTAGCGAATGAGCAGCACGTCAGTTGCAGGACGGAGCTGTGCCACATCCCTCCCAGGTTGGCCCTCTGTTACGGCTGTGTGCGAGATCGATCTCTGCTTCTCCCCTGGCCCCTGGCCCCTGCCCATGCTCCGCGCGTCTCGGGACGATCGCTGTGTAACTTTGTGACGAACAGGTATCGTCCAGCTTGGGCAGCTGTCGAGCTTAGCGTTCAGCTGCGGACAAGTCTCTTGCCTGCGGGCCAATTGGGATATGTTTGATGCCGAGACTTGCGCGGCTTGTTCTATCTGGGCATGCCTGGCGACACTTGGCCCGACCAGCCGCCCGACGAGGCTGGGGTCGACTCGGAGAAGCAAGAAGAAGGCTACCTCCCGTGTGGATCACCGGATGTGGGTTACACCTGATGGCTGTGTGCCTCAACAGCAGCACATCAGCAAGCACACCATGCCAGGCTGCCGATTTTCGCGCACGCCACACAGTACGCACGCCTGCTCGTACCTCGTACCCCGGCATGGAATCCAACCCAAGGCGGATGCTCCGCACTCGTCCAGGAAGTCGTGATGCTGCTCGTCCACGGCCTTGTGCGCGATTGTTACCCCTTCTGGCTTCCCCTCTTCGGAAGAACAAGCTGGTCGGCCCTGTTTCTGACCGCTTCGAGCCCACCAGTCAAGGCTGGACGCCTTCATCAACACACAATCCATTGCCTGCTGATTGGGCCAGATGAAGCTTCACCTCGCCTTGTGGACATATGCCCGGATCCAAGCCACAAAGTCCTGTGACTTGTCGGACCTTTTGGAAGGCCATTCGGTGGCTGAAGTGCTGTGTTTCTCTCTTGCCCTCCTCGCCCAAGACTCGGGCAAAGAGCTCAAACAAGTCCACGTATAGCACCCCCTGTTGGCCCGGCTGCGCTCCAAGGGTCCTCGGCACCGTCGACGTGGATCGAGTGGCAGCCTCAGCCTGGGCCTGGCGCCATCTGTCGCGTTCTGTCAGGGACCCGTCTCTGAGGCCGCACGAGCCCCAGCCTCCAGGATCCATATCCTTCCTGCCCTCCATACTTATACATATCTTCGCGCAGACGCCCCCACCCATTCTTGGCTGTGTCCTGCTCCCTCCTTTGCGAATCGTAGAGTCTGGGACGCGTCTTCAGTCCAGCCAAGCTTGTCAGTGGTCTCACGCTCGCTACTGGCTACGCATTTGCCGGTGATTGTGTCCCGCGATCGCTCGTTTGGCGAGACAGTCAGTCACGATGCGTCGCTCCGTCGCTCTCTGGGCCCTTGGGGCCCTCGCCTCCCTCGTCGCGGGCTCACCCGAGGACAACGCCGTTCAGACGGGCCAGGTCGCCAGCAGTAGCCTTGTTCACCACCTCACTCAGGTCCACATGTACAGCGCTCGATGCGCCGAATGCTGCACGCTCACTTGTCCTAGCGTGATCAAGACTATTATCTAGTGAGTACCCTGCCCTCGTCGAAACAATGTAGTCATTCCTAACGCGCGTGTAGTGTGAACCAGACTGTTACTGAGAAGCAAACTGTATGTTGGCTTGCTAAACCAGAAGCGACCACTCACTCACAATGATGGATTGTTAGGTCACGGCCACGACCACGGCTACGGCTACGACCACGGCCACGCAGCACGACGTGTCAACCAAGCTTGAGTACACGACAGAGTTCCAGACCACGACAACGACGGCGACATACAAAACTGTGAGTAGCATGACCTAATAGTCGTGCGCGCCGCGAGCCACTGTTGCTAATGCTTTCCGCCTTCTCAGTCTTATCCCGTGACAGTGACCAAGACTACAAAGTGAGAAGCCCCTTCAATTTGCTGCGGCACAAAGACGAACAATTGCACCCTGCGAGCTCGTCTCTCGGCGGGCTCTGTGGGAAAATTCGGGGCTGTGCTGACCATTAATAGCTGCAAGCCGAGACCTGCGCCAACCCAGACAGGGTACAAGGTGAAAGCTCGTGATCTAGATGAGCGAACCGATCACTGGTGCGAGACTGTCACGACGACGGAATGGAAGACTACCACGACCACCAAGGACGTCACGGTCATCAAGTCGTCGGTCACCACGAAAACGGTGCTCGTGCCCACAACCGTCGCGGTGCCCACGACAATTGAAGACACGGAGACGGTCACGCAGGTCCGCACGACTTCAGAGACAGTCTGGGTGCCCACGACGTATACGCAGACGACAACATACTCGACCACGTACCCAGTCACGGTTACACGCGATCATACGGTAGTGACTACCAGCGTCGCCACCGAATACATCACAACCGTCTCCACGTATACCACCAGCGTGCCGGTGGTGACGGAGGTGACCAAAGTTGTGACGCAGACAGCAACCGTGACCGCGCCGGGCCAGGACACGACCGTGACCTTGCCTGGAGAGACAAAGACGCTTCCTGGAGAAACGAAGACGCTTCCGGGAGAGACCAAGACGCTTCCGGGCCAGACCGTCGTCACCACAGTCACCACATCGCTGCCAGGACAGACCGTGACGGTCACCAAGGACGGCCAGACAATTACGACCACGCTACCCGGCACGACTGTAGTCACGACGACGACTGTGGTGATTGGGCCAACGACAGTCACTGTTCCCGGTGGCACGGCCACGGTCACGTCAGTATTCGACGTCACGCTCTGCCCGTCGCCAACTGGTGCTACGAAGCCGCTGCCGACGGACTCCGACCTGACCTTTGGCTGCAAGCCTGGGTACGTGTGCAACCCGCCCAAGCCCAAGGGGTGCAACTTGTGGCCCGACCCTCCCAGCAAGGACTACGTTTGCAATCCTCAGGAATGTATCCCGGCCCCGGCATTCAAGAAGGTCACTTGGCCGCCGAACGAGACGTCCTACTACCCGCCTCAGGATGGCTACTTCAACCTGAACCCAGAAGCCTTCGGCCTGTCCTACGACATCTTTGACTACAAGCTGTGTGAGAAGGTCATCAATGGCCACAAGACGACGATTACAACTGGAAACTGGCAGTCCCAGGCTAGTCTTTCGCAATGGCCGAAGCCGTCTGCCTCACCATCCGGCTATGACAAGCATCGCCGCGAGCTCCACACGTTGAACAAGCGCGCAATCACGCCCGGTGTCTGCTTCGCCGACTGCAACAACGCTTGGGTGATTGCTCAGTCCATTGGCAAGACGGATGCGCTCTGCAAGGCTGGATCCGACTTCCAGCAGGCCTACGCCATCTGCGCGAAGTGCGTCACCGACAACGAGAAGGACATCAAGGGCACAATCCGTGACTATATCGGGCCCGAGTTTGCTCAGTACCTCGACTATTGCTCCGGCTCAGGAACCAAGCCGACGTCAAGCTCCGCCTCGGCGCCTGACAGTGCAGTCACGTCGCAGCCGTCTGTCGGAACGAGCAGCCAGCAGGCGACAAGCAGCGGCGATTTCACTCCCATTTCTCCTTCGTCAACGCCGAGCGCGAGCTCGACGACCACGCCACCCTCGTCGACACCATCATCAACCTCGACGCCTCAGTCGTCGTCGCCTGCCACATCTGCTACGTCTGACACATCTGTGTCTGAATCGTCACCATCGCAGACTGGGCCAGGGTCCACTGGGTCCTCGGCCTCATCAGGTAGCGCCTCTTCATCCGCTCAGAGCACTGCTGAAGCAGTGAGCCCCTCGCTTACCACTAGCACAGCTGCATCGCAGACTGGGTCGGCATCAGCTACTTCGGGGGGTCAGCAGAGCTCAACGGACACTGGGGGAGACAGTGAGCCGACTGGGACTTCTAACGAGACCTCTGCTCCCGGAGGAGGTGGCTTCCACCTCACTTCGCCGTCCACGCCCTCGGGCACGGGCACGGACTCGATTACGGGCACAGGTGGAATCACTACCACAGGGTCGCCCCCGGTGGTGACGGCCGGTGCACATGCGATCAGCGCGAGCAACACCGTCTTGACGGCAGTCGTCGCTGTTGTCATGGCTCTTATCGCTTGAGCCTGAACCTGCGACGATGAAGCCGCGCTCAGGGTCAATCTCTGTTCACGACTATCCTTGATGACTGTTTATCCTAATTAATAATGGCGAGCAATGAGCAGTATGATGCAGGCGCTAACGGCAGCGACCATGTTCTTATCGTGTAGGGAGGGATCTGGTGGCAGTTTGTAGATACCCCCGATACCAATGAAGGCACTTCTTGGGGGTCATTGTGGTGGTGGCGGCGAGCGAGAGCGGGAGTGGGCGGTTGACCTCGCAGACGGCAGCATCTTGCGGAGTACGACACCTGGCTCATCCCTTTCGCGAGGAGTAGCACAAAGCAGTGGTACCACAGTTCATTCGGAATACATTCATACATTTCATGACGCTGGAATCCTGTGTCTCGTATTCGACTGTCCGCGCTATTGAGACGGGCCTACAACTCCACGGCAAACAGACCCGTCATTGCTTCGCTGGACCGTACACTACGTTACTTGGTAAATGTTTGCCAGATCAGGTCATGATTCTGTACGTCGTATCACTGGGTTATTGACGTGCTGCTGCTTGCTTCGACGCAGCAAACAAGCGGCGATGCAGCCACCACGCCCGTATCTGACTGGCCTATAAAATCGAGCTCTCGTCGCTGGGCCAGTGTCGATTCCTCAGCGGGACTCACCTACACAGTTCCCGGTCACTTTAGCCGTCGTCACCGCCGTCCTCGTCAAGCCTCCTCTACACGGCCCCGGCCAGCAGTCTACAGTACTCAGCTGGCCTCTCACGGATGATGGGAGGCGCGATGTCCGGCTACCAAGACAGGTAGTTGGGACGTCTCTACGGCCCTTTTGCACCAGTACCTCCGGCCTTACTCTCCGTCAAGCTAGCTACCCAGATGGGTTTTGCTATTGTCGTTTGTTCGTCTTGTGACTGACGAGGGTTTTCTGAAAAGCCGGCTCGTACGCCGGCATGTTACAGTACCCCCCCAGCGCGGGCCTTCCTCGTGGAGAAGCCGGTCGGCGATGAACCGCGGGGGACGAGGATGCCCATAATAGGCATAGATGAAGACGCCCAACTCGACTCCCCCTTCCTTCATCCCTCCACAAGAAAGGGAAAGGAAAGAGGAAGAGCAAGAGCAAGAGAAAGCCACACAGCCAGAGCACCGGGAAGACGACGACAACGCTCGTGCGGCATGCCCGTCTCGTGTCATTTCATCGCGCCGCGTCGCGTCGCGGACGGCAGGTTTACTTCATCGGCGCTCGGATTCGGGATCCCGTCTCGGAACCCGACAAGCGGCAGTCTGAGCGGAGGAAAAGAAGAGCCTAAGCGACAGACGGGCACAACGACCGGCGGAGGAAGGCGCCTTCAGCAAGCGGGCACAGTACACGCGGCAAAGCTTAGCGCCGGTAGTTACAAAGAGCCGCTTCGTCGCCGTACGATAGGCTGCTTCTTTACCCGAGATACGCTCGGCATTACTTGCTGGGGCCGAGATATGAGGACGTGGAGAAGAAGAGCAAGAGTGCGCGTTAGTAGAAGATGAAGTTGGCGGCCCCGGTGGGAGGACTTTGCGCTTGAGGGGGCGCACGAGCGTCGAGGGCCAGGGCGATGCTGGAGTATCAGGCTGCCATGACGGTGCTGGCGCCCGAGGACGTGCTCAACATCGCGCTCTGTTACGGAACAAGATGAACGAAATAGAACTTCCTGTAATGTCGGACGGAGCGCGACCTGTCCTCTCAGGAGATCATACAGCTACCTACTACTTGAGATACAGCTCCAAATGCAAGCAGAAGATAACGAAATGAATGGCACACGGAACTGGGTGCACGACCGGCACGGGCTCAATGTCTTCGACTATTTCCAGTATCCTGTCATGATTCTAGGAATGAAGTCCTTGACCCTCTTTGACCCAGTGCATGACACGACTGGCACGATGCACCCTGATAACCATCCCTTGCAACACCTCGTATTTACGACTCCCAGCACATATACGAGTACTCTCGACAGAAATTCGGACCCCGTACGTACGTCTTTCGGTATCTGCGAAATTGGACGGTATATCAGACTGATCCCTGACAACAATAGGAACACTAAGGCGGTGCGCTCATGAGTCGTGCCTCGACTCGACTCGGCATATAGGGGCCCGCAGTGGCTACTCCCAGAGTCCCAGCCCTGCCTGTGGAATTTTGCAGGGCCCCGTGAATCCGTAGTGGCTCGGCGCATGAACCAGATGACCTTTTATCAGATGTTTTGTGAGCTCCGCCGCGCTTGAGCGCGACTCGTGCGCAAGATGATGTGGGTTGGAAACCCTCATGCTGAAGGATTTGCTCCGGTGCGGTTGGAAGAAAGTTGGCGTTCATGCAGGCGAGGGTTCAATGTTCTTGGGAGTGTCACTCTCGCTACGGGCTTGGCGACATGTCACGCTGACTTGACATGCATGCATCGAGCAAGCGACGATGGGACCGCCATGGCTCAGACCAAGACGATGAGTCGGCGGGCGAGCTTGGCGCCTTTATGCTGCAATCAACCCAAAGGCACTGAGCGACTTGACAGCTGGGCGAAAGCTTGATCCACGTACTTATTACGAGTCTATGTCGTCCACCAGCTGTCCCCCTTTGTCACGATCCTTAGTTTCTGAGCCGAAAGCATCAAGTTTCGACAACGCCCGACGGGAAACATGAAGTCCGCCGCCCTTCTTCTCAGCCTCTGGGCCGGCCTCGCGGCTTCCAACCCCGTCAGCAAGCGACAAGGCGCACCGACAAGAGAGCAGCTATGCGTCGACTTCGACGGCGACTTCAAGGCCTGCGAGCTGCAGGTGCGGAGTTGCGCCGCCGACTTGCAGAGCAAGGGCCAGGGCTTCACATGGGATGGCATCATGGAGTGTTTCCGAGAACGCCACCACGGCCAGCAGCAGGGTAATGAGAAGGGACAGCCTGCGTTCAAGGCGGATATTCGCGTCGACACGAATCGGGACGGCGTCGTGGACGTGCAGGGCGAGACGGATGTGCAAGGCAAGGACGCGTGGACAGAGACATCTGGCGCCATCTTTCTCGCCAATATAGGTGACTCGGGCGGCAGGTGCAAGAAGCTTGCTGAGGGTCAAGGCCCTGCGGCGATGATGACGGAAACGCTCAGCCTGTGCCACGATGCGTCCGACGATGTGCAGAGGGCTCCTCAGTACATGGCACCTATACGAACGGTTCCTATTTCAGGCCTGAGCGACTCGGCTACGGGGACGGTCACGGTTCCGGATGATACTGCGCGTGCCATGGTTCGCATATTTCGACAGGTCGGCGACGAAGGAGGCTGGGAGATTGTCAAGGACACGACCGTCTTCTCTGCGAGGGAGGTTGCACAGGGTCTTGTCCTTGGCATAGATGCCCGCGACACGCGACGTGCCAACGGCTGGGACGGCCGCGTGCGCATCGACTACACCGTCCGTGACGGCGCCGCCATCTCCAAAGACAGCGTGATGCTCCGCGTCGCCCCGGTCCTGCTCCAGCACTACCTCCAGCCCGTCACCGAGGTGTTCTTGTCCTCCTTACCCGGGATAGGCCCCTGGGCGCACGCCGTCGCCGCGATGCGCCGCGGCGTCGAGGCCAGCATGCGCAAAGCCGGCATCGCGAAGCCGGTGCAGCAGCTGCCCACCGACGACCCCTGGGCGCAGGACGTCTTCGAGCCCGGGTACACGAGCATGCCCGGGCCCGACGGCTCGTCCGTCTCGCTGCGCGTCATGGTCGAGGGGCGGCGCAACTTCCGCAACGCCGTGCGCCTCATCTACTCGCGCCTGCGCGGCGATGGCGTGGGGGGTTTGATCGCCGCGCCGCGGAGGAACCCCCGCGGCGTGGACGACACGTTCCAGGCGGGCGGCAACATTGAGACGATCCCGCCGTACGCGCACAACGGGAGGAACTATTCGAGCGGGCGCATCGTCATGGGCGGTGGCGAGGAGGGCAGCGGGGTGTTCCCGCGCGCGAGGGACTTCTTCGCCGCGCAGGAGATGCAGGACCCCCTCGTGCTGGACACGGCGTGGCTCTTCGTCGGGCACGTCGACGAGGTGATCCAGTTCCTCCCCACGACCGCGACGCCCCGCGGCTGGAGCGTCGTGGCCGTCGACCCGGAGCTCGGGCTGAAGCTGCTGCGCGCCGCCCAGCGCGACGGCCACGGCGGCGTGCCCGTCATGTCGCGGGGCGGCGAGGCGAAGATACACCCGGGCTTCCACAGCCCGACCATTGACGAGTTCCTCGCCACCGAGTCGAACCTCGAAGCGGCCGAGGCGTGCGGCAAGCGCATGGCCGCCAACATTGAGCTGCTCAAGCGCGAGACGGGCGTCGCGGACGATGAAATCTTTCGCGTGCCAGCCCTCTTCGGTGAGGCGGCGCACGTGGCGGCACATATCCGCGGCAGCGCCGCGAAGCCGCCGAAGACAACGAACCGGATGGGCACAGCGCCTGGCGAGGACGAAGACGCGGACGAGGGCGCAACGGGCCCAGAGGCGGACATCCTCCAATGGGTCGACCTTCACGGCCCCGCGGCGCAGCCAGAAAGCACCACCGGCAGCGACAGCGACTCAGACAACGAAACGCGAGACGACCTCCTATCAAACCGCTTGCTGCGGAAGCAGCAAACCCCTCCTCCCCGACGCACCACCTACGACTCCTGGCTCCCCAGCCTCGTCAACGGCGTGTGCCTGACCCCCACGCGCTACCTCGCCCCCAAGCCCTTCGGCCCCGTCGTCTTCCGCGGCCAGGACATTTTCCAGTACTACGCGGCGCGGATGTACGAGCGGGCGGGGTTCAGCGACGTCGACTTCCTCGACGACTGGCTTTTCCACACGAGCAGCGGGGACTTGCACTGCGCGACAAACACCTATCGCGACGTCTCGGCGCCGTGGTGGTAGATGGTGGGTGACCCACGCTTTTAACCTCACGACTGCACGGCAGAGAGGGCCGCGTGGGTGCTTTGGACCTCGGATTTCGCAGCTCTGTACATTGTACAATTGTAGTAACTTTAGAACTCTCAAAGATGCTCTGGAGGGAAACTACGGCTTGCGTAACCTTGTTAATATGCCCGTGATTCAACATCTCAATACTAGCTGTAGGGTAAGTGTATATACTACGGTCAATCACGATAGACGAGCGCGCAAAGGTGAAAATGTGACACGCACGTTGCTCCTTAAAGACACCTGTAAACACCCAGCAGCAGTGAGTTTTGACAGTCGAAGAGGTATGCGGGCAAGATGCCGATTCAATCAAATAGATAATCAACGCCCCAGTCCCAAATCACGCATCCGTTGCTATGGCCCGCAAACAGTCTATCCTTGACATCCAGCCCTTTAATCAACCGAAAGCCCCTCGAGCACGTTCATTGCCCTCGTCCCCTCCCGCTCAAACTCATTGACTATGGCTTCGCACTCGTGCTTGAGCTTCTTCTCTGCCTCGCCGGCATTGAAGTAGATCCACTCCTCCACCGTCATACCCTTCTCGGGGCTCGTGAGCTCCTTGCCTTTGTTCAGCAGCCGCCCGACAGTGTTCTCCTTGTCTACGCTGACCCGCGGTGTGCCCAAGACAGCATCGAGGTCCACGGCCGTCCAGGGCGTGCTGCTCTGAAGACCCGCGAGAACGTTTCGCTTAGACGGCGAAGCGTGCAGGGGCGTGGCCGCCATCGGCGCGAGGGGTATTCTCTTGGCCTTGACGCTCGTTGCGGGCTTGGATGATGGGGGCTGGTTCTCGGCATCGGACGACTGGGGCGACGGCGACGGAGAAAGCGCAGGCTGTTTCGCTGAAGGCGCGGGGGAGATGACCTTGGCTGGGGTCGACGGCGGCTGAGCGAGGCTTTGCGCCGGTGCCCGTGCTGGTTCGTCCTCCCTCACCAGCGGCAGGCTCTCGGGCTCCTCGGCGGCAGGTAACTCCGGTTCGTCAGCCGTAGTGACAATGTCGACCTCATCATTCTCCTGTTCTTCGACGTTGGGCGTCGGCTTAGGAGCGTCGACTGACTCCCTCGGTTTCTTTGGGGGACGGCCACGGCCGCGCTTAGCAGGAGCCTCTGCGGGTTTGGCCTCGTCCGCCATGGTAGAGGATTGCGACGCCAGAGATGCCTTGGAAGGGCGGCCTCGCCCGCGCTTTACCGGTTGCTCCGTCGCTTGAGGTTGTGGCTTCTCGAGGGCCTCAGTCGCCTCAGCCTCCGCCGAAGCTTGAGAGGCAAGCGACAGCTTTGAAGGGCGACCCCGTCCCCGCTTCACAGGTGGTTTAGCTGAAGGCTCAGCCAAGACATCGACCGACTCCTGGGATGCTTGAGATGCAAGCGAGAGCTTAGGAGGCCGTCCACGGCCCCTCTTGGGAGCCGCTGTTGCAACCGCCTCCTGTTCCGGCTCCTTTTCGGGCTCCGGCTCCGGGTTCTTGACCACGGTGTCGGTACTTCCGATACTGATGTCTTGGGGCTCCTCAGCCGGCTTTTGAGCAGGCTCCTCGACATGTTGATCCGGAATCTCGGGTTCCTCAGGAGGAGGAGACGCGGCCTTTGTCTTCTTCGACTTGACTTGCTTCGACGCCTTGCGGGTTCCAGCTTTACGCCCCTTCTTCGGTACCTGTAACTGCTCTGGCTCTGGTTCAGGTTCCAGCTCAACTTGAGGCTCGGGCTCGGGCTGGTGCTCGTATGCTGGCTCCTCAACAGCCATCTCCTTCTGCAACGCCCGCAGCTCCTCCTCCACGTCGGCATCGTCGGCCTCGGCCGCAGCGGGGGCAAACATGGCATAGTCCGTCGACTTTCTGGCGGCGGCGCTCATGCGGCTCCGGTTCGCTTCGGACTCGGAATCGTGAGCCAGCTCGTCGTCGCTCCATGCCCTGGCGAGATCAGCCTCAAGCTGGCGCTCGATCTCCTCGTCATCGGGAAACTCTTCAGGCGGTCCCCTCAGCGATGCCATGGACGCGGTAGACACTGTCGAGATGATTCTGGACTTGGCATTTGACGACTTTTTGCGGGCACCGGCTTTTTGAATGGGGGCAGGGGCGTCAATCATTTCGCTATCGTCGGGAATGACCGTGGAAGCATCTGTCAGGGTACTGCTCCGAGTGCGTGTGGCTCGCTTCTTGGGTGCTGGGCCCTCGGAGACTAAGAGCACCGAGGATTCATTCATGGCGTCGCTTGTTCGTTTCTTCCCACGGGTCGTCTTCGCTGGCTTAGGCGGAGAGATCACGGGCTCAGGTTCGGGCTCTGGAACAGACTCGACAACTGGAGGATCCGCCTTCTTCGACTTGCTGCGGCTGCTCTTTGCGGCGGCGCCCTTGCGCGCCTTCGTCTTTCGCCCCCCTTGTGTCATGGTTGAGGCAGTGGTGAGAACGCTGTCCTCGACCTCTGCGGTCGCGTCTGCTGCGGACCAGGCCTCGGAGGCTACGGTTGCAACGGACTGGCCGGACAAGCGGGAGGCCTTGGACCCGCGGGCGGCCTTGCTTCGGCTGGTCTTCTTCTTAGGGCCGCCAAATTGGGCAGACAGCGCGAAGAAGGCGCAGCCAGGGGCTCGTCGGTAATGTTCGTCACTTAGGAGGGTTAGCTGCTCATGTTCAGTTGACCGGGGGAGGCAAGTGGTGCTCACTAGGGCTTGTCATTTCGCTCCCAGCCGTCGAGTGCCAGGTCGCAATATGCGCATGTTGTCATGTCGTCGTACTCGAGGGAAGGAGTGTATTTCCAGCCGGCCTCGGCGAGCTTCAGAGGCAAGTCAGTACCTTGGGCAGAAGCTACGTCGGGGCGGAATGGAGGCTCACCTGCTTGGTCTTGCACTTCCACCCCTTCTTTCCCTCGTGCGGCCATCGGCCACCAAACGTGGCCTTGCGCGCATCGAGTATGTAGTCCTGGTTTGGGTCTTCCCTGCTATAGTCACCGACCTCGGCCTCGATGGCAGCCATGATGGCCCAGCCGCAGCCAGGCATGTGGTTGAGGTGCTCGAGGATGGGGTCGTCGCCGGCCTCCCAGCCGTCGAGGCCTTTGTCGCAAAGGTAACAAACAACATTGTCGGTGCTGTCGGGGCTCGGGTCGAAGTAGAAACCGGCCTTGGCAAGCTGCGCCGGGGAGTCAGAATCAGAGAGAGAGTATACGGAGAAGGCGTAGGGGCGCGTACTCTTTCGTGAGTAATCTGCTTGTGCGGCCAGTTGAGCGCCTTGCCCCGGCCGCCGGCGGTTGACCCGCGTTTCTTGGTTGTCTTTTGGAAGGATGCAAGACGCGCCTCGTAGGCAAAGTAGCGGTCGGCGTCTGAAGATGCCATGATGATGCTATTTGCCTTACGCAGGGGCTGCGCAGGCTCCGAGCCGATTGAGGTGTCGCTGATTTGAGGCGATGGAGGATGGATCTTGGACGCGGCAGGCGCGACGCGGCGGACGGATCGTCTAGCAGACCATGCGTGTGGCGATTGATGGGGTGAGACGGGATGCGATGCGATGCAAATAAAGCCAGAACAAATAATTCAAACTTCGACACCCGGCGCACTTGACACGTACGAAGCACCGAATCCGACAGTCAATGTGGTGCGAAACGGCGGCGATGGGCGAGATGTGGTGGTGGGCCAGGAAGGTAAGGTATGCGCGGGTCCAAGGTTTGGATGGAGTTGAGCCATCGCGTTTGTTTACTTGGGGGACGTGTGGGGCCGCATGCGCCAGCTCTCCAGTCTCCGACGCCCGCCCGCCCGCGCGCCACAACCTGGAGCTGCCTGGCCCACCACCCCGAGCTTCAGCAAGCACACGAGGACACTCTCATGCATGTGCCTGCAATCTTTCTGTACAGAGTACATAAACTGGTATTTCGTATCGATTTGCTCAGCTCGGCGAGCATTGCTTTTCTGCCTAGCCCATCCTACATAGAACCCGCGTCTATACTGGTAGTTGCAGCGCTGGACCAAAGCCTCAACCCGCCAGCGCCTTCAATCTGCCCAAAAATGCTGCGCGCACTCTTGCTGCTCCCCAATGACATTGATCATGCTATGCCTCACAGCTTCTCCGCCTCCCGCAGCGCCTTGTCACCGTCGACAAGCACGCACCAGCCGTCGTGGCCGCGGCCGCCGTCACCGTAGACGACCGACTCAAACGCGCCGTCCGCGAGCGCCGACTTGAGCACGGCGTCGTCAAAGGTGCCCGGCTGCAGCCAGATGCCCGGGATGCCCAGCTTCTTGGCCTCCTCCAGCACGCCGAGGGTGACGGCGGGGGCCGTGATGATGGACACGGACGTCTTCTTGGGCTCGGGCAGCGCAGACAGGTTGGGCGCCGTGGCGTAGTCCTTGCCTCCCACGCTGACGCTCGGCGAGCCCGGGTTGATGGGCGTCACGTTGAGGCCGCGGTCGAGGTACCAGGCGTGCACTGCGGTCGAGAGTCAGCAGCTCGGCATCTCTATCATCGATGAGATGCCATGGGGCGTAGGATGCGCCAGGTCGCTTACCCTTGTGGCCGAACTTGGCCGGGTTGGAGCTCGCCCCGACGACGGCAAAGAGGGGCGAGGAGAAGAACCTGCGCGCGGTAGCTTCGGTGGCCATCTTGGGCTTTGGGTCGGTTGCTCGGACCGGGATGTAGATGTGATTTGCAATGGAGGGGACGTCAATGGCCGGCGCAGTGATGCTCTGCGGCGTCGTCGAGCAGGCGGCGGCGGCGGATTAGTTATATCTCGGCGCTCAGTGACGGCATGCGCCGGCGGACACGCGGGGTTCCGAGGCTTGCCCAGCGCTGCTCCGACCCAATGGCGCAACCCCGACGTCGGCGCCGAGACCTCCAGCGACAGCGAGCGAGCCGCCAGGCAGGTTCGCGGCTATAACGTTGGCTTAGTACGTTAGTTGACGGCACTCCGGCACGGGGGCAGCGCTCTCATCAATCGGTGATGGCGTCGTCCGCGACACGAACCCTGCCATTGGCATGTTTGCTTGATTCTTATATATTGACTCGACCCTCTGAATGAGCAGCTCCTGCCACCACGCTCGTAGCATCTGACCATGAGTCGCTAACAATCATGTCTCTATTTGGGTGAGTCTCCCTCCCTGCCGACCGCCAACAATGCAATGTTTCATTATTGTCACAGCACTGTACAGTATTGACGAGTTGGGCATCGACAGAAGAGCAACCTTCTCCGCAGCTGGCTACGCGGCGGCACGGCCAACGTATCCCGCAAGCCTGTTCCGGACCGTGCTGTCGTACCACCATGCGCAGTCCGACCAGGGCACGCTGCTCGACCTGGGCTGCGGCCACGGCCTCATCGCGCGGGAGATGAGCCCGCACTTTGCCAAAGTCGTCGGCCTCGACACGAGCGCCGGCATGGTGAAGCAGGCCGCGTCGACCACCGACGACCCCAAGGTGTCCTTCCGCCAGGGCGGCGCCGAGGACCTCTCGTTCCTGGCCGACCGCTCCGTCGACATGGTCGTGGCCGGCCAGTCGGCGCACTGGTTCGACTACGCCCGCGCCTGGCCGGAGCTGGCCCGCGTCGTCAAGCCGGGCGGCTCGCTCGCCTTCTGGGGCTACAAGGACAACGTCCTCGTCGGGCACCCGCGCGCCAACCGCATCTTCGACCGCTTCTGCTACGCCGAGGGCGCCGACGTCGCGGCGCCGGGCGTCGAGGGCATGAACGCCTACTGGGAGCAGCCCGGCCGCAACAAGGTCCGCAACCTCCTCCGTGAGGTGACGCCGCCGGCCGCCGAGTGGCGCGACGTGCGCCGGGTGCTGTGCGACGTCGGGAGCGAGGTCTCGGCCGAGGAGCTGCCGGACGCGGAGACGGCGTGGATGCGGAAGCGCATCAACCTCGGCCAGCTCGAGGCATATGTCCGCACGTTTAGCGCATTTCAGGGCTGGAAGGACGCGCACCCGGAGGCGCGGAGCAGGGCCGACGGCGGGGACGGCGACCTGGCGGACGTGCTGATGGATCGCATCGTCGAGTCGGAACCGTGGTGGAGCGCCATGGGCGACGCGTGGAGGGACGCCGAGGTCGAGACGGTCTGGGGCACGTATATACTCATGGCGAAGAGGCGATGATGATCGCTGGGAGCCTTGTCCAAGCTGCTGTCGCCTCGCTCCGTCACATGCGAAATGCAATTACGAGTAATGGTGGCGGTAGTTGGTGGTCCGCGCCGGTTGTGATTGCCGTGTCTTTGCTCACCGCATCTTGATGAAGCATCGCGAGGACCAGGGGCCCGCGCTTTGCATAAACCGCCGCACAGCCCCCGCGACGGTGGCATAAAATAGCTTCATCCCGGCGCCATTGGCTGCGGCACTCTCCGGCCGCCGTGCACAACTGCCCGTTGCCCCGGCAGTCAGGGCCAAGAACCAAGGGACCCCCCAGCAGTTCAGGTCGGGCCATGGCCGTGTGTGTGTGTCATGGGACCGTGGGGCGGCCTGCGTCTCAGGAAAAAGGACAAGGCCGTTGTTGACCTCCTGGTCCTTTTCCTTCTTGTCTCCTGCATCAACACCACGACCCGAGCAGAAACCCCCATCATCGCGAAGTCTTTTTTTCGCCCTCCAGCAATCACCCGCCCTTTGTTCGAGCCTGAGCTGCCGTGCGAGCGAGCTCCATCAGCAGCACAGAGCGCTAGCGTCCACTGTCTGACCAAAGCCAGCGCCCAGGGAGACCGAAAATGGTGAGTTGCCCCAGCACCCGCCGCCGCAGTAAACAAAGAGCCCCGCGAGTGTCCGATTGCGGCGACGTGATTCGCCAGCACAGCGCCCGCAGCGACGCAACCACCCCCTTCTCCTTGATTCGAACGGTCGCGCGCGCTGCCGCCCAAACCAAAGGCCGCCGCGCCCCTCGAACGCCTGCCGCCGCATCATCATCACCATCATCCACATTCCTCGTTGAACGTCGCGTGGCCTTCTCTCACACTCGCTCTCGCACGAAAACCGCAATCGCGCATCTCCCGCAACAATGGCTTCTAACAATTACGACTCGCAGGCCTCGACCAACTACAAGGAGGCGTTTGCGCTGTTTGACAAGCGCGGCAACGGCCGTGTCACGGTCGACAGCCTGGGCGACCTGCTGCGCGCGTGCGGCCAGAACCCGACGCTGGCCGAGATCCAGGACCTCGAGAAGAATGCCGGGAGCGACTGTAAGTTTTTCTCACCCTTTTCCGCGCTGCTTGGTGGTGGTGGTGCGCGCGGAGAGGAGAGGAGCACAGATGGGCTGACCTTGGGCGGCGATCCGCGCAGTCGACTTCGAGACGTTCCAGCGCATCCTCAACCGCCCCGGCGGCTTCCGCGACCCCGGCGAGCCCGAGGAGTACTGCCGCGGCTTCCAGGTCTTCGACAAGGACATGACGGGTTTCATCGGTGTCGGCCAGCTCAAGTACATCCTGACCAACCTCGGCGAGAAGATGACGGACGACGAGGTCGACGAGCTGCTCAAGGCCGTCGACACGAGCTCCGGCCAGGTCAACTACACCGGTACGTCATGCGCTGAGCCTCTCGCGCGATGTGTTTGCTGTAGCGGAATTGCTAACGCGCGTGGACTTGGCAGACCTTGTCCGGACCATTCTCGCCAACTGAGCGGCCGAGCGGCAGGAGAACTCCTTTGACGAAAGATGAACGGTTGAAACGCACAGACAGACACCTCTCGGTTACGATGCATCTGCGGGACGGAAACGGCGTTGTTTTTACTTGGGTGCACACCATTTTGAGCTTTTACGCACCTGTACAAGGAAGGGACTTGGGTTTGGTGACTATGCGTGGGCGCCAGCCGGCGATGGAGGAACGACGACGAGGGGAGAACGGGTAGACAGTGTATGGATACGTATTTACATGGCCGGATGGCATGGCGGCTCATGGCAAGCACACGATGTGCTTGAGGCATCATAGCAGGCAGAACAAGACTTGTGCAATTGCCACGTAACACTGGAATCTACTGGTGACGCCTGTCAAAGGATTTGTGGCCGGCTTTGGCTAGCGATGTGCCGTCCTTCCGCCTAGACTCGCGATTACGTATCGGGGTCTACACCATGGTCGTTTGTGGTGCAGTAGACGGGATCTTTTGAGAGCACGAGAGAAGCATAGCCCTGTTCCCGGCACTCGGGCATGGAGGAGGCAGCAGCCCAGCGGGGTCCGAGTGTTCGCCTGATGTTATTGCAACAGTGGCCCCAGCGCCCCCATCGGACAACCTGGAACCCGCCCAGCGCTTCCACCCCCGGCCTCACCGGGCACCTGCCCTGCTAGGGAGCTCCAGTGGACCGCGTGTCCACTCAGACCAGCTTCACCAGAGCCCCGTCTGGCAGGTCCCTGCATCATCATCACGAGACAGCTCCCCAATCCTTTGCTTCGACTCAATTCACTCGCTCGCCACTCACCTTGGACACACCGACGTCCCGCTCCTGCAGCTGCAGCGCTTTTGCCTTGCCTAACCGCCGTCGCCTACCACCAGCCCGCCGCACGTCTCGGCACCTGCAGCTTGTCCGTCCCGCAGCCTCCATCCCACCTCTGCCCACCTCCGCACCGCCAAGCTGGACAGGCGGCTCCGGGTCTTAAAGCCCCTCCCCCTCATCTGCATCTCGCTGCTTGTCCTCGTCCTCGCCGCCACGCTGGCTTCCCAACGCGCACTCCCTCGTCTTGCCTCTCTCGTTAGCCACTTCTCTCTCCGAGCTCGACCGGCGCCGTCGACCTTTCGGCCCTTGACTACGAGCACCATGGCGGGCCCTCAGTATCAGACCCCGCCACAGGCGCCGCCCGTGTTTACGGCCACGCCAGACTCGATCCTGGCCGACACCAAGAAGCTCAATGAAACGACCAAGGGCGTTTACGACAAGGTGGTGGCCGAGGTGCAGCCTTCCAATGCCACGTTTGCAAACGTCATGGAGCCCATCCTGCTCGACGACAACAAGGCGGCTGCTCCTAAGAGGATCATGACCTTCTACCAGCACGTCTCAGCGGATGCTCCCCTCCGAGAAGCCTCCAACAAGGCCGAGGAGATCCTCGACGACTTCATGATCGATCTCAAGATGCGAGAGGACATCTTCAAGCTCGTCGATGCCGCATACGGCACCCGCGAGTCCCAGAAGCTCGAGACCGAGCCCCTGCATGTGCTGGAGAAGGAGCGCCAAAAGTACATCCGAAACGGTCTGCTGTTGCCCGCTGGCCCCCAGCGTGACCGGTTTAAAGAGATCCAGAAGCGCCTCAGCCAGCTGTGCATTCAGGCCCAGAAGAACCTGAACGAGGAAAAGGGTGCCATCTGGTTCACCCCGAAGGAGCTCGAAGGCGTGCCTGCCGATGACATTGACGTCAACGAGCTGGAGAAGGGCACTGGCGAGAACGAGGGCAAGGTGAAGCTCAGCTTCAAGTACAACCACTTCTTCCCCATGATGAAGTATGCCGTCCATGAGGAGACTCGGCGCACCTATGTCATGGCCGAGGCGAACAAGGTCTGTCTGTACTCGACCCCGAGATGCGGACGCAGGCCACCCTAGACTAACATGCCTTTTAGTGTACCAACAACGTGCCCCTGTTCCAGGAGATCATCACTCTGCGCGACGAAGCCGCCCGCATGCTTGGCTACGCCGACCACGCCAGCCTCCGCATCGAGACGAAGATGGCCAAGACCCCGGCCACGGTCAATGAATTCCTCGGCGACTTGCGCAAGCGTCTCGCGCCTGGTGGCGTCAAGGAGGCAGACCGTCTGCTCGAGTACAAGAAGGACGACTGCGAGAAGCGTGGCGCTTCGTTCGACGGCAGTCTCTACATGTGGGATGTACCCTACTACTCGCGTGTCATGAAAGAAAAGGAGTACAGCGTCGACGAGGTCGAGATCTCGCAGTACTTCCCCGTCGAGTCTACCTTTGCCGGCATGCTCAAAATTTTCGAGGAAATCTTTGGATTCGTCTTTGTCGAGCTAAAGGAAGAGGATCGAGCCAGGCTAAGCCCTACTGGCAAGGCTGAGGACATTGTGTGGCACGAGGAGGTCAAGGTGTACACTGTTTGGGACGACGAAGCGGCCGGCAGTGGTTTCTGCGGCTACCTGTACTTGGACCTGCACCCTCGCGACAACAAGTATGGCCACAACGCCAACTTCAACCTCGAGCCCGGCTACATCAGGAACGACGGCAGCAAGAACTACCCCGCTACGGCACTCGTGTGCAACTTTAGCAAGCCGTCGCCGACCAAGCCTGCTCTGCTCAAGCACCACGAGGTTGTTACGCTCTTCCACGAGCTCGGCCATGGCATCCATGACCTGGCCGCCCGCACCCGATACAGCTACTTCCACGGCACGTCTGTCGTCGATGACTTTGTCGAGGCGCCATCGCAGATGCTTGAGAACTGGTGCTGGACCCCCAGCGTGCTCAAGTCCCTGTCGCGGAGATGGGACACCAACGCCCCGATCCCTGACGACATGGTTGAGCGGCTTGTGAAGACAAAGAACTTCAACTCGGCGACTGCGACCCTCACGCAGCTTCTCTATGGCCTCTTTGACATGACCATTCACACCCCCAAGTCCCACGACGATATCAAGACGATGCATGTCGGTCGTCTGTGGAACCAGCTCCGCCACGACATTTCGGGCATCAAGGGCCCCGAAGACCAGGGCAAGGGACTGTAAGTGCAACTTCATACCACCGAGCTTAAATCTTTCTGGAAGCTGACAGACACAGCGAATGGGGCAACCGATATGCCAACATTGGCCACTACATCGGTGGCTATGACGCCGGCTACTATGGCTACCTCTACTCCGAGGTCTTCTCCACCGACATGTTCCACTCCTTCTTCAAGAAGGACCCCATGGACGGCAAGGAGGGCCGCAGGTACCGCCGGACTGTCCTTGAGAAGGGCGGCAGCATGGACGAGATGAAATTTTTGAAGGAGTTCTTGGGCCGCGAACCCAGCACGGAAGCGTTTTACCGCGAGCTGGGCTTGTCCAAATAAGGGACTGAGTGCCTCTGACGGCCTGCGACTACACCTGGTCCAGCTAGGTGCAGCTACGGCCTAGACATGTAGCTTATATAGTGTTGCCACCCCAAGAAACCCCTATAGAAACCATCATTCTTGGCAGTATTTGCTCGTCATCTGACTGAGCCCTTCGACTGACAGTCTAGGGGGGCTGCTGAACGTGGGACCGGGGTATACACAAAACAGGCCTGGGTGCTGCTGTCTCGCCTTCATGTTCAATGTTGTGACGCAGGGTCAGACAAACTTTATGCTTCCAATGTCCCAGCAAAAGCGACGCAAACATTGCCACAGTCATGATCCCTTTAGCGTGTTGAAGTGGCAGCATTGTAAATCCATATCTGACCTTCGCGTCTACGGAGTTGTTTACATGTCATTTGTCTATCAGACTACCAATAATGATATAATGTATTGTTCTCAACCACCTGCGCATATTCTGGAACACGCCAGCCAGCTGGGCGAAGAGTTGCACAGCGGTAAACTCTATTACAAGTCGGCCGTTTAGTTGTCTCTGTGACAAGGGTTCAATGTTGCCCCTATGCAAGGTTTGTCCCTCATCGTAGTTTGGAGGGTCTAGCGTGAGGTTAACACAACGTTTCGAGAAACTCTTGAAGATTGCACTGCTCCCATGGCCAGGTATATAAACACATACAGCGATGTCGTCTACTGCATTGCAAAAGCAAAGCACAGCTTTTCCACGCGTTTCGCATCCTCAACGACGATTCATCATCGCTGTACCCTATTTCCCAGGCCTCCTGTGGCTACCAAACCCCCGTTTGCACTTGATACTTGACAAAATAACCGAAACAATGTCTTTCCAAATTCCTTACTTGCCCACCGAGATCCGGCTTGGCATCGTCGAAGCCTTACTGGAGGATGGCTGCAGACTGGCACCGCTCGCTACCGTGTCGCGAGACTGGCAGGAGGTGGTAGAACCGTATACCTTCTCCCACATCAAGCTTACGACAGAGCGAGCTGGCCAGTTCGCATCGATGACCCGCCGCAACCGGGCCCATATCCGCTACATATGGGTCAGCCTAGAAATTCGGGATTACGACTGCATCCCTTGCCTAAAAGACAGAGGGTGGGGAGTGCGCCAGGCAATGAACGAAGCGAATAGAGTCCTCGTTGCGTCGGCGTTGCGCGATCTGTTTGCGGCTCTCAGCGAGTGGGAGCCGACCGGCAGCCTGGTGCTCGACTTTGGGGTCGATTCGCCCTGCGACCCAAAGGAGTGGTTCAAATACCGTGCTTCAGGGCTCGATGAATCCGACGACGAAGATGATGAGGGTCGATGCCCCGAAGAGGGCTGGACACCGCAATTTTATGGACCGCATCCCCGGATCCCCTACAGGCTTAACGTCTTTGAGCATATAATGCAAGGGAGCTTTTTCGGAAGGGATCCCCTCAAGGAACAGATATGTTGGCATCTACTGCCTCAAGCCCCCGCAGTTACGGGCGTGCTTCTCCGAGAGCAAGGCAGCATCCAGTGCCGACCGACGGCGCTGAGGTGCCTGCTTTCACGTTTCCCCAGGCTCGAGGAGATCTACTGCGAGCCCCGGACTCTGTGGTACAGCAAAACACCGGCGCGTGGTCCAGGAGGTGAGTCGCCGCTTTGCCCGCACAACACATACTTGGCAGCATACATCCATCGTTGGGCATCGACGTATTGCTAGTCCCGTGAGTGCCCCCCCTGCTGACCTTTTCTTCTTCACGTATCAGGAAGCATATCGTGTTTTGAAGCGCTCGCTTCCAGCGGAGTGCGGAGACTTGTGCTCATGGAGAACGATGAGGACTCGGATGACTCCTCGAGTGATTCCGACAGCGATGACGACAACGACGCCTACGGGCTCGTTCTTATCCCGGGGCGTGAGATCGGCCGACAGGTTGCCAGCGCCAGCCTCAACCTCGAGCATCTCTCCATCGCCTTCAACGCCGACGCTCGCGCCTTCTTCCGCGCCTGCCAGCCCGACTGGACGTGGCCCAACCTGACGTCCCTCGCGCTGACCTCGTACTCGCTCGCGCGCGGCCAGCAGGGCTGGAACAACGGCCTGCTGCGCGCCGCGGCGGCGACGGCGATGAGAATGCCGAGGCTCGAGACAATGGAGATATGGAACCCGGGGCTGGGGCGGCCCATGCTCTTCAGGTACGAGGCAAAGGGGGACGGGCGGAGGCCTGTGATACGCTGGAGGGGGAAATGGACCCTGGAGCTGGATCCCGCGACGGTCCGCGCTTGGGAAGCCGTCGCGCTGGAGCATCGTGGCCGCGCGTGTGTCGTTGTGGGAGAGTTGCTGGACGAGGGCACGGTGATCAAGTGTCTGGCGGAGTCCATCGGCCACTTGAAGCTTTCGAGCGAGGTCGTTCGGAGCGGTATGGTGAGAGAACTGCAGCGAGAGTGCGTATCGCGTTACGAAGAGCCGTGCATTTTCCCTACATGTAGTTAAATTTAGCATTCTCTAGGCCTACAAGTGCCAACATTGAGCACAACGGAGCGACTCTGTTTCTTGACAGCCTGCTCAAAAGAAGTATAGCGCTAGTGTAGCAAGTCAATACGATTGTGTCGACTGGCGATGCGGAATCATCCATCTCCAAGCATTCGCCATGGCGGCGTGGAGTTGAGGAGCGGGACGTCCGGGGGGAGAGGCTCAACGAGATGGTCCAGCCACTCGGAGCGAAATCTTGTCCCCGTCCCTCCCATGGAATCTTCGAAGGCTTCCACCACGCGGGCTCCGTGTGCTCCCCTCCCACCTCCCATCACCCCCTCCCCCGCACGCGGGTACATGTCGTGTACCTGGGGGTTGCTTTGCCTTGCGCGCGGACGGACGGGTGGATACAGTTGAGCATCATGGACGGTCATAAGCGGGACTGGAGTCTGAGGGTGCCACCACAGACGGCATCATTGTTGATGATGAATGGGGCGAGCGAGCGCTAGCCAGTACGTAGTGCCGGGTGGGCACATGAGCAGATTGGGCAGTTTATCCCCCAGGTCTCAAGCTGGCTTTATTCCGGCTGCCCCCGCTCATAAGCAGTTCCTGGGGGGAGAGGGAGGGTATCCGCTGCCCCCGCCCGTCCCGCCTCCGCACTGGCAACTGTAAACGGCCAAGAGCCGAGCCCATGAGCAGTTCGTCCCACTCTCGCGAGCCGGGGTCTGTCCGTTTCTCACCTGGGCTTTGTACCCGCGCGAGCTTTGAAGCGGGCAGGAGGTTCGTTCGAGATAGGAAGCGCAAATTACCTCTGCGTACTGCTGCTTGTTACATGTTCTGTCCCAGGCTATGGAAGGGCCAAAGAACCGACATCGAAACTTCTACGAAAGCCGGAAGTCTACAGTCCACGGAACGATGCCCGCGGACGAAGTCGAAACAAGCAAGGGAATCAAGGTCGTGAGAGTTTGGGCTGGGCGCGAGGCGTTGCGCCACTCGCACCACCAGCGTCCAGTCCACATCAATCACAGTCCCCCCCCCACGCCCTCCGGGATGAGAAATCGGGAATTAACAGGACAGGGCAGGGCAGGGGCCAAGACGACCGCGCGCGATGCCGAGAGATGCGGCGCTCGCGTGGCTGGATGGGCGGGCTGCTCCCCGTCTTGGAAGCCCTGGGGTTTCCCGCCTTGGCTGGCTTGGCTGAACTGTGGGCTCCCGGCTAATAATGTTGCTCTGACGCCGACGAAGATAAGCGGCGCTGGGGATGGAGAGTGAGAGAGTCATGACGCTGGTGCGTCCGCCCGGCTTGGCGCTGCGGTGGCTTTCCAGTGTTGTCCAGCGGATTTTGCTCCAGTCTGATGCGGTGATGATGACGGAGCAGGTGATGTGGGCATCGCCGTTCGTCCGTGACAGGGATGGTGGACGCTGGCATCCGTCAATAAACACACGCTTTGCAAAGGCGGAGCTCCGAGGCATGAGTAGTAGCATTTGTCAAAGGCCAGGACGTCCAGACCCTGTTCCGACGACATGGAGGAACGAACGAGGTCAAGCGGCACTCGGCCAACACTGTTTGGACCCGCGGCATTTAATAAAGTTGACGCTGTTGGATGCTGCATGCCCTCCCTCTTCCTCCACGCACGTCTGCCTGGTCGCAACTTCATGCAGGATGCAGCAGCCCAAGGGTCGCAACTGGCTCCGCTGCTGACGGGTTTCTAGAACGGCCTCTTGGGTGGCGGAACAGGGGGCCCCACGAGTCAATACCAGGCGGCCAGGCCATTCTGCATCCCTGTATTCCATCTGTCGTCCCACTGGGAAGATGCGCGACGTTTGTTGACCTTGAATTCCGTTGGCCGCTGGGCGCATGGGGTCCGGCTGTGATGAATGGTGGGCGTGGTGGTGTGTTGAGAGCGCCGTTGGTATGGACGAGGCAGCTTTGGACGAAACAGCGGCTGAACAAGCTTCCGATGACATGGTACCAACGAACGTCCGGTTTTCCGCTAAGCCGTGTATTCAATATTTCTTATCCTGCGAGGTGGAAATGAAGCACACAATGACTCCCATGCAAGGACGCTGCAAGTATCGCCGACAACATCAGTTTCCATCAGTAACCTCGAAGAGCAGGTTTAATGGACGGCTGGGCTCCCCGACGTCAACCCTTCCATAGGTATCACAGAGCTCCACGGCATGGCCACCGCAGGATGGGGCCTAGGCGCAAGCGGCCGTAGATATAGCAGCACTCGCTCGTGCGATTGAAGACATTGATGTGCGAGGGCAGCCGTGTGCGCGAGGTTGCGTCCAGCCTTGCAGACTGCGGCGGGGAAGCGGTTTGTGCGAGTAGCGAGACGTGATCTGAACCTGGTACTTCGCAGAAAGCGCAAGCACCCGACGTCGAGAGACGTCGTGGACCGCGAAGTCCGCGCGCCGAGCCGGGCAAGCACAGCGCGCCACACCGGAACGGAACGGGATGTGCGCTTCTTTCAGTCGAAGATACTATCACAGTACTGTCCTGCACAGAGCAGTGCCATTTATTACATTACACCAATCCATGGGATGAGGTCGCCCGCGACTGTAGTTCCTTCGGTGTGTTGTGGCGCCCTCCCAACGCCCAGCTTTCGACATCATCAAGTGATGCTGTCACGTTCCGAGGCAAGCGCAGCTTTCAGTCAGGAGCATGACAAATTGCTGGCATGCTGTTTCAGTATCTGTCTGTTGGGAGAATATGCTGCATGTAGACGCACAGTCCCCATGTCCTTCTATTCTTGTGCTGTTGCGCGTCCCTGGGATTGAACCAACGTGGACGGGCTCCCGCCTCTTGTCTCTGCACTGTTGGCGTTCGATATACTGGCACCTAACAGCAGGGCACTGCCGCTGATTTCTGACACTTGACCTTGCTCCCATCGTTGACAACACACACAAGTACTCGCTGCGTACCACGTCGGTACTCTAGCGACTGACAGAGCAAAGGCCAGACGGCGCCTGCTCAAGCAGCCTGGATGCCAAGACGAGCGCGCCCTACAGCGCCTACCGCTTCGAACGCAGCGACTCGGTTCTGAGACGCGTCTCTACCTAGGCGAGCGCTCGCTTATCGGGCGTCGTCTGTGCGGTATGCACTGGCCTGCCAGCGGGTGCGAAATGGACAGGACAGGCTGAGGGCATCGCACGTGGCGGCGCCGATACCCTGCCCGCTGCAGGGGAGGCCAGAACACAGGCGACTGGATGCAAATGGCTTTGGCTATGACCAGAAATATCACGACTGTGGAGGTCAAGTTGGTCAACTGTATGCATAGCAGAAGGTCAGGAGGTAGTTGCAGTGACAAATTCGAACGACTTGTTACGCATATCGTGCCAACTGCCAAGGCAGAGACGGGACCAGCTGGCATGTAAGAAATGACGGCCCCCAATCTTCAACAAAGAAGTGACTGCCGGGTATCTGACTTGACAATACCTCGCACTGCCTGCGTCCATCTACACGACAATGCAGATCGCGCAACTGAGTATCACCGCCTTGGCCATCCTGAGCCGCGCCGCCTCTGCCGCGCCCATGAGCGAGGCCGACCAGGACGTCTCGGCGCGAAGCCCATCCACGTTAAACTCGCTCGAGGCCCGCCTCCTCACGTGGAAGACACATTGCGCCCAAGCGGATGCGCCGTCCTACTGCGTGCATGCGCCGGCCGAGTGCGACAACATCGGGACATACCACGCGAGCGGGCGCTCAGACGAATGCAAACACGATTGGCAGTGCGGGTGCGTACGGCAGCATGTGTTTCCTATGTGATGGGACAGCCGGTGATGGAATTGCCTCGGGAAGAAACGCCAAAGACGACGACGGGGCATCGTGTCCGCATGGCTTGCCTTCAGAGGCGCCAGATGATTGCTAGACGACATGGCTGCACATATCATCGAGATGGGGAAGCGTGGCTGATGCTTTGCTGCGTCGTCGCTACACATAGAAACTGAAGCAAGGGGGACGCGGAACCATGGCGGAGGTCAAGGACAAAGGATCGAGCCACGATAGCAGCCACGTCGTCGTCGCAAAGCTGGGAAATGCAGGGACGAGCACATCAGTGGCCACAGATCAGCAACAGTGAGCCTCCAGACAAAGAATCCCTGCAGGGAATAGTGAATTGTTGTTCGATTATGCTTCTCTGCGAGCTTCTCCCTGCCTTCTCGAGCAACGCAGTTACGCAATTCTCACGTACCTGGCGCTTGAGCAGGCCCCGAAACCTTCCAGCCAGCCTTGGTTGCAACTTGGTGGTGATGGGTGCTTCCCACACGGGTGAATGAGGCTTTTGGCGCCGCCGATCCGCTCCACCACCGTGGAGCAAAAGCCCGCTTGTGCCAGCCATCCTTCCATTCATCCTCTGAGCCATCCATCCATCCATCCATCCCACCCGCAGACGGCACAAACCAGGCAGCCAGTCGAGGGCACACGGGAAGCAGCCCAGGCAAGATAATGAACGGGCTCCAGTTCTGACCCCCGCATTTGCATCGACAGTAAGCCCGCTCGGGCATAGCTGTCCTGCCGGGGGTCCCCTGGAAGACCCAGCGGGCCAGCCAAGCCAGCATCCCCCAGCATCTCGCAGCGTCCCCATGCTCATCCCTGCCCCCGGGGGATGGGGGGGCTCGCCCGCTCGACAGCAGGGCCCTGCCTGGCCTTGCCTGGAGGGAGGGCTTTGGGGGCCAACGCCGCGACGTGGATTGGAGGAGTTGCAGTCGACCTGCTCCGTCGAAACGACAACCGACACAACAGCCCGCTGGCTCGGTCAGTGCTTGTACAGTAGAGGTACCTCGATACACCTACCGACCGACCGACAGGCCGTGCCAGGCCCGAGGCCCCAGGGAAGCGCATCGGGCGGCCAGTGCCACCCTGCTGCGTCGCCGTTCCATCCACCCTCCCTCTTCCGTGGTCGCTTTTATTTTTTTTTTTATTATCTGTTCCTCTTTCCCTCTCCTCCTGCTGCTTCGAACTTATCCGGCTGCTCCCATCACCGGTCGACCGCTGCTCGTATCCGTGAGACTCTTCTCTTCGTCGTCGTCGTTGTTGTCGCAGGCGCCGTGTGCTGCCGCTGCAGACCAGATCCTGGCCACCGCCGTCTTTGTCTCAGACTAATACCCGGTCGGACGACCTGCCCGCTGTTCCGCTGTGCTGCACCCGCGTGGCCGCGTGCGCTCAGACGACTCGTATCGTTCCTGCTTTTCTTCACACCTCATCTCGCCTACGATCGACTTTCCTACTTGGTTCCTTGGTCGCCCCATCGTCTTATAATAGGACGGAGTCCACCCAACATGAGCGTCGACGCAGAAAAGAGCGCCGTCGACAAGGCCGTCGGCGACAACTCGTCCAACTCGGACGTCGACAACATTGTCGACCCCGATGCGGGCCTGTCAGAGGAGGAGAGGAAGGCTGCCGTGAGTAATTTTTTGTCGGCGCGCCCCTCGCACCGCACCGGCGAGAGGGGTGTTGTGTTTCTCTCAAAGCCGGCCGCACAGACGCGGATAGCTGACATCGTACAGGAGCGCAAGCTGCTGTGGAAGCTTGACCTCCAGCTCATCCCGTGGGTATGTTCGTCCTCGTCTGGAAAGGAGACCCCATAAAGACTCCGCCATTGTTTGCGACGGAAAGACTGATCTTGTGCCCCCGTGTCAAATGTAACCAGCTCTCGCTGCTGTACCTCATTTGCTTCTTGGACAGGACAAACATCGGCAACGCCAAGATTGCCGACCTGCCGGCCGCCATTGGCATCGACATCAAGAAGGAGCCCGACAGGTTCAATTCCACCTTGACCATCTTCTTCGTCTCGTATGCCCTGTTTGAGGCGCTGTGTAACTTTCTGCTCAAGAAGTTGCGCCCGTCCATCTTCATCCCCTCCATCATGTAAGCCATACTTCCATACCTGCGGTTCACATCGCGCCCACCCATTGGTGCTGACACTGCTGCGAAAAGGGTTCTCTGGGGCGCATGCATGCTGGGCATGGGCTTTGTCAAGAACTGGTCCGGCTTGATGGCTGCTAGATGGTTCCTCGGCGTCTGCGAGGCCGGCCTCTTCCCCGGCATCAACTACTACCTGTCGTGCTGGTACCGACGAGACGAGTTCGGCGTCCGCGCCGCCATTTTCTTCTCGGCGGCCGCCATTGCCGGCTCCTTCGGCGGTCTGCTGGCGGCGGCCATCCAGAACATGAACGGCTTGGGCGGCCTCGAGGGCTGGGCGTGGATCTTTATCATCGAGGGCGCCCTCACCATCGTCGTCGCGTTCATCTCCTTCTTCATGGTGCACGACTTTCCCGACGAGGCCAAGTTCCTCTCCAAGGAGGACCGAGCGCGCGTCATCCTCCGACTCAAGCGCGACGGCCAGCACTCTGCTGAACACGAGGAGTTCAAGATCGAGTACCTCTGGGCCGCCCTCAAGGACTGGAAGACGTACGCTGGAATGCTCATCTACATGGGTCCCCTCATGCCGCTGTACGCCTTCAGCACGTTCCTTCCCAGCATTATCCAGTCCATGAGCTTCACCGACAAGACGCACATCATCAAGAACCAGCTTCTGAGTGTGCCACCCTACGCCGTTGCCGCCATCTTGACTGTTGCTGTTGGCTTCGCGTCGGACAGGACAAAGAAGCGTGGCATCTACAACATGGGCTGCGCCTTCATCGGTATCATTGGCTTCATCATGCTCATGGCCACGACAAATCCTGCCGTGCAATACGCGGGCACCTTCCTCGGAGCGTGCGGCATCTACCCCAGCATCTCCCTTACCATTGCGTGGATCGCCAACAACGTCGAGGGCGTGTACAAGCGAGGCATCGTGCTCGGTTTCGTCATCGGCTGGGGCAACCTCAACGGAGTCGTGAGCAGCAACATCTACCGAGACCCGCCCCGGTACTTTACCGGCCACGGCGCCGTCACGGGCTACCTGTTCGTCTGCATGTTCGGCGGCAGCCTGCTCATGTGGACGATGCTCCGGCGGGAGAACAAGAAGCGCCTCAACGGGGAGCGGGACCACTGGGTCCAGGGCAAGACGGAGGCAGAGATCAACATGCTCGGCGACAAGCGTCCGGACTTCATCTACACCCTTTGAGCGTTTGCCTTTCCTCCATTTCTGTTCTCGGGCCGGTGGAGCAGTATGCAGGGGCCGCGGAGGGGGGGGACGGTAGTCCGGCAGTGTGCGTGTTTGTTTGGCTTTTGATGAGCGATGCACATAGACTGGCGCGTGCGTCCTGACGGCAAGGAGGGGGGAGCGGTCGATTCGATTCAGACTGTGGATACGTCTCTGGTGCTGCACTCTGGCTACGTTGTTGGTATATTCAGGATACATTTTAACTACCTATACATAGCTTTTGGCATAGTGGGACATTTCTAGAGCAGAATGCTGACCGGCCGAATGGACGTGCCTTGCATCAAGCAAGCAGACTAGCCCTCTGTGAGTCCAGGGCCCCCATGACGGTCCAGGCACGACATCGATGGGAGGATTCCAGGGGCAGTCGGACTGACGCGGCAAGATCCAAGCAGCGCTTACGCCACTGGCACAATATCTCGGAAGCACACGCATATCACATCATGTACTTGCAGGACAGTACAGGTAATCGTACTACAGGGCTGTCAATCCAGAACCATGGTCCAGGAGCTGGACAGGGGACTTTGAGAACGGTGGCCAACCTCCCTTGCGGAAGATAGGAGACACCGGAATTCTGCACGTACGTCCAGATGCTGAGGTGCAGCAGCGCACACATGCACGTTGGACGCAGACAGCCAGAGACGTCGAGGGAGAATATACCCTCCACTTACGTCCAATCCAATGGTGCCTCCATGTTGTCAGGCGTGCGAGCCGGCGCACTGGAAATTTGATCCGATGGGGTGGTAGTGGTAGTGTCTTCTTTGAAACCGGCCGCGGGCGCGCGCTGCAGATCCTGCGGGTTTGAGATTCTGTGACCACCTTTTTTTGCGACCTGGCGGTCCAACGTTGCAGTGTGTTGCACACACACACACACACGGGCATCAGACCCTGGGAAGGAGGGAACTTGTTGACTTGCCCCATCGGGGAGGCACTTTGGGGCGCGTACAACGGCGGCTGGAGGGCAATCGGAGCAGCGCCGAATGCAGAACTATGGGGGAGGCGGGGATGTCTGCGGGCAGGGCTCGGTGATAGAGAGAGAATGGGAAAGAGAGAAAGATGCCTAGGTCCGTAACACGGGAGAGAGATGGGTCCTTGTCCGTGATCCACCGCGGGAGACAGACAGGATGGGCATGCCGGGTTGTGGAGGACGGACCGGGCCTCTGACCCCGGAGAGGTTTGTTCTCCGCCTTGGGCGAGGCAGGGGGCAATCGTGGGGCATATTTGATCATTGATGGATCACATGGATATGTTACAGGCTACATACGAAGCGCTGTACTCGTGCTTTGCGTTTACTGATCGAGGATTGGAGAATACCGGGCGAAGAACCAACAAGGACGATCTGTCACTTGGTGAGCCAGCAGCGCGGTTCCTGGCAAGCGGCAGCCAGCTAGCTGCATGCACGCGCTCTCACCAATATCAATATGAAGAATGTATAAACTCGTCCACGCCATCAGGGGTGCTGTACCTGGCAGCCTGGAACATTGGAACAGCAGACCGGAGTAAAACTAGCAGTGGTGACTATTGCTTTAGCTAAATGCAGTTGGCCTTCCAACATCAAGGGTCCAGTCCATGCCAGCACACTTACAGCACTTGTGCTCCGAAGCCACTCAAGCACAACCCGAGCCTGATTGACCCGCCACTCCTGGCACGGATCGCAAGCGGGCACTGGCTCGACGGTGGAGACAAGGACAGGGCTGAGTGTCTTGGTCCGGCCGAGTCGTGGCGAGTGCGGGTGCGGGATCAATCGCACAGGCACAAGGCTACAGTCAAGGCATGGGCCGGTCTCTTGGGGGCTGCCTTGGTTGGACTGAAGGATAGATGCGTGCGTGTTTATCGTGTCTTGTATAGTACAATAATGGACAGGCATGTTGGCCTTCGGCTCGAGTATCCGGCTGTGTTAGAGGGACTGGACGAGACCACGTCCCGCTTTCCGACAAATGGGACTATCAGAGCACAGACGAGACAGCAACCGACATGGTCGGACTGTCACGGTACGACAAGGAACTTGTACAACCCTTCACAAAGACGATGAACCCTGCCGGATCGATCATCATTGACGTGAGTGGGGAACTGACATGGATATGCGTCCTTTTCCTCACCCCCGCCCCTGAAGAATGCTCGGGGCAAAATTATTCGGAATGGGCCGGCGTCGTTGCTTTTTCTCCCCCGGCCGACAGGGACAGGCCAAGAGTAAAAAAACACGGGGCAATTCTGGGCGCTCTGAACGAGAACTCTGGCCATGTGTTGCGGTGCGGGTAAGACGGGCCTTGGAGAGGATTTGTGGCGTCCAAAGCCCTCCGACCAACGGCCGGTCGTCCACTACAGCAGTGGCGGCGCCTGGCCAGGAACAGTGCGGCTAGTAGGGGCGCAGCGCGACGGCTGTGATATGGCACGATGCTGTATGATATGCATAACGACGTTGCGGTGCTAAGTCTCGTGGCTCCTGATGGGTCGGAGTGCTTACTGCCTTGGGACTCGTCACGGCGATTGCTCTGCCGTGTCTAGAATCTGCTCTGAGAAAACCGACAGGCTACGACGGTTGTTGGACAGGGGGCCTTTCGTGCCGCTCATGAACTTCCAGGTTGTGAGCAATCTGCAGTGATTGACTGGCCACCCCGGCATAGAGCTAAACCACGGCTGAGCGAAGAGGGTTTCATCGTGACTGGACCCTCTGCGCATCACATCCCGCCTCTGGTGTTTTCTCATCCCGTCACGTCCCCTATCCCGTCCCGCCCGTGTTCTCTACTGGCAGCACTTGTTCATGTACTTACGAAGGACTGTCGTACTGAACCGTGCTCCACCATGCGCGGTTCGTACGGCAGCATCGTATCGTGACCCATTCGAACCCCCCCCCGTACTGGCCGACGCCACACTGAGCAAGTCCCCGCCCCCGTTCGCAATTGGGAGTCTCGGAGCAGGCGACAGCCGAGCCAACAGCAGAAAGCCACTTCGCAACAACCACCGCGCGCGACGCCGCCCCCGAGTCAGACGCCAGGCAGGCACGGGTTCCTGGATTCAATGGGTCCCGTCCCGCGCTCGCGCTCCGGCCGGACCCTGCGCCATCCAGCCACCAGCCAGCTTTTACTGCTTCTGCCAACTGTCGGTGGGGGGTGGTTGCCGCTGCCACGAGGTCTCGCTGCCTTGCCTCCACCCGAACCCCGTCCTGGCAGCCTGCGCGAGAATAGAACACTTGGTTCCCTGGCGGGCGGTGACAACAAGTCGGCACAATGAGGGAGTGTTGGCGCCAGTATGGTAGCAGATCCACTGGCCTGGCCTGGCCTGGCCTTGGCGATAACACTTGATCTGGGATGGGATGGGCGGGTGCGCACAGACGGCGTCGCCTTGCAACGTAGCCGATCGATCGTCGCGGGTCGGTAGGCGAGAGACATTGAGAAAACGTGGGCGGCAGCAGCATGTCGTGCTGCCAAGGCAGATCCCCCAGTTCTGGGCACACGACATGGACGGACCCGGGGGACCTACCTCCCCCACCAGACAGAACAGCAAGGCCGTACGTGTACGTATTATTGCATTGCTCACACTACTCTGCGGCAGGCATTGAATCCAGCTCCGCAAGAGCGCTGGCCAGCTATGCCCCCGTGGCATGGGTATGGCGGCCCGACACCGTGAAGAAGAGCATGTACTGCCCGCTGCCCATGGCTGCTGAGGCACGAGGAGGCACGGACGACACGAGGAACGAGAGCCACGAGGTGCACGGATTGGCAACCAGTCCGAGGACACCCCGGCGGTGCCAGCTACGCCTCCGAGCGTCCTGGGCCCTGGCCGGTCCTCGTGGATGTTCTGGCCGGTGGCGTCGGGAGCATGGTGCGTCTGTGTGCGCGAGTGGCTTGTGTCGATGCCTCTCATTGTCCACCTTCTAGGCAAAGCGATGGGGTCGACCTCGGGGCATGGCACGACGCCTCTCTGTCGGTTCCTATTTTGGGGTTCAACAGACGGAGCGGTGGCGGCGGTGTGTTCTAATGGATACTGCACTGCATAGCCTGCTATACTCCGCAGTTCACTATTCTCTCCTTCCCTTAAAGGCACGGGGTTGTCTGCCGGTTCTAAATCCCCAAGGGGGGCCGCCTCGCTGCAGTCATCAACTCCAGATCTGCCTTGCTGACCCGGGGCCGAACGAGACCCTGCTTGCGGCCGGAGGGAATAGTCCAGCCGCACCACGAACGTCGACTCTGGGTGAGGCGCGCGCCGCGCAATTGCTGCAGGTTGCGCATAGTCGGGGCGCAGACTGTCAATTGGCTCTGCCGCATACTCATAGCTTGTTCGCCTGTATACCAGGGCCAGCTATAGTGTCTGGTCTGATCGACAGACACCATCCATCCATCAGTGTCTGGTGGCCCAGCAGCCTGCTGGCCGAAGACCCGGTTCGTCGCAGTCGCCCAACTTGGAAGCTGGGTCGGTGATGGTCGCTTCGTCCCCTGCAGCGCGGCAGCCACCACATACAAACAGACGCATACCCATCGCGCTCTCGGCTGTCCACTCTTGTCGTCTGCATAATCCTCGCGCTTGGTTTCTCCGCGAAGTCGGTCCCGAGAGACCAGCGAAAGCCGGAGGATCTCTTTGGTGATTTCGTTGTTGGGAGCGTGAAGGAAGGGAAACGGGCTTAGATCCTTCATTGCTGCTCGACCCTGGCACCTCGACGAGACGACCTTTCACACGGGCGAACGGCACATGGAAGCAGGCGAGGACAAGCCAACACAACCCACGGGGTCGTCTGACATCCTATGACCTCGATATCGAATCCGCACGAAAGCCCCGACCGTTCAGCAAGGGACGAACCCTCCGCGCCACACACATCTCGCGACGGCAGATTGACTCGACCAGCTCGACCACTCGACAAGCTTCAACGAAACAGAGGCCGCGCAGTGGACGACCGCACCCTCTATTGAGTGTTTCACTTCGTGTTATCCCAGCGGCTGCTTGCATCGCCAATTACGCTACTGGGTCGCACGTACACGAGAGGGCGACTTACACCGCTTCGCTGGCGGGTGGCCGCACCGCACCGCACCGAACCGCAATCGAACAACAACAGCACCACTCCCCGTGTAACGGGGGGACTGCACCCAGGGGCCCGAACATCGCAGAGGCAACACGCTCGCTATTGTTTTTGCTGCTTTGATCTGGGAGGGAGTCCTTCAAAATACGGCGTCGACCAAGCTCCCTCGTCTCTTCATTCGACGTTGCTCCTTTCCCGCCTCGTGAAGGACGCTCCGTCGACCCCCTGACGGCCAGTGCGTTTGGCCAAACCTACGCAATATCGCAAAAATACGACTGTTTCTGAGCTGAAAGTAGCATTCTGGTCAAGCTCGCGCCGAAAGAGGTTAAAAAGACGGGCCGCGAGAGAGGTCTCGGCGCAAAATCCAGCATAATGGCATCCAAGCCCACAACCACGGCGTTGCCCACCGCCGAACAGTTCACTCCGCAGCAAGTCAACACGCTCGCCACGCTCGAGCGCGTGGGCGGCTCCATCAGCCTCTTCGGCGTCCTGTGCATCTTCGTCACCTACGCGTGCGTGCGGCGCGTGCGCAATGTCCAAAACACCTTCATCGTCTTCGCCAGCGTGGCCAACGTCGGGGCCAGCGTCGCTAGCATCATTGCGCTCAACGGGCTGCAGGCGGGCAAGGCGTCGGCGCTGTGCAAGACGCAGAGCTTCTTGTTTGAGATGTAAGTGGTCGTCGACCTGTGCTTGTTACTTGAAGAAAGGGGGGTGGGTGGGTGCCCGAGAGGGCTGGAGCTGCTGGGTTTCTCGGCGTTGTTGTGATTGATGGCTGGTTCCCGGGCTCTGGGCATGGCTGACTTCTATCCGACAGGTTCATGCAATCCGATCCCTGGTGGTCGCTGGCCATGGCCGTCAACGTCTTCCTCGTCTTCTACTACCGCGCCAGCCCGGACTCCTTCCGCCGCTGGTGGTGGGTGTACTGCCTCATCTGCTACGGGGGACCCTTTGTAATCGCCCTGGCCCTCCTCCTCGTGAACCATCCCCAAAAGGGTCCCATATACGGCGAGGCAACGGTACGGAATCTTCCATCTATCTAATATGTCCATGGACGCACTTTTCTAACGGCGTATGTTTGCAATGCCACAGATCTGGTGCTGGATCGACCCTAAATGGGACAGCATCCGCATCTACACCTACTACATGCTCATCTGGATCTGCATCGTCGGGTCCATGCTATGCTACTTCCTCGTGGGCTACCACGTCTTTCGCTCGCGGAATCAGCTGCATAGCTTCTCACAGTCCAGGACTCGTGACGCCGGCCACCTCGATCAGGTAGGAGGACCATAGTAACCTCGACTTCGCAAGAGCATAGCTAAACAGAATCACAGAAACTGGGCCTAGATCAGTACAGCAATGCGGGAGGGTTTTACGGCACGGTTGTCACCGAGGTCAAGGTCGTCCACACCTCCGCATCAGTCGAAGTCATCAACAACCTCTCCACGCCCAAAGCCGCCCGCCTCATCGGCGGCATCCACGACGCCTCCTCGCCCGACAGCGCGGAGCGCCCGCCCACGCGACGCACCATGATGGACCAGTCCGCCAACGACGCCACCGGCTCGCGACACTACTACTCGACCGTCACGGCCGCCGCGCCCGAGCGCCGCCCCTCGCCCTCGCTGTACGCGCGCATCCGCGTCGCCGGCTCGCGCCTCGCCAGCAAGTTCGTCGTCGACGACCCCATCAAGCGCGCGTACCTGCGCACCTCGCTGCTCTTCGCCGTCAGCGTCTTCGTCACCTGGATCCCCAGCAGCCTGAACCGCATCAACGGCTGGCTGCACGGCACGTCGCCGTTCCAGTACCACCTCGCCACCGCCGCCGTCCTGCCGCTGCAGGGCCTGTGGAACTTTCTCATCTTCTTCATCACGAGCTGGCGCGTCGTGAGGAAGCAGATAAGGGGCGCTGGTGGTGGTCGTCATGGGGGCCGGTACGGCACGGGGGGCTCGCAGCGCTCGCGCGACGATGGCGCCGGTGGGTATGGCCCCGGGACGGCGGTGGACAGGACGGCGGATAGGGAGCACCAACGCGTGGCGGGCTCGCATCCGCTTGCTCATGCGCGCAGCAATCAGCAGTACTCGCATACCTACCGCGGCTCGGACTCGGACCTGGGCGATGGTGAGTCTCTGACCATGGGCAGCGAGGTCGAGCTGCGAGGCTTGCCCCAGGCCCCGACGAAAATGTCGACCAGTCTGTAAAGTGTCTTGAACAGGGCGAACGAGTTGTCTTTTGGCGTTGACTGTGACGAGAAAATGGTTCATCATGTTGCTATACCCTTCTACTGTCTGGTTTCTTTGTACACCTACTACCACTGTTGGTCGCAAGATCACTTTCTTCATTTGCGTTCGAGATCGGACGTATCCAGCTTCAGCACGAGCAATACGGGGCACGAAGGTCCCAGATTTGAAGGACATTTGGATATCTGGCTAATCTTCTTTTCACATATTGGAGTTCTTGAGCTGAGCTCATTTGACGTACGGTTCGAAAGCTGACTGGCACGAAGGGCGGTTTGATGAGGTTGAATGAAGAGAAGGAGCTTCCAAGAAGTAAATACAAGCCAAGAGAACTTGATCGCTGAGGCGTAGCTCATTTTCATCATCGTACAGCCATACATACAGAAAAAGATCGTCATACATCGAAGCTTCGTCGTCGTGCTTTTGTCGTGAAAAGTCATGCCGAGTGCAGGAGCGTGTTCCCCGTCGGAGATGCCACTCCGTCCTGCCACCCTCAATTCTCAACCCCGATTTTGCTCTATGGATCTATCTATTGTTGCCGTTGTCTGATTCATTTTTTTTGTTAAAGTATTTTGTTTTGTTTTTCGGCTGCACGACACGCTTTAGTCGTGGTCAAAGAAGCTCACACTCTGCTTCAACAGCCGCAGGTCGACCAGGCCCATAATTTTGCCGTCTGCCCTCCATATGCTCTCGTCGAGCAGTCGCCATAGTGTGACAACGGCGGCGGCAAGGAGCATCTGGGTGACGCTGAAGCCAATAACGGCGGCCTTGAGACCGTGCACTGCCGAGATGGCGCTGGGCATGGCGAGGACTATGACCCCCGCTGCAAAGTTCCGCAGCAGGATGACGCTGGTGTGCATGTCTCCAATGCTGCGCTGGGCAACGATGATGCTTGATGATGTGAAAGAGGCGGATCGCGCCAGAAGAGGTCGCGTGGCTGTGTCAATAACGTAGAAGCCGCCCGCCAGAGCGCCAAGTTGAAACGAAATCAACGGTAGGCTTATCTGGCCGGCAGTGTCGGCGGCGAAAAAGACCCTGACAGATCCAGATGCGTCTTGCGCCATAAAGTTGTCCAGACCCAGTCCGAACGTGAGCAGGCCGACAAAAATGAGCAGAGTGCCTGCCGCAACAGTGGTGTAGCTGATGTTACCATTGAACTTTTGATGCAGTCCTCGATAAAAGCAGAACCCAGCAACGATAGCGGTAGCAAAGATCCAGGGTCCAGCCATGAGCGTTCCGACTGTTGTGGAACTCAGAGACAGGGGCGCCGGCGTTGTGAGCAAGGTGAGGGAGAGGGTAATTCCCCACAGCGTGCCGTAAGGGATGAAGGAAAGAAGAAACAAAAGGCAGGTTGTGGGGGCAATGAGAGCTCGCGGAACTTGGAGCATGGTAGGCAGCGTCAACGCGCCCTCGAAGGATACCGGTTTCATGCTCCTGATGTATTGAATGACAGTGTCCTTGTTCAGCCGATGCCGCAGACGCCACGGGCGCCAGGGCGGTGGAGCCCCGTACCAGGGCACAGGCGATGGCGGAACGGCAGCCGACCAAGATCTGTCAAAGGCGGTTTCCGGGGCTCCAAATGCAAGAAGAGGAATGGCCAGAGCGTGGAACGAGTTGATGATGCGGAACTGGGCGGTGAATGAGCCAGCATTTTGGGATGCCAGGCCTCCAAAGAGCGGCGATCCCCACGTTGTCGCTATGCAAAAGATGTTGTATAATGATACCGGGAGGTTCCGTTCGTGCTCCTGGGGCAGGTTAGAGTCTCAATGCGACGCGGAAGTGGTATCATGCCCGACTCACGTAGTACGTGTCTTGAATCGAGCCCATCACGAGCGTATCAAACGCACCCCAGCCGAGGCCCTGAACGACCCGAGCACCCATGCACGAACCGTAGCTGTCGCCTGCCGTCATGTTCCAGATCGAGCCGATGAACAGGAGCACCATCGAAGCCAGATACATTGGCCTCTTGCCCCAAAACTTTGCGGCCACCACGCTGATCAACCCGGTGAAGGTGGAGAGGATCATGGGGACCGCGGTCAGTGCCGCTATTGACGTGAAGGAGACGTTGTAGTGTACAGCCATAGTGCCGCCTGTGGTTATGAATGCAGTTTTCATGCCTCCTACTAACCCCACAGTCATCAGGAGGGACACGAGGTTCACGTCTTTTCGCCACCGGGGCCAATTCTGCGAGGCCTGTCAGCTCCTGGAGGCAGTCAAGATTAGGATGAAGCACAGCCGACATACCAGCGGATCTTCTGGGTCGTCGCTGGGCTGCGGAACCAGCTCAACGTCTGAATGTCGACCCTTGCCATACTTGATCGGTTTTTGGTGGCTCGCAAAGGAGCCGAATGATAGACTCCGCGTCGAGGTCGTCATCGGGACTGGTGACGTCGGGCTGGACATGTTGGATGCCCGGGTTGTAAAGGAGGCGACTGGCGACTTTGGCGAATGAATGGACGGCGGCCTGGCAACCGGCCGCGGCATGGCGATATTCCAAGTCATGGTCAAGGCGCTTGGTTGAAGCGAGGCGCACAGGTGCCAGATGATGGAATCAAGAGGAGGCCAGCTCGGCGCACACACACAGGTGAGTCTCCTTCAACGCGCTCACACGAAACGAAGACAACCAACACACACACCACGCAGGAACCCGATCCAGCGGACTGAGAGGGGATAGGGGCGACAGAAATGGAAACGAGGACTGACGCGCCTCAGGGGATCTGGGCGTACAAAAACAGTCGCGCGAAAAGAAAAACATGCGTGTAAGAGACAAGCAGTTCGTGGCTGGACGAACCGGCGATGACGGGCGTGAGCAGAGACACAGACGGGCGGGACGAGAGGAGAATCGGCGGCGGGCGGACGGGCGGGCGGGCGGCGGGCCACCCGGGCCTGCATAAGTAAGAGACAAGCAGAGGCACCGGTCCGGCGGGGCGGAAGAGCAAGAAGCAAGCCGGCTCTGTCGAGGGATGAGTGTGGATGGGCTGAGGCAAGCAGGGCGACGTGGAGGAGCCACCGCCGCCCCTGATATGCGGCGCGGCACTCGGCCACGAAGAGCCGCCCTGCGCGGCAGATATCCAATACAGGCCCATATCGAGGGCAATTCCTCCGCCGTCGATAGAGTTCAAGCATACAGGATCGGCCATGCGTGCGTTCTGTCCGATGCTTGGCCGGGCGGCAGACAATGGCTCAAGGGCAGATGCCGGGGCATCGCGCGCGACGCGAGGGCACCCCAAGCACCGAAGCGTCCGCCATCCACCCCAAGGCTGTGCTGCGGGAGGCTATCGATTGAGACATTCCTGCAGTGGCAGATCGGGGAGCCGAGTTCTGCGGGTGTCTCTCCTCATCGTGTCTCGCCTGCGGCCGGGCCGAGAGATCGTGGGGGTGGTTGAAAGTGAGCGCTTTGGCCTGGTGCCTGGCTGTGCCTGGGGGCGGGGAGTCGAGACGAACGTCGAAGACGAGCTCGAGTCAAGCCTGCAGTGGAAGTGGAGGTAGGTGGAGGGGGAAGAGGCCGGCGGCCGTGGCTGGATGCCGCCCCTGGGACGCAAGGGAGCCTGGGACCCTCCCCTGTAACGTTGGGCCCTCTGGGGCCTCCAGGGCCTCTGAGCCTCTCACATTCGGCGCTCCAGGTCTTGGACGCGTCGCGAAGCAGCACAGGCAGGTGCGATCGTATGCAGGGCAGGACCAGCAGTACAGCATCGCGGCAGGAACCACCACACACGCGTCTTCTCCCACGAGAGAGAAGAAAAAACTCTGCCCACTTGCTTTTCGATAGTCGCCGCATCTCGTGCCACCCGCGAAGAACCCTCCGTCTCCCTTGCTAGTCGAGCTGAGTACCCCTACTCTGCATACTTCGACGCGAACCTTGAGAGCACGAACAAGACTGCCCTTACTCGCCAGTTGGGCGCCGCAGTGCCTGCGTTCGCCTCCGACACTGCATGGCTGCACATCATCTGCTCGAGAAAAGAAAGCTCGCCTTCGGACGCATCCATCCGATCCCACTCGCGGCAGACGCGAGCATGAATCCCACCCCAAAAAAACGCAACACCCTGCCGGCGATAAGTCGCCTGCCTGGCCATCGCGGGCGCGGGGGGCGATGCTGTCAACTTGCTCACCCTGGCACGGAGGTCTCCGCGTCCACTGCCCGGTAGTCATGCACACCTCCCGAGGAATTCGTTATTGGCAGTCGCATACAGCGGTAAGCATTGTGATCCGCTAGCTTCTTCGAGAGCAGCAATGCCGCCTCGGCAGCTTGGCAGGCAGCTGTCGCGGTACGGCGCCACGCCCATCCGTCGCCGATCCGACGTGAAACGTTCCCGCCATGGACACGAGTGTGTGTGAAGAAAGCCCTCAAACTGGCATTCGCTACACATGTCTGTCATGCATGTCCTGGACTCCTGTGATTGATAGCAGCATCGAGCGCATTCGTCGCACGACCTGTCACAGTCGCCGCAGAGGCCGTCGTCATGGTGGAGCAAGGAACAGCCAGTGTCTGATCAAAGTTCGCCATCTGTAACCGCCACACTTCAAGAACTTCAGGCGGCAAAATGTCGAATAGCCCCCGGCTCTGCGGCCACGAACATGCATTACGCGGCATCCTCATGTTTCTATAAGCAAGGGACCCGTTGCTTTGCTCCGCGACCGTCGTATGACAGGACCGAGACTGCCACGAACCACTCTGTGCGCGGGGGATGCTAACATGGCTGGCTCGACGCATCACTCGAGGTAGCTCAGAACGAGCTCGTTTCTGTCTTCGTCTCGTCGGGTTACATTCTGCCAGTCAGAACGTCTGTGCGCGAGGGTACAGGTCCCCTACCACGCATGTTTGACTGATGCTTTGCATGAATTGTCAGTGTCACTATGCCGAAGGGCCATACTGAGCGATCACGACTGCTTTGCTTGATCGGGACACTTCTTGTATCTCCGAGGCCTCGACAGCAAACAGCAGCATGGTAGTGCGCACCACAAGTTCTGCCAAAGGTCAGACAAAGCCCGCCATACGGGTTGGGCAACCGTACCTTCGTATACTAGCGAGTATGAGACTGCCTCATCATCGCCGGGGCCGGCTATGAGTGGCATCCTTTCCGACGGCATCACTTTGTTGCTGAAGCGTAGCCCAACGCTCTTTGCCGGATCGACCCAAAGGAATTTGTCCGAGTCTATCCTTGACGCACCGGAAGACGACGCAGCAAAGCGCTGCGAGTCGTCATCCATCGGGCGAAAGGTGCTGGAGGCAGCCAGCTCGGCCAGCCAACCTCTCCAAATGCGAATCACACCGTCGCAAGTGTTGACGTGGCTCAGGTAGAAGCCCGGGCGCGCGCTCTCCTTCACAACGTTGGTGACGGTGCATAGCTGCGAGAACAGCTCGCCTTCATCGAGGTAAACCTCTTGCACCGCGAATTCGTCCTCACTGTCTCTGCCAGCCCCTTGGCTGCCTTGCATTGCTAGTGACTGCTGCAGCCAATCCGGCCGAAACCTGCGGCGGCGATTCTCCTCGGTCAGCACGGGCCGGAAAGATGAGTACATCTTGGGCAGGTCTTCGAGTCTCGGCGAGGCATCGTCTATTGCCCCCAGCCCGGCAGTCTTTGTTCCAAGATAGCGACACGCCAGATATGGCGTGGATATCTTTGCGCTGGGGTGGTAGCATTCAAGTATCAGCTTATGCTCCGGCATTGAGGCCACGTCCATCAGCCGGCGGTACAAGACACGCGTAGCGACGGAGTGGAAGCGCCGGCTGACAGATGTGACGAGCACCAGCTGCCGTGACGAGAGCCATGATAGCGCGGCGGCCAGGATCTGTTCGGGTCAGCCCTGCCACAGGTGTACGGGACACGAGTGGTCCGGAGTTCCTACCTCGGTTGGCAGCTCGTCGCAAGGTGAAGCCGAGGCCATGTCGCGATGACCTTGGCCGCGTCAAAAACAGGAGTCGCTGAATCGGCTTGCACCAGGATGTCCCTGGTGATGGCTCTGGGATGGGTGATAGCCCGTAAGATGGTTATGGATAAATGCTTGATGGCAGTTGGCGAGACTCCCCAGCATCCGGTGAGAGGGAGATGGGGTTGTTCAGTGAGCCTATCACGGACGGCCATTCCAACGTCGTTGAATGAATGAATGACCTCACTATCGCGGTGTTAGTCAGCGGCACAACCAGCTGGAGGCGCACGCCACCACAACAGACTGTGGTCCAATTGCCTGGAAAAGGAGGAAGTGTTGTAAGTTCTGATATAAAACTCAGAGAACGGTTTCCCATGACGGCACCCTGCAAGGGCGATGGCGAGCAGTGAGCATTTACCCTACACTCCGTGCCATCCGATCACACTACACCGCCATCCAATGACACTACCACAGTCTGTGAAAGTACCAAGTATCGGATTTCGCCTAAACTCAGCATCTAAACCCGACCAAAAGAAAACCGCGTATCTGCAACTACTGCCTCGACAGGCGGCAGCAGCATGATACACGAACATTGTAGATCAAGATCAACTGCCGAACGGCAATTTAATCATCGGTCCCGTGAACCCCGCTTCCATCGTGGCGTCAGGCGCTGGAGGTCCCTGTCAAATCCCCAGCAACTGCCCCGCGCAAATCGGATAGATATCCACCAGGTGCGGAAGAAGAGAGATGAAAGAGTCGACACGATTACTTTACATCGGACGAAATGCAGCACCATTGCAGTGCGATTTTATGTACCTGGGCATGGTCGTGGGCTGGGTAGGTCAGCAGTGCAGCGCAGACTCGTATTTGGTCTTTGGGCAAACTCCAACCACGCCTTCACACCCTTCCCGCTCTCCTCTTCCGTCTCGGCCTCTTCTCTCTCGTCGCTCGGTGCGCCCTCCGCCGTGGACTGCAAAGCAAGTCTGCCGTTTCGCCGAACCTTGGCAGGCAACGCGCACACGCACATGCACATGCACATAAGTCACCGGCTTGGCACGACCGATGGATGAGTGACTCATTTTTGCCAATGACACTGCTTGCTGCATGTATGCCGCCGACACACGGTTGGTTATCCGCCCTGGGCAGCAACGTGCAAAACTTTCAGCTTGATCCCTTGTCGTCGGCATTATTCTTCATTTGGTCCGTACGGAGTACACGTTGGGCTGTCATTTTCGACAAGCGAGAATCCCGACTTGCTGCCCTTTGCTGCTCCTCCCTCAGAACCTCCACCACGCACCCACCCCGTCGGGTCGACCACAGGAGCGACGACACCGCAGCGGTGCGGTGCGGTGCGTCGGCCAATGGGATGCGCCGCGGGCACCCAATTCGGATGCGAGCGCGCGTGCGCGGGGCTGCGCCTGTCTCTTATACACATCTAGATGTGTATAAGAGACAGGGGCTGCGCTGCCGCTTGTGGCCGCCCGCCCGCCCGCCCCGGCTGTCGGAGGGGCCGGGCCGGTCGCTTCGAGCCGCCCGTGCCGTTTGACAACCGGCCCGCGGGCTTTGGAGATTGGGTGGTGGTGCCCAAAGGCCAGGCTCTGAGTGTTCAAGGCCGGCACGTCGGCTGTCGCATTGTTGTGGAAGGAGCTTATATTCAAGGTTAATGATTCCTAAATATGGCATGCGGTACTCTTTCGTCGTACCACTGAAAGCCAGGTGACCCGCAGCGACGCTCCATGCAAGCGTGCCCATGATGTCCGCGCCGAGCGGGAACGGCGTCTTGCTGAGTGACTGTAGCTTATTTGTCAGGCTGTCTTAAAGGTTGCCGTACAAGATCGCTACCAAGACAATGAAGTGCCAGAACAATCTATAGTGCTATTGATAATACTAATGGACATGGACCTTGCGGCCCCCATGACGCCAAATCATGCTCCGCAGAATGCACGCCGATCCCATCTCGCTCCGTTTTAATGACAGGAAAAGTACCAGTACTCAACGCCGTCATGTATCATACCCAAAACGCGCGTGAACCATGCTATTTATTGGCCATCCTTGCTCCGCGCATCCCTGACCGCCGACTCCACGGCGTCCTGCAGTTCACAGTGGAAGAACGGCCTATCCACGCCGCTCACGGCAGCTTTTCTGCCTTCGAATCCACTTTCGTGTCCCCCGCAGGTCGGCGTCACGGGGCTCGTGACGGTGGATCCCGTAGAGTCGGGTGTCCTAGCCCCAGCGGTGCGCTCCTCGTCCATGTCCGTCAAGTTGCGCCGGCTGCTGCTGTTGCCAAACATGGGCCAGTCCTTCTCCGTGAGCGTGGCGGCGATGCTGTAGACTGGCTGCCAGTTCCTGACCGCCTCGGGATTCCGCGACGTCGGGTAGCCGAATCCAGCCGCGGCAAGGGCCCGACGTGTCCAGCGGTTGTGGATGTTGGCAAAGTGCCATTCAACCGTGTCCGGGGCGGCGTGGCGGTCGAACGTGTTTCGCAAGTCGATCAAGCCCTGCACCGAAGTGACGTCGACGTTGTTGACCGCCGCAAAGTCAAACACCATGGCGCGAAGATATGGCAATGACTCCGACTCGCTGTTGTAGATGCGAGGCCCCGGGTCGTTCCACAGACGGTCCGACTCCTTCTCAAACTCTTCAGGCGACATCCGCCGCGTCCTGTCCATGACGTGATTCGTCAAAGTGTCCACGTGATAGGCCTGGTTAGTATAGTTGAAGCCTTCGCTGAGGCGATAAACAAAGACACCCGGGTAAGGGCTGTCGACCTTGATGTCGGGGTTCGACGCGCCCCGCCCGTCCAGGGGCAGAAAGACCTGGCGCGACTGAGACGAGGTTTTGCCTTGCGGGCTGAGATACTTCTCGCCGCTGACACGCTTCACATGAGCGACACCAAGGAACGTGCCCCGTTTCCTGGCAATCCGGAACAGCAGCACCACTACCGAGAGGATGACTCCCACGTAGATGGATGTTTCCAGGGAGTCGAAGATGGCCAACAGGACACCCACGACCCAGATGATGAGCTCGATGGGTGACAGCTCCCAGTACTTGTACAGCTTGGCTGGGGGTGTGAGCAGATTGCACACGGCGTGGATGATCAGACCGGCCAGCGCGGCCTTGGGTATAAAGTAGAAAACCCCCGTGAGGGCGTAGAGCGCCAGCACGAGGACCATGGCGCTGAAAAGTCCAGCAAGTGGCGTCCGAACCCCAGCCTTTGAGAGCACCGCAGATGCGCCAAAGGACCCGGTGCAGACGTAGCCGCCGACAAATGGGCTGAACATGTTGGCCATGCCGAGAGCAACGATTTCCTGGGACGGGTTGATGGTGTAGCCATGGAGGCGTCCCATGGCTTTCGAAATGGCTATGTGTTCAATCACCAGGATGATGGCCACGGCGGGCAGTTCGGGCAAGATCGCCTTGATCAGTCCGGAGTCGGGATGCGGGACGCTTGCTTCTTGAAAGCCTGCACCAGAGTCAGCCCTCTATCCTCAATGGACGCCTGTGCCTCGCGTCGACATGGTGCTGCCAGGGGCTTACCTTGCTCAATCGTGCCAACGATTTGAAACTTGTGCTGGTCCTTGGACAAACCTCGGTTAACCAGGAAGCTGATGAATGTGAAAAGCAACATAGTGAAGGTCAATCGGAGAGACGAGACGAAGCCCCAAAGGCGCTTCTTGTGCGGCATGCGCACCTCCATAGTGGAGCAAAACCCCTTGATCGCAAAGAGCAATGCAATAGACGTGAGGCCGATTGCAGCATCAGCCCGAATTGTGGGTAGTTTTCGAAGGCTGCTGATCATAACCTTGTACGGAGCTTCTCTGGTGTTTACCCCTTGGAGGCCAAGAGCAACTGGAAACTGTGTCGACATAATGGTAATGCTTGCGGCGGTGACGAATGCGGAAATAGGAACGTATGGGATGAACTCGATGACCCATCCCAGTCGAAGCAACCCAAAGAAAAGAAGAACGGCACCTGATAGCATACTCAGGGCGTGGGCGATTTGTGGTGCGGAGTACATGTCCCCATGGGACTCTTTGATGGAGCCAACGACATTGCCGACGAGGAGCGAGCCCACTGCCGTGGTCTGATGAGGATGTCAGTGTCAAAGGTCTGATACGGGCGTGCGCGGTTACTTACACCAATGACAATGTCTTTGGAGGTTCCAAACATCCAATACGCTACAGCACCGGTAAAGGAGGTGTATAAGCCAAAGGCAGCATCTAAGCGCGCAAGAGCCGCGTATGCCAGGGCTTGGGGTACTACGACGAGGCCAATAGTGATGCCTGGGCTTGAATGTCAGCAAAGGGCAGAAGGTGAATATGCCTGGGTCCATTACCTGCAAGAACGTCCCCTGCCAACCAGCGAACATTATATCTCCTTATCCACGAGGCCGATGGAAAGAGTTCTGTGACATAGTGGACGGCGCCGTCCCGTGTGGGCACAAGCTCCTTGAATATCTCTGTAACTGAAGGTTCGTCTTCGAGGTACGTGTCGGCTGGGTCAATGACGTTCCGGGCACGCTGGTCGAGATCCAGTGGCAGCTGGGCATAACGCTCGTTGACGTCGATGCCGAGCACCCTTTCCACCACGAAGTCGGCTGCTTGCTTGTGGGCCATGGCGGCTCTCGACGGTGGGTTCCGCGGCCGAGTACCCAAGTTTGTATGTACGATTGCTAGCTCGTGTTACCCTGGCGGACCATATGAGCGGCGGGTTCCTGGGTGAGCTCGGGGGAAAGGGAGCGAGTGAGTGGAGTCGTGCAGTATGGTTTTATGGACGAGGCAGCCAAGGTTATGTAAAGGCGAGTGCCGAGAATGTATGAGCGACAGTCGGTATGGCCATGGAGGACCCAAGGAGAAATGGATGCTGCTCTGCAAGACAAGGGGGGGATCCTCCGAGAGGGGCGGATCATGACCATGTTAAAAGAAAATTGGTGCCGGGCTGGGTGTTGCTGGCCGGTGTTCTGTTGCCAAGTTTGGGCACGGGAGTCGGTGGCAGGAGACGGCAGGAGCGTGGCGAGTGAAACTGCCCGTCCGGTTTTGTCCTCGCGTACAGCGGGGGGCCTCCCCGGCAGCACAGCAGCACAGCGCCTAGAGTAGCACTCGCGTGCTGTAAATTGCTGCAATTACAGGAGTGGCCGGCCTAATCTTGCCTCGCCTGCTGCTGTTGGATCGCGCATCTGGACATGGGCGCAGATCCCCCCGGTGCGGTGCGGCTTGCGCAAAATGTCTCATCGGCCCTGCCATGCCTGGCCGCTGCCCGGGTGCCGCGAGCTGTCGACGAGTGTCGACGCCGGCGGGTGACGGCGGGTGAAATCACCATGGCCCGGCGTGGCTGGCCGGGCCAGTCGGCGACGCGCCAGCCCTCCCTTCAGGGGGGGGCCTGCGCCTCTGTAGGGGCCCCAACTGCTGCAGCGGTCGCCCAACGGACAACGGCCGGCCTGCAACGGCCCGCAACGGGCGGCAGTCGGGGCGCCACGCCGGCAGTCAGCCCCCGGCTCCCCGAGAGCCTCCACCGAAGCGCTGCCGTCCCGAAAGCCGCCGCCCGCCGATGATAATGCCAAGCAAACGCGATACGATGCGCCGCAACGCTGCATGCAATGCAATGTCCAATTTTTTTTTTTCTTCCTGCGCGGGCCAGAAAGCAGTACACCTCGGCGGCCGTGGGAGACGTGGCGATTGTCCATCGTCGTGCGTGTTTCAACCTGCCCTTGAAACAAGTCCACGCTGGAATGGCCATGGCTCGCGTCTCGGCCGCCCGCCCGGTTTCGATTCCAGTACAGGATGACGCCATCGCAGCAAGCAGAGGAAACATCAATCGACCTCGTCATGGTTTCATTTCGTCGTGCCTAGCGGGGAGCCGGCAAGTCTTCTATGTTGTGTTGCGCAGTTGAATCGAGGTCGCATGTTGGGCCTCACCGATAAGGCGGTTTCTCTGCCGACGCGCTGCGCGTTGCTTCCCCGGGTCTGTCCGATTTCTTCGTCCGATATCCTGCGTCCCGCCGTCCGTTTTAGGCGGCCTGCCGGGCGTCCAGCATCTTCATCGCTTCGGCCTCCTCCTCGGCTTGGCCAGCCCCATTGGACACGGCCAGCCCGCGTTTCCGCATCTCGTCCTCCACATCTCTCCGCGTAAGCATCCTCTCCCGAAACACTGGTAGTTCGTCCTTGCGTTGCCGCAGCCAATCCTCCAGGCTGCGCATGGCGACCACCAAGAATCCCAGCTCCTCGCGGTCCACGTCAAATACCTCCCACCACTCAGACTCTGGCGTCTTTGCGCCGATGTCACGGGCCGCGTTGTAGATTGCCGCCACCGCCAGGGCGTGCGGCTGATGCGTTAGGTAGAGCATCTGCGGCGACAAGAGGGCCGTGTTGAGGTATTGCACCACGCGTGACGACGCCTCCGACCTCGGGCGCGACAAGAACTCGAGCGTCTGCAAATAGGTGATTGCCAGTGGGTGCGGCAGCGCAACATGTGTATCAAAGGACAGCGAGTAGAGAATGCGGGCCTCGAGCGCCATGATGCGGGTCGAAAACGCTAGGAACTCGGTTTCGCTTTGGTAGTATGACTTGGGGTCGTCTGCGGGCGGCTCGCCGGTGCGAAACAGCGCCGAGCCGGGCGACAGCAGGTAGCTGTAGACATTTGCGACATCGCGTGGAGAGCGCGGCTTCGGTCCCATCTTGCACACGAGATACACGACGGCAGCGGAGACGTCCTGTGTCACCTGTCAGCGGGTCCAGCACCGGATGTACGCGTTGCGGGAGTCGGCAAACGTACACTGAACTCGTGGGCCATGAGGGAGTCCACCAGCCAGTACCGCGCGAGGAGCACGTTGGCCTGCGCCGTCACGGCCTGCGGGGCGCGCAGCAGCTGACCGGCAGCTTGCGTCAGGCATTGCGCCGCGACGAAGGCCGATTCCTGCAGGTCCTGTGGCACCGACGAGAGCGACGAGCGCAGCAGGAGCTGCTCCGTCGTCGCGAGCGGGTTGGTGAGGTGCGACATGGCGAGGGCAATGATGGTGGTGATGGTGACGGTGACGCACCGCGGGGGCGGGGGCGGCGCGGGGCTGCAATCACGGGGGGTTCATGTCGAGATGCTGAAGAGTTCGCAGCAAGTCGGGTGGCCTTGCATTGATGTTCCGATGTGGTTTCGACGTCACGTCATTGTAGGTTCGATGGGCGCGCGTCGTGTGAAGTGAAGCTTGGTGTGCATTTTCTGTATTACGTAAGGCAGACAATTGATGTCGGCAGCATGACACAAACGGGCTCAAATTGCATTGCAAGGCCTTTTCGATTGAAACCGACATAATGTTGTGCCTCGGGACGGAGGGTTGCACTCTCGATTGCGGTTGACGCCCAGAAAGAACTTGGGAGCAACTACTTCACAAAGCCAAGTGATCACGCACCTTGTCCTTGCAAGACGTGATGGACGTGTTTTACCTTTACTACTACCACGCGCCATCCAACAACACTTTAAAGATACACCCAATGGGCGTTTCCTTTCCCGTTTACTCTATCAAATTCTCAGCAGTCAAGAAATAATGCCAAGGCATCAGAATGTTGAGTGTAATCTCGGCTCAGCCCTCCGTGGCCAGCGAGCACCCCGTTTGAGGCGAGACTTCCTTTTGGCTACCCTGGATCGGAGTCCAATCCCCGATTCTCCTATTCGCACCGCTTTAGCACGGAATCCACATCCGCCCTGTGTCACGTTTGACCAAAATGAACCGGGCATCAAGCGAAATGGCATCTCCAATAGCGCAATGATGGTCCAGCTTGCGTCTCGTTCTTCGAAAGCCGGTCTGACGTAGGATGGAAGCCAACGAGTTCCTCGACGTGTGAGGGGGGTTGCACGTATGCGACTGGCGCTCTTGTGGCTACTTGCCGCTTCTTGGGCGGAACTCGGTGCTTCGTTCTTGGTGGACTCGTACATATAATTGTCGAGCAGGAGTTGTTCGCCGCGGCTGTGCGATCGACCGTCCATCCACACACCAAGCTAGGCGACAACTCGCGGCTCGAGTCTCACGCTCTGCCGATCACCAGCTCCCAGAGTCGTTCCTTGCGTGAATAGTCTGCAATTCTTGCATACATCGTCGGAACATAACCCCGCGCGTCCCGAAGATGGCGCGCCGGATATGGGAACTCAGCCGTTGGGATCCCTGCCCTTTCAACAAGACATTGTCTTGTCTTACCTCAGGTTTGATCGTGAGCCACGGACAATGCCGCTGTCATTGGACGGGCACGGAGACCGGGCCGCGTGTCTCAACAACCAGACCGGGATGAGATGTCGTCGGCTCCGGTCCCCCAGAGATTTTTGTGGCATGAAGCAGCTATTAAGTTGGCGCTGAAGCCGGTATGGCGCGCAGCCAGTCTCGCGTCGAGCGGTGGGAGAGGCGCTGCTACATACGCTGCCATTTTCAACTCCTGACCGAGTTGCCACGGCCGATTGCGAGTTGAGTCGGTTACAATTGCTGGCTCGCGTTACAATGAACGAGACCACTCCCCTGCTGGCCGATGTAGAAGACGGGCGACCAAGCTACGTTCGTGCCTCCGAAGACCGAGACGTCAAGTCCGCTGTCGACATCAATGGCTCGCCCGACGACCCTCAACAGTGGCCAGCGTCTTTCAAGTGGAGCATCGTGGCCTTGCTATCGTTTTCGGCCTTCTCTGTGTGAGTATAACGCACCTGCCTAGAAACCATCTTGAGATGCTAATGTCGGGCACACTAGAACATATGGCTGCCTCTCGGTCGCCCCCGTGGCGACTCGCATCGCCAACGACCTCGATGGTGGCAACAGTGGAAAATCCTCTGCCGCGCTTCTAGTCACGATCTGGGAGCTGGGAGAAGCAGCCGGGCCTCTGCTCATTGCCCCACTGGCAGAGATGTTTGGGCGCTGGCCGCTGTATAATGCCGCGAATGTTCTCTTCGTGGTGGCAACAATTCTCGGAGCGCTCTCCAAGGATACAGGAGAGTTTGTCGCGTCGCGAGCGCTGACGGGCATGGCGGTCGCAGCCAATGTGCTCAACCCAGCCATCATCGGAGACATATTCCCGACCGAACAGAGAGGTGCAGCCATGAGCTACATCATGTTCGCGCCACTCGTCGCCAGCTCCGTCGGGCCAGCGTTCAGCAGCATCATTGCGGGCAGCCTCGGATGGCGGTCTGTGCTCTGGACCAGCGTTGCGTTGGCGGCCGTAAACGGGCTGGTCTTTTTCTCTTGCTTCCGCGAGACGTACAAGGTCATCATACTTCGTCGGAAGGTCGCCAAGCTCCGCAAGGCGGCTGACGATGCGTCGCGGATCGAGTCTCTTACGAAAGAGATCCACCTCGTGAAGAGCCCCGCTGGTCTATGGACTTCTATGATGCGACCTGCGGTGGTCTTCTTTGGCTCCGGTGTCCTGGCGGCCTTGTCGCTTTTCGGGTCCCTCATGTACTCGTATTTCTACGTCATCTCTACGACGCTCCCAGGCATACTGGAAGAAGTATACCTGTTTCCGGCATCCATGACAGGCTCAGCATTCTTGGCCAATGGTGAGATCATACCCGCGCATTCATCATTCATGGCAAACCGTTCGCTTACAAGACCTCTGTAGGAATCGGCACGTTTATCGGTGTTGTCATCTGCAACTTGAGTCTGGACAGGATATACGTCAAGCTCAGCAACGACAACAAGGGAGTCGGTCGACCAGAATTTCGCTTGCCACTAACCCTCATCGGCACAGCGACGATGCCGCCAGCTGTGGCACTCTATGGCTGGTGCGCCGAGTATCGGCTGCCTCTATACCTATTCCTGATATCCGTCGTCTGGATTCGGGTGTCCATGACGCTCGCCTTCCTGCCGTTGATGCCGTACGTGGTGGACGCATGCGGCATATATTCTGCATCAGCTCTGACAGGCATGATTGTGATCCGGTGCCTGGCGGGCGCCTTCTTGCCGTTGGCAACGGCGGGGATGATTGAGCACCTGGGATATGGGCGGGGATTTACCACGCTGGCAGTGGTGAGCTTGGTGGCCGGTCTGATCCCTGCATTGGTGCTCCGTTTCGGATCTCGCTGGAGGCAACGCTCAAAGTACACCAAGACCACTCAAGAAGCGTGATGAGGTATGACTTGGGCACACATCAAGTGCAGTTTGACATATGGAAGGGAACATGTACATTACTGCTTGAGAAGGTCCTGCGAAGTATCGGTTGCAATGGAGCGCTCTGTGTCTGCAGCCATGCACGGTCCTGCCGGCCATAGGTTTTCCGGAAGCCATAAGTTGGGACTTTGTTAGGAAAAACTTCCCCGCAGCAGTGCGCCGAAGCTGCCATGGAGTTGCGTGAAGTTGCTGATACTGTGACCGCTGGTACTGTGACCGAGTGGCACTGCAGGCGTCGCTGTGGCGCGGACTCCGCATCCGTGCGAGACATGCAAAATTGAGACAATGAGTGTCACAGGTTCACGGCTCAATGTGCGCATGCAAGACTCAGACAACTGGCCGGAAGTTCTCAAGCACTGCCACAAGAACGGAGGAGGTAGCTTGGCTTGCTTGGGTAGCAAGGCGGTGAGGGACGAAACGACGGCCATTGGAGTCAATGCAAGTCGATTGCCCCATTTCATATCGCGCATATGCTTTGACGATTCGGCGACAACATTAGCTGCGGCGTGTCCTGCATGTGGATTCACACGCCATACGCTATCCCCGATCGGCGCAATACTTTTCTACTTCCTTCCTCAGTGTATCTTTTTGTCTAAAGACAACCTCCATGATGCCATCACACACCTTTCCCAGGCCCCTGGGATCGTGTTCTCTAGACGTGGCGTCTACCTGCACCATGTCTTCGAGGACAGCATCCAGCTGGTTTGGCAGCCACGTCACAATCGGGCTACCGCCCGTTGCTGTGGGGTGGCTTGAGCGCTTGAGGATGTACTCCTTCACTAAACACCAGTGGCGCCAACGGAATTCCCGAACTTGGTTGAGAACTTGAAGCCATAAGCTGCGAGACTCTCGCACCAAATCACTCATCTCCTCGCAGTCCGCAATAGCGACACTACCCAGGGCGAATTTCTTGATGTCCAGCTCCAATGAGCGTTCTTTGACAAAGATGAGAAATGCTTTGTGCTTGCACGACCGATACTCAGAGAACTCGTGGAGGATCTCCGTCAGGGGTGTGTCTGGCATAGGTATTTGGAGGAAATTGTCTAGAAGCGGTATCATTGCGTCGTTGGCTCCGGTCTCGCCTCGGAAAAAGACCGGTTCATCGTTATTGTAGCCCTCGTAGATCACGCCGTTGGGGAACATCGACTCCGAGGCAATGCCAAACATGAACGTGCGAAAGTTGTTGTACTCGCTCGGCTTTGACCTTTCGTATATACTCTTCATGAGCACGTTCAGATTTGAGACTGCTTGGACCATAGAAGACAGTGCTTCATTGAGCAAAGTTCGCTCCTCAATGGTGCCGAGTGGAGTGGTTGCCTTCGACGCCGCCTCGAAAGCCTTCAGAGTACTGTGAACGAGCGGTCCCGAAAGTTTGACCATGCTGAGGTGTACAAGAATAAAGCCAGATTCTGATGAAGAAGGGTCGAGTCCATGCTCATATGCTCGAACCAGGCGCAGGTTGGAGAAATCCATGCCCTTCGCAGGGTCATCTAGGCGATAATTGAGCAGAACGTATGAAGCAAACTCTAGGAACGGTTTGAAGCCAGCACTGCAATATATCAGCCACCATCACTAAAGAAAGTGCTGCAACAGTAAAACTTACATCTCCGAACAACGAACGAAAGGCCGCGCAATCTGCTTGGGTAGGGATGGTCGACCAACCCCATACTCCTGGCTTTTCATGAAGCGTCTATGGCATGGCTCCAGCAGATACCCCGACGCGAGGAAGCAGTAATCCCGGAAAAGTGCGCATATGACACGGAGGTCATCTCTGTACAGGTCGACCTGGGCTGTGAGGTCGGGAAGCTCGCTGTCGACAACGGCGGCAAGTCTACCTTCAGCAATAAGACCCGGCTTGCCGGAAGCAGTCCTTATGGGCATTTGCTGAAGAACAGACTCTAAGGCCTGGAACTCTTCAGGCAGATCGACAAGCGGATCTGTGAGTGTGAGAAAGCCGCGAGTGGCAGAGACCGTGAATGGATGAAGCAAGACATCTTCGGGGCAGCCGCCGTTGACGACCTCGCATGGAGCGGACGGGCCGTTGGAACCCATTTCAACCGGTCAAAGTAGCTTGAGAAAGTACAGGTCAAATATTTGAGTTGCACATGCACAGCAAAGACGGTATTCAAGCGTCTTATACGCCACCCTTTACCGCTCCACTCCAGTCCAGCTGATACACGTATCTTTGCACGGGCCACCTGCGATGCGTCGTAGCGGTGAGTCTGCCTCCCGAAAGGCACTAGCACACCGGGCAGCCACGTTACCTGATGCTGGGGATCTGGGAAGTGTGTCTTGACAACACCACTATGCACGCCCCGCAGCGGCTTCGTCGCAGAGGTGCTCCTCAGCTTGCACAATGTCCTTGTGAGGGGAAAGGACTGATATGGGGCTAGGAATACGAGCCGAGCCGTGTACGAGCTACATTCCTCATTGGTCATGCGCAATCGGTGTGACAACGTCCATGCCGAGAGGCTTGGTATTTCTTGACGGAATGGGAGACCGGGCTGCAGGAAACTGCGGGACCAGACGCTTGTGCGGTGCATCGGCATCAGAGCTCAGCCCGGCGTGTCCAACTCGACTAAGCTGCGGGGATATGCACGAGAGTTATCTCAGTGACGCCACTGCAGGCATGGTGACGACTACGTTCAGTCGGACGAGAATCTGTAGTCTAAGCCACTTGGCGTAACTTACACAACGGACGGACATCCGATGAGGGCTGTGCTACGCTATGACCTGGGTCGCAATATCAGGCTTGGTAGTTCAACATACGCAGGATGCTACTCTGAGAAAATGTACTTTGTCACTCGTGTTTTCGTCAAGGCATTGACCACACTCATACTCTCACGACTCATGCCCCATTTGATGCCATGGTTCAGGAGTAAATGCCTCCATTCATGGTAACATATAGCATGCAACAGGCACAAGCGATAAAACGCTTTACTTTCGAGAATAGAGCCTAAGTATAGGCTCTATTAGAAGCCTTTTAAACTGTTCTTGGAGTTCCGAAACAAACTTTTGTGGTACGGTGAATGAGTGGCTACGATCAGATTGTCATCTGATCTCGACAGAGATAAGACAAGAAACCCAGTAGCGAGCGACTAAACCAACAAAATTTGATTTTATGTTAGACTGAAGCTCTGAACGTCATGCCTTCCAGCTCTGATCGTTTCGGTCGAATCAGTCGTGCTGGGTACGGAACTCAAGACTGGCGCGCGTTTACACGCTGCCATACTGTGACGCGAGGCACAATGTGTTGGAAATGTCGCTCATGCTCTCTGATGATCATTGGAACGTCGCAGGAACGCAGTGGCTCGTATTCCGAGGCCATTCGCATCCCGCCGGATGAGCCATTGCTAGCCGCGTTCTCTGTCGCGTTTGACTGGCAGTCTAGGATGTCATCCACCAAAAGAACCAGACCACCTGGACGCACGACCGCATCGGGTCCACAAAGGCGCTCAAAAAAAGCTGTTGAGTGCACCCGAGAGCTCCGTGGACTACCGACGGCCAGCACTGCGTCGAAACTACCGATGCCGGTCGGCAGGATGCTGGCTTCGGCGAGCTGGAAAGACACACGCTCGGGACGCACAGAGGTGTTCAGACGAGCCAATAGGTTCGTAACCCTCTGGCCACGGTCATAGCGCTGGTACGCCTGATTTCCTGCCCGGGCCATGGCACGCGCTGTTTCGATGAACACCTGGTCTTCGTCGACTCCGACCACGCTGCTGAAATGCTGGGTGAGGGCAAACGATGCGCCGCCAACGGCACAACCCACGTCGAGGGCTGAACGAAGTTCAAGGCCCTGAGCCTGGGCCGTTTCGACAAGAAGGTTGACAACCCGTTGCACGAAGCCATGGGCCAGCTCCATCCAGCTTACAGCTGGGAGAGCGGGGCCAACCGTCTCGGCCAGAGAGCCATAGTGAAGCAACATGCACTGGTTGAAGGCGCGAGTGACATCACAATCACCATCACCACTGTAGCTGCTAACTCCATTGCGCGCTGTGGTGCCGTTGCTCTCGCGGACACCGTTGCGTGTGCCTGTTCCGTTACGCGTACCGGCCCCGTTTCCGGCGGGCTCGGCGACGGAGCGGGCCAGACGGATGCCCGAATGCTGGAGAAAGTGGGGCCGAAACGGGATCCGGCCCCAGATGCTCGCCTCATCGCCGGTGGCGATAAACGACCCGCCCAACAACAGTTGGTGCTGCCCTTCATAAAACGGCGTGCTAAAGTCCTCGTAGTAAGGGTGCACGGCGAAGCCCGGCAGCGGAGCGAAGGCGTCCTCGCACCATTGCCATACGTTGCCGAAGACGTCGCCGAACCCGGAAGCGCTCAACGGGGACCCATCCGTTGGTGTCTCAGAGCCAAAGGCGAGGTTCAGGTTGATGCCCTGGCGGGCCAGCTGGTGCCCATCACTGTGCATAGCCATGTCGTCTTTGCAGCCTGGGTTGTCAGGCAGCGGGTCTCGCATGCGGTGATGCTCGGCCTCGGTCATGATTCGGAGCGTCGTTCCAGACCGCTCGCTGCGCCACGAGCAAAAGGCCTTGGCCTCGTGGTAGTTGACGCAGACCGGCCAGTCCCAGGCCATAGGTATCACGTCGAAGACCGTGCGGAGGCGGTACTCGTGCAGGCCAGCAGGCCCATCCAGCACCCAGAAACGGGGCCATTTCTTGTTGTGCAGCCGCACCTGGCCCCATCCGTCATCACTCCAGAACCGCCTTTCACGGTACCCTCCGGAGACGACGAAATCGTAGAACTCGCCGTTGCTGATGAGATACCGGCTGGCCTGGAAGGCGCCAACCTTGAGGCGCTGGCTGCCATACTCGTTGTCCCATCCAAACGAGGGAAAGTCGTTCGGCTTCCCCAGGGACACCTCTCCGGCTGGGACGCTGACCATTTCGTTGGCGGGCAGAAGTCGCTCCTCCCGTGATGTGCGAGCCGCCGCTGTTGGTCCTGGCCAGGCGGGATGACGAGAAACCAGGTCAACTGGTAGTTCTCGCATGAGCACGGAGCTCGTCTCAAGGTGAATCCGGTCGTGCTCAAAGGCCATAACAATAGCCCACGCTGGGTCATCCATATTTATGGGCCGGCCAAGTTCGGTTGCGAACTTGGTCGTGGCAATGACTTCGCGGGCTAGGCGATACACTTTGGCCCTGTACTCGTGAACCTCCTCGACTGCCGGCCAGTCCGTCACGTCCTTGGCGAGGTCATCCCAGGAGTTTTCGTCCACGCCGGCCTCAAGAAGAGCTTCCAAGTGGGCGTTGATAGGGCTGTTGAGGTAGCCCGCAACTCTCAGTTTGTTGATGTAGAAAGCCGCGGGATGCCCATAATAAAAGATGAGGGGGTGTCTCAACTTGTGGTCCGGCTGGCGATAAAACGCTGCCCTCGTGCGCAGACCCGCGAAAAGGGTCTCTTGCAGTGTCCATGTGTTGTCAAAGTACTGCAGCAATTCGGGTTGTCCGCTTGTGGCCAGATTGGGGAGTGGTAGAGAGGAGATGATACCGGAATCATTGACACCGGGGCAGATTCCTGCATATGGCGCTTTACCTGTGAACCACCGCTCATCGCGATAAAGGCTGTGAGGGGCAGTTCTCAGGCTTGTCGCGTTTGAAGAAGCTTGGATATCCCGCTTTGTGTCACTCGTGTGGTCCACGATGACACCAACATCGCCAGTAGCCGGCGACTTGTTGAGCAAGAGGGGTGTGTCTCCCTTGTCACCAAGCATCGTGAAACAAGGTACTCAGAAGAATAAGCTTCTGGAGTAGATTTGGGGGCAAATTGAGGTTGCCTATGTTGAGTAGCAGTGAGAGACCACGGAAGAGTTGCTCTTATGTCATCCCGCGCCGTGCCTGGGCGCGATACAACCCCAATTTAACCACCACACCTTTCATGTCGCAGCTTAGAGACTGTCTACGAGCCGTTGAATATGCACTGCGATGGAGTTTGAAGTTCAGCCGTGTGTCCATGCAGCAAGCAAAGCGGTCACAGGTCTCGCATTCCTCATTCGGCCCAGGCTTGCATCGGTGGCTCATGGCGGTCTGGATTCTCTGCATCAAATTCGTGGAAGATGAGCTTGGCATTCTCTGATCAGATCACACGAATGCGAGAGACACGGGAAGAATTGATGTGCATGTAGTGCGATGCGCGCCAATGTGATCGGGCACGGGGAGCTGCATGTCCGCGGGGCAAGCGACGATCCGATGGAGCTGCAATGTTACTACAGGCGGTTGGAGCAGGCCCAAGCCCAATTACCCCAATGGTTTCGATGTATCGAGGTTGTCCATGTTCCAAGTGGTCCTCTTGATCACGCTGTTCGGTTCAAAGCCTAGCACTAGAACCTAACAGCAGCCAGGCGGGTTCTCATACAACGGAGACTTTAACAGTACTCTGCACTCTGCAGCTTGCGAGGATACAACCTATTTCGTAACGAGAGGCTGATGGCAACGCAGCGCAGAAGACGTAAGCGATCAAATCGCATAAAGTATACCTGCACAAGTTATCCAGTGCAAGCGAAGCGACCTCCAGATAAGGTCGAATCTGTTATGTAGAGTCGTAGACGACACGCAATGGGTACCGCATAGGCATATCCTCTCAAAACTGTGGCCGCAGAAGTATCTAGGGCCCCTTCCTGGTTGCCCACTGAGAACCCACCAACGATACGATAGAAGGTGGCATGGATCTTGAAAAGCTGGCAGAGGACATGGCCTGAGCCGTACAGGACGAATGGAGGACAGGACGAATGGCTTGCATAGTTCATCCCGATTTGCCTCGCATATCATCATCGGCCAATGCCGTGCACGCTGCAGCAACTCCATATACTGCTCAGTGCAACGGTTGGGCATTCTGTTGCACAAAGTGCTTGTTCAAACTGCAGGCACACGTGTTGACCGCTCCGCTATGCTGTTCGCGCGTGCATCAGCCGTGTGCCGTGCCGATCTGCAGCCACGGGAACTAACGCAGGCGGCCCGGCAGGCCAAGGAACCAGCGTCACCGAGTTCCGCCAGCACAGCCCATGTTTAGCACAATGAACCCCGCTTAGTGCAACGGGTAGATGCCGAAATCTTGACCGAGTTGCGCGTTTTCTCGATTGTCGGGTTAGCTCCTCCGTCTGCCGCCTTTCGGCCCCTCGCCGGTGTAATGTGGCTGGCTGGAGGCTCCTCAAAGGATCTCGATCAGGCAGAGATCGCGTTGCAGGACTAGCTAGGGAAGGCGAACGCAGCACGGCTCGTCGCGAGCAGCGGATGGGTCGGCCTCCGCGAGCACCCGAGCCGCGGGACACGTCATGTTCTACAGAGTATGCCCTGTCTCAGTTGTGTGTTACGTACATGCCCTGCGTGGCATCTGGACTCGGAGCCGTCCAGTACAGAAGCGGGGTATTTTCTGGAGTCTTGCAGATGAAGAGATTGAACTCACTGATTCAACAACTGCCTGCGCGAGTCGGCGAAGTGCGGACTACACGAGCTCTCCTGCTGAGTGAACATCTCGACGTTGAGGCATTGAACTTTCCGAATCAGCGTTACGGCCCCATTCATTCGAAGGCTTGCCTCCCATACAGCAACTGGTTGAGCGTGTGCCGGGCTCACCCCTCCCAAAGCACTGGTGCTATCTTACTTGGAATCCAGAACTTCACAGTGAGTCATTGAACAAAGCAATCCTCAAGATAACTCAGTACGTTTTGTAACCAGTGACGCACAGCAAAAGACTCGAAGACCCATGTGACTGACACTTCCCAGAGTTGACTCTCCCGAAATTGTCTGAGAGAAGGGCCTCGTCGCTTGCGCATCGCCACGAGCCTGTGCCATCTACAATATGGTGTCCAACGAGTCTCTACTCGGAAACCACGCCACACCGAGCTCGGGAACCGAAGGCGGCAAATCCACAGCACTGCAAGAGTTTGTGGCTCTACATCCGAGCATCTGCTTCGTCAGGTGTCAGTGGCAAGACCACTCAGGCGTCGTGAGAGCCCGCGTCGTTCCCATCGAACATGCGCTGTCACTTGCGGCCAACAAAAGAACGCTCCATGTGCCTCCTTGCGCCTTCCAGCTCACCGTGACGAACGACTCGATCCCCGAGATAGACCCCAGGGGCAACCACCGATTGATCCCTGACTGGTCCTCGTTACGCACCCGACCAACCTTCGACTCCAGCTATGCCAGCGTCATGTGTCGCGTCGTCGAGCACCTACCGTCACGGCCGGAACCGAACTGGAACTTTTGTCCGCGGCGGGCACTGGTGACGGTGGTCGAAAAGGCAGAGAAACTCCTCCAAGCAGAGTTTCTTGTCGGATTCGAGGTGGAGTTTCAAGTCATGAAACTGTCAGCTGATGGGAGCATGGTTCCCTTCAGTCGTGGCATCGGCCGTTGCGCAATCTCTGGGCAGCGCGACCCTTGCTTTGCCTACGTCGAGGAAGTTGTACGGGTGTTGCAAGCGGCAGGCGTCGGCGTCGGCGCCTTTCAGACGGAGGGTGACCGAGGGCAATACGAGATTGCTCTTGAGCCTCAAACAGCCATGAGCGCCATCGATGAGCTCATCTTTGTCCACGACACCATCAAGTCAGTCTTCGCGCGGCATGGGCTCGTGGCCACCATGGCGCCTCGGCCGGTCGAGTCCAGGTCGCAGACGGCGGGACAGCACATGCACGTGTCGATCAACCCACCGAACCGGGAGAGCTCGTTCCTGGCAGGCATCCTGGGTAGACTTCCAGAGCTGTGCGCCCTCTGTCTCCCGTACGACTTGTCGTACGAGCGCGTGCAGCCGTACCTCGCTGGGCACGTCGTGGCGTGGGGCTCGGAGAACCGCGCCGTGCCAATCCGGCAGATCAAGTCGGGCCATTGGGAGTTTCGCTGCATGGACGCGACGGCAAATGTCTACCTCGCACTGGCCGCGGTGCTGAGCGCCGGCATGATGGGTTGCGTCAGGGAAGAGCCGTTGCAGTGGCCGGACACAGGCTTCATTGAGGAACACTACCCTGTGAATGGCACGCCCCTTCCCCGGACTATCGAGGAGTCTCTGGAGAGGCTGCAAGACACATGCCACGACTTTCAGAGTGTTATGGAGAGTCAGGTTATCCGGCACTACATTAGTGTCAAGAGAGCCGAGGCGCCCAAGCTCCAGAGCATGGCTCCCGGGGCAGTGCGACACCTGTTGTCTGAGATATTCTAGTATTGGTGCGTTCAACTGGTCCGGGTCAGACTCTGAGCTGTGGCGCAGGTGTTGGCTGAGGTGAACTAGGTCAACTAAAAGAGAATACAATTGAATTGGGCCAGTTTCAATTGAGTAAACGGGTGTCGATCAATAGTGTGGTGAGGCTCGCCCGGACACTGGGAGTAAACGTCTATCGCCGCCGTTAACGCCGCAGAGGGGAAAAGCCGACCATAACGACACCAGTCAACCTCTTGTCGACCACAGGAGAAAACGCATCAAAGATGTACTGGCACTCCTTGTGTTGGCCTTTTCTCTTCTATCCATGCGGTGTCACTGTATCCTTGGTCTTGCCCAATATCTTAGAGGTGAACGAGGCGACGACTGACAATTGCAATTGCTCAGGTCTGGGCAAAGAGCCGGCCGACAGCTGGCATCATTTCTGGCAGTGAGTATTACCGAGGTTATGTCAAACACGCCCAACCGCATCGCCGGCTCACTGCGATCCTTCAACGGCGAATGACGCATCGAGCCTCCCGCGCGAAACCAACATGGCAAGAAGCGGAGTTTGGGCGTCTATGACCACTATCTCCGAACTGAAGAGGCGACATATAACTGAACTCGAGTCTGCACTCACCAAGGCCCTCCAGAGACATTGTTTCCATCCCAGTATCCATTGTCGGTCTCGCCACAGTCGTCATGTCGTCTCCTGTCTGGCTCATCACAGGCGCGTCGAGCGGGTTCGGCCTGTCTCTCACGCTCCGGGCCCTCAAGGCCGAGCACCGCGTCATCGCGGCAATCCGCAGCAAGACCAAGTCCGCCGACGCCGTCCAGCAAATCACCGCCAGCGGAGGCCAGGTCGTCGAGCTGGACATGACGGAGTCGCAGACAAGCATCGCCGCCAAAGTGAAGCAGGCCGAGGACATCTACGGGCGCATCGACATCCTCGTCAACAATGCGGGGTACTCGCAGCTCGGAGCGGTGCAGCACTTTACGTGAGTGGAACTATCTTATCTGCCTGTTGGCAGACGAAGCCAACGGAATGGCTAACACCAGAAACCCAGAGAGGACGAGTTCATGCTGCAGTACCGGACCAACGTCTACGGCCCGCTCTTCACGACGCAGGCCGTCCTGCCGGGAATGCGCTCACGCCGCAGCGGCCTCATCGTCAACCTCAGCAGCGTCGGCGGGCAGGACGTGCTCGCCACGTGCGGGGCCTACAGCTCGAGCAAGTTTGCGCTCGAGGGCATCTCCGAGGCGCTGGCCAAGGAAGTCGCCGAGTTCGGCATCTCGGTGCTCATCGTCGAGCCGGGCGCGTACCGGACCAACTTCTTCCACGCGCTGCAGCGGCCGGCGGGCGGCCGGCTGCCCGACGACTACAAGGGCACCGTGACCGAGGCCATGTTCGATAAGTTCGCGGAGATGACGGGCAGGCAGCCGGGCGACCCGGACAAGGCCGTGGAGCGCATGTTCCAGGTCATCACGGGGGAGGGCAGCGGCGGGAGGTTGCGCGGCAAGGTGCTGCGGCTGATGCTGGGGATGGATGCTGTGGAGCGCATTGAGAAGAAGACGGATAGGCTGCGCGAGGACTTGGCTGAGGCGCGCAAGCTGGAGGAGGAGTGGAGCACGCTGTTGTAGAGAGGATGGTCAAATAAAGCATCTTGAATTGAGTGAGGTTGTGAATTGGTGAAGCCTGTGGTCCCGAAGTGGACAGTGGGGGTTTTTTAGCGGGCGAGAGAGCTCCCCACCAGCCGCTTCCACCTCTGGGCGAGCTCCGCCAACTCCCACCTCGTCATCCCTCCATCGCACCATCACCAACCCGCCCCAGCGTTGAGCCCACTACCGCTCTCAACCCTCAGTTGCGACACCCACGCCCTCACCCGCGCCCGACTGCGTGGCAATCGCGCGTTTCATTGTTCCTTCAGGCATCATGGCCGCCGCCGCGGCCTCGGCGCCGCACTCGCCGAGCGACGAGAAGCCCGCCTTCGAGCTCAACCTCCAGCACGGCCACAAGGACCTCGTCCAGGCCGTCGCCTTCAACACCTACGGCGACCGCTGCGCCACCGGCTCCGTCGACGGCCGCATCCGCGTCTTCAACCGCCACCGCGACGGCACCTGGAGGCTGTGCGACACGTGGAGCGCGCACGGCGGTGAAGTCCTCGAGGTGCGTACCGCCTACATACATAACGACGCGGCCCCCAGGGTTCTGCTGCGGCACTTGCCTCTGTTATATGAACCAACCGAGTGATCTTGCCAATGTCGTAATGGCTGGCTGGCTGGCTGACTTGTTGCCTGCTTGATAGCTGCAATGGCTCCCCGCCACCATCTACCCCAACCTCATCGCCTCGCTCGGCATCGAGGGCTGGTTCCGCCTCTGGGCCGAGGACCCCTCCGCCGCGCCAGGCCGCCGCTTCTGCTCCGGCCGCTCCGTCTCCGGGCGCCCGGCCTTCGACACGCGCTCCAGCCGGGCGCCCTACCGCTCCTTCTCCATGAAGCACAACGAGGAGACGCGCCACACCTACCTCGCCCTCGTCGCCACCGACGGCCGCCTCACCGTCTACGAGAACGACGCCCCCGAGAACCTCTCCGAGTACACCTCCATCGACGCCTTCACCGTCTGCCCCCGCCCCAGCCGCGGCGAGGAGGTCTCCTTCCGCGTCCGGTTCGACCCCAACCCGGAGCCCTGCTACGCCGCCCTGCGCGCCGGCGTGCCCACCGACGCGCTGGGCCTCGTCGTCGCGGGCATGGACGCCGTCAAGGTGTACCGCTCGCGCGACGTCGTGTCAGCGTCGTATGGCGTCTCGTCCACGCAAAAGGAGTTTTACCTCGCCGCGGAAATCACCGGCCATAGAGGGCTCGTCCGCGACTTGGCGTGGGCGCCCGGCAACATACGAGGCTACGACATGATTGCGACGGCGTGCCAGGACGGGTACGCGCGCGTCTTCCGCCTCGACACGCCGCACTCGGACACCGACGGCAAGTCCTGGTCCGCGGCCGACATCCTCAAACCCGTCGGGCCCCAAACCGTCAGGGACTCGACGCCGAAAGACGACGGAGACAAGTCACAACAGCAGCAGCAGCAGCAGCAGTCGCAATCACAACAACAGCAACAGCAATCATCACAACAGCAGCAGCAGTCCCAGCAGCAACAGCAACAACAGCAACAACACAACCACCCCTCCACCCTGAGCGCCAGCCTCGCCAAGTCGGGCCACCAGGGCGACCGGCACTGGTCCGGCCAGCCGGGCCAGGTCAAGCACACGGTGCGCGAGCTGTCGCGCCTCGACAGCCACCGCACGCCCGTGTGGAGGGTCGGCTTCGACGACGACGGGCAGATCCTCGGCAGCACGGGCGACGACGGGCGCCTGCTGTGCTACCGCCAGACGCCCGACGGGGCCTGGGCCAAGAGCTCCGAGCTCATCATGATGAAGGCCCGCATGTTTGCGCCGTGAGCGGCACCACCCACTATGTTACTTTGTGGCGGCGTTTAGGCGGGGCGTGCGGGTGGGCAGCATGCAGGATGGCCGGCATGCAGAAGAGCTTGTGGGCTTGCTCCTTGGTGTCCTCGGCTGTGGGTTAATGAGCTTGGTCTGATACTGTGCTTGTAAGATATACTTGGGTGTAGTTGGGCGTTTCGGTGTCGGGCTGAACATGATATAGCAAGTCTCTGGCTCCATGTAGATCGATGGATGTCTACTTTCACACGAACATCACAATCAAGTCGGTCTGACAGAATATTTGATCATTGAGTGTATTCATATGGGGGATTCTCACTTCACTGCGTGATAGTGACTCTTGCGCCTTGGCATACTGCCGCGGCAAATTCTAATGGTGCTTGCTCCCTGTGTCGTCACCAGTATTCGTTATGCTCTTTTCCCCTCCCAAAAAGCCGCCGCTGAAGCTAGACAAATTGAAAAAGCAACCCAACTCCGTCCCAACGCCAGTCATGATGTGTCTTGTTTTTGGCGGGCTGCTAGTCACGGGCCCCAGCGAGAGAGCAGTGCGGTTGGGTGGCTGGGCTCGTCAGGAACCCCAACCCACGCCCCGCCCACCGCTTGTGAGGCCCCATTCTCAACGACATTACGAGCCCCACGCCCGTTCCTGCATCCGAGCCGCGACGACGAAAAAGCGACTCGAATCCTCGATGCGTTCGTGCTTAGGCGGCGTCGGCGCTCGCCGCGGGGTCGACAACCTTGGTGACCTGGGAGCCGGCGCGGACGATGCGCTGGCCGGCCGAGTCGTTCATGTAGGTGATGTCCTTGTTCTCGAACTGAGCGCGCTTCCAGATCTCCACCTCGCAGCCGCCGCGCAGGACGCCGACGCGCATCGTGGAGAGCAGGTTGTGGGCGGCGTTGGAGTGGAGGTAGACGCCGCCGTTGAAGATGGCCGTGGCGTCCTTGCCAATGGCCGACGAGATGAGGGCCTTGCCGCCGGGGTGGTCCTTGATGAAGTCGCCGACGTCGTGGATGACACCGGCGACGGCGATGAGGGCCTTGCCCTTGTTCTTGGCGTCGTCGACAAAGTCGTCCCAGCTGATGACGGGGAGCTGCTCGAGGGGCGTGCCCCAGTCGAGGGTGGCGCGCTTCTGGTCGAGCTTCTTCTGCAGCTGCTGGACGCGGCCCTTTTCGATCTCGTTGGCGCGGAACTGCTTGAGGTCGTAGGCGAGGCCGAGGTACTTCCAGACGCAAATCATCCACTTGGTCGGGTCGTACTGCCACCACTCAATAGCGTTGCGGAAATCTGACGGGAACTCGTGGTGGAAGTTGTGGTATCCCTCGCCGAGGGTGACGAGGGCGGTGATGACGTGGTCGCGGGGCGAGTTGCGGTCGTCAAAGGGCTGGTCGCCGAGCCAGTGGGCGAGCGAGTTGACGCAGAAGGTGGCCTGCTGGACGAAGCAGATGCGAAGGATGCCGCCATAGATGAAGCCGCCCCACCAGTCGCCCCAGCCGAGACCGCAGACGAGCGTCGGGAAGACGAGGGCCATGGAGATGACAGACTTGAGGTAGTTGCGGTGCTGCCAGACGACGACGGGGTCCTCGTTGAGGTCGGTGATGTCGGTGCGGCCCTTGCGCTTGGGGTTCTGCTTGAAGACCATCCATCCCAGGTGGGAGTAGAGGAGGCCCTTGCGGACCGAGTAGGGGTCCTTTTCGGTGTCGGTGTAGCGGTGGTGGGCGCGGTGTCCGGTAGACCACCAGCGGATGGAGCCCTCGACGGCGCCAGCACCGACAGCGGCAAGATAGATCTTGAGGGGAAGGGTGGCCTTGTATGAGGTGTGGGCCCAAAGACGGTGGTATCCTGGGCGAGGTCAGTTAGTACGTGACTCCAGAAGATATGAACAAGGCGGCTGACGACTTACCAGCAGTGATGCCGAGACCGGTGTTGAAGTAGTAGATGACGGCGAAGATGGCGGTATAGAACTGAAGGGGCACCCAGTAGGCGGAGATGAAGCCAATCATGGGGATGAAGATGATGAAGGTGGTGTTGAGCCAGTTGATGTGCTTATGGATGTTGGACCACGTCATGGGCGTGTCGGCGATGTGCACCTTGGTGGCATCCCACTTGCCATTGCTCCGGAGCGGCTTGTAGTCGGTGGTGCCGTCCGGGAAGGCCGCGGCCTGGGCCTTGGAGGCCGAGGTCGAAGACTCGGACATGTTGGGCGGCAGTCTGTCCGGTGTTCACTCGCGAGAGTCGGTCGCGCAAGGCGAATAAGCACCGAGTGCGTGAACAAGTAGTCGGTCCCAACAGACAAGAACCTGACTGTTACCGGGGGCGAGGGACTGTGCGACAAGGGCTGTAATAAGGGAAAGATGAGAGAGAGAGAAGGGGGGCCGTGACAAAGAAGGAGGGGGAGGGAAGGAGGAATTAAAAAGGAGAAGAAGAGCAGCAGAGAGAAATAGGTAGGTAGGCAATGCGGTTCGGAAAAGTATGGGGAATGCTGGGCCGGGAGGCAAGGAGGGCGGTTGTTTTCGCGGGCGGGCGGGTTGGTTGGGGCGGAGGCGGGCCAAAAGCTTTGAGCCTCGACGACTCGAGGTGAAGGTAGAGCCCGCGGGCGTGTAAGCAAGCAGCAGGCACCCTGACCGGAGAAGAGGATGGATGGATGGAACACAAGACCCAGGCGCCACTTGTCTCCACGCTCGGCTTTTTTTCTGCCTGTCTCTTTTGCTTTTACGGACCCGTTGATTCGTTCTCTGCCATCAGCTGGTGCAGCGCCTGGTTTTATAACTGATTGTTCCCGTGCCGTGTGCAGTTTGATACATGCGCGTTCGCTCGCTCCTTCCCTCCTCCGCGCTGCCTCGGGATGGGATTGGACGGGGGGCCTGGCCTTGCACATGTACCTGCGTACCTCGCCAACAAAAAAAAAAAAGGGACGTCTACGTGACATGATACACCTGATGACGGGCAGCGCATGCTTTGCCTCGTGCTTCCGAAGCAGAAAGAAATGCTTCACATGATAGAAAAGCATCGAACGGCATAACACTAGCCATAATCGCAGCAGTATCTCGTCCAGCGCCGCCAGCACGTTCTGCCAGGCTAGTAGGCCACAGATAGTACGATAGATGGGCTGGGCGCTGCCGAGGCGCGCGACAGGGCCGGCCACACGGCACGCACCAAAAGTGGCCACCCACCCATCATCCACCCCCGGTGCTGACCCAACCCTTCTTCCCCAACAACTTTTTTTTTTCCCTGGTCCCTGGTTTGGCAGCTTTCGCGGCGCGGCAGGCCGGCCCCGCTTTTCGCATCACAGGGGGGCGCAATCTGGTTCACGGGGGACCCACTGGCCCGAACCTTCGCCCGCCACAGGGCGATGAGGACAAAAAGTGTGTGGGCGGGTGGGTGGTGGCAACGGCCCGGCCATACCACAGGGAACGGAAACGTCTGGCAGGCTGGATCGGGTACCAGCACGCCTGGCAGCGGTGGCGAGATACCTGCCGTTTTCTGTCGCCCTTGCGAGAGGCGCTGCCCTGGCGTTGGTGAAGGGGACCCCCCGAGTGAGCGGGAGGAGGGAAGGAGCAAGCTGTGGCTGCTGTGGCGTACCTGCGTCGCCCTGTGCCATCGCTCCTTCCCGCCCGCTGGAACGAGACTCGATTGGGGGCTGCTCGTCAGCAGGTACGCTGTAGTCGCACGCATTGGCGAGACGTGGTGATGCGATGCATCACAGCAGCTGTGCTGGGCTCCTCGGTGTGCTTTCCCCAGTCTTGGATCCCCTCTGCCCTCAATCTGCTCTGTGCGCGTCGCCACCCCGTTCCCTCCCGTCGGTCCCTGATCTGATGGGCCCTGGCATCTGGGCCCTGGGTGAGAGGTGACAGGCCATCAGGCCAAGATCGGACCCTCGCCTACTAGGTATACGTATTCCCCCACTTGCCCTCTTGCTCTCCTCCACGTTTTCCCGACAAGCTTCCAGCTCCGGCAGCAAGGGACACGTTCATACATTGCCTTGCATGCTTTGCGCGGGAGTTGTCACCGCTGTGACTCCCTCCCGGGGTGCGCCGCCATCTCTTTCGTACATCGGCGGCCCTGCCGACATTGCCCGTGCCCTCTCCCATAATTACACTGCCATGATGCCACTTCCTCCACCACGCCATCAAGCTTTCCTTGCTTGCTTGCTTGCTTGGTTGCGCGGCCCAACAACAAGGAACATCATGTCATACCTCGGCCCCAATGGGCATCGCACCCGAATCAAGAGGCACTTGATTGCGGCGAGCCGTGAAGGATTTCGCATCATGAACCCTGTCCTAACTTGCCGCGTCCCGGCGCGTTCTCAACGATTTCGATCCCCGGTTGCGATTAGCTAGATGAGTACCCGGGGGCGGGCGGCTGCTGCGATGAAGGTCGACGTCGACCTCGCCGCAATGACGTTGGGGTGGGGGGGAGGGAAAACCGCGGCCGGGATGCCGGGACCTTGTTTGCGCGGCGGCGGCGGCGGGCCTGCCCGGCGTCGAGCCACTTTGGCATGTGCTGCTGCTGGTGGCCCGCCATCACTCGGCAGCCCTAGCACAGGTCCCGGGGCGGTACAATCGCGCCTTGAATTCTATGGCGTGTGTGCGCTCGCCTCCGCTGGTGGCGATAAACGATGATGCGTCGTCAGAGCGCTTGTAAGTCGTCGTCGTCATTCATCGCCCAGGGCACCCACCGCCTGTCTCTCTCCAGCGCGCACTGCTCACCCACTTACGCGACCGCCATTACACGGACCAAGCAGGCCAGAGTGGCTGTTCATGCATGGCTCAGTGAGCGTGCCATTCGTCTTACTCAGAACTGTAGGGAACCTGCCGGAGCATCATCTGACCTTCATTGCGCCAAGCCCTCATTGACGGCAATCGACCCATCTCAACGCCCTACGGAATGCCGCTGAAAGACAGCTGCCAGCTAATGATACGAGTACGAACTGCAAAGTCAGAGCCCCCGACTCCAGATTTCACAGTCAAGTGGCCACATTCACCCAAGAACGGATTGCCGAGGCGCCAGACCACCCCCGGTCTGCCCAAATGGAATGGCTGGCTCGACCACCCCGCCCTGGCCCAGCTCTCCCCAACAGAAACGTTTGGGGGTCTCGTCGCCGTCGCCCGAGCTCTGGCTGGCTAGCAGCCAATCAAGGCGTCCGTGTCCCCGTTTTCTGCAAGAGGAAAGCTCTCCACCCACGTGACTGTCGTTGGATCTTTGGCCCCCACAGAGACCCTTCCACAGCGGCTTCTAGAATGCCAGAGGGAAAGAAGCGAGGATGCTAGCTTAAGTTGCTAAATCAGGCCTCCGTAGCTCTCGTACCAGACGAAGTAGTTTGAGGCTCCCTCGCGTTGCTTCCAGTGGTATTACGGACCGCATCAAGCGAATCCTGGCCATTCTTACCCTCGCTGTGGCACGGTGTCGCTGGTTACACTCGTTTGAGACGTGCATACCGACCAGGGTTCCTTAATCCGTATCATTCAAGGTCGTGATGCGCATAACATTCATACTCGGTACAGTCATCTGCTATACTACCGTGCGTGTCCAAAACAGTCATATGCATGCCTCTCGCCTGACATAAATGAACAATCAGTTGCCTGCCCGCCTTCTGTAAAATACAACGGCCGCCACGCCGAACAATGCGCCCAAACAAGCCACTTGCAACATCCTGCCATGGTCTTTATGTTCCCGAGTCTGTCGTTATCATTACTGCCGGCACTGTACTGGGCCGGGTTATAGGGTTCAGGTCGTCGTCAAATATACCCTGTCTTCGCATCACGCTGTCGTCAATTCCGAGATGTGCCGCTCCGATGCCTGTTAGTGATTCTGGTAGCGATGCTTGCCTCGCGAAACCCGGCTTCGATTGTCCGCGGGCAGCCCGAGCCATTATATGGGCGTCCGAGTCGTCCAAAGGCGATGAGGCAAGGCGGCTACGTGTCGCGACACCGGCGGTCGAGTTCGACAGGTTGCTCTGCGAATGAGCGCCTTGCCCTGTGTCGTCATCTCCCTCCGCCTGAGGCTTGAGCACCATGCCGCTAAGCTCCTGGGCTACCAAGCGTTCTGTTTGCCGCTCGACCCCGATTCCCATATTCTCGTGCGCAGCAAGCGTTGTTGTCTCCTGTTGTGACTCTGTCGACCCCTCAGGGCGTGCCATCGACACACGTTCCACGGCGAAATTGCGGTCTGAGTCGTGACCCGGTGCGTTCTGGTGCGTCTGCGGTGCCGTCGCTGGCCGGATGTATTCCACTGGCGTATGTGCGCGGGAGCGGCACACAATTTCCGACACAGTACTCTCCTTCGCCATGTTGGATGCCTCGTGGGCTGTTGTTGCACCCGCGTCTGCTGCGTCGTGTGAAGGAGCCGGCGAGACCATGTCAAGCCTGACGACGGTGTCTGTTCGAACCAAACTAGGGGTTGGTGCAGCTTCCGCTCCCGTGACACCAGGCTGCTCTCGCACGGCATCGGAAATGTCATTCGGAGTCGCCACACCTGCAGCCTCGGCGCCGTGGTTCGTCAATCCACCAGCCACCTCCGGTGCTGTTGTAACACTTCCTGCCCCGGGTTCCGACGGTTGTGGAAGAGGCGTGTCAGCTACGGCGGCAATTCCCGTTGTCGGTGTTGGTGTGCCCTGCTCGTTTTCTGGCTGTGACATGTCGTCCGTACCCATCTCATCCGCGCCCACATCCGTGTACGAGGGTCGCACGCTCCTATTTGCAGCCCACGAGGTCTTGCTGAAGGGGTCCCGTGATGACTCGCATATATCAAAGTCACTGGGCAAGGGGCTCGGAGGCGAACGGCCGCGCGCTGGGTAGTACTGCTCGTACGGCACCGGGCTGGTATCCACGTACGTCCTGCCCGAGTAGAGAAAATCGTTCGGCGGTTCGACGGTCCTAATCAGTGGCCGAGCATCGGCGCGGTAGCCGTCCACAAAGTATTCGTTGAGCGAATGCCCGTCGTCAACCGTGACGGGGTGTGGCTTGGCGTATGCACGCTCGTCCTCGTCAGTTGTATGCGGGAACATTCGCAAAAGCGTCGAAGCCTGCTGTCGCATCCTTGGATCGGCGCTGAGGCATATCTCCGTCATTTGTCGATACCAGTCAGGGACATTGATCTCTGGGCCCAGCATCAGCGGCCGGCCATGCGCTTCAGGCTCGTCCTCCTCCATCGCAAGTCCCCACAGCACCATGCCGAGTTGATACAGGTCCGACTTGACGCCAATGTACATGCTGATGCGATGGCCGGCATTGATCAAGGCTGTTGCCTCTGGTGGCTCCCAGCCAACGGGGCAGCCTCGCCTGTTGATGTCGATGATTTTGGCGTTGTCAAACTCATCGATGACAATGTTGGAGAGGGTAAAGTCGCCTTGCACGAATCCAGAATCGTGAACATCTGATAGACCTTGCACAATCTGTCGCGCCCATCGTTCCTTGGTGGCCCAGGAAAGGGCGTAGTTGCCGTCTTTACAGTGGTCGTAAATGATGTCAATGAGCGCGCCCTGTGACGCGTAGCTGATGAGGAGGCCCTTGACGTGGTCATCTTTGTCGTCAACCACGACGCCGTAGAAGCGGACTACGTCATTAGAGTAGCGCAGGCTGTTGAGGGCGTTGACCTCGTACAGAAACTCGTCGATGGTATCCTGGCTCGGTATCTCCTTCTTGATGAGAACATGGCCATGCACGTTGACCTTGTACACAAAACCGGACATGTGGGAGTCAAAGACAATATCGCGCTCCCTGATTCGTCTGCAGCCCAAATGTCGTACTTGGCTGACGGAAGGGTAATTGATTATTTCCTGCTCTGTGTCAGCAAACCAGTCCAGGTCCGAGACACGGCGCCCGGGACAGGGGAGTAGATAGCGCGCCAAAAGCGAGGCGGTGACACAAAGTCTACGCGGCAGGGATGGGCAATGGAGAAAAGAGAGGCCCCACTCACATTGCCGTCCTCGACGACGTGGACATGAAGTCGGCCATCGGTTGTCTCGAGCTTGAGGTTGGTGACGGTGTCGTAGAATTTGATGTCGGCCAGGCTCTCGCGAATTGCCTCGTAGATTTTGGCACTCTTTTCGCGCTGATATCGGGTCTGGAACAGGTCCATCTCAAGTGAGTTTGGTGTGGCATAGCGATAGTCGAGGGAAATGGTGACCCGACGCCAGAGGTGCTCCTTTTCTCGGTAGGTGACGAAGAATTTTTCCCGTTTGGAACGATCCCTAAAGTGCATGCTGAGGTTGAGAATCCATTTCCTTTCGAGTTCGTCGTTGATCATGGCTTCATGCTGCGATGTCGTCATGGACTGGGCGTCCAACGACCCATCAGAGGGTGGGAGCGTCCCATCGCCACCTTTGCCAGGCTCGGGGAACAGCTCTGTGTCCATGGACTGTACCGCCAGCCCATGGCCAACGTACTCTCCTGTATGCAGAGAGCCATGGTGGGGGAATTCGTCGTCCTGCGAAGAGCCCAACAATCCCGGGGCACTGACGCGAGGGTTCGCGCCGAGCTCCGAAGGATGTCGCGTGTGCCGGCTGCGTGAGCGGCGATCGACCGATGCAGCTCTCCTCTCGTCTGCCGAGGGCGGGACAGGAGCGAGATTCATCCGTTGTTCAGACTGCTGCCTCGCGAACGTTTGGGAACGTGGCAGGCCTGTGATGACCTCCCTCCCAGCGTGGCATGGAGCCGTAGGCCGGATGGGCTCCTGAGGGGCGGCCTCATGAGGGTCGGGTGCATGGTTCTGCGGCGGCGCTTTGGGAACCGACGAGCTTCTCGGGTTCGGCTTATGCATGAACTTGCGGAGAAACGACAGTCTCCCAACCGGCGGCGGCTCAGATTCGGTGCCGTCCGGGGACGCCATGTTGAACGGCCAGCGATGCCGGGAAGGGAGCGGTGAGATGGCCAGGCGACGGCACGGATGTCAACCCAATATCGACAAATATGCAAATGAAGAGAGCCCGACAGGGGCACCAAATAGATGATTTGGCCTTGAACGGGTAGGTGAGAGATGCATGTAGGCAGACGCACGCAACCGCCTCACGACGGAGCGGAGGAGCGTGACGAGAGGAGCCTGAGAGAAGACGAGTGGGAGGATGTGGTACAGAGGGCGTCAGACAGACAAGGACAGGAAGCGTAGTGACGAAACCACAGGCTGAGAGGTAGACGATGACGAGACTGCCGGGCGGGACGAGGACACGAAGTACGAGGCGCGAGCATATGCAGCGGCCATCGGGAGAGCTGGAGCTGGCCAACGACGTGGACAGAGGTGAGGTAAGGGGTGGCGTGAGAGGCCGGTGGGGTGAGATTGCGAAGTTGAGTCGACGTTGAAGCCTGGGTGGAGGTCCGAGGAGGAGGTGACGGGCGAGAGCAACGGCCGCGGTGAGGCTGCTTCGTTTGGTGCTGGGAACCTGGGAAAAGCGGCTCCGCGGGTGCCTCAGGGATGATCTGGCTGCTGGCGGCGCTTGGGCTGGCGCGGCGGCGGGCCGCTGCTAAGGTTCCAGGCTTAGCCCGCTGTTTGCTGCGAGGCTGGACGGCGCAGGCAGGGCAGCGGCACGACCTTGTGGACGGGTGACGGAGCCGGGGGTGGTGATGGTGGGAGGGAGGGATCATGGGCCGGGGGGCGTCTGTCAGTCGGTCGGCGGCGGCGGCGGCGGCTGGGGCGGGGCGAGGGGGCAGGGTCGGGCAGGGGATCGAAGGCGACGGGACGCGACCCGGGGCTCTGGGTTGCTGGATCGTGTACTTGGCGTCCCGAGCTGGGCGTTGACCCTCGCAGCAGCAGCACGACGGTTTGTGCCTCCGTCCGGGCAATTGATTGAGGCAGAAGAAAAACGGCATGGCGGTTCCAAGTTCCAATGTATTTGGGTACTAGGTACTTCATTTGTGCTACAGTACATCCGTGGATGCGTCGGGGGCAACAGCGACCTGGGCTGTGCCTGCCTGCCCCTTTTGCGGGAGGCGTGGTGGCACGTTGCGGTGTGCAGCTCCAGCGACTTCGCGCGGTACTTCGTTCAAATTGGAGGTGGCAGGGGAAAGGCCTCCACTCTTGCCTCCCGTCTCCTCCACCTCCACCTCCTCCTACCCGACTAATGCCCACGTCCTAACCGCGTCTTTTCTTCCAGTGATCAAATCCAGCCCGGCCCAGTCCAGTGCGTCCCTCCAACTCCAACTTCAACTCCACTCCGGCACCGCAGCTCAGGCACCTGCGGCGCTCGCTCCCAGCGCTCCCCGGCCAGTCGCTGGTCGCAGGGCGAGTGCCGTCCCTGGTCTTGCCCGCAGGTCAATACAGTCATCCCGCGCAAGCGTCCCAGGAGATGCTCTTCCGTTGACGCCTGATGATGCCCTGGACGCCACCAGCTTGGTGCAGTAGTTTGCAGGAGACGTAATCGGCCTGCGTTCCGTCCGCCCTGGACCCTTTCTGGGTTGGGATGCCTCGATGTTCGGCGCAGCTCGTCAACGTCAGCACCTCGCCCGAGGTCAGATGTTGTCCTCACTCGAGGAATCCTTTCATCATCTGCCGTCGGACGACGGCTGCTTCGAGTATCGGCCCCATGGGAGCCGGAATCGACGGCCTCTTCCCAACGAGCTCCCGCGGATCACACCTCTCAATCCAGCGCGCCGAAATTGCACGTGCCCCCCGCCGGCGCCGCCTGTCAGTTCTGCACAATCGCACATGACGACCGCTACCTTAAAAATACCCTCAACACGTGCTCCCAGCCTCGTAGGCTTAGCCGCCATCGAGGTACCTCGCACCTGTCCAGAATAGCTGCTTCGAATCCGTCCCTGCGCATCCGTCGATACGTCGGTTATTTTCACGCAGCCTTGGGCTTCAACCGGCCATGCCGACTGCCCCGTCCAAGCAGCCACCGAGGCGTTCTCGACTCGAAATGGCGTGGTCCCAGTGGCTTGGAGGGCCAGCAATGAAGCAAAAATTGGCCGAACCGCCGTTCGTATGACGAATTCCTGCAGTATCGTACCTGTCGCGCACCAGCTGCAGGTGTCGTATCGGACAGCACGTGTTCGCCTCCATCGTACCAAGACCATGCTGCGCGGTTGTGTCTGTGCTCGTACCTTGGACGTTTGCTGGAATACCATGGCTCCTGGCCATCCATATCCCGTCGCCCGTCGCTCCGTCTCTTCCCGGATCAGATAATTGGCAGCACAGTCAGGTCAGGCCACGACCTGGTCCCCAAGCACCGGCACCGCGAGGGCCCTTGCCAGCGCATCAGGTAAACCGACTACTTGGGTGCCTCGCAGCGTCCCGACAAACCCACCAGCCCGGCACCCTTCCACCCGCACACCGTGATGGCCTGCACGATGGCGACTGCAGTCGTCCAGTTTCCCTCCTCCTTCCCATAGGGCGCGCGCGCGGCACTCCCCCGCTTGGAGCCATGCGCCTGGTCCACTCGCGCCGTCCACGTCACACAAGGCCGCCCACGCGCACACCACAACCGCCGAGCAGTAGATCAGGCATAATTGCATCAACCGACACGGCCAAGTATCGGCGCTAGGTGGGTAGCGTGCATGGCCAAAAGCACAGGAAAATTCGGGTTAGCAGCGAGGCTGCAGCTCGCCGCGGCTGGCCATGAATGCATTCCGGGCCCAGCCAAAGGAACACTCTGGCGACCACTGCCGGGGCTTGGGCATCGTCAGTTGGGCCGTGACAAGAGTCAGAGCGCTGCCGCCCCGATCGTAAGCGGCGTACAGTGAGGCCGATCGTACTGCACGATCATGATGTCTCGCGGCGTTGGCCAGGACGTGTATGGACTTTAGCGGCCGGACTTGAGTGCACAGAACATCCTCGTCGGCCAGCCTCTTCTCGCCGGTGTTTATTGTTTGGATGTTCCCACGCCCCGACGGAGAGCGATTGAGGAAGGATCGCCAATTGCACCGCTCAATCGGGCAACCGAAACGGTCCGGGCCAGCTAGGCTCGTCCCGCGTCCCCGTTCCCCACAACCCGGCCCCACCTTCACCGTTGCTGGCTCGTTGTGCACCTTGCCCGGCCTGCCAGGACCGGGATGAGAGGAAACCCGTCCCTTAGAGGGCCATCTCCTATTATTTAAAACTTCGGATGCCCTGAAGCAAGCCGATCGAAAGCTTCAACCGTGAATTGGGTCCACGTACTCCTCCAAAATGAAATCGAACCTTGAAGTAGATCAATATCGACCTGCAAGACCTACGCGGGCAACTTAGCAGCTTGCGTGCATAAGGTGACAGCAGCCAGACCCCAACTTGGCAGGGCGATGCGGATGCTGCGTAAACAGGCGTAGCATCCCTTGAGCTCTTCCTTTCTCATTGCAGGAGCCGTTGCCCCGTGCCTTGCTGGCAATGATGCCACCGATGGGTTCAAAATGACACTCACTACTAGGCGACAACCAAGCTTAGGGTGTTCAGATCGAGCCAAAGCTCACAGAGATCCTCTTATATGAACTTGAAGCACTATGCCAACATGCTCGCTATGCTCGATAAACGCAAGTCTCCTAACATCATGCAGAACGTGTAACGCCCAGTGTCGTACGTCATCAAGCTGGCATTGTTTCCCCTTTCGCAAGAGTAAGATACGGGCAACCCTTCCAGTCACATGTAGTCTGGTGCAATTCTTAGTGTCGGGGCGTTGCTAGTTCTTGATGGGGAGAGGCCGCTCGTACCTGATATACCTCGGTCCCCCACCACGAAAGCCGATTCGACGCGCCGGTATAGACGACAGCAAAGAATATAATAATGCCCGATATTGCCGTCGAGCAGTCCAACGACGCGCTGAGCACAAAGTTGAACTTCTTCCACCACGTCCGCCGGCAGCGCTTGACCAGCAGCCCAAACACCAGGCCAACGAGCGCCCAGCTGCCGTAGTTTGTGCCCGAGGCGGGCGGGATGTAGCCCAGCCCGCCGAGGAAGAGCGGGACGTGCACGCGGCGCAGCCATCTCTTCTGGCGCGGGAACGCGCGGCGCAGAGCATACGGAGCCACGGGGAGCAAGAAACCCACGAGGAAGAACCACAGGAGCGCGCGGTAGGGCGCACCGGGGGCGAAGAAGCGTCGCGGGCCGAGCGCGCCCCAGACGGTGCTGGTGTTGAAGTGCGTGCGCGAAAAGGGGCAGGTGAAGCCGTTGGGGGCGGAGGCCGTGCAGATGTGCGGGATGTGGTTGAGGGCCCAGTTGAGGACGGAGACTTGCCCGAGGGAGCCGACGACGAGGCCTACGGCTTGAACGAGAAACAGGTGCCGCGGGGGTATCTAGTTTGGGTCAGCCAGCCGCACGAAGGTCGAAAATGCGCCTGTGGAAGTGTGGTTGTTACGTTGCAGTATATGCCCAGCTTAAGGTCCTGCGCAAAGGCGAGCCCCTTGACACCCGAGATGGACCCCAGTGAAAAGAACCAGATGTTGGCGAGGACCTTGCCCTGCCAGATGTAGCCGGCGATGATGCGGCAGAAGAGTTCTATCCCAATCTTTGTGTTTGTTGTCGCGTAGACCCATGCGATCTGGAAAGCATCCCTGTCAGCGTGGGAAGCTTTGGAAAGGGGCGAGGTCGAGCACATACCGGGACGAAAAAGACGGCGGATACAACGAGGGATAGCAACGCGCCGTACCACCGCAGCTGGACGGGGTAGTACTCGCTTGCGAACATGGCGAAAAACGCTGCGAGCAGGCCTGCGGCTGCGTACCACCAGAGAGGCACCTCGGCGTAATAAGGCGCGCGTCCATCGGCTTTGTTCTCATCCTCACTTTTCACCTCGCCGCCCCGAGAGAAGATGTATTTGACGCTGAACGTGCGTAGCATGCCAGCAATCTCTTGCCGCTTCTCCAGCAGCGTCCACGAAAAGAGCGAGGCCGTCGTCGCGAACGCGAGGCCAAACTTGTTAAGCGCATACGTCACAGGGAGTCGGATCTTTTGCGGCACAAGCAGCCATATGCGTCAGCCAACGGGTCAATTCTTGTGTCAGTGCAATATGGGGTGCTTACATCTGAGTACGCTTCGTACTTGCCCCGGTCAAACGTGAAGCCGTCGCCCTTGTTCACGACTCTCGAAACGTTGTACACCTTGGCCGTCCGGTCAAAGATGGAGTTGCTCTGCAGCGGGAGGTACGCCGACAGCCACGTGTTGGAGTAATACAACGCGGGCGTGACAATGTATATCCAGAAGACAACGGACGCGAGGACGTTGAGGATGGCCCATGTAGGGACCACGAGCGGTGAGCCGATGTACGAGATCTGGCTCCCTGTGCGAAAATGTCAGCGAAACATAGTCTCGTCAGGAAGTGACTTAGAGAGAGGAAGGACGGGAAGCTACTTGCAGTCAAAGGTGAGGGGAAGCAGCCCCATACCACTCTTCATGCCAAAGACCTGGTTTACCACCGCGTTGCGCGGCGCGATCCAGCATATCCACGTAAAATAGCCCAGCGCGGGGAAGAGCAGATCGGGGACCCAGTACCAGCAGAAGCCAGCCGCGAACGTCCACAAGAAGAACCTGTACCGGGACGCCTTCCACGCATGCCTGTACATGACTTATCAGTACGCCACAGCCTCATCGACGACCCAAATAACGACGACGACGTACTCGGATGGAGCTTGCTTGCCGGGCGAGCCGTGCAGCGCCGAGTTGAGCGCCGTGTTGCCCAGCACGCCCGGCCACAGGAGCTCCGGCGGCTCGACAACGAGCGACCGCGACATGCCCGCGAGCGCCAAGCCAAACAGGATGGTGGCGATGGTCATGAGCAGTTCGAAGCCCCAGCCTGCCTCGCAGCCGTAAAAGACGCGCTGCTCCGTCAGTACGTCTGCGCTGAGGCGCGTCAAGAAGCTCAGATTTGCAAGGATGTATATCAGTATGTTTTCCTATATCCACTTAAATCAGAACCTAAGTTGCCTAGCTGAGCGGCGATATCAGGGCACCATGTTTACCTTGTGGTTGAACGGACCCGGGTTCAGACTATGCCTCGTGCCGGCCATTGTGACGCCCCAGTCCGGCACGACGTATTCCCACGCCTTGCCGATGGGGTACGCGAGGAACTGGATCGCAGACTGGGAGAGGCTAATAGACGGGAAGCGGAACGTGTACACCGTGTTGACGCCGCTGCCGACGAGACAAAACGCTATGCCGATGGTCCACATGCGCAGTGTAAGGCACGGCATGGTTGGGTCGTCGGATGTCATGTCGACGCCGGCTGCCGAGAGGACATCGCTTGCCAGCGACGGCGGACGAGCTTCCGCCTTATTAGCATGCCGTCAGACTCAAAGTTAGGTTGAGTGTGTACAAACATGTTGATTCTTTGAGGTCCTCATCTTTTGGACTTGGAGCGTCTTGGTGTGTGTGAACATCGACTTCCGCTTGAACCGACTTATCATGAGCATTCAGGACTGCCATGATGCGAAAAGTTTATAGAAACCCAGGCGCCGAGATACAAGATTAAATCACATCGGTCAAGAAAAGCGAGTTTCTGAGTTTCCGAATGTGAAGTTCTAGCAGGGCAGATCGATCTGATAAGATGCGATTAAGCCCACCCACTCCGACACAGTGGAATCCGTCTTGTTAGTGCCGGTGGACCGCACCCGCACGCACAACCGTTTATCCGCCGGCACTGCCACTGCTAGATCGCAAAGGATATCCACCTCCAGTGCCGTCCCATCCGCTTATTACACGACCGAAACACTCCCTACTTGTCCTATCATGTTTAAGTCAAAGCGCCATGAAAAGAGCTCAAGGACCGAGTCCATCGTCAACCCGAATTTGCTACACGTAAGGGCTTGCAGACCCGCTCAAAAATCCACGGGTGCTGCCTGATCTTTACTCGTATGGCAGTATGGTAGTGTAAGTCCAAGAGCAAGCCGAACGATGTGGACGCTGCCGTGGCCAGCCCTCGCCCGTGCGTCGCCATAACCAGCGCGTCTCACGACGCCAAGCCTGCCACGCCCGTCGACCCTGCAGCGCGAGGCGATGTCGAATCTAGGGCGGCGGACCCGCATGCACGCAGGTGAAATGCTGACATCCGCTAACCCGACTCGCTGACGACCTTATTACGCGACGAACCGGGAACTCTGAAGGCTCTAACATGTACGTACGCAAAAGTACGCAACGGAAATCTTTGGAACCGGCCGTGCAAATCCCGCAGCGGACATGGAAGAGCCCCCTTCGGTGAGCTTCCGGTCCAAGACGCCGAGAGTTTGCCGAGAAGTCCGTTCATTGAACTGACGGCAATAACGCTCAAAGTGTGAGTTAATTGGGTTCCCGATGAGAACGAGATTTGGCTGTGGCTTGGGTGGCTGTCACTGCTTCAGGTTCGCTGCGTGTTCCGCTTGGCCGTGTCTCTGTCGTGGAATAGACCGTCTCAACGTCATGTCTGGTCCTTGCCGCCACCTCATCTTCCTCCTACACCAGCACCAAAACTGCCGCAACGATGGCGCACACAAGAGTAAGATTGGAGCAGTTTATTCAACACCAAGCATATTGCTCGTCTTCCCTATGTCCCGTCCGATAATACACACCACACGCACACACACACACACAACGCCCAAATCATCGATGCCGCACTCCCCCCACTGCCCCCAAGGTAATCGGGAGAGGCTAGAATGCTTCAAGTCCGGCAGCGCCGCCCACATGCATCTTGTGTTGCTGTTGTTTTTACATGGCTCACACACACCGTCTAGTCTCGCTCTCGTCTAATCGTCGTCCTCGGACCGCTCGTGCTTCTCCTTCTTCTGCTGCGACTCCCACTCGCAAATCTTACACTGGTTGGCCTGCTCCCGGTCGAGCTCGGGGAAGACCAGGTCGAACACTTCGCTGTACCAGCCGACGGCGTGGCCTTCGATGCCCTCCTTGATGTTCTGTATGCATTTGTTAGTGAACCCATTCTCAAGTCTCAGGTCGCACTCGATGCTCGTCACGTACCTTGGGCAACTCCAGCCAGTCCGACATGTTATCGGCTGGGAAGATGATCGTCTTGCAACCCGCCCTCCTCGCGGCTACCGTCTTTTCCCGCAGGCCGCCGATCCTGAGCACCTTGCCCGTGAGCGTGAGCTCACCAGTCATGGCCACCGTCGGGTTCACCGGGACGTCCAAGGCAAGCGACAACAGGGACGTAGCCATGGTGATGCCAGCCGACGGACCGTCCTTGGACACGGCTCCATCCGGCACGTGCAGGTGCATCTTTGCCTTGTTAAAGAAGTGGTTGTCGGGGAACTGCTTGACCATGAAAGACTTGGCAAAGGAATAGGCAATCGTCGTGGACTCCTTCATTACTGACTTGAGGTTGCCAGTAATCTCCAAGCTCGGGCGGGTGCTCGGCCGCAGGGGAGCCTGCAGAATCGACTCGATGTACATGGCCGCGCCGCCCATCTGCGTCCACGCGAGACCCATAGAGACACCCGGCGGGCTGACCTCGTAGAGGCGATCGGACGTAAACACCGGGGGCCCGATGTAGTCGGTCAGGTTGTCCTTGCCGATCTCGATGTGGACCGTATCCGGAACTTGGAGTGCCTTTCTAGGCTTCTCTGTCGTCTCGGCTTCCGTGGCTTCCGTGGCAGCCTTCTCCTTGCTCTCTTCCACGGGCTCTTCTGCAGCCCTCTCCGCCGCCTCTTCTGCCTTCTTCTCCCCTTCTTCCTTTGCGGACTTGCCCTCCTCCGTCAGGGCCTCCTCTTCTGGCAGGACTTCTTCGCCAAGATCCTGCACGATCTTGAGGGCCGACTTTCGGTAGACCTTTTCGATTTGCTTCTTCAAGTTTCGCACACCCGACTCTCGGCAGTACGACTTGATGAGCTCTTCGATGGCCTCGTCGTTTAGTTGCACATCGGCGTCCTTGAGACCGGCAGCTTCCTTAGCTTGAGGGCCGAGGTATTTGTTGGCGATGGCCTTCTTCTCGTCCGCGACGTAGCCAGAGAGGGTGATCAACTCCATGCGATCCAGCAGAGGCCTGGGGATGGTATCGGTCATGTTGGCTGTGCACACGAACAAGACCTTGGACAGATCGACCGGCACATCCATGTAGTGATCCAGGAAAGAGCTGTTCTGCTCGGGGTCCAGCAGCTCAAGGAGCGCTGACGAAGGGTCGCCCTGGTATCCGCGGCCAATCTTGTCGACCTCGTCGATCAAAATCAGCGGGTTCTCCGTCTGGCACTTCTTCAGCGCCTGGATGATACGACCAGGTAACGCACCGACGTACGTCCGCCTGTGGCCCTTGATCTCGGCAACATCGGTCAGGCCACCGACACTGAACCGGTAGTACTGTCGGTTGAGCGCCCTGGCGATGGACTTGCCGATACTCGTCTTTCCGACACCTGGCGGGCCGACGAAGCACAAAATCTTGCCCTCGACAGTTCCTCGCAGCTTGCCAACGGCAATGAACTCCAGGATTCGATCCTTGACGTCTTGCAGGCCGTAGTGATCCTCGTCCAGGACCTTCATAGCGTTCGGGATGCCAAAGTTCTCGGGGCTCCTCTGGCCCCAAGGGATCTGAGTGAGCCAGTCCAGGTAGTTCCTCGTGACGTTGAACTCGGACGCGGCAGTCTCCAGGTGGGCCAGCTTGTTCAGCTCCTCGTCAAAGACCTTGCGAACAGCCTCGGGCATGGCAAGCTTGCCTGCCTTTTCCTTGAACTTCTCGACCAGCTTGTCCTTGCCGTCGGATTCGAGGCCAAGCTCGCGGCGGATACCCTTCATCTGCTCCATGAGCCAGTACTCACGCTGCCTTTTGCTGATCTTATTCTCCACGTCCTTTGTGATCTTGGACTGCAGCTGAGCATTCATCAGCTCCTTCTTGAGGACAATCAAAGCCTTTTGCATGCGCTCCTCCACGTTCATGCATGAGAGGACCTCCTGGAGCTCCTTTTGCTCTCCGGAAGACACGGCAGCGGCGAAATCGGCAAGCTTGCCGGGTTCAGAGGTAACGTTGCCAGTGGACTGGCTCATGGAAAAGGTGGAGATCTGGTCACGGAAGAGATTGTTCATCGTAGCGACTTCCTTGAAGACGTTGACGATTTCGTTGGTGACGGCGCGGATGACAGGGCTCTTCGGGTCGTAGGGTTCATCGGCGAGATTCTCGACGTTGACCAGACTGACAGGGTATCTCTTGAGGAACGAAGTCGGCTCGTACTTTTCGGCGACCTGGTCGGGCTTCTTCTCGACGGCACCCTCCTCGAAGCTTGCAACGACATCGCCCTTCTTCTCTTGCGAGGCGTCTTCCTCTGCTGCCTTTTGGGGTATCGGCTGAGGCGCATCGGGCTCTGACTTGGCATCGGCCTTCTTGGCGTCCTGGCTGCTGCCCGGCGGCAACAGGCTCGAGAGTCGGATTCGGCGGTGGGGGTAGAGGATGGCGGTCAAGGCACCCTCTTGACCGTGTATCGGGAAGGCACTCGTGATCTGCGCAAAGACGCCCACGTCGTACACGTCGTCGACATTTCGGATGACGTCTTCGTCTTCGTTCTCGTCCTTGAACAGGAAGGCGCCGACGTAAGGCTGGCCGCGCTTGATGGACTCGGTGATGGCTGTGGCAACGTCGGGGTCCTTGATGGTGATGGCCTTGTAGAAGCCGGGGAAGAGCGGCCTCCGCGCAATGGGGATGGCAAGGACTTGCGGATACACCTCTGGGACGACGGGCTTTTGCAGAGCTCGCTCCGCCGACTTGCGGCCACGCTTGCCGTCGCCGCCAGAGTTGTCGCCAGACCCGGCACCACCGGCGGCCGAGCTGCCGGCGGCCTTTCCGTCTGCCGCTTCTGACTTGGCAGAATCAGCAGTGGAGTTCTTGGAGTCTGCGCTCGCCTTTTCCGCCGCGTCCTTCTTCTTGTTGTCGAGGTTCGCCTTGGCTTCCTCCTCGGACAGCGGCTCGGTCGCGGGCTCGACGGAAGAGTCGAAGAAGTCGCCGGGCTTGTCCTTGTTGTCCTTTTCCCTACTCAGCCGCGCGCTCGTGGAAAAGGCCGCGGCGGCCAGCCGGCGCAGCGCGGGTAGTCGGCTGGCGCATCCGAGCCGGCTCTGGGAAGCGGTCGCGAGAGCCCACGTCCTCGGAGCCGTGCGCGGTAGGGTCCTGCTGGCTTGCGCCGCCGAGCGCTCCAGCAGGAGGCGCCCGGTGACACGGGACCGCGGAATCATGGCCGGTCGAGGCTCGCTGCCCCAGAGGCTGCCGGTGGCGGAGCTCGGACGTGTGATGCGTGACGGAACGCCGAAGCTCGGCCGAAGAGCACGACAAATGCGCCTTGACCAGGCAGGCAGGCGCAGGAGGTGCTGTATGAGAGAGTCGGCCTACTGGGACGGCGAAACGGGTTGCGTCGTGGCGGCAATGGGGAGCATCGCCGGTGGGCGGGAGGGTTCGATGATGGGTGGAAAAGATGTGGATGGCGATGGCTTGTCTTACAAATGACGGGACCCGACGGCTCGAACAGGCGGCACCGGCAACGACATCATCCAAAAATCGGAGCACTAGGGGCTCGGGGGGCGCCTAGGAGCTTTCGCCGGCTGATCCCCGGTTGGCCGGTACAGTGGAGGGGTGGCAGATGGACAGGCAGGCTAGTGGCTTCTGCACGACGACCCCGTTTGGCGCATAACCCCGGTCAGGTCCGGCTTCAGCTCGTGATGTGCCGAGCCATGTCCACGGATGTTCAAGCATCCCACCTGGCTGCCCCGAGGCGGATGATGGTGCGGACGATGCCTTGGCTAAAAGGTCACCGTCTTATATTTCCCTTTGCAAGTGAATCTCATGGGTCTAAAAATGCTCTTGTTCGCCTCTCTAGGGGATCGTAGTGGAGCGACGCAGCGCTGCACGGCCTGCGGGGAAGGAGCCCGGAGGCTTGAAGCGCGCCCTCGAGGGTCCAGTCCAGTGCCTGAGCCTCCACTACAATTCATGGACTGGAGCCTGAACGACCTCTAGCTGCGCCGTCAAGCTCACTGGGCTGCCAGACGCTAGGGCCATAGGAGCGCCCCAGCGACCTCCATGGCGTCCCAGGCTCCCGTCAAGCGATGGAACTCAAAATCCAGAGGTTGACGGTAGAGCTGAGGGGGGACCGCTGAAAGCCTGAAACCCAAAAAGTTCACCCACCTTGGTTCTCAACTCACTTCCACTCAACTCATTCTCTGTCCTACCTCATCTTTTCAAACAAGCAATCAATCTCCAAGATAGCGGCAAGATCAATTCGCCTTGTCGTTAGCTCTGAAATTGACTTTTCTCATCATACGGATCTACACGCGACGTCGGCACCTCGGCAGTCCACCATGGCCTCGTCACGAGACAAGGACGAGGTCGCATCCTCCCTCTCCAAGCTCAACATCGACGTAGCAGCCACTAAGAAACCTGCCGCGTCCAAGCAAAAACCAGCAGAGGTCGCCGACTCGTGGGAAGACGAGGAAGACGAGGAGGACTCGCCTTCAGAAGATGCGGCGCCCCGTGCCTCCGGCACCACCACCACCATCACCACCACAGCCGACGACGACCTCGACGACGACGACGACGAACCGGACACGCCCTCCGCATCCCGCACCCGCGTCCCCTCCCCGCCGCCACCCACCCCCATGGACCCGCGGCACACCCCCGTCCCCGACTGGGACTCGTCGGCCTTCCGCGGCGGCGGCGGCATCGGCGCCGACTGGCCCTCCTCCCCGTCGTCCTCCTCGGCCTCGTCCTCGGCGCGGGACCTGCCCCCCTCGCGCCGCCCGGAAAAGACCGACGCCGTGGCCCGCCGCATGATCGCCGCGGGGCTGGGCCTCAAGGCGCCCCGCCAGACGGAGGAGCAAAAGGCCTACCAGCGGTCCATCCGGGAGCAGGAGCGCAAGCGGCGCGAGCAGGAGCGGGAGCAGGAGAAGCGCCGGCAGGAGGAGGTGGAACGGGCCAAGGCCGCCGTGTGGGACGACTGAAGTCGAACTGACGCGGGCCGCGCGCACACACACACTCACACTCTCACACACGCCTTAACGGACCTTTTCCCTCTGAGAACGGAGCAGCGGATCCTTTTTTTCCAACGGTTGCCTGGATTGATGATGGTACCTTTCTAGCATGCATGCAACGCTCCTCGAAAATCATAATGTATCCTGCCTCGCCCACTACGTAGTGTGGCTGGCTCTTCTCGCTTCCCTGATCCCCCGTCTAGCTGTACCAGCACACACTCTCTCTAAGCGCTGTACACCTTCTTGACCGACTCGCGCTCCGTGATGCGCTTGTGCCACGCGACAAAGTTGGGGTACTTCTTGTCGACCTCGTGGTCGGCCCACACATCGGTGAGGAAGCCCTGGACGACAAAGTCCCAGGGGATGAAGCACAGGTCGGCGTACGTGCTGCGGTAGTGAGAGAGCGGGCGTGTCAGTCAAGCGCTGGCAGTCTGCGGCATGGGGCAGGCTTCGCAGGTAGGGGATCCATGGGGCAAGGGGGGTCTCTTATACACATCTAGATGTGTATAAGAGACAGGGGCGTGTCAGTCAAGCGCTGGCAGTCTGCGGCATGGGGCAGGCTTCGCAGGTAGGGGATCCATGGGGCAAGGGGGGGGGGGGCTGTTCTAATGGACTTACAACTTCTCGCCAACGAGGTACTGCTTGCCCTCAAGGATCGTGTTCAGCACCTCAAACACCCTTACCGTCTGCTCATCGTAGCGCTTCTTCGCGCTCGCCACATCCTCGGGGTGGAACTTGCGGAACCAGACCGCCTGGCCAAAGTAAGGGCCCTGGCCGGACATCTGGAAGTGCAGGTACTGCTTCAGCAGCCACTTCTCCGGGTTAGTCGTGAACGTGAGCTTGTGCTCCTTGTCGTAGCTCTCGACAATGTACTCGACGATGGCGCCCGACTCCCACAGGATGAGGTCGTCGTTGTTGGGGTCCTGGATGGCCGGCAGGCGCCCGTTGGGGTTGATCTTGAGAAAGGACGCCTCCTTGGGGTTCTCGATGGTGATGGACTCGTAGGGGATGGCGAGCTCCTCGAGGGTGATGAGGACCTTGCGCGGGTTGGGGCCCTGGCCTGTGTGCGCGGAGAGTTAGGGGATTCTGGGAAATGGAAGGTGTGTCATGCCGGGGGGGAGGGCGTACCGTGGATCCAAACCTTGATGGGCTTCAGTCCAGACATGTTGTCGGTGTTTGTCTTTTCTCTACTATAGGCGGAGTGTATAATGAACAGTGAGTTGCGAATCGAGTCAATGTCGATTCTGTAAATCTATTCAGTTTGTGTAATGAATATCGAGTGCGGGCTGCTGTATTGAACAGGCTGCTGCAGGAGACAGCGCAAAGGCTTTATAGCTAGACCAGTCACCATCCCAAGCATCCCATTCCAGCTTCACCAAGCCGACACAACTAGACTCCTCCACTTCTTTCATCTCCGCCGATCTCTGGCAGGTGTCATGCCACACGGGAGCCCAAGCTCCCCTGAGGGCGCGACAAGCGGTCGCGTCCTGGTGCATTATTAATGGCGTCGACTGATTACCCAAGGAATCCCTCCGTCTTTGCACCTCGCGTCGCGAGATCCGTTGCGCAATCCCACGCCTGCGACGCTGCGACGGTGGTATGCGAAACTCCGCAATTTGTAAGTTGGGTTCATCCATGGAGTCCCTAGTCGACGAGACGCTTGCGCATTTGCGCGATGAAGCGCGCGGTAGATGACTAAGTTGCGCCGTCTTTGCCGTGTGAGGCATAGCGCTGCCGCCGAGCACCATCCGCTTGGGTTCAGCCGCTGTCCTCTTTGGGTTGCCGTAGGGGCTCCGGGCTGTGTTCGCGCGCGCGAGAGGACATCCGTGGTGCGTATGGGGAGTGGAGGTAGGACGGGTAGTGCATAGACGGATCATGCAATGCGAAGGTTGCGAGGCAACCCCCGTGTTGTGGATATGGCTGCACGAGTTGATACGGATCGCGACGCTGCCGGACGTATCGGAGGTTGCGCCGGAGGACTGTGTGAATCCGGCTCGCCGTGTCGGTTCGGTCAGTGTCAATCGGCGTGCGTCAATCGGTGTGAAAGATTGACACGTTCCAGATTGACACGGCGTGCGCCCTGCCTGCCCGGCGAGGCTGGCGAGTTGCTGACAGAGACGGCCCCTGTCGATGGGCAGACGGCGCGTCGATTCGTCCGGGCCCATCATGGGCTGGCCTGTCTGTAGATGGCCGATTCCTGGGGTATGTGGGCGTCTGCTGTCTTCAGCTTCTCAAGCTCAACCGACATGCTGCCCCCTTCGGACCATCCAGGGTGTTGTTTCGTCCATTGCTCCAACGTTCCAGGCTCGAGCCATGTCCCGTTCAAGCTTCGCCGAGGCGCCGAAAGTAAACACGAGGCAGGGCAATGTAGTACTCGTGACTCCCGGGCTGCGGCTCTGGCCTGTCTTGCCATTCCCCTCCCACCCCATGCTCGCTCCAGGCGAGCATGTCACGCCGGCACACCGACTCGACGAGACGAATCTCAAACGTCGTCAGGGCCGAGAACAACCCCCAGCCATCCGCCTCCATCAGCATCTGCCGCACACCGATCATGGGCATCATGTCCGCCTGCAGCCAGCCATGGAGCCTCGTTTCCTCTGACGCGCCCGCTTCCAACCACCGCTCCCTCTCCAGCCGTTGTGCTTCGATTGTGTAGTCGTTGTCGGCGTCGTTGAAGTCCCTGGTGCATAAATCGGACTTGACACCGAGGACCGTCAAGTGCTTCAGTCCAGGGCTTAGGTGGCTGATCAGGTTCCACGCGTCGCACCACAGGAGAGTCCATCGGAGAGTGCAGACATCGGCATCAAATACGGGGCCCAGTCTGACGCTCAACTTTTCCAACCCGCTCAAGATCTCCTCTATACCTCTCTTGCGGCAAAAAGCAGCAGCGCCAAGGCATCGCCCACGACAGCGGTTTGGCATAGGGCAATCCTCTCCTGGGACTGGAGTTCCTGGCGAAGGATAAGCCCAAACTTGGGCCTTACCTGCGTTTTGGTCGTGCCAGATACTCCGACAGGACCCGTATCGCCCCGGTTGCTCGAGAACGCTGAGCTCTACCGAGTCCTTTCGCGGCGAGAAAGGGACGGTTTGGAGACGAGGGTCGCCATAGATTCGGATCGCCTCCGCACGAGAGGCTCTGCAGACTGAGAACCAAGGAATATCGCGCCAGGTGCGGCACTCCCAGAATGCTATGCTGCAACCCCGCCGGTTTGTCCAGTCGTGCGGCACGAATGCCATGCTCCCATCATCACGCCGCGTCCACCCCCACATAGGCCTGATAACACCCCTCAGGGTGTATGGCTCAGACTGTAGGAGGACCTCTCGGAATACCTGGATTTGAAGTTCCGCTGGGAGTCTCGCCAGGTCAAAGGCAGGCGTATTCACGTCCTTTATGTCCTCCGTGCAGTCGCGTACCCGCTCCTTGCGCTGCTCAAGGTAACGCACCGGGGGAACATGCCTCCCTTGGGCTACCTCATTCGGGTCAGTGTCCTTGACGCACGTCCATCTGCACATGTTCAAGGTCTGCCAGTTTCGCCACGCGTGCCTCCATCGCGGTCGCGGATCCTCACTCGACTCGGTGAGTGGGTGGTTGATGCTCGAGATCGACCCGTCAGGGTTTGAGCGAATGTGAGACTCGACAAAGGCCATGACGGCGTTATGGTGTTCAGGGGGCTCGTTTGAATCCAAGGGCGTGCTGGAGCTTAAAGCGGCGTGCGATGCTGAAGGCTGGAGGATCCCGTAGTTGAACTTGCAGAAAAGGGGGCTCCCATGCCGAGAATATGTAGTCTCGTGAACATTGAAGATGTAACTCTTGTCCCGCAGACAACGCCAGCGCCACCAGGTAATACATGCATCATCCATCCGTATCGTGATGATGCACTCAGCAGATGCCCGAGTTGCAAAAGAAGACCGAGTCTTTCCACGGCACCTCATGAGCTTATTAGCATAGCTGACACGTGGGGTTTCAGGTCATCCACGCGGCAAGGTATTCCTTGCCCCCGCCCGCAACTCGCAAGCCGAGGCCTCCCCCGTCGACCAGCCCATACTCGACGTCTAGGTCGAGGGGCAAAACCATGGGCCGCTTGAACACCACTTTGAGGACGAAGGGTGCTTCCGAGTAGATCATCTTGCACCTCATATCGTCGAACCGTTCGTCATCCGTGTCGGACGCGGTGAGAAGCTGCTGCGTCGCCACGGCCAGGACATGGTTTCCGTGTGCAATCGTCCCAGGGAACCCAAACAGCATTGCCATGGGCCGCAGCATGTGGATCGGGTTGTAGTCCTTGCACACCGCCGCCCAGTCCCGCGGCGACAAGAGCCCAAGACTGACTTTGTTCCGACGTGTGCCGGTCCACGCGACCCTCGGTTCATCGTTGCTGGCCTCTGCCGGCCTGAACTTTGGCTTTGCGGACGCAGGGAGGTAGGCCAGGATGGTGATTACTTGTTCCATCACGGCGTCACCGTGCCCACGGCTGTCAAACTTGATGACGACGATGCGAATGTCAAACTCCATGCCTCGCTTCACCCGGCGGCCCTTGCGCTCCGGCCCACCAAAGTACGCCATGACCACGCAGTTGTCTTCGCGCAGGGCGGCAGCATCGCGGGCGATGGTCGGGTCGTGCACCTCGAACGAGTTCTGCGTGTTGACGCACCCAAACGGGAGGACGGGACAATTCCGGTTGGCGAGCAGTAGGCTTAGCATGGGGTTCACAAGCGCCGGCAGAAACATGATGCGGTTGTCCCGCCTGGACTTATCCTTGCCAGGCCCGCCGGCGGCGAGGTCGAAGCGTCGCTCGTCTCGGTTCGTCACGCGCAGCTTGGCGATGGCCGTCACCTCGGGGAGCAGGATGTGGACTCCATCGGCGTCGGGCTGTGGCTTCGGCAGCAGTCCCAGGAAGCTATAGATGTACTTGAGGGCCATGAGCGCGATGACGGAGGCGACGTCGAGGGCGCCCAGCCGCGAGATAGGCATTGGCACATTGAACTTGTTCTCGCCCATGAGGCGGAAGAGCTGCCATAGATGGCGGAGTCTCGAGGCGCCCTTGAAGGCGAAGAATGTGATAAGAGCAAGCACGACAAAGGTTTCGACAATCATGGTGACAGATGGTGACGATTCAGTGTGCGTTGCGATGCATGAGCTGGGTTCGACAGCTGGATTGTCGCGGTTGCCAGATGCCAGGATGTGAGCTGAAGGATGTTGTGGCGGATGTGTGAGTGACGCCTTACCGCAACGAGACATGAGCTGCATTTACACCTACGCGGCCTTCCAGCTTGGCGGACACGTCGCCTTTCGCATCAAGGCAGCAGCACATCGACACTCTTGACGGTGTCCTTTTGGTTTTGACATGTTGGGGTATATTGAAGCGCATCATAGACAATTGCAGTGGCTCACTTCTCCTCTGACACATCCCCGACGACCGCACCATTGTGCATCAACACGAGCGAGCCCTCCTCGCCGCCACCCCCCCGCCTCGGCACGACCGCATAGCCCTCCAGCCCGAGCTCCTCGGCGGCCCTATTCCACAGCATCTGCGACACTACGCCGCCCTCGCGCGAGCAGCACACGTACGCCAGCGGCCAGCGGCTCCTCCCGAGCGCGTCCCGCACGCCCTTGGTCGCCGGCCGCTCCGTCGCGAGCACGCCCAGCACGCCCAGCACGCCGCCGCCCCGCCACCCGGCCGGCGCGCCGACGAACGCGCCCTCGAGCTCGCGCACGTGCTGGGGGCCGACCTTGTGTCCGCTGCCGGCCTTGCACTGGATGAGCACGCGCATCGGCGGCGGCTGCTGTTGCTGCTGCTTCTGAGACTGCGGCTGCTGCTGGAGCTGCTGTGGTGGACGCGACGGCAGCGTCCACGTGCCGACCAGGTCCACGCCGTGGTCCGACGCCCCGCCGATGCGCCGTAGGTAGAAGCCGTACCGGCGCAGGGCCGCCGCCGCGCTGTACTCGTAGTGCGTGCCGATGTAGACGGTCGACGTTTCGTCAAGCCCAGTGCGCCGCGCGTAGGAGAGGAAGCTGGCGAGGTCTGCGTGGTGAGACGACGGCGCGTCAGGGTATATCAGCTTGGGCTGCGGGACCCCTTTCTGCGGCGATGATGCTGCGGTGCCGGACGACTCATTGCGCGAACCGTCGTGTGTCGTGCCGCTGGAGGGGAGGCGAGCCGTCCATGGCAGGTTGTATCGGCATGGCTGCGGCCGTGCATGTCGCGGTATGCTACGGCATCTCCGTAGCATTGTTCGCCTGCGCGATGCTCCCTGGCGCGAAGAGGTCCTGGTGGAGTTGTGAGTCTGTGACTGTGAGTGCAAGCCTGCCAGTGAGCTAGTGTGGTGAACAGTGACAAGGAGACGCTGTGAGATATGCATCAAAGCGGGTCTTGTTGCGGGGCGACTCCCGTCCAGGACCAGACACTCACTCGGCTTAAACTGCCCCACCCCCGCGACGGCCCTTCAACTTTCTGAGTTTCGCCCTCTTCATACTTTTGTTGTCCCGTTTCATCCTCCTCAAATACCAACACACCGGGCCGCTTTTCCTCTCCCAGCCTCTCCCTCGCGCACCACCACCGCATCTCGAACGCGCGCCCTCACCTCCGCTCCCTCTTCCGACGCAGGTCAACCCCTCGTGACCGACACAGCGCCCCCCCGACCAATCTCTTCCCGAACGAAACCAAAAAGACTAAAAAGAAAGACCATGGGTTCCGTCGTCATTCCCCATCTCGTCTCGGGCTGGCACGTCGACCAGGCCATCCTCAGCGAGGAGGAGCGCCTCGTCGTCATCCGCTTCGGCCGCGACTGGGACCCGGACTGCATGCGCCAGGACGAGGTGCTCTACAAGATTGCCGACAAGGTCAAGAGCTTCGCCGTCGTGTACGTCTGCGACATTGACCAGGTGCCCGACTTTAACAGCATGTACGGTACGTGTGCGCTCTCCATCTTTCCCTCTCTCTCTCTCTCTCTCTCTCTTTCCTCAGAGTTCGCGGCCACCAAGCTGACAGGGCAACGCGACGCAGAGCTGTACGACCCGTGCACCATCATGTTCTTCTTCCGCAACAAGCACATCATGTGCGATTTCGGCACCGGCAACAACAACAAGCTCAACTGGGTCCTCGAGGACAAGCAGGAGCTCATCGACATCATCGAGACCATCTACCGCGGCGCCAAGAAGGGCCGCGGCCTCGTCGTCAGTCCCAAGGGTACGCTTCCAAATCTGATCTTTTATCTCCCCAAAGCCGTCGTGTTGGCAATCTCACGGCCATGGACTGACTCTTGGCAGACTACTCCACGCGACACCGATACTAGACGCCTTGTCTCGCGGTGCAGCCTTCTGCGGCTTCGACCCCCCATACCATCAGCGGCACGGCTCATTCAGAGGACCGTGCAGGCTTGACTTTTCATCTACACTCGAGCGTTATGTTATCATGAGCCGGATCGGCGGAGTTTGGACGGAGCAGCGTGAACGAGTTAGTCTCACTAATTGGAACTTTGACTTGGATCTCACAAAGATTGCTAATCGCCGTGTTCAAAAGTTCGTAAAACGTCTTTTATTTCATGCAGGTACGCCATGCGCCCCCTTGTTTTCACCAGCTCTCGTTCGTGAATGTTTTGCCTCGTAGGACAGGGCTGGTACAGAAGACCATGCCTGAACGCTGCTCTGCCGCGCCAGTTTGCGGGCTCTCGTAAATCCTCTCAACTCTCAGCATCATAGTAGCCAGTTCGGCCGCCCCAATATACACATTACCACCACTAGATACCTCTGCCATGCTCCCTCAATCATCAAAGTACATCTCCTGGCCCGGACATCTTGGGCTGAAACATGTTGGCTGGGATTTTGGGCGTCGCCGGCGTGGGCGACCTCTCGCCCCGCCCGTCATCGCGCGACTTGCTCAGGAAGCGTCGCGTTCCGGGTCTGGACATTTGCCTCGAGCCCTTGATCATGTTCTCGAGGAAGAAGGGCCCGTCCGCGTTCCGCGCATTCGGCCTCTCGTCATCGGCATCCGAGAAGCCTCCAGACAGGTACTCGTCATCCGAATGCATGTCGCCAGCCAAGTGCGGTTGGTACGAAGCGGGCGCGGAGGGCGACGTGATGGACCTCGAGTGCAGGCCCGGTCGCATCGGCATCGCTGCCGTGAATGCGCCAGGGGTCATGGTGTTGGCTGCAACATCTCTGGCCATGACGATGGGCCGGTCCGCAAATCCGTTCTGCAGCGATGTGTTGTTTGACGCCTCGTGGAGAATGGGAAGGATCTGTTCATCGTACAACTCCGTCCCAGATTCAAACGACTCGGGCGTGTACTCCGTAATAGTTCGAGAAGACCTGCCATCATCGTCGGTGTGCGGGCTGGACGGGTCGTCGAAGAAGTCGTCCAGGCTGTCCAACCTGGTCACCACATCTCCTCCGCCCAGATCGACACGCCCGTCGTCCGAGAGCATCGTGTCCGACCTGTCCAACACTCCAAAGTAGTTGTACGGGAAGTCGTCATTGTGGAACTCCACCTCCGCCGTGGGCGTCGCCTCGACGGATGAGCCCTCGGTGCTCTGACACATGTAAAACGCAGCATGGATGTTTGCACGCGTGGCCTCCGTCTTCTTCGCAGGAACAGGAATGGCCCAGCCTGACGCCTCTGGAATGCCAAACAGGCTTTGTGTGCGCTCATACTCTTTGCGCACTGCCTTTGACGTCGATCTGGTCATGCTCATTCGCAGGTGATGCTTGTCCATGTGGCTGCCAGACATGGTCATGATGTTGTCCAGGACTTCCAAGGCACCCATGCAAAACTCGGTCTGCAGGAGACGGAGCAGTGGCGAAATGAGATCCGACCCGTGGCCAGCCAGCTCTGGGTTTCGCATATCAACCTGCGGAATGGCGACGCAGAGAATGCGCATTGTCTGGACCTTGACCCATGACAGCGAATTGGTGAGCAGTCCTATCAGGAAGGTGACCATCTTGAACTCCAATCGTGGCAGATAGTACTCCTTGATGGCCATGAAGAGCTGGTTCAGAAATTCCTGGCTCTCTTGGTGCTTCCCAGAGACAAAGTCGTCCAGAACAAGCCCAAGTCCCTCCAGGCCCTGCTTATCTGTCTCGGCGAGTAGGATCCTCGCCGTCTTCATGGCCTCTTCGCTCGGTGTACCGCGCTCCATTTCGTTGAGGAATCGAGGAAAGTTCGCCAACAGGGAGTAGAAGAGTCGGTTGTCATCGCCGATGAGGTTGTCCGCTGGCAACTTGACGAGTTTGTCCAAGGTGTCGAGGGTTGGCTGCCAGCAGAGCGAGGATCTGAGGCCCTTGCAGAGCAGGGGTTGAACTCCATCAAAGCTGCCTTCCCATCTGTCAGGCTGCCCGTCTGCAATCAACCTGCGCACGTTTGACGACCGGAAGTCGAGCTTTCGGACCAGCTCGTTGAGCATCTCCACAGCCTCGAGAAATTCGCGCTCGTTGATAGACTCCAAACACGCACACGTGGTCCAGAACAGTTGCGGAAACGTCAGCAGCTTGTCGGGATCCAGCTTGACGATGAGTGTTTTGAGCGTCGTCAGAATCTCCATAGAAAATGACTGAATCTCTGTATCCTCGTCCGCGACGGTGTTGGATAGCCTGGCCAGCATGTCGCCAAGCATGTACTGGTCCAGAGACGTGAGGACGCAGCGAAAGATCTGAAAAGACCTGCAAGCCAGGTGGCGCACAGGGCACGACGTCGCCCAAGTCAGAGACAGCCGGCCCCATTGCTCCTTGATGCCGGGAAACGCCATCTCAAAGGTCTTGACAACCTCTGCCGTGAGATATTCCATGCTGGGAGGAACCTTGTTGTCCTGGTCGTCCACCTTTCCGTTGCTGTCCTCGTAGCCCCAGACCACAGAGCGGTCATGGCGCCGTATGAGATCGACCAGATCCTCTATAGAATCTTTCGGCACAGCCTGTGGCTGGTCGTCCATTCGGGAGATGACGAGTTCATGTATGAGGTGCACGAGCATCTCCCGCGCCTGCTCCTGTACCAGCGGTGTGTAATGATCCCACAGGACAGTGACGACCTGGAGTAGAAGCGGTACATTTTCTGGTGTAAGATGCACCGGAGACACCATCAAGTCAACAAGGAGAATGAGGCACAGTTGGCCGAGGGAGAACCCGGCCTGTTTTGTCCCAATCGGGAGGGCCTCGCTCAGATTGGCGCAGTAAGGAAGGTTGCTGATGTCCGAAGGAGGCGGAATGACCTCCCGCTTCTCGTTGGGCACCATTGCCTTGGGGGTGATCTGCATCAGCAGAAACTCGACTACCTTGATGCCCGGTGTGCTGTTTGTCGTTGACAAGAAGACAACGATTTGTTTGGCGTACTCGACAAAGTTTTGCTCACGCCGCTCCAGACAAAGCTGGATAATAAAATCGAGGACCAGGCGGACGTTCCCTGGGTACGGACCAGTTGCGAGTGCTTGCCAAAGCGCCTGGACCTCGTTGTGCAACGCACCGCTCGACCTAATGGTGAGCTCAAGCAAATTGGCGAGTAGGACGTATGACTGCGCAGTAGGGCCGCCATTGGGATCCAGCTTGAGTTCAATGGTCTGAATCCAGGGGAGAATGACTGCAATGACATTCCGTTGCGCCGCTGGTTGAAGATCCTTGAAGTAGTATGTGAACTCCGAGAAGACGTGGAATGCAAGCTCCCCGTGCTGCTTCGCGAGACGCTTCGAGATCTCGAACTGGGCCAGCTTGTACACCGCCTGCGTTTTGTCCGAGATGCTGATATCAAAGTCCTGAATCTTGGAGTTGCGTTGCTGGCGCGCCTCCAATGCTCGGAGCACCGTAGACGACTTTGAGCGGATCTCACTCTGATCGTTTCCAAGTGTGTAGAGGCAAAGCCCCAGGGCCTTCCAGAATGGACATGGGTATGAGCTGTACTCCTGGAGCACCTCAACGGTGACGGCGAAATAGCTCTCAAGCACCTTTGGTACATCGGCCAGATAGCAACGAGCAATGCAGTGCTCAAGAAGATATGGGTATTCTTGGTTGTGGACGACCAAGTTCTTCAGGGCTCGTCGGCCGATGACGTTCATCCTGTCGCTGCCAGAGTTGAAGATGGCTTCTATCCAAGCAAGCATGCGCCGGATGTCAAACTGCAGGGTCACACCGCTCTCCGTCGTTATGCTAATGGGTCCGCCGCAGAGGGCAGCCATGGCGCTTAATGCCGCGGTTCTGAGGTTGCGCTTCTCAATCTCCATGGCAGCTGTGACTGTTCCTCGCTCGCCTACCGACTGTTGATCGATAAGAGACTGTCGCATCGAGTCTTCCCTGGCACGGATCTGGTTCTGATTTGGTGAGAATCCGCACCAATCCTCCATGAGAGAGAACGCAGACTTTCGAGACTCAAACGTCATCCATCGAGACGGGTCCTTGGTGCGATTGATGCCTTCGAACAGCGCTTCCTTGAGACCGCAGTAGTGCCGCCGTAGCTTTTGGAACTCCCAATCCATTTGAACTTCCCCGTCCATCAGGAAAAGCTTGAGGTCCTTCGAATAGGACGTCAGAGTGCTGAGGAAGAATTCCGATTGATACACTTGTGGCTCCCTCAGGAAATGTGATGTGAGCTTGAACACGTGCGTAATCTCAGTCCGCAGGAGGTCCATCTTGCGATTTCGGCGGGGAGTGCTGTTGGTTCGCTGATGAATCCTCGCACGCGCATCATCATTGCATCGAGACGCTTGACCCTGTAACTCTTCAAGCAAGGTGCGGTAAATGTGCAGGTTGATGGATCCCATGGCGACGACAACCGCATCACGCACAGAAGCCGATGAGGAAGAGAGCAGAGGTATGAGGTACTTGAACAGGGTCCTGGCCGTCACAATCTTGTCAGTGGATCCAGGCTTGGACGTCTTTCGTGCATGCTGGGCGTCTTTAGACGGAGTTGGTGTCTGATTTCCCGGATCCGCAAGCGTCGTGCAGGCAAATATCAGATAGATCTTCCACTGCTCAATGAGCACCTCTGGTTGCGTGGTCGTCGATCGCGCTGGTGCACGACCGGCGCCCTGGTCACCGCCGTAGTAGAGCCCTCGCGTGGGCTCAGACAGAACCACAATCGGCTTGTACAATTGCAGAATTCGGTTGCAAATCAAGTCTCGGCAAATGGCGACGGCGAATGGGCACTTGTCAAAGGCAATTCGGATCAGGTTGGGGAATATCTTGTACCACAGTGTAGTGTCGTAGGTCAGGTCGCTGGTGCAGAGCTCGACGACCACGCCCTTGCTGTTGCTCGTCTGCAGGCCTCGTTGCAGCCGGCTGCGTTCTGCCACTGAAAGGTGATCGTCGTTGAAATCCATGACTTGGTTTGAGTCGTTCTCAAGGATGTTGATGAGTCGGAGCGTCTCCTTTTCTTCGGATCCTTCCTTTCCAAGAGCCTTGTCGAATTCGGTGATGAGCCGCAAGACGGTGACAGCGTAGTAGCGGACTCGCCGTGACTGTGAGCACAGGAAAAAGAGACCGTGTGCCTCTGCCTGGTCCACCTCTGCCCAAATGCTGGACAAGTCCAACTTCTGGGCTCTCTTGTCGGATGCTGTCGACTCCGGCTGGGTGGCAGCGGCGTCTCGAGTCTTTTGCTTGATCTCTTCGATCCAGATCTGCAATAGCTCGACATATAGGCGCAGCGTGTTTTCGATGTGGCCTGGTCCCAGCATTCCACCATCGGACATGGTCGAGTAACGGTCGTCGAAATTGAAGATGAAGCGGGCAAACCCCATCGTCACCTGCTGGGCGTGTGCGTGTCTCGCGATGGCCTTTAATGAGTTTGCAGAAGATTCTGCAATGTTGGACTGGACGTGGGCTGTGCCAGTGCACAACAGGTTGATGAGAGAGTTGAAAGGGATGTCCACGGACAAACATCGAGGCAGCGCCTGCACGGCGACATGCAGCAACTCGTAAAAAGCCTGCTTCTGGTCCGAAGCACTTTGATGCTCGTCGCGTCTCGAGAAATTGAAGGATTCCGCAATCGGAGTCTTTGGGCCTGGGCTGTTGAACTTCTCGTCCAGAGCAGCTTGGCCACCAAAGGCGTTGTCGCAGACTATGGTGATTTTGCCGAGAATTTGGCAGAACTGGAGGTAGAAGTCTCGCACGCCGTCGCTCAGGACGTGTGTGAGAACAGGTCGAGATATGTTCTCCTCCTTGGAGGCGAGCAAGGGACTCGCCAGGGGACCATTCCGAGCTGATGTCAATACCGGCGATGTTGGAAGCCTTTCGGTCGGCGCTTGATGGTCATAATATTGGGGAAATGGAGGCTGGCCCTGTGCGCCCTTTTCCAAGTCTGACATGATGCACAAAAATGCTCGGATGCCGACGACGATCCGGTCAGGCTCCAGCTGCTCGACCCGCAATTCCTTGTTTGTCACGAACAGTTCGGCGTTGATGAGGGGGAATATAACCGTTCTGAAGCAGTATTCCGGATACTTGAACCCGATGATTCGGATTATCTGAATGAGGGGATCGGTTATGGCCGGGTCAAAAGACAATAGGCCACGTTTCGGGGTGGGCAACACCAGCTTCATCACGTCGTCAAGTTTCCTGACGGACGTCTGAAAGCTGTCGTTGGTTCGGTATAGGTATGTCCATACTAATCGGGAGATGACTTGTAGGCATAGTGGCTTCGAGAACCGGTCCTTGATCTTGGTCTGCAGTGACAAGACGAGCTGTAACCACTGGGAGCCAAAGCTGTCAGGTGAAGAGACGCACAGCATCGTTGCTGTGAGCGGAAAGGCCACTGCCCAGTGCCGCGGTTTGATGAACATCTGTGCCAGGCGCGGCCCAATGGCGGAGAGAACCTCGGACCACTTCGGATGCATAAGGTGGCTGTTGCTGGCCTTTGCAGCGATGGGCAATAGGAGGGTATCGATGATCTGGCAGAAGGCAGTCTTGACTCTGGGGCCGTGTGATCTGTTAAACAGGCGACCCAAAGAGACAAGAAAGTCGCAAGACTCTTCCCAGGCCCCCTCGGGAGAAATCTTGACTCGCAAGTGCTTCATGCCGCCAAGGACCAGATCGACCTTGCCTTCGGCATCTCGGGCGGCAGATGACGTCGGGCTCTTCACCACCCGCTCCTGGAGGGAGGCGTCCAGATCCTCGATGAATCGCCTCGTAACTCCAGCAAAGTTGATGTCGCTCATGTGTCCCAGGAGTTGCGCGAAGAGATTCCAGTTAGCCATCTTGAGTGGCGAGTATGTGAGCTGCTCCGAGTCGGCTATCTTGAGCTGCCCAAATATGATGCTCTCGAGTTTGTCCTCCATCTCCGGGGTGATGGAAGCGAGGTTGCTCTGGCAAATCACTTCCAGCAGCACCCGGCATAAGATATAGATGGAGACGGTAGAGCGGCGCTCTTGTTGCGCCACGAATTCCTGCTTTGAGGTCCCGTTGGCGCTGTTGAGCGGCCCCTCGCCGGGTACACCTTGCACAGGCTCTGTGTTTCTCCGCAGCAGCGGTCCTCCGGGCTGTGTGCCGCGCATTTGCTGCAGCTGGCTTCGGGCCTCGTTGGCGGCGTCGCTCTTACTTTTCCTCCACAGCATCATCGAGTCGATCAAGGCCTTGGGCCTGGGGCTTGCGATATGGCCGAGGGCCACGATCAGTTGGTCGAAGGCCGGGTCGACACCGGGGCCGCATATGCGATCAATTTGAGGCTCCGGTTCAAAGGGAACGGTGATGCACTCGTTGAGCTTCTCCTCGGCTTGTGCGATAAACTGGGAAAGCGTCAGCAGGGGATCGTCTCGCGGCACAGGGTGGCAGTCATGTCGCATACCGAGGTGAAGAGCACGTGAAGCGCATACTCGCCCACCGTCTTTTGTTCATCCCGATGGGCGCGCGACGAGTGCGACTGGTGGCCGGGCTGATCGCGACGCGACCTGGGCGCCATTGCGTCAAGCTTGCGCTGGCCCAGGCCCGGGGACGACATGTCGATGGCAGAGGCGGACCTCTCCATAGGGAATGCGTTGGACGTCGCCATCGGACCAGCCAGGGCTGTGGTAGGCCGAGGCGGATTCCCCGCCTCGGCCTCGACTCGGGCAGCAACGGACTGCATGTCTGGTCGCTCAAGCCCTGCGCCGGCGGCAGCTATCATTTGGGGGCTGAGCGGACCGGCAGAGCTCGAGACACTGCCATTTCTCGAATGCTGGAAGCCGTGCACGATTGACGTCTGGCGGTGGTGGCCGTAGATGGCGGCCTTGCTGAGGTCGACTGGTCGCTCGATAACCCCTCCCGCGACAATGGGTTGGCGCGACGGCGGGGCGTGGGCTCGCGGCGAGGTCAGGGACGCGGGCAGCTTCTCGGCCGAGGATTCTCGAGAATGGGTCGGGAAGCGCGACGAGGCCGAGGCGAAAGCGGCGTGAGGTCGGACGGTCTGGTCCCAGGCAGACTCGTGCTCTGGCGCGTCGTCGAGGCGGGACGCGGCACGCGAAAGCTGCCGCAGGGGATCCGGAAGGGGATCCGGCGGCGGCGGCGGTGGCGGTTGAGATGGGGCTGGGAGCGCGTCAGCGATCGGCGCCGTGCGATCGGGAACAGGCAGCCTGTATCAGCGCCGCGGGCACAAGGGCGAGTTGGTGTTTGGAAGGGAGGGCATTGGGGTCTTGGGTATTGGGGGGTCAGGCGACGGCGCGACTGGCAACACAGCAGCAGTTTCAAAACCGCCACCATGGGGTCCCCCAGGACATCCGCGAGTCCGTGACACTTACCCATCTCGAAACGGGCCGGGCCCCAGCTCCCAACGGTCTAGCGCTGGGCATGCGCCGCTAGGAGAGTTGCATCGCAGCGGGCGACTGCAGGCTGTCAAGGAACGACGCGGGAAGATATCCGGGAGTTGGAGGGCCGATGCCAATGGCGGGAGTGGCCGGTGACGACGTCGACACGCGGCGGCTGCACAATTCGCGGCGGCTGTGCTGGACGTGGACGGCGGGCAATGCCTTATCGTCTGCTGCACGGGGCACACAATGACGCGGTGTCAATGCACTGGTGGATGAACGACGGGGTATGGTGCATTGGGGGCTGGATGGGCTGGACAGCAGCATCGATCGAGTGGGAGCTTCGGCTGGCCAAAGCTCGAGCCTGGTTCCTGGCAAGCTGGCCAGCCCGCGGGCCTAACTGGCTACGTATGGGGCTCCCGCCGGGTGGGACGACTGCTGAGTCATCGTTCGTCACACTCCCTGATTTATCGCCAGGGAGCACTTCGTAATGAACTTCAAATCTACTCTTGATGAGTGTGGGGAAGCGGGACGAGCACGAGGGGCGTCGAGCTCCGTTTCCCGAGTGCTCTTGACAAAACCCATCGAAAGCTTTGTGCTGGCTGGAGTGGCCTCACCAATGATAGAAGAGGCTGACGAACCGTGCGTTCGGGACCGAGCACTCGGGCCAGCCGCTAAATCAAATGCTATCCTGGCCTCCTCTGCACGTCCTGCAGGCCGGGCGAGGATGCAGCAGGCGGCCACCGGCCACCGACGCCACTCAATTTGCACTTTACATATATGTAGACGCAGCGGAGTAGTATAATGACCTGACGCAAATCACCACAGCACAAATAGATTATGCTGCTTGATTGCTCCGACACGGTAGGATGTGGATCAAGGCCTGTGGCATAGGTCCGGCCACGCACACACACGCCCGTCGCCCGAGAGGCGTCACCACCGCCGCTCCTCCAGGCATGGCTACGTGTCTCGCACGCTCCTCCAGACACACGACATGGACCCAAATGCCTTGCCAAGCGACAGGACGACATTTTGCGGGGGAAGGTTGTGTGCCGAATGGAGAACCGACGGCCCGGCATCTGAAGTCCCTCCGGGGCCCCGCGCAGTCCGTCCCGGGGCTGCCACAAGCGGACCGGATATCGTGGCGGCCACATCACGGGCATGCGGAGGTGGCACTCTGTTCAAACAAGGCCGCGTGATGCCTCTTGGCCTTTAGCGAGAGCGTACAGGCTTAAACCCCACTAGCGGCCCAATGTTGCTCATCGCGATGAACGCAGCCTCGGCAGCGAGAGGCGGCTGTGATCTGGGGGCGCCCAATATGTGGCAACTATGGTGTTACGCGACGAGTAACACAGACGCGGTGCCCCGCTTAAGGTTGGGAACCCGGCCACACAATCTCCAGTGTCGCCCGGCTCGGAACTGGAAACGGCGAGGGAAGGTTTGGCAGACGACGGCATAGAGGTTGCCACTTGGCCCGCGGTTTCGGAACGCCCCGAGATGTTCATCGCCGGTGAATGGAAATCCTCGGTGTCGTTGACGTTGGCGCCGCGGGAGGAAACCCTTCTTTATTGCAAGGCGAGCGCGGAATCGGATTCGTATCCGTATCTGACCGGAGCCGCGCCAAGAGGCCGTGGTGGGTTCCGCAGCCAGGTCCGCAAGGCTCCGCATCGAGGTGGACGGCGCTTTGTGGCCGTTGATGCAGGCGCCGTCACATGAAAGGCAGCGGTCCTGCGACGAGCGGCGGACAGTCGCCAACATTGCAATCTAGTCCGCCGCTGCGGGCAGTCTTCATCTCCCTCGTTGGCGGCGGCGACTGTCTTTCTCTATTGACTCCCGCGTCCAACATTTGACGGACGAGAAAAAAGATACCTGGTGGATACTTGTGCAGGCTCTCGGACTTGAGTCCGGCGGCTCGGAGCCAACGACTTGCGTCGCACGAGGGGGCAAAGCCGATGCATGGCATGGCATGGCAAGGTCACACCCGCAGCTCCCGGCCGGTCGAACTGGGGGGTCTTGTTTTCCTTTGGAGTTGTCGCAGTTGCATCGAACGTCTTCAGCAGGCAGACGGCATCTCAGCAACAGCTCACTCAGCACATGCTTGCAGGCAGGGAGGGGGGCTTCTTCAGGTGGGCGGGCGGACCCCATTTTGACGGCCGGCCCCCGACGCAGCGAACAGCCGGCCAAGACGGAGCTGGGCTAGCCGCTTTGGGACGGCCAGTCAGCCCGGAGCGAGCGCTCGGAGCCCTGCCTTCCTTGCCGCCGGGTACCACCGCAGTACCGCAGCGCAGCCAGTGCAGCCACCTCAGCGCATGGCATGTGGTGGTCACTGACGGGACGGACTGCGGCGCTGGTGGTGGTCGCTGATGGCGCGTGGCCTGACGGACGGACCCCTGGACGGACACCGAAGGATTCGGCGACACTGACAGAACAGGAGAGACTGCAACGGAAGACCACGTCGTCTACTACTGCTGCTGCTGTTGCTGCGTGTCCATGTCACTTGTGCATCATCCTCCATCCTCCATCCCTCAGCGCTGCATCGCTCACTGCTTACCTCGCGCCTCAAACGCTCGGCTTCGATCAGATAACGGTTCCGAGCGGCTTTCAGTGCCCCCATCCCTCCCTGGTGGGTCCCCGTTGGACAATACTCCGTGCTCCAGCTTGAAGGCGGCAAGGTTAGGTGGTGGCAGACCGGGGCGCCGCACCTCAGGGAAAAAAAGTCCAAGTCCAGCGAGATTCCGCGCGCTACGTTGCGGCATCCCGCTCTCGCTCAGCCGCCGCCCGCCCCTCCACGTTGACGCCGAAACTTGTCCACACCCGCCGGCAACCGGCCCCAACAGCCCACTCCCGTTCTTCACTCCTGACCTCTCCTCTCCCCTATCCTCCTCTCTCTCTCCCCCTCTGCACACTCCGCCTCCGGTCGCCGACCTCTGCACAGCGAGCGCGCCAGCGAGTGCACGACGACGACGACGACAAGGACCACGTCGACTGCGACTCTTGCCGACAGACTCGTGGCCGGCCGTCTCCTCCTGCTTCCTCAAACCCCCGTCTGCTCCCGGATCCCCCTCGCTTGCCAGCGCCCCCTCGTCGCCATGGCTGAACTCGACACCCTCGACCTCGTCGTCCTCGCGGCGATCCTCCTCGGCACCCTTGCGTACTTCACTAAGGGCAAGTACTGGGGCGTCGTCAAGGACCCCTACGCCACCGCCTTTGCCAACGCCAATGGCGTCAAGGCCGGCCGCACGAGAAATATTGTCGAGAAGATGGACGAGTCTGGCAAGAACTGTGTCATCTTCTACGGCTCCCAGACTGGCACCGCTGAGGACTACGCCTCGCGCCTCGCCAAGGAGGGCAAGAGCCGCTTCGGCCTCGAGACCATGGTCGCCGACCTCGAGGAGTACGACTTTGACAACCTCGACACCGTCCCCACAGACAAGGTCGTCATGTTTGTCCTCGCCACCTATGGCGAGGGCGAGCCTACTGACAACGCCGTCGACTTCTACGAGTTCATCACTGCCGACGACGTCGCCCTGTCCGAGGGCAGCGACCCGGCTCTCGGCAACCTCAACTACGTCGCCTTCGGCCTCGGCAACAACACGTACGAGCACTACAACTCCATGGTCCGCAACGTCGACAAGGCTCTCCAGAAGCTCGGCGCCCACCGCATCGGCGAGGCCGGCGAGGGCGACGACGGCGCCGGCACCATGGAAGAGGACTTCCTGGCCTGGAAGGACCCCATGTGGGCTGCTCTTGCCTCCAAGATGGGCCTCGAGGAGCGCGAGGCTGTCTACGAACCCACTTTCGGCATTGTCGACCGCGAGACCCTGACCCGCGACTCTGTCGAGGTCTACCTCGGCGAGCCCAACAAGATGCACCTCGAAGGCACCTCCAAGGGGCCATTCAACGCGCACAACCCCTACATTGCGCCCATCGCTGAGTCGCGTGAGCTGTTCTCGGCCAAGGACCGCAACTGCATTCACCTGGATATCGATGTCAGCGCCTCCAACCTCAACTACCAAACCGGCGACCACATTGCCGTGTGGCCTACCAACCCCGGTGACGAGGTTGACCGCTTCTTGGACGTGATTGGCTTGACTGAGAAGCGAAACGATGTCATCAGCGTCAAGGCTCTTGAGCCCACCGCCAAGGTCCCGTTCCCGACTCCTACGACTTACGACGCGATTGTTCGCTATCACCTGGAGGTTTGCGCGCCCGTCTCTCGTCAGTTCGTTGCGACCCTGGCCGCCTTCTCCCCGAGCGACGACATCAAGGCCGAGATGACCAGACTGGGCAACGACAAGGATTACTTCCACGACAAGACCGGCCCCCACTTCTACAACATCGCTCGCCTCCTCGCAACTGTCGGCAAGGGTCAGAAGTGGACCAACATTCCCTTCTCTGCCTTTATCGAGGGCCTCAACAAGCTCCAGCCGCGCTACTACTCCATTTCGTCGTCCTCCCTGGTCCAGCCGAAGAAGATTTCCATCACCGCTGTCGTCGAGTCGCAGATGATTCCGGGACGCAACGAGCCTTTCCGCGGTGTTGCGACAAACTACCTCTTTGCCCTGAAGCAGAAGCAGAACGGCGACCCGAATCCGCAGCCGTTTGGCCAGTCGTACGAGCTCAATGGCCCGCGCAACAAGTACGATGGTGTTCACGTCCCCGTCCACGTCCGCCACTCCAACTTCAAGCTCCCTTCGGATCCCGGCAAGCCCGTCATCATGATTGGCCCCGGTACCGGTGTCGCTCCATTCCGCGGCTTCGTCCAGGAGCGAGCCAAGCAGGCCCGCGAGGGCGCCAACGTTGGACGCACGCTCCTGTTCTTTGGCTGCCGCAAGAGCACCGAGGATTTCATGTACGAGTCTGAGTGGGCGGTAAGTCACCATATCACCTGCATCGCCTGGGAACAGGTTTCTAACGGGCTGCGCAGGAGTACAAGAAGGACCTCGGCGACAAGTTTGAAATGGTGACGGCCTTTTCCCGAGAAACCAACAAGAAGGTCTATGTCCAGCACCGACTCAAGGAGCGCGCCAAGGAGGTCAACGAGCTGCTCCAGCAGAAGGCCTTCTTCTACGTCTGCGGCGACGCCGCCAACATGGCTCGCGAGGTCAACGCGGTTCTTGCCCAAATTATCGCCGAGGGCCGGGGCGTGTCTGAGCAGAAGGGCGAGGAGGTTGTCAAGCACATGAGGGCAGCCAACCAGTACCAGGTACGTCCCCGTTCATCACTTTGCTCGTTTGTGACCCGCATGCTGACCAGCCGGTGTTGCAGGAGGATGTTTGGTCCTAGAGTCGTACGAAGTATTGCCGTGACGATCCAGCATTCATATGTATGCATGGCGCTTGATTAATCTCTTTGGCGACCACGGCGTTTCTACTTGGGCGGAACCGTCTCCGACCCGGTTTCCTCTTCATCGCCGCGCTCCCCTGCGCCCGCCTACTCGTACCTCACGTTACCTGCCCAGAGCCGCTTCATACCCTCTGCGACCCGGACAGGTACCAAGGACGGTACGCGCGCCTACCTATCTACCTACCACTCATATAGAACGAAATTTTACACATCTCCATCTCCCCCACGCCGGGCGTCGGTCTTGGGAAAGGGTGAAGGTGTTTTTTTCCTTGGAAAGCAGGGCGGTGACGACGTGGAGAGCACACTTGGGCTGACCATCGCCTTATCTCAGGCGAGATGCAGCGGAAGACGGGCGGCCATGCGGCGGGCATTTTTTGGTGTAAACTTGGGGGGTCGGTGGGGGAGTCTCTCTTGATGAAACGAGTATGTGCAAAGATAGAATTGAATAGCCTTTCCAGAAGAAGAAGAAGAAGACACCAGATTAAATACCTACTTTTGCACCCCTTCCCTCCAGGCCATGCATGTACGTAGCACAAAAGTTTTTGCGTTTCAAAGCCTGGGTGATGACGCGCTCTAGGGTAGTTTGTTTCGCGTTTGCCATTTATGAAGTACACCCCGGTACACCGGCAGCACGCACAAGTGGGAGGGACTGTCAAAGCGCAAGCGTTTTTCTCACGCCATGAAGTCAAGTCGGCACGGCAGAAGCAAGCACAAGCAAGCACGGGCAGCACTGCCCTCGTGCCCAACTAAAAAACTCAACGGCCACTGCCACGTTCTCGTAGGTGCTAGCATTCATCGTCCATGCGCGAAAAACGGTCCATAAGATGGGCTTCCAAATCGCAGTCCCTCACTCACCCGCACCACCAGACGGGCACGTGCTCTCGTGGTTGCCGTCGCCCAACTCCCCGGCCCTTGCATTCCGGCAGCGATCTGTGGGGTAACTAAAACTTGACTTGTGCACCACGGCCCCCCCTCCCGCCGGTGCTCCGCTCTTGAACCTCAAGGGTCAGCCGGGTGTGGGTGCTGGTAGCTGCGCCGACATCATCGGAGAGTGCTACATCACTCGCAGCGAGGCATCTCGCATGTACATCGCTCCTATCCAAAGACGCAGCAGAGCCTCACTCGTTCCGCATCGTGCAAATGTGCATACGTATGTATTTGCTGGAATAGGGAGCAAGGGAAAGGGGCGGCGTGGCGTCTTCTCTCTTTCCCCCAACTTGTTCCAGACCTGGGCAGGCTGGGCCAGCACCGTCGTTGCTTTTTTCTCAACAACGTCGCTGGTTTGGGTTACGGCCCCATCTCCCTTGCGTGCGATGCGGCTCAGGAGCGACGTTCTTTGGCTCCTCTGGCAGATCCCTTATTTTGCTGGTTCAACTAGTGAGAAGCCCGGTCGACCTCGCAGTGCCACCCGCCGGAGTGGCCAGTCCGCCGAAGCTCCCATCCCCCAATGTGCGCTGCTGGGCTGCCATCCATTCTGTCCGTCGATGGGAGGAAGTCCCCTCTGTCGATGCTTGGAAACGGGCTCAGGGAATGGTACTTGTTTCAGAGACGCACAGAGGGGCACAAAGGCTGCATTTGATCTGCTCTGATGCACAAAGGCCCGGCAGGCAGGGGAGCATGTCTTATGCCATGGAATGCTGTGCCCTGTCCCCGTCGGCGCTCGTCATGAGCGGCACTCGCCCTGAGCCGTCTCAAAAGCAAGCCTTACTTACTTCGTACTGCGGTCGGATATCCCAGCGGCCAAAGGAAAATGGTCAGGGCAGCCAGCGGAATTGACAATATGATGCTTGCTCGTTGTACCTGCTCTCTCCATATTCTTGCTCTCTGTGCCACGGCTTCCCCGTGCTGAGCGATGCCTGTAGCCCAGCTTCAGGCATCCGTTGCGTGGATAGTGATTGGACGGGAGGCAGATATGGTGCTGCTCCCATGCTACTGCGGGCGCAGTATCCCCGGGAGGGGTTGCCCCTGGCCGTCGCCCCAGATGAATCATGGGTGGTAGTGTCTGAGAGGCAGAAAAAGGAACCACGGACAGCGACGGCAGTGGCGTACTGCGACACATCGAGAGTAACAACATCCCATTTAGGTCGTGGGCGTCCCGCGAGACTGGTGTGGTGGCCTTCCGCCTTTGTCCCTGGACTTCTTCCGTCGTTGTCGGACTTGCCACATGGCCGTGGTGTAGTCTCCTGCCCTTTATCCTCTGCTCTCTTCTGTTTCTAGTATCGTTAGATCTGCTTTTCCGGCGCCGGTCATCCTCACCTCTATTCCGTGCAGGAGGCAGTGGAAACCCAGGTGCCTAGCCTGCGATCCCCAAGTGAGGCAAACAAGGCGTTTCTGGACATCGCTGCGACGAACAACCACGAAACAGGTATTTGGGAGGACTCGGCAACGGCCTCAAGGTTTAACGCGGCTTCGACGCCGGCGGAGACTCGCTCACGTGGAGTTCTGTACGTGGTTGAACTATCCGAGCAGGTGTTGGCGTCATTCAGACTCACCTTTCCAACGCCATTCAAAGCAGACAAGTTCTCCGAACCCTTTTTCGACCTAATTCGACTGGCACAAGAAGGGAGATTGGCAGTATCCGAGGCGGTCGGTTTTCGGGCTGTCGTCTTTGCAACGTTCGAGGTCACCAGCATCATTCTGGCACGGCTCGGAGCATCAAAACGAATTGAGTGGCCATCGAGCACAGCAGACCAACGACTGCCACTACAGCATCGTGACTCCGCAACAGGAAGCAGTGGCAAAGATTTGTGGGAGAAAGTCGCACGCAGGGTTGCAGCTGGAGAAGGTTCACATTTGCAGCAAGCCGGGGGCCTCCAGATCTTCAAGGCAAGAGCAGGGCAGGACTCGACAAGAAGGTCATCTGCGGCGTTCCTGTCCGATTCGCCGCCAGGCCGACACCTAATTTAATCCATCGCCTACGACGCCAACTACCTGCCGGAACAGACGCTGCTGTTCAGTGCTGCGACTGCCCCAAGAAATCACTTCCAGGCTGTGTTCGGCTCCCGGGGGCGGCACCAAGGCTGCTGAGGACCTCACTACGCTACCCAGCAACACCTACGAACAGACGAACAGAAGCACTCGACCGGCTCCCCGCCACCTGCCACAGCCACGGGAGCAAACAGAAGCGAAGCGACGCCTTACCCGACCTGGCAGTGCTTCAGCCCGTCATTCACGGCCCGGCTGCCAGCTGCGCGGCCCATCCTTCTCCCCCCCACCAAACCTTCTCTTCTCCTTCAACCTTGACGACAGCGACGCATCTTGCTTGCCTTCACAGCGATACCCGCCAGCGCACCGGAAGTGATCCTAGGCTCCTTCCCGCCCCTGCGTCGCTTCTTTGGAATCGAAATCGCAATTACCTTGGTGCGTGTAGCCTTACAGAGAAAGGTAAGCCGCGCTCACAATTTCCTCCTTGCTTTCTTGTCCTTCCCACCATCATCACCACTTCCATTTCTCTTCTTCCTTCATCACCCCAACAGCATCAAACACCACTCGAAAGCAACTCGTTCTCCAGATTCTTTGGCCAGGCCGATAGATCAATCTCTTTCGAAGCCCCATCTTGCTCGATAGCTTGTTCTATCTTACTGACTCTCGCTTCATCTCAGGTGTCTTGGTACCGCAAAACATTTGCCTCGGCGTATAACGAGCTGGTTTGTGCCATCACGCCAGCTAGCCGCAGCACGAGACAAAGGTGAGGCCGACATCTCCTTCTGAACCGTCACGGAAAACCTTTTGCGGCTCGCGCCCTTCGCGAGAGTCTGTGGCGGAGTGGCCGTTTGCCATTAGCGACGGCGCTGATCGTGCCTCGCTTTCGCCCATCTTTGGGACGACCAAACCCCCTTTCCATCTCTTCGACTCATGGCGCTGCTTCTTTCTTGCTGACAAGCTCTTCAGTTCTTTGTCCGCGTCGCGCCGTTTCCATCTTGAACCATCATCCGAGACGAATTTGTGACACTCCCGAGTAAGTTGATGGCATCGAACTGTGTTCACCAAGGTTTCTCCCAGCGAGAAACCATCACATGGCGTGCCCAAATATACTTTCACGGCGAAAGCAAACATGTCGAGCCAGGCTCTGCGCTCTGGCATATTTAAACGATTGTCGCTCCCTGAAATGATCCTGCACATCAACCAGCACCTTCGTTTTCTCTTTGCCGTGCCGCCTTCACGCAACTTTACTCTGAACTTCGCTAAGATGACCATTTATAGACAAGCACTCCTTTCGAGGACTTATCAGCGTCAGAATTCATCAGCCGCCACAATGGACGCTGGTACTGGAGTCGCTGCCCAATATCTCCCCAACCCGGCTGGACGCAACGTCCATGGCCACGGTCCAGCCCACGCGAGTGCGGACCACGGCTTGGGTCAGATGATGAGCCAGTTCACTGGTCTCAGCCTTGCAGGCATGGGAATGCACAACAACTCGGCGCCACTTCCCCTCGGTCCCGGACATTTCGTGGTCGGTTCAGAGCCACAGTTTCTCCTGGCCCCTATGGCAGCTGGCCAGCCGATGGGAATGAGCCACTCGCAGGACCACCCGTACAACAACTACGGCATGCCCGCTGGCAGTTATGGCCCTCCTTATGTTGGCCTTCCGATGCCTCTGATGCCCTACACTCCCGGCCGAGCCAATGCCACCCAGCCTCGAGTTGAGCGTATCAACTCTGACGTCCCCGGACTCGAGAATCGCCGTGGCTCTTACTCGACGACCGAGTCGACCCCAGCCACGCCCTTCTACGGCACCATGTCTCAGCGAGATGGCCCTCGCGTTGCGAGCCTCGATCGCTCCGCCTACACGACTCCATCTCCCCAGCAGATGGGCTTGTCTTCTCTTCACGGAGAAGCCGCCAAGTCGGCCATTCCAGCGGTCTCTGACAGTCACATCGACGATCTCTTGAAGAAGGACCCAGCTATTCCCCGTGCTGTTCCGGCGGTCTTCACTCCTCCTGGCCAGATGAAGAGCCTCGAGCAGAGCCTGGAGAACCGCATCCCCGGCAACCGCAACGTCTATATCCGTGGCCTCCATCCCACGACTGACGACCGCCTGTTGTACGAGTTTGCCGCTCGCTTCGGGGCCGTGGAGACTTCCAAGGCAATCATCGACACCAACACTGGAGCCTGCAAAGGGTATGCGACTTTCCCTGGCGTTTTGTTCCAGATTCTGACTGTCCACTAGATTCGGCTTCGCCAAGTTTGTCAATGTCCTTGACTCAGAGTCGTGCATCAGGGGCTTCCACCGCCTTGGCTACGAGGTTGGATTTGCTCGTGTACGTATTCCCTGCCGTTCGCGACTTGGCAGAGCAGGCGCTGATGATCTCGCAGGAGTCGTTCAACTCGCGCCTCAAGGCCGAAGGCGATGAATGTTCAACCAACCTCTACATCTCGAACCTTCCCAAGAGCCTCACCGAGGTGGTAAGATATAATCTGCATTTGCAAAATGACCTTGGCCGAGAAACTTTACTGACGTCGAGCGTAGGAGCTTGCTACCATCTTTCTCGGATACACGATCTTGTCCAGTAAGATCCTGCGTGACAGCATGGGAAACAGCCGCGGTGTGGGCTTCGCCCGGTTTGTCTCTTCGGTTTTCGTTTGGATCATGCCTGTACTGACCCGCCTGGCAGCTTTGAATCGCGCGACGTTTGCGATGAAGTTATTCGCAAGTTCAACGGCGTCAGCATTGGCGAGGAGGCGCTCCTCATGAACATTCGCTACGCCGACACCCCGGCTCAGAAGGAGCTGAAGCGTGTCACTGCCGAGCGTCGCCAGTTCCGCACGAATGAATACAACATCGGTGCATACGGCACCCCGCTGGTTGGCTTGAGCCCTACTCTGTACGGCCAGCAGTCCCAGTGGCGTCGCAGTGTCCCGATTGCACGCAGGTAAGTAATCCCCTGCTACTTGCCTCACCATGGTCTAACACCTGTTTGCTACTGCAGTGCGATCACCATGTCGAACGACGACACCAACGCGTCGAGAAACTCGGGAGCCCGCCGTGGAATTTCCGAGTATGCTCCGCGTCTCAGTATCTTCAGCACGTACTGACCTCTTGATCAGGACGGTGTTGAGCTCGAGTTCGGACGCGAACGTTTCGACCCCCATCTCTTCGGAGTGTGACGAGGGCGTTACGGTTCACGCGGATCCAACCGTCGCTACAGCCGTCGCTGAGGAGAGTGTCCAAGCGTTGCCGCCTTCTACGAAGGACTCTCTCAAGGAGGAGAAAGAGGGCGAGGCGACGTAACTGTCGTCCTGGTCACTCCAGTTTTCTTTTGTTAGCCCCCTGCCATGCACTTTGTTTTTGCTGCATTCATTGGTACCCTCCTACCGTTTTTGAAGCCCACGGACCATGGACGCCGCGGCAGTGTTAGGCCGTTGTGAAGCATGAGGCACTTTAAGATGCGAGGCGTTGATACTATTGGCGACGAACTGAGAGCAAGCACTCCCATTTTACGCAGTTTTGTACTCTAGACTCTAGGGAGTGGCAATGGGCATTGTGACAGATTACGTCCGGGGGAACGATGCCTTGCATTGTAATGTAAATCAATTGATTCATCCGTGAACTTCCGCATCACACAAGCAAAGAATGGCTCCTGTTGATGGGTATCATGTTCTTGACGCTTCTTCTATACTGCTAGTTTTGACATGCCTTCTTGTACTGAGCCAGTGGCAGCAGGGTCACTTCCTTGCGCCGTTGGATCGGACCCGTCGTCTGCGATTCCCTCTTCCTCCGCCGTTGCAGATCCTATGACTACAGGGCCTTCGTCGCCATCGTCGCTTTGCTCCTCGTCATCCTCATCATCCTCTTCACTGTCGATTTCATCCTCAGAGTCCACCCCCGTTTCTACCTTCGCAGCCTTTTCCTTGATAGCAGCCTCCAGATCCTTGAGCATTTTCTTCGTAAAGCCCGAAGCCTCGACGGTCGCATCGAGTCTCTTCAGCCCACCCTTGCCAACCGTCTTCTTGGCGTCTTTGAAGAACGGCCCAGGTTGCGTGCTTGTGAAGTGAAACCGCCGGTCAAAGAAGCGCTTGATGCAATTGACGTCTCTGTCAAAGTACATTTCTGCGTTTTGGTGCTCCATGGACACCATTTGAGGGAAGTCGATAACGACGGGCTCGAGACTAATTGACTCCTGTCCATCCTCCGACATGGTCTTCGTTTCCTTGATGAGAATGTTGAACTCGTTGAAGTCGCCGTGGATGAGGCCGTGGCTGGCTAGCCGCAGTATCAGTGCGATGAGATCGGCGTACAGGGACGCAGGATCTGGGACAGTAGCGATTTGACGTAGCGGAAAGGCGTCGATGAGCGTCATGACGATGGTGTGTCGGGATTGCGCAATCGGTACTGGGACGGGAAAGCCCTCCTCGTACAGAGCCTTCATGAAGGCAAATTCCTTCATGGCAGCTAGCCTTGAAAGATACATCCATGATCCAGACGCGCGGTTCTTGAGGTAGTCCCGGTTCGACTTGACTGATCGGAACGATATTCTGCCGAGGCGATGGATCTTGAGCACCCGCTGCGTACCCGTATGGTCCGCGACGACCATGATGTCGCTTTCCTTGCCAACTCCAATTCGGTTTCCGACACTGTAGACGTCTTTGCGCTGGGCATGGGTGTGCAGGGCGAGGTAGTCGAGGCCGCCGTACGTCAGGCGATAGCCGTCGTACTTTGCTTCTTTGACTCGAGCAATGAGGCCCACCTTGGCGAGTGCCGATATGCTCTTGTGTACTCCGCTCGCGCCGCCCCGAAGGCGTGAGATCCTCTCTATCAGTGGTGTCGGTACGATCTCGTGGTTCTTGCTGCCCATCTCCACCTGGTCGAGTCCATTAGGGTTGCACAGAGAGGCAGGGGAGGGCTGCACGTACCGCTGTTAGGACCCGCCAGTCCTCAGATGCCAAATGGCGCATTGCCCGCGTATCCAGCTTCATGACTGCTGCTGTGACTTTGGCTAGGTATGAAGCTCACAAGAAAATCGACGTCTGTCGTCGGGCTGCAGGCACTTGGACCGTGGGGGTTTGATGGACGTGGATGGTGGGGCACCATGTTCAGGAAAATTGGCTGATAAGATCTAATCGATAGCGGCACTCACCTCTTATCGCGGAAGAACCCTTCGGAGGCAACGACGCCCGCCACACGTGATTGCGAGGCAAGGGTGGCCCATCAATCGCAGGCGGCAGCGCCTCGCGTAACCAGAGCTACGCCATTCTGGAGCAGCCCTCCGGAGCTTGACTGCCATCCACATCCATCATCTTCCACCACATCCGACCCCGACCGGCGGCATCCTCCAAACGCATCAATACCAGCACGCTCGCTCTGCAAGAGTCGATTATACACATTTGGGTCTTGTCGTGCTACCCATTCGTTTGTTCGCCGCCTACTCGGAGCTCCCGCCTGGCGCGAGACACTATACGTCAACATGGCCCAGGACAGCGACGCGCCCAAGGCGGTTGACAAGGGCAAGGGGAAGGCTGTGGACGAGCCCAAGGATGAGAAGCCAGTTTTGAACGGCAAGAAGGAGGATGGAAAGAAGGACGGTACGTGTCGCGGCGCCTCAACGACGGCGCAGACCGCGGGCTAATGGCAACGGACAGCTGCAGAGGAGGAGCTTAATGAAGAGGACCAGCAGCTCAAGAATGAGCTCGACATGATGGTAGAGCGGCTTACGGTATGCTATATTGATGGATACACCGCTGCTGTGCAGGCAGATGTGGCTGACAGGCGACGTTTAGGAGTCGAACACGGAGCTGTACAAGACTGCCCTCGAGGCCATGAAGACCTCGATCAAGACCTCGACATCATCAATGACGGCAGTGCCGAAACCACTCAAGTTCCTACGACCGCACTACGAGACGTTGACGAAGCTCTACGATGGGTGGCCAGCCGGAGAGAACAAGACGTCTTTGGCGGACGTGCTGTCCGTCATTGGCATGACGTACTCGGACGAGGACAGACAAGACACACTCAAGTACCGGCTGCTCGCCCCTTCATCTGATATCATCTCCTGGGGACACGAGTATGTTAGGCATCTGGCTCTCGAGATCGGAGAGGTGTACGGAAAGCGCATCACTGCCGATGAACCTACCAAGGATCTGGTGGACCTCGCCCTGATCCTGGTTCCCCAATTCATCAACAGCAACGCTGAAGCCGACGCTGTTGATCTCATGAGCGAGCTGGAGATTATCGAGCAGATCCCCAAGTATGTGGACGAAAACACTTACTCCAGAGTCTGCCTGTACATGGTCAGCATGGTCAACCTGCTCACCTACCCCGACAACGAGACCTTCCTGCGCACAGCACACAACATTTACATGGAGTACAAGCAGTTTACGCAAGCCATGGTGCTTGCTATCCGGCTACATGACATCGATCTCATCCGCGCCGACTTTGACAAGGCCGAGGACCCCGCACTGAAGAAGCAACTCGCCTTCCTGATTGCCCGCCAGAGGATAGTCATGGAGCTCCCGGAGGACACCTTGGACGAGCAGGAGAGCGCGGAATGCCTCTCGAACCTTAAGTTGTCGGAGCATTTCAAGTCTCTCGGAAAGGAACTGAACATCCTGGACCCGAAGACCACCGAGGACATCTACAAGAGCCATCTGGAGAGCAGTCGCGTGGCGGGTATGACCAACTTGGACTCGGCCCGACACAACCTGGCGTCGGCTTTCGTGAACGCTTTTGTCAACGCCGGTTTCGGCAACGACAAGATGATGCTGGTGGACGGCGAGAAAGAGACATGGGTCTGGAAGACCAAGGCAGATGGCATGATGTCCACTGTCGCTTCTATGGGCACGCTGCTTCTGTGGGACATTGAGAACGGACTGGACAAGATCGACAAGTACACGTACTCACCAGAGCCGGAGATCTCTGCTGGTGCTATGCTTGCCATCGGCATCATGAATTCCGGCGTGCGGATAGACTCCGAGCCGGCGCTGGCGCTTCTTGGCGACGCGGAAAAGCTGCAGCACTCTAACCCCATGATCAGGACAGCGTGCATCATGGGCCTTGGACTGTCATATGCTGGATCCAACAAGGAGGACCTGCTCGACCTGCTACTCCCCATTATCAGCGATTCGTCGCAGGAGATGCAGATCTCGGCCATGGCAGCCCTCGCCTGCGGCTTGATCTTTGTCGGCTCCTCCCACCCCGAGGTGTCCGAGGCCATTGTCACGACTCTTATGGACGAGGACCGGAAGAATCAACTGACGGACAAGTGGACGAGGTTCTTGGCGCTGGGTCTGGGATTGCTGTTCTTTGGGCGGCAAGAAGAGGTCGATGTCATCTTGGAGACGCTTAAGGCTGTGGACCACCCGATGGCGAAGCCGACGGCGGTGCTGGCTGAGATTTGTGCCTGGGCAGGCACCGGCGCCGTCCTCAAAATCCAGGAGCTTTTGCACATCTGCAACGAGCACAAGGAGGAGTCAGACGACAAGAAGGGCGACGAGCTCCTTCAGGCTTACGCCGTGATTGGCATCGCTCTGGTGGCAATGGGCGAGGACGTCGGGCAGGAGATGGTTTTGCGGCAGTTTGGGCACCTGATGCACTACGGCGAGGCCAACATCCGCAAGGCAGTTCCTCTCGCTATGGGCTTGATCAGTCCCAGCAACCCTCAGATGAAGGTGTACGATACGCTGTCGAGATACAGCCACGACAACGACCCCGAGGTGGCCATCAACGCCATCTTCGCCATGGGCATGTTGGGCGCGGGCACCAACAACGCCAGGCTGGCACAGCTTCTGCGACAGCTTGCCAGCTACTACCACCGCGACCAAGACGCGCTCTTCATGGTCCGCATCGCGCAGGGTCTGCTTCACATGGGCAAGGGAACGCTGTCTATCAACCCGTTCCACACCGATCGTCAGGTGCTGTCCCACGTGGCCGCGGCCGGCCTCCTGGCGACCATGGTCGCCATGATCGACCCCAAGGAGTTCATCTGCTCCACGTCACACTACCTCCTCTACTTCCTGGTGCCCGCCATGCACCCGCGTTTCCTCGTCACGCTTGACGAGAGCTTGAAGCCCCTCAAGGTCAACGTGCGTGTCGGTCAGGCAGTGGACGTCGTCGGCCAAGCTGGGCGACCCAAGACCATCACGGGCTGGCAGACGCAGAGCACGCCGGTCCTGCTGGGCTACGGGGAGCGCGCCGAGCTGGAAGACGAGCAGTACATTAGCCTCAACAGCACACTGGAGGGCCTGGTCATCCTGCGAAAGGTAAGTCTGCAACCTCCTTCCCTCCAACCGATGTTCACACCGCTTCTCCTTGGTCACGCACTGACGCAACGCAAATAGAACCCCGAGTGGGAAGACGGAAAATAGACGCCCATTGGGAGGACGGGGGACTCGTTGACAAGGCGCGGTGTAAACATTGGTATTTTGCCTCTTGTGGGCAAAAAGCCGCGGGTGCGACTGTATAGTATGTTATGGTAGTCGTGGGCGTGTGTGGCAGGCACGGATGCTTGCCGTGACGAGCATCGGTAGACGGGCCAGAATCACACAAAACATTATAAATTGACAGCCACGTCGTGTCCGAGGCATGGCTGTCGTTTGTTGCATGCTACAGTATGTTCCGCTAAGAAATGTCTATCCCGTGGCTGCTGCTGGGTGGTAATATCCAAAAACACAAAAGCCTGCCTGCCGCCAAATCTATTTCCCCCCCAAATCCAAGATGTGCACGGCATATGTAGCGCAAAGCGACGACGCTATCGTAGTAAAGAGTAGTGCTAGATGGTGGTGCTGGGCATGCGTGAAACTGATGCGCGCCTGCTTCGCTGGCCCCTTTGGAGGACTACCAGGTGTCTGGGCCGAACCTCTCGCCGTCGGCGACGGTCCTATACGAGCAGGCCTGCCAGTCGCACCCTTGCTTGTAGACCTCGGTGCCCCACCAGCTGAAGCCCTTCATCCAGCCGGGGTAGATGAAGCCGAAGAAGACGATGACGATGCCGAAGGCGAGGCCCGAGTCGAGGGCGGCGGACAGGGTCATGGTGTATTTCCCCCACCAGGCGCTGGCGCGGCGCTTGACGAGGTAGTTGAAGAAGAAGCAGACGAGGGCCCAGACGGAGAAGTTGAGCCCCGTGGCGGGGGGGATCCAGCCCATGGCGCCGAAGATGACGGGCAGGTTGACCTTGCGCAGGATGCTGCCGCGGCGCCTGCGGGCGTAGAGCCACAGCGGGATGGGGAGCGCGGCGCCGAGGGGGAAGCACCACACGAGGGCGCGGTAAATGGCCGTGGGGCCGAAGAACTCGCCCGGGCCGACGACGCCCCATAGGATGGAGCCGTTGAAGTGGACGCGGGCGATGGGGCAGGTGAAGCCGTTGACGGCCTCGGAGGTGCATATGCCCTTGACGTTGGCGAACATCCAGTTGAGGACGCCAATCTGCGTGACCGACGAGACGAGCGTGGCGACGACCTGCACGGAGAACATGATGCGCGGGGGGATCTTCATGTAGTGCCCGAGTTTGAGGTCCGAGGCGAACTTGATGCCCTGCGCCGACGAGATGTAGCCGTACGTGACGAAGACCATGTTGGCGATGGGGCGGCCGGGGAACACGACGCCGCAGATGAGCTGGCAGATGAGGTAGATGCTGCTGTGCTGGTTGGTGACGGCCATGATGATGCCGTTGGGGATGAAGAAGATGGCGCCGATGGCGAGCGACAGGAGGAGGCCGTACCAAGGAAGGTGCACGGGGTAGCTTGGGGCCTGGTCAGCAACAAGAGACGCATACGGCGCGATGGGGATGAGAACGACTTACTACTCGACGAGGAACATGCCAATCGCCGTCATCGACACAAAGGTCAAGAGATACCAGCTCACCGGGGCATCCTTGTACCTTCTCATCAACCGACAATGCACATCCTCGCGACTCAACAGATTGTCAATGTTTGGCACCGATCCAGACATGCGCGTGTACGTGTCGCTGCCGAGAGAGCCGCTCGAGGCCGCCCGCGAGTCGTTGACGGGCTGGTACTCCGGCTTGCCGTTCTCTCTCGCCTCCTCCAGCGCCTTCTTCCACGTCCGCCAGATGTCGTGCCCGTGCCAGCAGAGCGTGTGGGTGAGGAGCGCGGCCAGCCCGGCAAACTGCACGCCGTAGCTGAGCATGTACGTGACGGGCAGGAACACGCGGCTGTACTTGGAGTACGCTTCTCTGTCGAAGAGAAAGTCTGAGGTAAGGATCTTGCTGACGTCGTAGATCTTGCCCGTGTTGTCGAACACGCCTGCTGATAAGATGGGCATATATGACGAGAACAAGACGTTTGAGTAGTAGAATATGGGCGCAATGATCCACATGACAATGGCCAGGCCGCCAATGACATTCATGGCGGCCCAGAACGGCACGAGAAGTGGTGACCCGACATAAGTGATTTGCGCCCAGTCAAAGGTCATGGGGAAGAGGCCCAGGCCCGACGTTACGCCAAACAGGTTCGCAAGAACGACGTTCTTGGGCGCGAACCAGGTGATGACGCTAAAGTAGCTGAGCGCGGGGAACAGCAGGCCCGGGAGGAAGTAAAAGGCGAATGCGGCCGTCCAGACGATGTAGAAGAACTTCCACCGGCTAATGGTCCAGCCGTTGGCAGGCTTGTTGTCCTGCTTGTGCAGGGTCGAGAACATGGCCGCCGACATGAGCGTGCCTGGCCAAATCATGCCGCTCGGCCGCACCAAGAATCGGCGGGTGATGCCGGCGAACCCGTAGCCGAGGATCTGTGTCGATATGGTCAGGAGCAGCTGGTAGAGGATAGGTGCCTCCTGGTTGTAGAACTGCGTCTGTTCCACAATGACATCGGTCGCAAAGGCAAAGCCAAAGGCGACGTTGCTGCTCACGTACACGCACGTGTGCTCCTTTTCGTTCCATCTCCCCTGAGCGAGCCACAACCGCCATGACCCGAGCTTCTTCGGTGGCCGATGGCGCTGAATCGGGTCCTCGCGCTCGATGATGGACGGTGTCCGGACGCCCTCGATGAATTCCTCATCGGGATCATATGGCCTTTTAAGCAGAATATCCCACAGATGGCCCAGGGGATGGACGAGAAGCAAGGCAATGACAGGTGTAATGGCAACGCTAGGGTATCGCAGGGAAAAGAAGAGATTCGTGGACGATCCGAGTATAGAGAAGAGGACGGAGAGGCACCACATGCGAGGGGTGTTTATGGAAAGCGTGGTGTTGTCGGTCGGGGAGACGGATGCCCGAACGGCTTCGTGAGGAGAGTTTTCGAGGTATTCGTGGTCGGACTCGTCTGACCGATCTTGGTCGAGAGGGAGGCCGTCGTCGGTGGTCAAGTCATCGTCCTTGGCATGGTCCAGCATGTCGCCGGGCAAAGGTGCCTCTCCCAGGCCGAACCGACCGTCTAGGCCGGAAACGAGAGCGGCGCCATCGAGCTCCTCGGACATTCGCGACGACTGCTTCGACAGGCCAGACCGCTTGGAGCTCAAGCTCCGGCGGCTTCTGGTACTCTGGCGAAAGTCATGGGAGCTGTCGGACTCGCTGTCGCTGTCCGGGGGCGAGCCCTGCTGGCGCGGGGTGGCGGAGACGGAGCCGTAGGGCGAGGAGTCGCGGGCGTCGTCGGAGAGCAGGAAGGGAAGCCTCCGCTTCCTCCTGGGGGCCGCCATCGCGTCGCCACCGTCGTCGTCGGCGTCGGGGATGTCGTCGACGTGGAGGGCCAAGGGAGCTTGGGGCTGGGGCAGCTCCTCCAGTGCTATCGCCTCGGCAGGTCCGGGGGTCGAGCGGGCATGATGGGAAGATGTAGTCGCGGGCGTGTCGGGAGGGAGTTGGATCTGGCGGGTCGCGTAAGGCGCTTGTCGAGGTCGGGAGTGTGAGACAGTGGATCGCGATGTGGACGAGTCGGCGGCGGATGCCAGGGCTTGCAGCTGGGGAGGCTCGGCGCCGGGGTGGTGCGCCTGCCAATCCTGGAGAGGGCGTTGCAGATTCGAGTCACCGGCGGCGACCCTGGTCTCAGCCTTGGGGGCAGCACCTGCAGACGAGCGGAGGGGGTCGTCAAGGGCGGGCGCACTGGTGGTGGTGGTGGTGGTGGAGGAGGATGCGGTAGCAGTCGGAGTGGTGGTGGTGGTGGTCTTGGGATTGGAATTGGACCTCGAGTCGGTCTCGGTGCGGCGGCGGCGGCGACCCATGGCGGGGCAGCGGGTGGGCAGACCTTGGCACTGGCAGCGCCCGCCGGGTCATGGACGTCTAACTCAGTCAGAGTGACGGAGTTTCGGCGCGGGCGGGCGGGGGCGCGGATGGAGCTGGAGATGGGGGGAGATGGAGACGTCGGGGGTCGGTCGCCTGGCCCTGCACGACGTAGCGTCAACAAGCGGTGCGGTGCAGCGCGCTGGACTCGTACTCGTCCACTCGTGCAATCGCGGATGTCGACCAGGATGGGAAAATGGACGGCAAGACAGCGAGCCCGAGAGGCAAAGAGGCCGGCGCTAATGCACCAGTGGGACGGACCAGAATCTTGGGCGCGGCGCGGGATCCTCGCTGTCGTCGCCGGGCTTGGTCGCCGGCGTTTCTCGGTACGCACCTATGTGACGCCTAAAGAGACGGGACCCTTTTTCTGGCGGGCCGCTTCACCGTCTTGAAGGGGACGGTGGACCACGGGAGTACTGCAATGCGGTGCTGGCGGGAGCTTGCAGCGCCACAGGTTGGCGTACCCGAACCGCTGTGCTGGAGGGAACAGAAAGTGAGGACGGGAAGTTGGTGAAGGTCGGCAGCGCCCAGTCGGCGTCCGGGCCGTAAGCACAGCGCCGAGCGGGTGGGCGGCAGCGGGGGGCGAGGGATGGCTTGGGGGTGATGCCCTGCCCATGCACGCTCGGCTGCAGGGATGTCTCGAGTACGACGACGGGGCGAGCCGCAGCCGTCGTCTTGTTTCGATCACGGTGGCTCGAGCGCTGGTGGTGACGAGACGTGAAAGCGACGCAGTTCTGTCGTGCACCGTTTTTCTTCTTGGTTCCGATGCCTTGCTTTGGCGAAACGATCTTTGGGTAACTTGCGGGCACACCAAGTGCCGTCTTCGTCAAAGACCGCTGAACCACCGCCAACCCCAAAGGGGCCGCCGCTCTTCCAGCACGCCGCCCTCACCTTCATCAGGCCTGAGAACCGGGACCATTTTTTTCTTCTTCACGCACCCGCCCGCCCGCATCGGCCAACTCGCAGCCACGGCCACATCGGCAATCAAAACTCCACAAGATGCAGTTGGTAAGCCGTTTTACCTTATAACCGCGTGCTTCCTTAATCTGATTTATGACATGCCTTGCCACGCGCCCCCTTCCCGCGTCAGGGTACCTACCGCGTTTGGCCGCCGCCCTGGTCTTCAAAGGCGAGCGATGCGTCTCATCCATTCCACCCCGGGTTACTCATGCCTGCACGCATCAACCTAGAGCCCCATCGCAGACCCTTGCCCATGTCTCGGCGCGTCTCCCACACCACACCTCTCCAGCATGGCTTTATTTGGTCGTCGAGTCGCCTCTGCATGACCAGCCGTTATTTCTTCGCGTGTCACGGCCAACATTGCGCTTCGGAAACCGAGCCGAGGCCATTGAACACGACCGCATCGTGAGGACCTACATTGGGCTCCAAGGATCCATGGTCGTCGTGGTGGAGAGGTTCATGCGAGTGCTAGCAGCAGCTTTGCTGTCGCCGTCGCAAGCGCGGAGCTGAACCTGAGCTACAAATTCACCACGCGATGGTGTCTCACCTTTTTGGTTCAATCGTATGCCATGATTGTCCCGCGTAAAGTGATTGAAATGAGTGCCTGTACTGGAACCTATTTTCTGGCTGCTCATCCTCCGAGCATGAGAATACCAGTTCCATTGATAATTGCCCTTATTTTCGGGTCCAAAATGGCCGTCCCTGCCTGGTCATCTGTTCGTGACGGTGAACATGAAGTTGTCTCATGGAGCTCGGCTGGCGCCATGGAATTGCTGAAAGCGGCAATCCGAGAGCGCCTGGTCAGTGGCGGCACCACTCTGTCTGGCACAACGGCACTGGCACAATGCATGCCTCGTCCATGTTCACATGTACGTTGACGGTGGCGCAGCTCAAGCACGCATCAGCTTTGGGCATAAACATGGGCAGGGACACAGGGATCCCGGTTTTTCCTGCTGCACAGTATCTGACAGACGTCGTGAGAGCATCAAAACCAGAGCAGCACGGCACGAGGTTCCCTTGGTTCCTCATGGCGGACCTGTCCCGCCACGGTGGGCTTCGTATCCCGCCCGCGCCCGAAATCCACTCACGTGCAGCAGCCTCTACGTCGGACGCCATGCTGAGAGAGTCAGTCATGCTCCCTGCAACGGCTGCAGCCCAGGCTCCATCCGCCAAATCGCGGTGACCATTGTGACGATTGTGTCGTCATCAGGCACCCAAGATGGCCGCCTCGCTCACCGCTGCCAAACAGCAGCTGCGGAGCCTCATGAAGCGGCGCCTGTCGTCGGTGCCCCAAGAGTCCGTCACCGTTCAGAGTACGGCCCTCGTCCGCCTCCGCGTCCGATCCCGCGCCCCTCGCTCACAGCTCCGGACACAGGCCGCAACATCTTCGAGTCCCTGAGGGACTTCAAGCCCTACAAGGATGCCACTCGCATCAGCATCTACCTGTCCATGCCCGCCGCCGAGGTGCAGACCGACGCCATCGTCCGCGACGCCCTCGCCGCCGGCAAGCAGGTCTTCGTCCCGTACCTGCACAAGTCGCCCCTCGAGACGCCCGACACGCCCGCGCGCGTCATGGACATGGTGCACCTGAGGAGCGTCCAGGACTACGAGAGCCTCACGCTGGACCGCTGGGGCATCCCCAGCATAGACCCGGCCACCGTCCACGAGCGCCAGCGCATCCTCGGGGGCCCGGACGCGCAGAGGTCGGACGCCGCGACGCTGGACCTGATGCTGATGCCCGGCGTGGCCTTTGACTTTGACGAGGCCGGCTCGGTGCGCAGGCTCGGCCACGGCAAGGGCTTCTACGACTTCTTTCTCAACCGGTACTTGGCCAAGCAGGGTAGCAGCACGGAGCGGCCGCCGTTGCGCTTGTACGGCCTCGCCCTCACCGAGCAGCTCCTGGCGTCCGGCTCGGGCGAGGAGGTGCCCACCGGCGCGCACGATCGCCGGCTGCACGGGTTGGTCTTGGGCAGCGGCGAGATTCGCCAGTCTTCCACGAGTAGCGTCTGAATTGCAACCCTTCCATCCATCGACTACGGAGCCCATTCTGCTATACCCGACATGTAACCACTTAACTCACCGACGCGGTGGGGGATGCTTCATGCGTCAGCTCGTCGAGCCAGTATATACTTTACAGCTCTGTTTATTCCGTCCCGTGTCAAGAATCACAGTCGCGCGGCCGACCGGATGCACGCATGGTTGCCGTTGTACAACGTAACACTGGCCGAATATGAATGAATGCAAGAACATCTGTCGACGCGATTCCTCGACCCTCGGTCAAGCCCTGTCCCCGGCTGAATGCGTCATTGCCTGTCTTGTTGCTGTGCCGATTGGCGGCGCTCCGGAGCGGAAAAACTAGCGGCGGACCCTGTCCCTGGCCCCATCCGCCGCCCATACCTCCTTCACTCACTGACTGCCCCGCCAAAGAACGCCTCGACCCCATGCCATCATCAAAGCCAAACGCTTCACCTTTCTCTCTCCCCGTGGGCGTTGTCCCTTTCTGCGACCGACGATAGACCCGACTCTGACGGCCGACCATACAATCCGCATCTGCGAAACAGCTCTCGCTGAAGCCAGTCGCCCGATCCCGTACCCCAGGCCCGCTCGCCGTCTCCTCTCCTTTGGTGGCCCGCCAGCTGGCACACACAGGCAACCGCAACCCAGCAGCCTCTCGGAGTCACCCTCCCCGCGACCCTCCCCGCGTGGCCGATGCGCGCACCCTCCGGCTTTCTCTACTGAATCACCTCTCTCACTCTTCGTCATTTTCCTCTTCAAAGCCCGTGCCTAGTCCTCGCCGGCGCTACCCATCATGGCCACCAACGGCTCCCAGGAGTCGTTTGCGCCGTCAGACGTCCTGGCTGCCGTCATGACGATGCGCACAGGGGAGCAGGACAACAAGACCAAGGCCCATCACTACCTGGAGCGGTTCCAGAAATCGGTTCGTGCCAGCAAGACATCTCTCTCGCCCACGCATGCTCATACTTTCTCTGCAGAAGGACTCGTGGGCCACCATCATTGGCATTCTCCAATCCAAGGCTGAGCCCGAGGCGACCCTCTTCGCCGCCATCACCCTCCGCGGAAAGGCAAGCACATAACCGACCCGGCGCACGTAGCTGGTGGATGCTAACTCTTTGCGCAGTTGACCTACGACCTCTCGACCCAAGTCCCGCCAAGCGAGCTTCCCGCCCTCCGAAACCAGATTCTCCTCCTGCTCAAGCACTTCGCCGCTGGGCCCAAGCCCATAAGAGTGCAGCTCTGTGTATGCTTGGCGATCCTGGCGATTCAGATGAAGGATTGGCACGATGTGCTCCCGTCCGTGGTCCAGTCGCTCAGTGACAGCCCCGAAAGCCACGCATGCATCCTCGACTTCTTGCGAGTCCTCCCCGAGGAGGTGACCGAAGGTCGCAAAATCACCCTTTCTGTACGTGGATTCAGCAAATTTCGACCCGGCGCGCAGTTTCACGTGGCACCATCCCGGCCTCTCGGCCTCGTCGTGGCGACATAGTCTAATGTTTGGAAATAGGAAGAAGATCTTGCGGCGCGAACACAGGCCCTTTTGGGAGACAACACGGATCAGGTCGTTCAACTCCTCATCAACTACGCTCAATCATCTCGTAAGAACATCTCAACACCACGTCAAACCGCTTGCGCTTACCATCTGCCGTTAGCTGCTGCCCGCCGCAACCCGCAGCTCATGGAGTGCATCACCTCGTGGCTGCGAGAGGTTCCTGTCGCCAACATTGTTAACTCCCCTCTTCTCGACGTCATCTTCGAGGGTGTGACGAGCGACGAATGCAGCCAAGAGGCGTCGGAGTGCCTCTGCGTCATGCTCAGGGAAGCCAGCGACGTCGATGAGAGTCAAGCCGTGGTTCACGCACTCTTCCCGCGGGTCATCGGTCTGAGGCCCAACATTCAAAAGGTGGTCGAAGAAGAGGACATGGAGCGGCTCAAGTCCTTGACAAAGGTGTTTGCAACCTCTGCTGAGAGCTGGGTTGTGGCCATTGCCCGTGAGCCGATTCATTTCCGCCCATTGGTGGATGCCGTTCTTGAATGTGCCGCTCGGGACACGGAACGTGACGTGATTGAACACACGTTTGGTTTCTGGTACGAGCTCAAGCAGTATCTCGTCCTGGAGCGCTACATCGAAGGTCGCATGCAGATGGTGGACGTCTACTCGAAGCTCGTCGATATCCTCCTGAAGCACCTCGAGTACCCTACGCCGGAGTCGGCCAACGAGTCGGATCTGTTTGACGGAGATCGTGAGCAGGAAGAAAAGTTCAGGGAGTTCCGTCATCAAATGGGAGACACGCTCAAGGATGCGTGCGACGTCATGGGCGTGACGCAGTGCCTTACGAAGGTGCTCGACGCCATCCAAGTCTGGACTCAAAAGTACGCGAGCCAGGTATCGGGCGCGCACGTGCCTCACTGGCAGCAGCTGGAGGCGCCTCTGTTTGCGATGCGTGCCCTGGGCCGCATGGTCGACAAGGAGGAAAACATCGTTCTCCCGCAGCTGATGCCGCTTCTCGTTCAGATTCCCAGCCACGAGAAGCTGCGCTTCGCCACCATCATGGTCCTCGGAAGGTACACGGAGTGGACCGCCGCACACCCCGAGTACTTGGAGCCCCAGTTCAACTACATCGTCACGTCGTTCCAGTCGGATTCTAGGGAAATCATGCGCGCCGCGGCGCTGTCGATCAAGTTCTTCTGCACCGACTGCAAGCACCTCCTCAGCGGCCAGGTGCTGCAGCTCCAGACCTTTTACGACCAAATCCTGGATAAGCTCCCAGACTTGAGCAAGGAGGAGATCACGGAAGGCGTCGCAAACGTGGTTGCGGTGCAGCCCGCGGCGGAGACATACCGCCTGCTCAAGCTGTACTGTGACCCGCTGGTGCAGAGGCTGATGAACAAGGCCAACAGCGCCACCGACGAAGACAGCAAGCTGGCGCTGGCTGACCACCTGCAGCTCATCACCATCTTTGTGCAGAATGTGATGCCTTTTGTGGGCCCTGGCGAGGAGAACCCTGCGGTCAAGTACTGGCAGGAGGTGTTCCCGATTCTGTCGACGGTGCTGGACAATTTCCTGGACTTTAGTCCCATCTGCGAGCGGATCTGTCGGTGCTGGCGGAACATGGTCATTTCGTACCGCACGGCCATGGCCCCGCTGCTGCCCGAAATGGCCAACAAGCTGGCCAGCAGCTTCAACGTGGCGCGAGAGGGCTGCTTCTTGTGGGTAACGTCGGCCATCCTGCGCGAGTTCTCCGAGGACCGCGAGCACGTGGACCAGGCGACGACGGACAATATCTACACCTTCTTCGAGGCGCAGACGACTGCGTTCCTGCGGGTCATGACGGAGCTCCAGCCCAAGGACTTGCCCGACGTCATCGACGACTTCTTCCGGCTGCTCATCGACGCCCTCCTCTACTATCCGCAGAAGCTCGTCCCCTCCCACCTCTTGGTGCCCATTTTTGAGGCATCCATCTACGCCCTGACGCTCGAGCAGCGCGACCCTCTGTCGTCGACGCTGCACTTTTTGCGAGACTTGTTGTCGTATGGCGGCAACAACCCGGCGAGCAGCGAGGGCCTGCCGGAGCAGGCTGCGGCCGAGATCCGCGGCATTGTCAAGAACTTGCTGCTGAGCCACGGCCCCAACTTGATCAAGCAGGTCATGGCTGGTATGATGATTACATTCCCTCGGGACTGTTTCGCGGACGGCAGCGGTGTCCTTCTTGCCATGTTCGAGCTGCTCCCGGGACAGACGACTGAGTGGGTAGCGCAAACCATCCAGCTCCTCCCAGAAGGAACGGTGTCGCCTCAGGAAGCCGAACGGCTGGTGACCAAGATCAAGGACCGACTGCAGTCGGGCGACGCGGGTGGCCTCCGACATGTACGCGTGCTGCTCCAAGACTTCACCAATACGTACCGACGTCGGAACGTGGCGCCCCGCGATGGCCTTGGGCAGCTGGAGGCGACGCGATTTCAGTTTTCAGGTTGAGGGCGCAGATGGCCGTAATGGGAAAGGCATGGACAAAGGAGCAAGACAAAGATACCTAGCGGGAAAAGAGAGCCATCATGAAGATCAAGCGAGACATTGCTGGGTGTTGGAGGCGAATCATGGAAAGGAAGGTAGCAAGTGCAGGCGCCGGACGGTGGTGATTGTTGGAACTGGCGGTTGCTAGGAGGGGCCAATGAGGGCCCCAACGAGCTTGTGAGCCAAAGACCAACGAGTGAGACACAGTATCTAGGGCGGGTAGATGGCGGATGAATGTAGGATGTATGGAAGACTGAGGGGACCCGGGATGGTGGTAGATGATGATGATATGGCCAAGTAAATAGAAAGACATGAACTGACATGACCACCTTTTGGGGGCTGCTCTCAGAGGCAATCCTCCGCGTGCCTCGACTGTGGACACGTATCGCCTTGTCGCAACTCTCGTAGTGTATGCTGACATGTGCCGAGCGCTGACGACGCAGCGGCGTATGAGTACGTCGGCACAGTTGGAGTTGCGGTCGGAGGAGTTGGACAGAATGAGTCAGCGGATGAGGCGGCACTGCCGCAGGCGGTTCGACGCTAGAAGCACACCGCATGCTAGTCGGTCGGGTCCATCGGTCGGTCGGTTGATGAGTGAGCGGATTTAGGCTCGTGTACCCAAAGGGCGCACCAAGGAAGCATGTCATTGCCAGCCAGCCAGCCCGCCATGCAGGACTACTGCTTGCAACGAATGGATCGGATCCCTGTCTCTGATAGGCACTCGCCGCCGCCGCCGCCATTGCAACTTAGCTGCTCCCCCTGTGTTTTTTTTCTGGGGCCGGCAGGGAATGGGATCCGCGCCGCGATATGGTATAGTGCTTTTGGTGTATATATATAGGGCTGACGGGCGTTTTCGTTTTCGTCAACGTCGTTTCGGGGGATCCGTTTCTCGGATCGTGAAAAAGGGGATTAGGTTCGATATATCGCCAATTCGCAACTCGCAACTCGCAACTCGCAATTCGTGGACTTTATACCGTCATCGCTCGTTTGGAAGTGAGGGCGGACTCTGGGCTTGACGTTGGTTAGGCTCTGACGACTTTGTTACTGCAACACTGCCGGGGGGGAACAAACTTGGTTGGACCGGAGCAGCAGCAGGATCAACTGCAGCAACTTACCACGCAGAAGGCGCATACCTTACCGAGAGAAACCCTTAGACTTGGACTCAGGCCTCTGACGACCTGACGGCAAAGCCACGACAGGGCAGTTGGATCGAAGCAGCAGCGGCAACCAACCCATCACCACTGCGCCCAACACCAGCCCGCATCCATCCACCCACCCACCCACCTATCCACGCCATGGGCAGCATCGAGCAGAAGGCCGCCTCTTCTGCCGCCACGGGCACGGGCACGGGCAGCGCGCAGACGCGCACACAGGAGCGAGTCCCCCCGCTGGTGGTGCTCACGCCGTGGGACCCGACGGACGAGGGGCAGTTCGGGCGCATGTACGAGCAGCGCGTGGCGTGCACGTGGGGGTACGACGAGGTGGAGGAGTGGAAGGAGAGGATGCTGGGTGGGCAGAAGGTGCTTTACTGGATTGTAAGTCTTCCCCCCGGCCAGCACTCAAGTTCCATTTCCTTCTTGTTGTTCTTCTCTCGTTCTCTTTCACTTTGTCGCTCTCGGTCTCGTTGTTGTTCCCCTGATTGTTGCCGTTGCCGGGGTCATCACTTTCTCCTCTCCTCGCTGGCTTTCGATGTTTCTCGGTCGGAGGCGTCGTCAGGGGGCCATGGGAGTCGGAGGCAGCGTCGAGCAGAGTGTCGAAGCGTCGTGGGGGAGAAATTCGAGGGCAGAGTCGCAGAGTTGAAGGCATCGTGGAAGGGAGTAACCGGTCGGCTAACGGTCATGTATAGTCGCTTGCAGACGACTTCCCCTCGCGGGACGAGCTGATGGCCCAGCACATCAAGCAGTGGCCCAAGGTACGTGAACCCCCATCCACTCCCCCTTGTTGTCGAAGGCAGTGTCCAGGGGATGGCCCCAGCGCCGTGTCCGAGGCGTGGCCGTAGTAGAACTCAAGCTGAAAGACCCGACAACGGAAAAAGGAGAGCGAGGGCCTCGTCGACACGGCCGTTGTCATCGGTCAGGCTTCGCGGGAGCCGACAAGGAAGCCCTTTCACCCCGTGGGACACATCGCCATTGAGTCGTTCCCGGAGCGAGACACGCAGTTTGGACTGCCGGAGACGACCTTTTGGGTCAAGTCCTTGTACATCTCGTGGTGCGTATTTCCCCCTGCCCGTGTCCTCGCCTCCCACGCGTCTCGTCTTTGTTTAGTCGCGTTGTCCTTTCCACCAGACCCGCCTCGTTATTATTGATTCGTATGGTGTTTCCAACCTTCTTTGGTGGCTTGTTTCTTCGTGTCGACTTTTCGCCCACCTCTTTCTTGTTGCTTCGTGTCGTCTTTCTCTCCGCCGTCTCTTTCTTGTTGCTTCGTGCTGTCTTTCTCTTCGTCTTTTGCCTGTTGATTCGTACTTTCTTTCCACTCGTCTTTTGCATGTTGATTCGACGCCCGTCTCCCATCCGTTTCTTAATGTTGATTTCGTATCGGTTTCCCCATGGTCTCTCTCTTGTTGATTCGTCCTCTCGTTCCACTTGTCTCTTGCCTGTTGATTCGCGTCTTTCTCACACCCGTTCTATTCTTGTTGACTTCGCATCGGTTTTTCCCATAGTCTCTTTCTCGTTGACCCGTACTTCTTTTCGCCCTTCTGCGTCTTGTTTATGCGTGTCCTCTTTCCACCGTTTCTCTTGTTGTTGACTTCGTAACGTCCCTCCACTCGTCTCTTTCTCAATGATATTTCGTGCTGCGTTTTCATTAGCCTCGAGCAGTCCCCCTAAAGAAACGAAGCTGACTCTTTCGGTTCGGAAATAGGGCCCTGCAATCGTCTGGCCTCGGTCGCGGCGCCATGGCGGCCCTGGAGCGCGTCGTCGCGGGCCCTCCTTTCGGGGCCGAGTGCGTGGCGCTCGACACGGTGACGGGCGAGTTCCAGCTGCGGGAGGAGCAGCTCGCGGGCTTCTATGATGCGAGGGGCGTGCCGCGGCCGGCGGTGATCCGCACCAACGAGGACTGGTACCGTCGTCAGGGGTACGAGGTGGTGGCGACGAATGACAGCATGTACGACTGGGTGAACCCGGCGACGCGGGAGACGATCAAGGTGCCGTGTGTCTTTATGAGAAAGTACGTGGGGGCGGCTTAGATACACAGCGAAGGCGTCGACGCGACGCAGGGCGAGGCATCAGACAGTAAACAACGTGCGGCACGGGTGCCGTAGTTGAGCTACAAACTTCACGTACAGGGAGCAATTGTCGCAACTACATGATGATTTAACGGCTTGGCATGGGTGATTTGCCTCTATAGCTGTCTACTATTATACAAAGATGCCACTGCTGCTCGTAAGCGTGTAGATGTGTCAAAGGGACGGGGTGTGCGTCTTTTCAGAGGACAAAGAAGCTAGGGGGGTGGCCGTTGGGCGGCCCGCAGTGGGGAGGCGTGTTTACATGTGAGCATCAACCGCGCGGCCACGCACCGCCCCAGGGCAAGTACCGCTCTCCAGACGCCATGCAGATCCAAGCAATGCCCGATCTAGATCCCGCAGGGGCTCCCTGCGCCCACGCGGGGCCCATGTTTTTCAAACGTGCTGCCGACACTGGGTCTGCCACGTGCAGTGTACAACATTAAGGCACCACCACCAGACCACACACATGGGCACGAACCAACCGGAACTAAGGAAGCCCGGACCCGTCTTCGACTTTGACGTCTGTCAAGCCGTCCGATCTCTTCTGTCTTATCTACAAAGGCAACCGAACTATGCCCTTTTTCCCTCTTTTTTCTGCAGATACCCATTTTCCTTAGTGGACGTGTGCGCGGGTGTCTGCCCGAGTCGGCAAAAACAAAGATGCTACCGCTCGCCCAGCATGACCGGCCAGAAAGGCCTTGCAACACCAAAGCACTCGTTGTTGTAGCTCGTGGTAAAGGAGAAGAAAGCACGCCGGAGACGATGTCTCCCTGGCCTACACGACGGCGTTGCGTCGTAGAAAGATGCCCGCGGCGATGGATGAATCTTGTACTTAACTGTCCGCCTGTGGCTCTGGCCGATTCACTGTCAGAAGCCCTCAGCACTCAGATTCTTCCACCATTCCCGCTAAAGATCCCGTTCTGAAGCCCCCCGCTCGGCCCAGGACCAGTGCGGTAGGCCTTGAATCTCTCGTCCGGCCTTCAGTCTGCTTCCATTCTCGCTGAGGGACAGGTCTCTCTCGCCGAAGCCCGCAGACGAGCCCACCCCTTCCCAGGTGCCTGGCGTACGCACCTCGACCCTTCCAATTCTGCTCGCCCATCCACCTTCTTTTCCCTTTGGATTTGTTTGCGTTTCCAAGATTCAACTTCTGCACTCGCCTCCCAGCCGCGACGCATACGAATCGTTTCGACACGCCTTTTGCATTTGCATACAAGCAAGCCTTGCCGTCTTCCCTTTCCTCCTACGTCGTTTTATTTCTGCTTTCCTACGTATTTTTGTGTTTCGCAGTCGTATTCGTGCACGGAACAGTCACGATGACACCACCCCGTCGTTCCCAACGCATTCAGGCACGCAATGAGGGATCAGGACACGGACTGCGGAGTAGGACTTTGCCAACAAACAACAACGGCAGCAATACGAGCTCACGCGTGACGTCTTCAGGTCCGTCGGCTTCCACCACGCGAGGTGGTAGGGGAGCTTCTAGAGGAGCTTCTCGAGGAGCTTCTTCTAGAGGAGCTTCTCAAGGATCTTCTTCTAGAGGAGCTTCTCGAGGTCGTGCTCGCCACCGTGGAGCAATCAGGCGCAGTCCACAAGCACAAGCTACAACGACGGCAAACACTGGCTCGAATGACGACGATGATGGTAAGTTTGCCCATCGATTCTTGCACTCTCGCACCCCCTCTCAAACCCTTCTTCGGCCCAAGAAGCACTAGGCTAACCTCTTTCTCACAGAAGGTGAGAGTGATAACCAGAGCGCGAGTTCGGCAAAGAGTACGATTGTCGTCGCTCTGCCGCCTCCTAGCAAACGAACTCGTCTAACTCAATCCGGTTCAGACAGTCCCGAAGCTGCTTCGAACACCGGAGGCAAGAAAACTTCAGATAGTGGTACGTCTGATTTCATCTTGGTTTTGTTGCTGTCCTGTTCTATCCAAGCCCTCGTGAGACGAGGTGACGGGCCTGACCTCAGATGGAGGTTCAGACGCTGGATCTGCGTCATCCAAGCATCACCCCGTGCTGTGACTACCTCACAAGAAAGCTCATGCTGATGATTCTGAGTACGAAGGCAACCAAGAACTCGACAATAGGAACAATGAATCCCAGGGGGGTGCGCAGAATGCCCCTCAGGCCGATTCACCCATGCCAGACGCCCCTCCGGTCGATTCGCCCATGCCCGATGCCACTTCGGGGCCTATTTCCGGTGACAGCGTTTGTCAGTGCCCCTACCTCGTCTTTTCACAGCCCCTGGGATCTCCTTCAGCGCTGAGACGCTCGTTACCGAGGGTGCCATGACTAACTAGACATTTAGACGCGACTCCACAAGAGTATCCGTCACAGAGTAGCAGCTCAGATGATGACATGGCTGGGGGCTCTAGGCCACACGCTGGCAGCGGTGGAGGTGATGGCCCGGACGACGATTACGTCGACGAGGACGCCTCAGGAGAAGAAGTCAGTGACGAAAATTTCAGCGAGGACGAGGACGAGGACGAGTACGAGGAAGAGCAGCCTTCGGCGAAGCGGAAGGGAAAGGGCAAGGCCCGAGCGAAGGCCAGGGCAACCCCCCCGGCACGGCCGACGACTGCATCCCCGCGTCCGGCGGCGAGGACGACGCCAGAAGTGGATAATGATGTGAGGACGATTCTGGCCCAAGCCCTCGGGTCACCTCGTCAAGTCCCCCCGGTGCCGGTCGTATCCGCGCCGGCCCCCGCATCAACGATCACGTCGTACATGTCTGGCCCGTCTGGGTTTGGTTCGGCAATCGGCCGGCTCTTTGCTCGAGCTACGGGCCTGACCAGAATGGCCACCACAGGTCCAGCAAACACAACGACCACATCAGGTCCAGCAAACACAACGACCACATCAGGTCCAGCAAACACAACGACCACATCAGGTCCAGCAAACACAACGACCACATCAGGTCCTGCAAACACAACGACCACATCAGGTCCTGCAAACACAACGGCCACGCCAGGCCCCACAACCACGTCGACGGCGACTCAGACAACAGGACAAGGTGCTGGTGGCGGCGACGGCGACGATGATGCGGACCCGGCGTTGAATCGACCTCCTCCTGAAGCCACAGCTGGACAAATAGTCGGCGGACCGAACGGTGAGTGCCCCCACACCCCGCCATCTCTGATGGGCCGTCACTCGAGTTACCCCTGAATGCCTTTACCCCTGAATGCCTTTACCCCTGAATGCCTTTACCCCTGAATGCCTTTACCCCTGAATTCCTCCATCCGCTGACCGACCGCTTGCCACAGACGGACAAGTTATATCTGCGACCGGAACTTCGACAGTCTCGGAGGGCCATTCGAGGCCGTGCCGCCATTGTCGAGGTGAAGGCGCCGCGCAACATGCCATTCGACCTTGCGACTGGTACCTCGTTGGCACCTACAAAGTCGAGTGCACAAACTGCGCCGACTACCGCAAGAACGGGCATCCTGACCACGGATGCATCACACACCGTCAGCCGGCGGCATGGCGTCGTTACGCCTCCGACGACCCCATCGACTTCAATCCCACTGCTTGTGACCAATGCGCCCAGGCAGGCACCGCGTGGTCGTGCGACGTCGACTCCACCTTGAACTTTGCGTGTTCAAACTGCAAGGCGACGAGAAGGCCCGTTCCTCCCGACCAAGCAGCTGCCAGCGACAACGCCGCGGGCGAGACGGGCGAGACAGGCGAGACAGGCACTCCAGCCGCGGGCGAGACGAGCACTCCGGGCGAGGGCGCTACTCCGGCCTCGAGCGCTACTCCGGCCACTACCCCGGGCGAAGAGCAACCATCCGGGCGCAGGAGAGCACGGCCCAAAGGGTTACTTACCGAGAAGCTCTGTTTCGTGGGCGGAAACCAGATGCAGCGGCCCCCGAACCCGAGGCAAGGCCTCATCAGGTGGTTTCGCCACATGTGCGATGGCTGCAAGGCGCTGTCCAGCAACGGGCAGAAGAACGGGACGCCATGCAGTTGGCTACACGATCGGACGTCGTGGGACGCGCCATGTGCGCAGTGTGTCGCCAAGAAGATGCAATGTTTCACCAACTCGGTCCCCATCGGCCCGCCACCGGAGGACGCCGTTTACGTTCCGCCCAAGAAGTGGACGGCGGACATCCAGATGCGCCAAGGAACGGCCGAGCTGCGTCGGAACTCGCCCGGCCGCAAGCAATGCCTCGCGTGCCGCCGAGACGATGCGCATTGTCGGGCGTTGATGACCCATATGACGGACGCGTGCAACAAGTGCTTCCAACTCGGCCTTGATTGCGTCGACCATGACCAGGCAAACGCCGCAGGGCAGGCGCCGTACCACCCGTTGTTCGACCTCAGCAGAATCGGCTTTGGCAAATTTCTGCCATTCCAGGTTTGCGGGCGGTGTCTCGACAACGACCGCCCCTGTGACAAACAGCGTCCCTGCGACGCCTGCGTCATTGCCGGCGAGGCGGACCAGTGTGATCCCTACAACAACAGGCACCAAACGTTCAACGGTCGCGTCTCTCCCGGTCCTGGCCCGCTGTACTACCTGGCACTGGGCTACGGCCCGGCTGGGGTGTACGACAACAAGGATGGCTCCCGCCTGTGTCACTGGGTTGGACCCCCGTATCCCTGCTACGGGCTCGACCCGCGCAGGGACGATTCAAATTTCGAGACCAAGACGTGGTCCGCCATCATGCTCCGCAGGTTCCTGAGGCCTCGCGGCGTGCCGCCTCACGGAGGTCCCAACGGCCGCCTCACCAACCAGCTGCCGAGCAGCATCAACGCCGTTGACATCGACAACTGGGTCCTTGAGGGCTGGCCAGAGGCTTACCTGCTCTCGACCCAGCCTAAGCTTCAAGAGCTCATCGCCTGGGGCCGTATTACGGAGTGCAAGAAGGGGGAACCGGAGCACCGAAAGCAGCTACGCAAGCTGAAGCATCTCATTGCGCCGCCTGATGACGACTCCAGCGATGACGACAACGGCGACGGCGGCGGCGACGGCGGCGGCGGCGGCGGCGACGACGACGACGACGACGACGACGACTCCAGTGATGATGGCGACGGCGACAACGGTGGTGGCGGCGCCGGCGGCGGCAGGAAGCGGACTCGCGGGGCCGGCACCGGGGATCACGGCCGGGCGTCAAAGAGGCAGCGAACAGCAACTTCTGGCACCGGGCAGACGGACATGCCCGAAGGACCGCCTGCGCCGGTGGTCACTCAAGGGCCGGCGTCTTTGCTATTCCCGCCTACGAGTGGCCTTCCGGTCTCCGGGCCTGACTCTAATCCCCTTCCGCAGCAGAACCCCCTTGGCCCCGGGACGCAACTACTACAGTTTACATACCCAGACCCAGCCCCAGCCCAGACTTCCAGCTCGGGCCAAGTCCCCGGCAATCTCGCTATCGCAAACGACGGTAGATTCGGTGTCCCTAGCAACATCGCAATCACTGCTTCCTCGCTCTTGGCGGCTCGAAACGCAGCGCTGGCCGCGGCGCAGGCCGCGGCGACGGGCGTGAATCCCCCCGTCCCTGACCTGACCGCCTGGAACCCTCCAGTGCAAACGGGCAGTGCTCAACTGCAAGCGGGCAATGCTCAAGTGCAAGCGGGCACTGCTCAAGTGCAAACGGGGGCTGCTCAAGTGCAAACGGGAAATGGCACAGGGCAGGATACCACGTTCGTGGACGCAGCGTTCTCAGATTGGGACATCGGATGGCCTGCCGACCTGGGGGCGTCGTCGCAACAGTTTGGAAGCGGAGATGACTCGTACGCTCTCCAGTCCAACATTGATCCGAATCTCCTGACCAGCCAAACAGACCCGCAACAGAATGAACAATACCAGCAGCAGCAGCAACAACAACAGCAGCAGCAGCAGCAGCAGCAGCAGCAATTAGAACAGCAGCAACTACAGCAACAGCAGCAGCAACAACTAGACCAGCTGCAGCAGCAACTACAACAGCAACAGCAGCAACTACAACAGCAACAGCAGCAACAACTAGAGCAGCAGCAGCAGCAACAGCTAGACCAGCTGCTGCAGCAGCAACAACTAGAACAGCTGCAGCAGCAGCAGCAACTACAACAGCAGCAACAACAACTTGCTCCTATTGACCCAACAGGGGCGTTCCAGGTTCAACCGTCGCCGCAAGGTCTGGTGCAGCTGCAACAGCAGGGGCAGCTGCAACAGCTACATCCACAGCAGCAGCAATTTGCTCCTGTTGATCAGACTGGAGCGTTCCAGGTTCAGACGTCGCCAGTATACCAGTTGCCGGGACAGCAGCAGCAGCTAATACAGCCACAGCAGCAGCAATTTGCTCCTGTTGACCAGACCGGGGCGTTCCAGGTTCAGACGTCGCCAGTATACCAGCCGCCGGGACAGCAGCAGTTTGCTCCTGTTAACCAAACTGGGCCGTTCCAGGTGCAGATATCGCCGGTATACCCGCAACCCGGACAACAGCAGCAGCAGGTAATACAGCCACAGCAGCAGCTACTACAACTGCCGCAGCAGCAGTTTGCTCCTATTGACCAGACTGGGGCGTTCCAGGTTCAGACGTCGCCGGCATATCCGCTGCCTGGACAACAGCAGCAGCAGCTACTACAGCCGCAGCAGCATCAGCTTGCTCCTGTTGACCAGACCGGGGCATTCCAGGTGCAGCCGTCACCAGGTTTCCCTACGGTGCCTGGGTACGCGCCGTCGGGACAGGCCTCGACATACAACAATTTCAACCCGCAGCAGTTCACAGGGGCGGTCGCCAATACTGCCAATCAGACGAATGTGTTCGCTGGGCAGAATTCTGGCTTGGGCCAGCAGACGGCTCAGACAAACGTTACGGACTGGTCCAACACGATGCCACCGCCGCCGGCTCCGATTCCCTACTCATCACAGTCCATGCCACCGCCGAATGTAAGCATGGCACCGTCGTTCAACATGGCACCCGCCCAGGCAACAATGGGGCAGCAGGCTAACGCGCCGCAGTATAACAGCTTCATGGACCGACAGGTGTCCATGGCAAGCATGGGCAGCTCGATCGGCGATCCGGTTCAGCCGTCACTCCTTGACCCCAACTTGGTCGCGAATGCTGAGCCTCAGTTCGGAATACAAGGTGCACAAGCCGACGTCCTAGGAACGGGGGTCCAGGGAATGAACTTCGACTCCAACGATTTCAACATGTCGGGGCAGATGGACGTTGACATGACGGGCATGAATGCAGCTGCCTACCAGCAGCAACAGCAGCAGCAGCAGGATGATGCCATCTCCCAGCAACAACTCCTGGACATTGCCGCCGCCGCGCTGGAGATGCAACCGCCCCAGGACACGGCTACCGTGCAGCAGCAACTCCTGGATATTTCCACCTCCCAGCAGCAGCCACTACAACAGGATGATGCCTCTCAGCAACAACAACTCCAAGATTTTGCAAATTTGCAGCAGCTGCAGCCCCAGGATGTTGCCAACCTGCAGCAGGAGCAACTCCAGGACGATGCCTCTCAGCAACAGCAGCAACTTCAGGATCTTGCGAACTTGGAGCAGCAGCAGCAGCAGCAGCAGCGGCAGCAGCAGCAGCAGCAACCCCAGGATGCTGTCAACGTACCGGAGTCGCAAATCCAGTATTCAGCCGCCATGCAGCAGCAAATCCAGGATATGGCCGCCTCGCTGCTACAGCTGCCCCAGGACTCGGCCATCTCGCAGGAGCAGCATATCCAGAATATTGCCGCCTCACTGCAGCAGCTGCCCCAAAACACGGCTACCTCGCAGCAGCAGCAACCTCAGGATGCTGTGACCTCGCCGGAGCAGCAGCAGCAGCAACTCCAGGAGTTTGTGAGCTTGGAGCAGCTGCTGCCTCAGGAGGCAGCCACCTTGGAGCAGCAGTCACCACTCCAGGATGACGCCACTCTGCAACAGCATCTCCAGGATTTGGCGGCCTCGGAGCAGCAGCAGTCACCACTCCAGGATGATGCCTCTCCGCAACAGCAATTCCAGAATTTTGCGACCTCGCAGCAGCAGCAGCAACAGCAGCAGCAGCAACCCGACTTGAGCCAGGAAGAAATCAACTACTCGAATTTCATCGACTTTTCTCCCTAGCCTGGCCAAGCATAAACGCCGGGATTCACAGCCCCCGTCCTGCGGTCCACTCGATGCGTTTCGGAGATCTGGACGCGACAGCGACGCAACTCCACCTGGAGCATCAAAGGGCGAGGGAATTACGATATTCACGATCACCATGAGTCTGTACCGCTACGGCATTGACAGCGTTGGCTGTAATACTACTACAAATGCTTCCTTTTTCGTTTCGTTTTTTTTTTTTTTGGTACTTTACTGTCTTGTTCTCCTTTGTCTTTTCCTGTTCCTCATTTTTCTTTAGTACTCTGTACCTGTCATCATAGCGAGCTCAGGCGCACATGGATCTGATGGACTGTTTTGGCATTGGCATGGGCATTGATGTCGGTACTTGTACTGGAGTTTGGTCAGGCATTAGCGTTGACACTGGCGACATCGCAAGCTGGCGACTCGGAGTTGGATAGATCGGAAAGCATCATGGCGACACGAGCCGTCGGAGCCGGAGTTTGGTAGATTGAGAGGCATCATGGCGGCGCGAGCTGCCGACATGGATTCGGAGTTTCTTAAAGGGTCATTGATGGGTTTTTTGCATACATGCATGGGGCGGAGCGGCGCGAGCTGGGACCTCCACCCTCTTCCGGCGTCAAGTTGGAACAGCGTTGTCAAAATACCCTGTCTGATCTCACAAGACTTTTTGCTCTCTGGTCTCGTTTTACACTTGGTGAAGCACTTGATCTTTTGCCTGTGACATTTTTCGCGTCGTTCTCTGCCCGCTTGGTCCCTGCCTCGTGTAGTGCAGCTTGAGGGCGGGGGAAGTCGAGTGCAAGTCTTGTCCAAATGGGGACAAGTCGACGACCGACAAGAGTGTCTATGTCTATGTCTACGTGTACCATTATCTACAGACCCGACATGATGGCACACTTGTGGAAATGTAGGCTGAGTGGCTTCAACTGACACGAGCAGAAAGCGCAGGCAGGCAGGCAGACAGGCAGGAAGAAAAGACAGGCAAGTACAACAACAACAAGACGAGAAAGAAACACCAAACACCAAAGTTCAGCCAACTACCCTGCACGACGGCACACTTCGCCTGACGCAGACAGGCAGACTGGCTCATAGACACAGGCACAGGCAGACATCCGCACAGGAAGAAAGGCAAACAGGCAAGCACACTGAGCAACCAATCCAGAACGAAAAAGTCCAACCTCAGCCACCTCCTCACTCACGGCAGTGCCCATTTCGAGAATGACTTCCCCGCGCGAGAGACCGGCCGCCGCCGCCTCGTTCCAAAAATCGCCTGTTCGTACGTTGACATCCCCGCGAACTCTGAGTCGCCCGCGCCCACGCGACCCCCGGTTTGTTTCGGCCGAGTGAGGCGCCTCCAAAGCCCAGCCCAGCCCTGTGGGGTCCTTTGCAGTCCCCCCATCGTTCATGTCAGCTCACCACCACCACCACCACTACCCAGATGGCCATTGGGGTGGGGAGAGGCTGGCGCTCGGGGTCTGACAAGCACGACATCCCCCAGTGGTACGACTCTTACTAAAATGTACAAACGGCCGTAAGCAAGGCAATGGGATGGAAGAAGGAAAACACGAGACACCGGACGACAAACCATCTTCTCAGTCAGTTAGTCAAAACTGGCCAGCCACACAAATGGCAAACGACATACACACATCGGCCGCGAGGCGCCCGTGGACGAACCAACAACTGACATTACAGTTATGAAAAGTAGCGGGATATAGGGAACAATGAACAAGAAAGCAGCATCTGGGGGCCCATGACTGGCATCAGAACAGACGTAAGTAAAAGGAAATCTGCAAACAAAAATGACTTTCGCCCTGCCTTATGCCCGACATGGCCGTCGCGCCGCCAGATGATGCCGAGCCCCTTGTGGCCTAGGGGCCTGCAAATCCACCTGCATCGTAGACGCCTCCTTTTCTTCTTCCGCTGTGCTCTTCGCAAAATCGATGCTGCGCTGAGAGGTTTGGGCGCTCGCGTGCCCACACAGCTCCGTTTCGACGACCCTACCAACGGTCCCGCTTCCCAATGGTGCCGTCTCCGTAGCGGTGCGACCAGTGAAACGATCCTGGTACTGTGAAATGTGGTTCAGACCAGACCAGACCAAAGCCCTGCGTGGCAGCTTCGCCATGCTTGGTGCTCCTCCCAGATCGATCTATTCGTCCGATCGCCTTCGAGCGCGTCCCCCGCTCGAGCTCATCCCTCCTCGGTCAAGCCCGAGTAAGCTGTACGCATGCCGGTCCGAATCGATGTCCATCGTCCAATGCAGTGGAAGAAAATGTTTTGTCCCTTGACCGTTTGCCCGCTCAGTTCGCAATAGCCGACAAGAAAGAGGCGGCTCCAAAGTGTAACAACAAAAATCCCTGATCCCCCCGTGGCTCGTTCCGAATTGACCGGGTATAGCCAACCAACCACGAACCCACACGGCGTCCCTGGGCCCTTTTACTCGGTCATGATCGGTAGCGCCGAGGCCACCACATTTACATGATGACGCACTTGGAGCAGCAGCCGGGCTCCTTCTCGCCGTCCTCCATGTCCATGGGCTTGGGGGGGCCGTTCATGCCCGAGTTGCCTCCGCTGCCGGTGGAGTATCCCTGCATCTCGCGGTTGTATCTCCGGATCTCGCGGACGATGTCGTAGAAAGCCTTGTCGACGTTGATGCGTGACTTTGCCGAGGTCTCGATGAACTTGCAGTTGAACGACCTTGCGAGGGCCTCACCCTCTGTAATTCGGGGGAAACGGCCGTGTCAGACAAAAGTCACTCGCTGGGGTAACATGGTGCATGCGTCAATCGTACCTTGTCTGGTCACCTCTCGCTCACCCTCCAGGTCGCACTTGTTACCGACGACGACCATGGGGAAGTAGTCCTTGTCCTTGACCCGCAGAATCTGCTGCTGGAAGGTGGTGATCTCTTCGAAGCTCTGCCGGGAGGTAATGGAGTAGACGAGCAGGAAGCCTTCGCCGGTCCGCATGTACTGCTCGCGCATGGCGCTGTACTCCTCCTGACCGGCCGTGTCGAGGACATCGAGGAGGGCGACCTCGTCGTCGATGTGGCACTGCTTCCGGTACGAGTCTGCAATTCCGGGCGGACAGCGTCAGCTGAGGTTGCTTGCGCGGGTGCCACGGAGGGCAAAGGGCAATTGACGCATCGACGCCAAGACGTTGTGTGAGGGACAGACCTTCAATAGTCGGGTCGTATTCGTCGACGAAATGGCTTTGGATCAATTGGATGGTCAGGCATGACTTTCCTACACCACCGCCACCGACGACGACGAGCTTGTACTCTCGCAGGAACTAAATGAGGGGGATCCCCAAGTTAGCGACGTGCTCATGTCGGGCGCGGGATGCGATGATCGCGATGGGTGCGAAGAGCGACGTGGGCAGACGGGGGATGGTGGCTGGGCGAGGAAGATGAGGCGCCGCAGCAGGCCTCGCCGGTCGGGCGTGATGGCGTGACGAGCGGGAATTGTCGAGCCGGAGCAGCATACCTTGGTGGAGGAAGCCATTTCGAGCTTGAGAGGGCGATTGACGATGCAAGAGCTTCGCGGAGGGGGATCGAGGGCCGCAGAGCGCTCAGGTCAGGCCAGAATGAATTTTGACTCGCGCAACAACGGGGTGGTGTGGCCTCTGGAATTCGGGGGTGTCTCGAAATCGCGGGCGAGGCAACGACGGGCGGCGGGACGAGCAGCGACAGCTGCAGAGGCCAATGGAGGAGGGGGCGCGGCCGAAGTCGAGCGGACCGAGTGAATGGCGGCGATGGCGAGAGCGACGAAGGCGGGCGATGGAGGTCTGCGAGGATCAGGTCCGCGATGCGAAGGCGGGAAGGCGAGTTGATGCGGAATGGAGAACGGAGCAACGCACGGAAGGGAAAGACGGGGGAAGGCGAAGGATGGAGCGGATTGGGATTGGATGCACGGGTCGGGCGAGTGGGCGGCGGTGGTGGTGGGTGGTGGGTGCAGGCGGCTGTGGGTGGTTGCAAGAGGTGGTGGTGGTGGTGGGTGGGCTCTCTTTCTCTTCTGCTCTGCGTCTCTCTCACTCAACGTCTGTGTCCGGGGGGCGTGCGGGCGTGTGGGCGTGAGGTTCCATGGCGGGTGCAGGTAGGGAGCAGGTGGTCCCCCCAATGAATTGGACTTTGGGGGGACATGCATGGGGGGGACCCGTCTGTGGGCTGCCCTCGTAGGGGGCAACTTGGGCGGATGGGGGGCGGCGCGCGCGCGCCGGGCGGCAAGATTAGCTGACTGGGCCTAGTGGTACCAAGCATCCAAGCAATCCAAGCAGGCAAGGTACAACTCTGCCTCTGGTTCTGGGAGCTTCACCCTGTCCCCCCCGACCTCCTTAGTGCACTAACGTGGATCGCCTGCTATTAGACGGCTTAGCGCCTCGGGGCCGCGCTTCGAGGTGGAGGCCAGGATGGAAAAGGGACCCTCCCCAGGTGGTTGGTGGCCTTGGCTTGGCTTTGCTTGGATCTTGTGGGAGCCACCCGACCGTATGGACTGGGAAATGGACCCGGCCAGAGCACAATGCGAAAGAAGAAGCTGCTCGAGCTGGGAGCGAGCTGGTGCTGTGCCTGGATGGTGCTGTACTGCGACGATAACTTGGAAGAGGGCACACGGCAGGACGCCCTGCTGCCCGCTCGGGGCCCTACCCTAATACCCAGCACGGCGGGTGCCATGGCAAGGGCCTGGGCGTGACATCCATGGCCTGGCGATGCACTGGTTGCGGTGCCTTGCATGGGGGACGAGGCCATTCGTTGCCACCGGTACTCGCGCCTCTTCATCCACCACTTCCTGCATCGTGCTACGTACTCGCACCTCAAAGTGCCAGAGAAAAATTGTTGCGCTCTGTTGCGGCCGCAAAGGGAGGCCATATCGCGGCCGTCGACCCCGTGCTCGTCGTCGTCGTCGTCGTGACCCCGCAGTTTTCCTTCTTGTCTCTGTTTCCTCCATACGGAGGTTTTGTTGCCGCATCGGCCACGAGGAAAAAGAAACGCCGGCTAACGACGCGCGATGAAGGGTGAAAGGGGGACTGGGGGACTGGGGGACTGGGGGATCGGGAAGAAGCCGTCGATGTTGGTGCAGGCTACTAACTAACAGCAGCTCAGTCAGTCAGTTGCCGCATCACCCAACGATGGAAGCCGCTCGTCCGCAGGCCATGTGCGTGCGTCCGAGAGCCTAGAGCCTGCGACCCAACCATCGCCGTCGTCGTGGGCGCATCGGAGGGCACAGACGCTGGAGGCCGGGACTGGCGGATCTTGAGTTGCATAGTCCATGGCCCAGCATCTGCTCGCAGGTATGCGGCGCGAGCACATCCATACCCGTAACAGCAACCCCTCCCTTCCGGTGCGTCGTACGAGCGAGGTGCTGCCGTCCCGTCACCACCACCACCACCATGATGACTGAGGTGTGAGCCAGGCACCCAGGATAAGGTGAGATACTGCCGCCTGGCTCCACGCTCCGTTGGGTTGTTATTGCTGCCGCCGCCGCCACCGCCCCCTGAGTCGGTCGGGTGGTGTCTTGTCTGAGGTGCCTTGCTCGCTACCTAGGGGGCGGCACTGCAGGGACAAGAACCCATCGATCAATCTTGCGAGCCACAGAAGAAAAAGAGGCGCGATTCACGCACACACACCGGCCGTCAGCGGCAAGCAACGGTGCAGCGCAGTAGGTTGAAGCGACCAAGGGGGTGGGGCGGGCGGTAATGGATTGGAATTGGAAGCATCGCGACGCCGCCGGCGAGGTTCTTGTCCTCTGCGAGTCGAAGTGAGGTTGCGACCATTTCCATGATGCAGGGTTGCGCGCCTCCAAGCCCGCAAAGGCCTGCTTAGGTACCCAAGCCCAAGGGGGCCCCAGCCGCCAGGACCGGGGCCTCTTTGACGGGGAGACGGGGAGAAGGGGCAGAGCAGCCAGAGCTTGTCAGGCAATACTGTACGTACGTGTACCTTGCAGACCAGTGCTTCGTTCCTGCTCACTCCACCGGACCGTACCTACCCTTGTCGCTTGAAAAGACAGCCGGGGCAGGCACCTCTGGCTCCATGGATGATGGGACCTCCTGCCTCGGGCATGGATCAGTCAGTCGATGACATTGATCTGCTCTGCTCCCGTGCCGGCGCCGGGTCCCCAGGCTCGCTTCTGCATTGTCCACCGAATCGCTTCGCCTTCAACCGTCACTCCGCGCCGCAGCTGGCCTCGGTCAGACGTCAGACCCTCGCTTCAACGACAACGAACTGCGACAACTTCCAGCCCCTGGAAAACAGTTTTTAGCAGCCTCGCCTGCCGGGGAGCCTGTGCCTGTGCCTGTGCCTGCACCTGTGCCTGTGCGCCAGCCAACGTGCAACGGGCTGCTGCCGGGAAACCACGTTAGCCCGGCGCCAACCCCCAGAAACCTGGGCGCCACCGGCACGCCCACTCTGTTCGAAACACTCTGGACGTCTGGTAGGTATTTCGAGACGACGCCCCTTGGGGGCGCGAGCACAATTGGAAGCACGAGCACAGGGCAGCAGCCGAGCACCACCACCAGCACCACTCCGCGCGACGACCGAGCGTCCCCATTGCACACCGGCCGTGGAGAGGAGTGGGGTGAGTGCGCCGGACATGTGGGCGCCATTTGGGTGTGCTGGTGGATGGACTTCCGGGTTGGAGCTGCAGCTGGAGCTGGAGCTGGTGGTGCGTGCTGGCGTCGGTCGGCCGGCGGTTCGTCCCACGGGAAGGAACGCTGATCCAGCCGGGGTCGGTTATCTTCATCACAATCGTTTCTGCTCCCACAGACGATGCGATGGCAGCTCGAGGACACACCGCAATCCACTGGCCCCTCCCTCCGAATGCCACGTCTCTCGCCGGCGCCGTGCCTGCATCCGCGCCTGCACGCACGCTCTGTCGGCAAAACACGCGGGTGGTGAGGTGATGATGTGAGGTGAGGTCAGATCGCATTTCCACCAGGCGACCGGCACGAGACGACAAGCGGGCTTGCTGCACTTGCTGGGCTTGCTGGGCCCGCCGGGCTTGCTTTACCCCTGACGCAACGCGGTGCTGTGCGTCCCCGTCTGCAGTCGCTTCCGACCCCTGACATTTGCCAAGGTACCCCTGCTCCTGCGCTGCACCATGCGTCCGCCTCGTGTTGGAATTTGGCCAGCCTTGGTCGTCGCCGTCCACCAGGCCACCTCGTGCAGCTTTTCGTTCACGGACGCTCACGCGCCTTCCGGCTTGGCCTACGGCACTCGTCGACAGCATGTCGTCACCAGCAGAAAGCACGTCGGTCCGTCACACGCATGACTCCTGGAGGCCCAGCACATGCAGGCGCTTCTCGCCGGTGCGTCGATTGCGAGCTCCCCCACGCCGGTCATGCCGTCACCCGAGTCGATGCGCCTGGCCTTCACTTGCCTCGAGGCCAGCCGTTGGGCCAGGAATGACACGAGGGCGCGCTGCGCTACTCCATGCCATGCACATGTAACAGACCGTGCGCCAGGAGAAGCATCGACTCGGCCCTCCCAGGTTGATGCCTTCGGCAGACTGGCGGCGCCAAGGCATGAGCCGTCCGAAGCATGAGCCGTTCGAAGCACAAGCCATCCGAAGCACGCTGCCGTCCGGCTTCCGCGTGCGGACCGCAGTCGGGCCTTTGGGCGCGCAGCATCGCCTCGCAGAAGCGCCGGCACGTGCAGGCTCAAGACGACCATCGCAATCACAATCTCGGGCTGCCCGTCGAGGCCGCGAAATTGTGCGGTTGCAACCTCCCCGTCGTTGGCGCCCAAAAACATGACAGCCCGACCCCTGGGCCTTCTAGAATGATTGCCTTCTCCACGCCGCCGGCGCTCCACCGTGATCCGCAGCGAAGGCGAGCTAGCTCTGGCAAATCTGGTATCCACTGCCACCACCACTTTGTACCACCCTTTGCCATCCCCTTATCTTCGGGTCGCCATCGCCGTCGCTGCCGTGAGCCCTCGGTCCAAGTACCTACCTACCTACCTGAGGTAGTCACTTTGGCCATGCGGTCTGATATTGAGCCGGCATTGTGCGGACTACCGAGTACTTGGTAGTATCGATATCCTGTCTGCCAGCTCTGCGTCATGTGTGCCTCTCGGTCCCACGGGCATTGAAAGCAATGCTGTCCCGCCGCAGGCTACAACACAAGAATGTCACAAGAAGGGCCGAGGGTTTTCCATGACCGCCACCTTGCTGGATCAGGTCAGCTAATTACTAGGGGTCAAGTGCCGGCGCTGTCTGCAGAGGCACCCTCTTTTTTGCTGGCTTCCATGGCACGAGTTGCATCTCAGCCCTCTGTGCGAATCTGGCGTCGCCTCCCAGAGACTGCATTGCATGTAAGTGAGGATAATCACGGACAGACAAGACTCCCGGATTAGGAGGCGATCGTCGCCGCGGTCACAACAGGGGGCTTCTGTGACGTTCTCGAAGTGGCCAAGCCAAGGTTGTCACTGTCATTAGCGAGGCGCCGTCTACGAATGGGAGGCCCGGACGATGCCCACACGGCAGTTTCTCGTCACCAGAGTTTGACGATTGACGAAAAGGCCCGGGTTTCGGAAGCAATGTCTGATCGGCGAGCCTGGTACATCTCTGGCACGCGAGGTGCGGAGGGGAGGGTCTGCACCGATTGAACGGACGACTGGGTCGAGCTCCAGCAGCGCAACGCTTCCGGGACCCCCTGCTTGTTTCGTTTTCCTCTGCGTTGAACGTATCCGGCGGGGCGGCTTTGGAGGCCGTCGCGCGGCTGGCACTCCTCGAGACACGTGGGCAAAGGCTCGGTGTCGAAGCTGGCTAGAGACCCCAGGCAGGACGTGAGCTCTGCGCAAGCAAGGTACATACAAAGATGGGCCAGCTGTACGAAGCACAAGAATGAGCACAGGCACATGGGTCCACGGAAGTTATGAAACAAACGCAGGAAGCTAATCTCAACGGCTCAAGATGCCAATTTCGGAGGGGGCACCCGACCGATCACCCATCTCCTTTTCTTCACGGCCGCAACAGGGCACGGCGAATGACTCGATGCTGCCGGGTGCGGAGGCTTGGGACGACGGCTCCCGCCCGGCGCCGACGGCGAGCAACGGGCCGGAAGACGGCACGGGGGCCGGCCCTCCGCGGCAATACCCTGCGCTAGGAGCCCATCATCGAGATCCGTCACCCGGAGCCTCACGCATCCTTGTCCGTCTCAGACCCGGGCTCGTCATCCTCGCCCTCGGCCGTGACCCGCTTCCCCAGGACATTCTCCTCCACCTCCGCAACAAGGCTCTCCAGGTAGGCCTGGTCCCTGCCCGCCCAAAGTTGGTCAGCAGCCCGAGTCAAGCGAAGGGGCCGTGCAGGTTTCGACGGCGCGCCAAAGAGTTTAAACGGGGATCTCGTCTGGGAAAGAGTACGAACCTGCCAACGAGGGTGACAGTGTTTCGCGACCTGCCCCACCGCGGGTAGCTGCCAACCTTGACGCCCTTGGGCTCGACTTTGGCGGCCAGTTGGGTCAGGTACGCGGCGACTTCGCTCTCGGCCAGCGGGGTCGATATCAGGACGCGGGTCGTGCCCTTGCCCTCAGGGTCAACGAGCCGCGGGATGACGTAGGGCTTCAGCCCATCTAGCAGCTTGACGACTGGAAAACGGCCGTGGCGACGGCACCGGTCAGACCAAACCACGACTTAATGACGTGGCTCGTCCAGGTGGGTGAGTGTATCGTCACTTACAAAGCTTAGGCACACCCGGCAGGATGTGCACATTCCCATTGACGACCGAAACGGGAACCCAGAGCTCCTCGACGGGAAAGATGAACTGCGAGCTCAGGTCACGGGCCTCGTCAGTGGGCAGCTCAACCATGCGCAGCTTAGCCTTGAGCGCGGGCGAGTCAACGTCCCAGCTAAAGTTGGGCTGTGAGGGGTGTGGCCTGGACATCCTCTTCATCCTGTCAAAGGACTCCTGATGCAGCTTCAAGGGCAGGTTGAAAGCCTTGGCAATGGACTGGTAGGTAATGTCGTCATGGCTGTAGCGGGCGCCAACGCGAGGTTAACCGCCGTGAGCAGCAGGATGGGGGGCAGATGGCAGGCACTCACGTTGGCCCGATGCCGCCGCTTGAAACAGACGTCAGCATGGGTGTTTTCCGGTTCCATTACAAAAGTGGCAGGTTTAGGCGCGCACCTTGTAACGACAAAGTCGTAGCGGTCGCTCATGCGGCGAACGGCCTCGACGATTTCACTCTCATCGTCTTCGATGACCTCGACCCGCTTCAGGTTCTGCCGGCGCGTTAGGACGGTCACGCCGACTGGGACTCGCGAGGCCTTACGATTCCCAAGTTGAAGCACCACTTGGCCATGTACGCCGAGTTGGTCTGAGATGAAGCACGTTAATGGTCGGCCCCATCGTGCCTTTGTTGTTGGTGGTGTTGACGACTCACGTCAACGGTCTGCGCGCTCCAGTGTTAGCCCACTAACCCGCAACATCACACGACAGGCACTTATCCAGTAATTACCTTGCCACCCAGGACCTCATCGCCGATGATGAGGCACGCGGCCGTGTGAATGGTGCGCGTCCTGCGCTCGTCCGCCATGCTGGCAATCGCCGAGTGCCGCTGCCGCTGCACAGACTGGGTAAAGAGAGAGGAGGTCGGGCCGGATAGGTGTCTGGCGACTTGCGACAGGCGTGAGAACATTTGACGCCGGTGGCCAGCAGCTTATCGCTATCTACTCTCTACCGGGTCGGCGCGGGTTGTCCGTCTGTTTGTCGTTGGGGGGGTGGTGAGCGAGCGCGGGCGGGCCGTGACGAGGTAAAATGGTGCGCGGCGCGGACAAGGGAGGGCGAACAAAGAAAGAAAGGGTCGTCGTTCGTTGATTGACGTTGGCGGGCGCTCATGACGCAATTAATAGCCCATACCGCACCGGCACCGGCAGCTCGCTTGCTGTGGGGGCCCGGGTCGGGTCGGGGGCCGCGCTGGTCTGATTGATTGCCGGGAGATTGCGAGCCGTGTGAGTAAGTCCGTTTTCAGTTGCAAATGAGCAAGTAGAGCGTTAACATATAAATACGTTTGAATCAAGTATGTTGATGAAATCTCATGATATGGTAGGTTGACTTTTTGTCGATATATTGGAGTGCGGGCGGCATGCCGCTGCCTGAGCCTGAGCCTGAGCCTGAGCCATCACCTCATGTAAGCCGCCCTGCGACAACTACAGCACCAATGTGCGTCGCCCAGTTTGAAAAAAAAATCTCCATATTTCATGCATCAACCTTCAACGACTCATCCACCTCGACGACAACTCACCCGCACAGCCACAAGGCTTTACTCGATTCACAGATATTTCAACCGCAGAGGGGGCCACACGCATCGCCTTGCCTCGCCTCGCCTCGCCTTCATCAACCGAACGTATAGCACACAGTCATGGTGGACGGGGCAGCGGAGCAGCCGCCCCCGCGGCCGTGCAAGCGCTGCAAGGCGACGCCCGCGCCGTATATCCTCCGCAACGACCCGACCTGCCGGTACGTCTTACAATTCCCTCTTGGCTCTAAATTGAAGTCTTGGGGGGGGGGTTCTTCTTCTTTTCCTTTTGCTTTGTTTTGTTTCGTTTTGTTTCGTGCTGGGCCTGCTCGGGGGTTCTTGGCTTGGGATGCTTGGCCTCTGAGAGCCGAGACACTGGCAGTGCCGTGCTGTGGTGGTCTCAGGAACCAGGAACCAGTCTGTGAGACAGGCAGCCGTACAAAAGGAACAAAGAAGGAGGAGGAGGAGGAGTGAGAAAAGGGGGGGAGAAAGCATGTGTGTGTCTAGGGGCCGGGCTTCTGGCTGGAAGTGCATCGAACTGACCGATGAGGATGAGGATGATGATGATGATTGTCAACACCATGGCTATGAAGCAAAGCATGCTGACATCCACTCGCTCAGGGACTGCTACGTCGACTACGTCGAAGCCAAGGCCGGCCGCCGCCTCGGGGCCGTCGCCCGCGAGACACGCACGTCGGCGGCCCCGGCCCCGCGGCGCTACATCGCCGGCCTCTCCTTTGGCGCCTCGTCGGCCGTCATGACGCGCGTGCTCGACGGCAGCGCAAAGTACCACTCGTCGGCCAAGAAGGGTTCCGCGGCCGCGGCGTTTGAGGCCCTCGTCGTGCACGTCGACACCGACTTGCGCTTCAACCCCCCACCACCACAATTGCCGTCGCCGCCGCACTCCTCCTCTCCTCCAACAACATCTTCATCCTCGTCTTCGTCTTCACCCCGTTGCTGCTCCCCCGCCGCGGCGCGCCTCCTCGACCGCTACCGCGCGCGTTTCCCCAACGTGTCGTTTGCGTGCGTGCACCTGAGCAGGGCGCTGCGCCTGCGGACCGTGGACTGGGCGGCGCTTCTGCCTCCCGGAGCACAGAAGCCAGAAGAAACGCTCGAACAGGCTAATGACGCCAACGGCAAGAATGGCAATGGCGAGAATAGCGACGACTCGGAGCGCCTGCGCCGGTTCCTGGACAGGCTCCCCTCGGCGACGGCCCGCGCAGACGTCACGCGCCTGCTCGTGCGCCACGTCCTGCTCGACATGGCCCTCGCGGGGTCCTACTCGGCGCTGCTCCTGGGGCACAGCACGACGGCGCTCGCGGCGCTGACGCTCGCGGAGGTGGCTAACGGGCGGGGGTACTCGGTGCCGTGGCAGGTCAACGATGGGCTGTACCCGGTGCGCACGTACGGCGATGACAGCAACAGCAATGGCCCTTCCGGCGGCGACGGCGCCGCGGAGGAGGAAGGACAGCAGCAGCAGCAGCAGCAGCAGCAGCAGCGGAACGCAGCAGAAGAGGTCCAGCAGGAGGGCACAAGAGGGAAGAAGGAAAAGGAGACGACACTCGCCCACGTCCCCGTCTTCTACCCCATGCGCGAAGTCTTCGGCGCCGAGATCACGCAGTACCTAGACCTCGCCCCAGAGCTAGGCGAGCTCGTCGCCGCCGCCGCCGCCGTCACCTCCTCCTCCCTCTCCTCGTCCGGCACCGGCACCGGCAGCATCGTGTCGCACAAGGACCTGAGCATCGCCGAGGTCATGAGCCGGTACTTTGCCAGCGTGGAGGGCCCCTACGAAGGCATCGTGGCCAACGTGGTGCGCACGACGGGCAAGCTCGACAGGACGGCGCCGTCGTCGTCATCGTCGGCGCCCGGGGCGGGGCTGTGCGGACTGTGCGGCATGGCGCTGGATGAGCAGGGGGACTCGCGCTGGGCGGGGGAGCTGGGCGACGAGGAGGAGGAGGAGGAGGATGACGGCGACTGCATCCCGGGGCGCAGTCCAAGAGCGCGGCTCTGCTACGGCTGCAAGCGGTCCGTCAATGGGTAGATATAAGTCTTTGAATAATTCAAAGAAATAAAGAACAAGAAAAAAGTCTAGTAAACAAAAGTTGCCTGAAAAGGCTGCCAACTCCCAGTGATGATGATGTGGCCACCCTGCTTTTGTGGTTCCCTTTGCTCCCTGGCTCTCCCAGCCAGCCGTATGAGTTTGAAGAGGTCCCTTCTTTGCTCTTTGTCTAAGTCACCCAAAGTCACTCTCTTCCCCTTGGACCCCACGACATGCATAAACTCCGCAACAAGGGGCAACAGTGTCGTCATATGCTTGCCATTTACGCCTTGTCAAACATGGGCAGGACTCGCCCCTCGAATTTCCTCATGAGCTTGTTGGTCTGCTCGGCGAGCGAGAGGGTGAGGATGGTGTGCGGCAATATCCGGGCGAGGTGCGGCAGGAAGCCCTTGTAGATCGCGAAGAAACCCTCGGTGCGGATCGTCTTGCCCAGGCAGTCGAAGACGCCCTTGTACAGGTTGCCGTTCTGGTTATACAGGCGGGACATGATTGTGTCTAGACAAGCCCATCTCACGTCAGCAATGCGATTTCGGAGGCATCAGTGGAGAGCGAGATAGGGGCGAGTTCTTACCCGGCGGGTGCATGAAACAGCAGACGACGAAACCGCTGACGGTGCTGCTCGCGAGGTGCAGAGCCGGACCCTCCTCCATGCCGGCGTGGCGGACCAGGCGGCGCTTGGCGAAGAAGTAGGTCGGCAGCTGGACCGAGCTGCCGAAACCGGTCCTGATCATGGCGGCACCAACGCCGCGGTAGAGGCCGCGAATGCCCTCGGCGCGGTAGATCTGCGACAGGCCGTCAATGGCATTGCGGTACTGGTGCTGCGTGCCGACGGGCCGGAAGGGCGAGTAGCTCTGCAGGCGTGTCTTGACGAGGAAGAAGGGGCTTCCGGCGGCGGCGCCGATGATGCCGGAGAAGGCACCGCAGAACATGTTGACGGCGAGGTTCTGCGCGTTCTCGTTCTTGAGGAAGACGGAAGAGATGCCCTTGCGCAGGGGGTCGTAGAATCCCAGCCGGCAGCCGTTGAGGAGCACCTGGTAGATGTAGGCGCATCCCAGGCCTCGGTATATGCCCCGCACGCCCTCATGCTTGACGATGACGCCGACGCCGTGTATCGGGCCGCGGTAGTGATGTGGTTGGTGGCCCTTGGACTGAAGCTCGCCTTGCAATTGCATGCTGCACAGGACGGGTCGCACGGGTCAGAGTCGTCGCTCGCGGCAAAGGATAGCAGGGCATGACATCGCATGAGGGGGGGCAATTACCGAATCTTGACGGTTTCGAACGGGTGAGTCGCTGTCACGGCGCCGCAGGCTGCGATGCCGCCGGCGACGAAGGCGCTGCGAGCACGAGACGTTGGTTAGCACTGGCGATTTCCCAGAGGGGACAGGAGGGGGGTTCGGCATTAAATCTGCGTGTCTCACCCCAGCGTCGTCGACATGGCACTCTGCGCAACGGAGGACGGGCAAAGCGGGCGACAGAAATATGGTGTTTCGGAGGAGGAGAAGGATTAGGTCGGCGCCTGCGCGTATGATTGCGAGCCGTCGGTTGGGCAGAGGAAAACTGTCGGTGACGGAAAATCGCAGATCCCAAAGGAGAGGCGACAACTGGCAATTGTACTGTTACTGCAACACACAACCTGCGTCAGCACAGGCTGTTGGTGCGAGCTCCTCGGACCCCGTTTGGAATCAGGCAGCGTGCGCCGCCTCGCAGGGCGCGCGCGAAACGAGTCGGGAAATCTGACCTGGGCGGTTCCGCGATACCCGGAGGGAGGGGGGCGGAGGGCGAGGCAGCCAACAGCGGGCACGACCGTTTCGATAATGATATAACTGATTGAGGGAGGGGTGCTGCTGCTGCTGATGGGCGGATAGGCGGGTGGGCGACAGAAAGAGAGCGAGAGAAGAGAAAAGCCCCCGGGCGTCAGCGTTGAGGCCTTGGAGTTTCGGTGTCGGCGCGATGCGCGAATGGCGGGCCTTCCGTTTTCAAGGGCCGCGCTCGCTCATCCTTCCGTGGTCGGCGGCCAGAAGCGCTTTGCCGACGTCGGCCGCTGCGAATTAGAAGGAGCTCCATTGGGCATGGGGCATTGGGGGGGCGTCCGGCCCGTTCTGGCGGCATCTCAGACTTTTGGGTGGCGTGGGAGGGACGGACAGACGGGGGCGGCGACGAAAATGGACAGCCGTCTGCGCGAGGTGGAGCGCGCTGGCTGACCTGCTCCTGCAGTTAGGCACGCCTGACAATGCAGTGCCGCCGCCTGTGCGTGAGTTTTTGTGTCACCGTCCGGAGCCGTCTGGTTGGGTCGCTCTCCAGCCGCCCGTCCCGTCTCGTCTCAGCTGGGCTGGCCGGGGTCCCCGTTGGCGTTTGGGGGCGGGATTGCTTGCAATGTCTCTGCAGGCCACGCCGATACTCATCATCTGGATGCTTTCAGGCTTCTTCTGCGCGCCCTCGCTGCAGGTGACTGAACCTGCTAAAATGGATGCTGTCTCAGGCTGCCCTCTGCAGTGAGGTAGTGCCCCGCTCCCCCGCTGAGACCCCATAGCAAGCGCGCCCACTGTCCCTGCAGCTCGGATATCGTAGGGCCAGGGCGGCTTACTCAGGCCATCCGTGGCTTGACGTCGCGCCCCGTCCCACTGGGACCGCACGCGAGGGCTGCGACTTCGGCTCTCCCGTCTGGGGCAGGGCAGGCGCGGGCAAGCGCACCACCGGCAAAGTGGTGGAGCGTAGCGCAGCGCACAGCGGCACCAGCAGGCCCACCTCAGGAGCTCTACAGGCTCCTGTCGTGCTCGGCAGGCCCAGCCAGCCAGCCAGCCGGCCCCACCCAACCTACCTACCCTGCTGGGCATTTTTGGAGAGCTGCCGCCCGTGCTGTGCCTCAACCTCGACGCACCTCGACGGGCATCGACGCGTTTCAGCACTGCAACCCGTCGCTTCAAGCACCAACGCGAACAAGCTCCTCCTCCCCTGCCTGCACATACGGCAGCCAACGTCAACGTCGGTTCCACAGCGCATATCGGCTGCGCGTGCGTCACGCACCTCCCTGCGGTGCGCACGTGTGCGGCACAGCGCCTCCTTCGTCGAAGCCGACCCCGTCGAAGCCATGGCGTCGACGCCAATGGACCTCGACCGACCCGAGCGCGGCACAAACGGACTCAATATCCAGAGGACCCTCGGCGGCAATGCGTCCGTGTCCAATCTCAGCGATGTCATGTCGACGTTTCGGCCAACAAAGGTGAGCATTTCCAACGCGACGCCCCTCGGCGGCTACGCAACAAGCCGCTGACGACCGGACGCCATTGAAGCTGCTGCGGCGCGACGACATCAAGGACGGACGCCCTCAGCCTTACGTCCTGTCCATAGACTATGATGATGAGGGCGAGCTCCTCATGACGTCAGCCAGCGACGAGACCATCCAGATCTACAATGTCCGCGAGGGCCGACACGAGAAGAGCCTCCTGAGCAAAAAGTACGGCGTCAAGCTGGCCAAGTTCACGCACACGAGCTCCAGTATAATATACGCGAGCACCAAGCAGAACAGTAAGTAGTTACCGCTCAATGCTCGGGCCCCACGCCCACTCTGCGGGCATGCTGACCAGCACGCCCCCCAGACGCCATCCGCTATCTTGCTACGCACGACAACTCCTTCATTCGCTACTTTGAAGGCCACGAAGGCCCCGTCACATGCCTTGCGGTGCATCCGGGCAGCGACAACTTCATCTCGTGCTCACACGACAACACGGTGCGCCTGTGGGACACGCAGACCAAGCATTGGCAGGGCCAACTCCTGCTGCGGAATCCTGCTCTTGCCGCCTACGACCCCTCTGGGACCGTCTTCGCCGTCGCCTGCCCGAGCAGCGGAACTATACTCCTTTACGACGTGCGAAACTACGACAAGGCGCCCTTCACTACCATTGACATCATGGAGCAGTGCCGTGGCATCGACACGCAATACCTCGTCAAGGGGTGGACTAAGCTCGAGTTTTCCAACGACGGCAAATCCCTCCTGCTCGGAACAAAGGGCAGCGGTCACGTGTTGCTGGACGCCTTCGAGGGCTCGCTCAAGGCGTACCTGCGGAAGCCGTCGGGAGGCACGAGGCGGCAAGCTCCTGGGGAGACGACAGGTCTGGCCAACGGCACCGCCGCAGCGGATCCTAGCAGCTTTGACAGCAGTGGCGATTGCTGTTTTGCTCCGGACGGGCGGTTCGTCATCAGTGGCACCAGGCAGGATGTGCTCGTCTGGGACACCCTGAGCCCCCCGCCCGACAACAAAATCCTGGAGCCGACTTGGACGCTGCCTGACAAGCGGGAGGCTGCCGTCGTATCTTTTAACCCTCGCTTCAACTTTTTCGCCACGGCAGACCAGGACCTGGTCCTCTGGCTGCCGGACCCCCATAGTTAGAAACCCTGAGGGACCGTGGTAGAGGCGTTCACAGCTTGATTCGTGGCGCGTTGGAGTTTTGGTTCTGAGGGCACTGCAATGCTGGTGCGCTCGAATAGGCATATACCCTTGACTCGAAATCTGAGACCGATTTGTCTGGTCACTCTATTGCCCGGCTAAGGGTTGTGCGTACGTGTCGTGTGAAGCTTGATATGTAGTGACGCCACACATACAGACAAATTGCAATGAACACAACCGTTGCACGACGGCACGGCGAAAAGCATGAACGAACATGTCCAGGTCACAGGCGGCATTGCTTCATCCTGATTGATACTTGATGATTGTACCAAATGCTACTAGGCTCACGCAATCGCGACCGCGACCTCATCTTGCCAAACCAATTCGCTGTAGGGTAACCCACTCCCACACCCCACCATTCACCCACCGACTTGCTGTACGACGGGGGTCTGCCCCACACGAAATTGTCCACATCCAACCTCGAACCTCCAACCGGTCTGTCTGCCCGTCGTCGTCTGTCGAGCACTCTCAGTCCACCACCACCTTCCTCCCACGCACATCGCAGCTGCGCCCCCCCCCGTAGCAGCCACCACGCCCGCCGACGTACCTACCCCCACGACCTGCTCGCCGCACAAGAGGAAAGAGCAACTGAGCTTTCCACAGGAGTGTCCGAACCGTCGACTTCGCGCATCAGCACGCGCGCGGGGGTGTGCAAGGCCAGCAACGACCAACCCCCAGCGCGGAGAAAACAAGGACGTCGCGATGCCCTACTTCAAGACGAGCCAGGAGTGGCTCGAGCAGTCCATCCTGCTGCTCGAGGCGCGGCCCACCACCGTACGTACCTACCGCCCCCCCACCCCTTCCTTCCATTACATCGCCCTCTCCCGCGGGGGGGAAGAAACGCAGCGGGAGGACAAGAATACACAAAGACGCGCAAGACCGCAGAGCGAGGCTGGCTCCCACCACGTACGTACGCGCGTGCTAATGACATCGAACACGCACGCAGACGCGCATCGCCACCCGATACTCCATCAAGCCCGTCTCGCCCCGCGCCGACAAATCCACAGACAAACAACAACAACAAGGAGACTCCAGCACATCAACAGCGGCGGCGGCGACGACGACGACGGCCAAGGCCCCGCGCGGGAGCCTCGTCCTCAAGACGCACGACACCGCCAGCGGCACCACGCTCAAGTACCGCACCACCAAGGCTCAGGAGGTGTCCCGGCTGATGGGCGCGGCGCTCGGCCGTCTCGGTAAGAGCATGGCTGCCGTGCCCGCTGACACGGCGGACGAGGCCATGCCTGATGCGGCGGCGGCGGGAGGAGTCCAGGAGGGCGGCAAGGCTGGGTCGGGGACCGCGAGTCCGGCGCAGCAGCCGCAGCAGCCGCAGCAAGGAGGCGGCGGGGGCAAGAAAAAGAAGAAGGGTAAGAGGTAAACGGCATGGGCCGGCAGGGGCTGGTGTGAGGAAATTGGGAACAGCTGGTTTGCTTCGTCGGCGCCAGTACTGCTGCGAGTATTCCATAGACATGACAGAATCACACACGATCCATGACATGACACTTGTGTGTTGGTCCTCGGCAGCGTGTTGATTCTCCAAGTCAATTCTTCGATGCTCGTCTTAGTGTGCTAGAATACATCATGATCCATCCAATACAGGCCGCTGTTCGGGCCGCCGCCTATTCGTAGACAAAGGAAATCGTATGCCCCAAACGCCCGCCAAATGTCATCAAAACCACAAAACGTGTAAACCAGAAAGGCCACCCAGCGTTAGTTACCGGCAGATCCAATGGCGCGTTGCCCTTGGCAAAACTCTGACCGGTTTCTTTCCAATGTACAAGCAGACAAAGGGAAAGGGTATATGGATCGCTCCTCCTTCTAAACAACCAGATTAAAAGTCGTCATCAAAGGAGAAGTCACCGCCCTCGGTCTTGCTGTCGCCAGTGGCAGAGGCTTCCTCGTTCTTCTTGGCCGTGCTGGCCATGACGCCGGCCTTCTGGTACTCGCCGACGCGCTTCTCGAAGAAGTTGGTCTTGCCGCCCAGGGAGATGTTCTCCATGAAGTCGAAGGGGTTGGTCGACTTGTAGATCTTCTCGTTGCCGAGAGCGACGAGCAGGCGGTCGGCGACAAACTCAATGTACTGCTTCATGAGGTTGGAGTTCATGCCCAGGAGAGCACAAGGCAGAGCCTCCGTCAGGAACTCCTGCTCAATGGTAACGGCATCGGTGATGATCTCCGCAATGAGCTCCTTGCTCGGGCGGTTCTTCAGGTGCGAGTGCAGCAGGCAGGCGAAGTCCGTGTGCAGACCCTCGTCGCGAGAGATGAGCTCGTTGGAGAAGGTCAGGCCGGGCATGAGGCCACGCTTCTTGAGCCAGAAGATGGAGGCAAAGGCGCCGCTGAAGAAGATGCCCTCGACAGCGGCAAAGGCAATGAGGCGCTGGCCAAAGGTGGACTCCTTGTCATTGATCCACCGGATCGCCCAGTCGGCCTTCTTGCGAATGCAGGGAACTAGGCTTGGTCAGTATTGGTGTCATGCATCTCCGAGAGTTGGTTGAAACATACTGGTGTCAATGGCGTTGAACAGATATGTCCGCTGCGCGTGCTCCTTGATGTAGGTGTCGATCAGGAGGGAGTAGGTCTCGGAGTGGATGTTCTCCATCATGATCTGGAAACCGTAGAAGCAGCGCGCCTCGGGGATCTGGACCTCGCCGCTGAAGCGCTCAACGAGGTTCTCGTTGACGATGCCGTCGGAAGCGGCGAAGAAGGCCAGGATGTGAGAGATGAAGTATTTCTCATCATCGTTCAGGCGGTTGTTCCAGTCGTGCAAATCCTTGGAGAGGTCAATCTCCTCGGCAGTCCAGAAGGAGGCCTCGGCCTTCTTGTACATTTGCCAAATCTGTAGGTGGTTCCGTGTTAGCACCCGTGTCGCGTCACGTCGCACTTTACGCGTCTCGACGCGTCACGTACCTCGTGATACTTGATGGGGAAGAGAACGAATCGCTGGGGGTTCTCCTGCAGGAGAGGCTCGTCGGCTTCCTCGGGCTTGATGCCGGGGGCGACGGGGGCCTTCTCCTCGGTCTTCTTGGTCTCGTCGACGGAGGGCTTGTGGGTGGCGTCGACCTGGTCAGCGAGGGCGGTGACGGCCGCCTCGTCCAGGGGCTGATTCTCCTTGTCGGCGAAGTCCAGCTTCTTGACGGGAGACTCCATCTTGAAAGACTCAATGGCCGAAGCAGCCTGTTGGAAACACGTTGTTAGTCGCGAGGTTTCCCGAGGTGCGCAAGGGCGTGCGCGACAGAGTCGGCGACGTCACTTACCTGCTTCGAAGGGGTGATCTGGGCGGCCATTGCGACGTAGAATGGGCAAGATGTGGGGAGATGCAAGGCAAGGAACAAGCGGAAAGGCAAAATTCGACTTGATCTCGGCCTGAATTGTGTATGGGAGCACGCGATGGTGAGAGCAGAGCTGCGTCGTGATGAACGGTGGCGCCAGACCTTTTTGTACGGACAGAGATGCGCTGTCACGTGAAGCGCGACGCGTCGAAGCGTGTTTTCGGTGGGTCGAACCGGTGGACCAATTAAGCTCCCAAGAGGCTGGTTGGCCAGGGTGGTACGACCGGTGGTACGGGCGTGGTACCAGGCTAGCGGACGCCGGGGCCAGCGCTTGCGCCTTCCAGGTTGACTTGGCTGCACCAGCCACCGACTTTAATGGGCGACGCGTGAAGCCGCCCGTCGCGTCGAGGTACCTCGCCAAGGCCTCTGGATCCAGCTCCGTTACTTTGAGCTTCGTCATGATCCGCGAGCTATCAATCAGCAAACAAAGCCAGCATCGTTCGCGTTTGTGGAGCCAAACACCAGTCATGTCAGACGGTTTTGGCGGGCTTCGTCTCGGAGCGCACCTCGGAGATGACAGGCGTGCCCGACCGTCGTCCCGTTCAGCTGTCAAGATGAACGGCCCGCCAATTGCTCGTTCGGTGCCACTGCGAGACATTCACGGACGCCCGCCAAGGGAGCGCGTTTTCTGGGGCAAGGGAGGGGCGCATTAAGACGTTTCAATTCTACTACTTTGTAAGGTACCTAGCTATAGTGCGCCAGCGGGTATTCATGCCACGAAATCCAAGCCATCTTATCAGATCTTGTGCAACGCGCCACCCTTGTCTGCCCATTAACGCGCTCGTCTACCCTGGTAGTGTGTCGCACATTCCACTCTTCAATATTCTTTGGTATTTGGAGGCGATCGTCGCTCGCTCGCTCAATTCAGATCCCATCCTCCCTCTCGGCCCAGCAGAGCACCCGTAGGTCGTGCCACTCGCTACCTGCGCGTGTTTGAGTCCTATCGAGGGCTCCTATTCTCCCTCGGTGCCGTGGCCTGCCGCGAGCTGGGTGCGTCGTTGCCGTTTCTGCCCATCTCGACGTCCTGCGGTCTCGCTTTGCTGCGGCCAAACCAGCCACGGCCACCATGCACACGAGCGTCCTCCGGAGCGCTGGGCATCGTCTCGTGCTCGCTCGGCACGGCAGCACCATGTTGCGATGGGGCGTTTGACTGATACGCTGGCGGTGGGCTGTCGCGCCGCACTCTGTCGAATTCTTCGGGGCTGCTGGGGTCGATGGCAGGGATAGGCTGGCCGCTCTTGCGCAACTCTTTCTTGCCCTTCTCACGGAGATGGCCTTCGAGCAGCAGGGCGTTGCGGGTGTTGGCTTTGAACGCGGCGTCGGCAACGTCGCCGATGAACGGCACCAGTCCGACGAGAAAGTCGAAGACGATGTTGAACATCATTTGGAGCTTGATCGAATTCGGGAGGCCTCCCTCGACCTTGCAGCAGGTCTTGAAGACCATGAGGGCCATGAATGCGTCCAGCGCATCGCCAATCCTGTTCGCGCGCGTCAGTAGCTGTCGCAGTCAAATCCGCAAAAGGGTCAAACCTACGCAGGAACCAGTGCGATCACACTGCTCCATCCAAATCGCACTCCCAGGAAGCTGCAGAGTGCCAGGTCGAGGCGATGCGCGCGCCGCTTGACCTTGGTCAGGATCTTGCCGTCGTGCTCTGAGATGCCAGGCGGCAGGGCCTTCTTGCGCTTCTTGACCTTGCCGGTCGGTCGTCCATCGAGTCTCGTAGCAGGGACTTGCTCGAAGTATGGATCCTAATAACTCGGGTCAGTCTGAGCCCAGTGCGCGTCCGGGGAGAAGGCTTACCTCTGTGCCAAACTTGTTCTGCAGCGACTCGCCCAGAATCTTTTTGCTTATTATCTTTGCCAGAAAGGAAGTCATTGTGAATATGGCGCGATGCTAGTGAACCGCAGGAATAAAATTGGCAACAGGGCAACGTGGGCCGGTATTTATCGCTTTATGCTGGCGCGGCTGGCAAACCGCTTGCTTGTCGATTGGGCGAGCGTCTATCGGTGTTTGTTTCAGGAGGCGCCCTCACGTGTCGGATTCGGTACAAAGACGTCCAACCCAGGGCTGGAGTAAAGGGCGAGGTGTAAGGACAAGCGCGAGTCCTTGGAAAATCTTGGAGGAGGCCTATTTTTATGTGAAAGAGAGCGAGGCGGCGCTAATCGTCAGTGAATGCTTGCCAGTCCTTGGATCCAGATGGCAGCGGGCGACTGGGCTTTAATGATGTAATTCGTGAAGCGCGGGCCTGGAACCACATCTGCCGGGTCGCCGAAACCTGCTGCGACCGCCGATCCCCAGCGATGCTCCGGCCCCTGTCTGGCTGGAATGGCCGCGATTTGCTGTGGCTGGGCTCCCTCCCCGGCGGCCGCCTGTGCACAGCCACAACGAGGAAGTGTCAAGAACACGTGTGGCTGAAGCTAGAATCGCCACACAGTAAAGCGGGCACTGTATCTACTACCAGGATTATGTGCCAAATGCACAGTGCTAGCGACCTCCTCCGCCTCCGCTTCCGGGGACTGCTTGCCCAACGTGCGGCTGGCAAACGGCGAGCGCATCGTCTGTGCCTCCGACGTGTTCCACGACGCTGCCAGCAGACCACCACGCCACGACGACGTCCGCGCAAACCATTTGAGCCCGGTAGACGTTAAACTGCACCCATACCGCTGGAGCCCGCTACCGAGTTCGTCTGCGAGCCAGCTTGTTGCCGCCACGCGCCAGCTGCGACCCGGTTCGACCCTTCGACTGTCCCTTGAGCCGACCATGCCAAACATCCCTTCGCAAGTCCGCATCGAGTATTGTTTGGCAACATCGTGAAAGGGGAACCGGATTGCATCCTGAGTTATTACGAACACTGTCCTTCATAGCATGGGTTAAGACGACAAACGCGCAGCCATGGCCGAATCACAGATGCAGTTGGAGGATTGTGAGCCGCAAACTTCGCCGCCTATGCCTCTCTCCGCACTGACCCGAACTGTTAGGGCTCGATGACCTCTGTGTCCGCTTCATCATCAATCTTCCCCAAGAAGACCTCTCCTCGGTCGCGCGAATATGTTTTCAAGTCGAGGAGGCTCAATGGTTCTACGAGGATTTTATCCGCCCGCTAGACCCGACCTTGCCGTCCATGTCCCTGCGAACCTTTTGCCTCCGCATCTTCCAGCATTGCCCGCTGCTGGCATCCTTCTCGGTCGAGAACCACACCAAGGCTTTTGAAGAATTCCTGCAGTACAAGACGCGCGTGCCCGTTCGCGGCGCCATCATGCTCAACCATGCCATGGACTCGGTCGTCCTTGTCAAGGGTTGGAAGAAGGGCGCCAACTGGAGCTTCCCGCGGGGTAAGATCAACAAGGATGAGGACGACTTGGACTGTGCGGTCAGAGAAGTCTACGAGGAAACCGGTCTTGATCTTCGCGAAGCAGGTCTGGTTCCGACCGAGAAGAAGCCAAAGTACATTGAGATATCCATGCGCGAGCAACAGCTTCGTCTCTATGTCTTCCGCGACGTCCCGATGGATACAAACTTTCAGCCTCGAACCCGGAAAGAAATCAGCAAAATCGAGTGGTACAAGCTTTCGCAGCTCCCGGCATTTCGCAAGAAGGGTGCCCAAAACGAGGAAAACGGAGCCGGCACCGCAGCAAACAAGTTCTACATGGTCGCTCCTTTCCTCGTGCCCTTGAAGAAGTGGATTGCTTCTCAGAAGAAGGTCGATGAGCGAAGAATAGGGAGTGGCGTCCCGAGCTATTCGCATCACCATCTTACTGCCGAGGAAGCCGCAACAACCGAAGATGATGCCTGGGCGCCGGCCAAGGGATTCATCCCAAGCCATATCCCGGCCATTGAGACTCTTGATGGTGCCACACAGGAGCTCCAGCGTTTGCTCAAGATGCAGCCACCTACTCAGGGACTTCAGCCGTCCCAGCCTTCTCACCAGGACAAGGGTAGTGCCCTTCTCTCCCTGCTGCAGGCTAACAGCTCTGGCCCGAAGGCGATGCCAATGGTGCCGCAGACACCCCTGGACCTCACCGTTACCGAACCGCCGCAACCCCGAAATCCTCATCACCATACGAACCAGCACCCGGTACCTATACATGCACAGTCACAGGGACCACCACCGGCTTTTCAACTCCCGACGAACCAACCGACTTCTTGGAACCCTGCCCAGGCCCAGAACGCCAATGTGCAACAACCTCAGCAGGGGCCAGCAGGGCCACCCACCTACTACCCTGCTGGTCAACAAGTCTCTCTTGCACACCCGCAGCCGTTACCCCCGCAGGTTCAAAGGGCCATGTTCGATCGAAGCGCGTTCCAAGAAGGGCATTCGGGCATCCCACAAGGCATACAAGCTCAGCAGCAGCCACGCCAACCTCAACAGCCGCAGCAGACGCAGCGACCCCAGCAGCCCCAAGCAATTCCTCCAGCTCCTCACGCTCCTCAGGGTTCTGGCCCGGTGCAGCAGCTCAGCGGGCCCTCCATGGCACTACTGAATGCTTTTAAGCGAGACACCGCTCCTGCTCCGCGGCCCACTCACGTTGCCAGCAGCGACCAAGGTCAGGGCGTCATGAGAGCCGATAAGGCGCCCCAGGATGTTCATCCGCCCAGCCATACACTACCTCAAGGGCTGCCCAATCTACTGGAAAGTGCGGCCAATCGCCCCCAGGAGCAGAGGAAGCCGTCTGAGCTTGCTGGCTCTGCTGTCGGACCACCTACCACCCAACACCGATCCGCTTTGTTGGAGATGTTCAAAAAGACCACGATTGATGCGGCTGCACAAGAGGGCCAGAAGCCAAAGAGCTATGCCGCGAGTGGACCAAGTGTTCCGACCGCGGGCGCAGCAGACGGCAAGATGCTCCTCCAACAACTCCAGCAGCGCGGACACGGAGCTCCGGGACCACCCCTGAACCATGTGCCCATCAATCCTCCGCCAGCACAGCATGAAATGCCGTCCAGAGACGGGCGGGAACGTGGAGCCTCTTATCAGCAAGCGTCTACCGCAGCTCGATCTCTCTCAGGGACCCAGCCGCAGGCGCAGCCCACTCGTATCCTTCAACGTGGCCAGACCCTGCACGACGAGCAACCTGTCGTGTCGCCCAAGACCTTGTCGTACGGGCAGCCGGCCCAGTCCCGCCTCGGACAGGCGGCCAGCCCGCAGACCACGCACCCTGTCTCGCGGCCCGCCGAGGTCCCTGCGGACCAAAAGAGACAGTTGCTTTCCCTGTTTAGCAAGCAGAAGAGCCCGCCCGCTGGCATGGAACCTGCCGCGGCCGCCCATCAGAGGTCTCGCGTCGCCTCCATGGCCTCTGGAAGCGGCGAGCCGCCGTATGGTACGGCTTCATCTCGAAGGGGCACCGAGACGCCGATATCACCGGCGGATCAGTCTTTTCTGTTGGATTATCTACAGAACGTAACCAACACTGCAACGCGCTGAGCTGAGAACGGGTGCTGGAGTGTCTTCTGTGTCTTCTGCAGCGCGAAAGGAGAGCGAAATGGAGAGGCTGGGATGTACTAGGACAGGGGGGAACAGACTTGTTGTGACCTAGTGGCGCTGAGGGCGACAAATTAATTTGAGAGTAATTGAGCAAACTCATTATGTGCCTCCAACGTGGCCAGACATAGACTTGACCTCGTCGGACATTTGCGAGATGTGCTTGTACCCCCACTGTCCACCAAACATTTACCAACGCCTTTACCAACGCCTGTCGCTGTCGACAACCACTGCCTTTACTGTCCGCACGCACATCGAAGCAATGCGAATGTCGATTAGTTATCGAGGCTGAGGAGCTCAAATCGGTTGAACAATGGGTCCTGGTCCACCGGCTTGCTCGGAGCAGCTGCCGGGGCGGCAGCAGCGCGATTAGGGATGGGCATGCGGTCGAGAGGCTGGGCGCACTCGTCGATATCCCATTCAACGTGGCTGCCCTTGTACTCACTACGGGAAGCGTTAGTCTCTAACTTCTGGCAACTCCTGGGCAACAGGGGGCATACCGTCGACTCATGAGGCACAGGCGCGCAAAGGCAGCCTTGTGGACCGAGTTGGTGCTGATGTAGCAGCTATCCCCGATGAACTCTACCCTGATGACGACGAGGTTGTGGATGTGTTCCAGATCGTCACGAATCATCTGTTCGGTCAAGTTGTGGTTTCGGCGACGAATGACGAGATTCCGGGTGGCGCCCATGGTGATCTTGTGGGCGGTATTGCCCGGGAGAGTGAATTGGAAATGATTCCACTTGACATCAACCTAATATCTGTTAGCTTTCGGGAGTTTCTGCTAGGTGATAGATACCCAAGAGATGCCCACCTTGCGATTCTTGATCATCAAACCGTGGTGGCGGACGTGCTCGTAAAAGGCTTGGGCATCAACGCCATGGAGAAAAGAAATGACGGCCGCGTTTTCGCGAGGCCTCATGTAGACGTCAAGAAGCATGCCTCCCCGAACGACGGAAGTGATGTCGGCGTGCCGGGTTCTCTCGGCCAGGTTAACCAGCATGACGGATCGGGTAGCCTCGCGCTCCAGGCGCAGGCGCGGGGAGGCGCGGGATGGGGACGCGGCCTCTGTGCCTGATTCGGTTGCCTCTCCGGCAGCCGGGTCGAAGGCGTCGAGGCCCTCTTCGGATGATTCTGGGGAGTTGTCAAGCTTGAGATCGAGGTCGTGGCGGATGGCCATCTTTTTCTCGTCACCTGCACCACGAGGTCGACCGCGTCCCTGTCGACCACCTGGGCCCAATGCAGGCTGTCCGTGTCCCGTAACTTCTGGAGCCGTGGCCTGGAGGGGAGCACCATGATCGTCGGCGGTAGCACCGTCTACGGTTGGGCCGCCTTGCGAGTTCGAGACCTGATTACTGAGAAGCTGAGAAGGAGTTAGCCACAGAGAAGCAACAAGAGCCAGCGAAAACGTCATCGAGCTGAAAGCGGTGGATGATGGATAATGGATACCTGTATAGTCTCTTCTCCAACGCCGCCGCTCGTGAGGTTCTGACACAAATTGGCTGGTTCCGTCAGTAAGCACCGCTGATAGGCCTTGGGGATTGGTCGGGTGGACAGCACACACCGTACTTGTGCGCCACCTCGATGAAGCCATCGTACTCGTCGCGGGTGATTTGAATCATGGTTGCGTTGCCGCGACCCGAAAACTGGAGCAGAGGATATCAGCACAGGACTTCGCGGAGGGCAGCAGCAAGGGGTCGTACAAACTGGTTCCTGAAGACGGAACCGCGATGCGTTAGCAAACAAACGTTTAGCTGGCGATGGGCGAGGTTCGTGGGTGCGTACCGCGGAGGCGCCATGGCGATGGCGAGAGCTGCGGACTCTCTTGCTACGAGGTTGAATGGGCGAAATGCACAAGGCGCGAGAGAAGGAGAGGGAAGGCAGTGATAAGACGGCATAGCATCGCTGGCGGCAGCTGGCAGGAGCGTACAGCGGGTGCTCACGTGCACGCGCGGCCAGGACAACCACCCCCGTCTCGCTGTGCAACGTCGAGAGCAAGTTCCGTCCGGTGTCTTCCAGGTTCCATGGGATCACTCACGCGGCCGCTGGGGGGTTCCCGAGCAACCAGGTCCATTGGGCAGGCCGCGCAGCATGGCCAACAAGGGCGGCGAAGCACATCAGGCGGTGCGGCAGCGTCATGTACAAAGTAGCACTCGGGAGAGGTTTGATCGAGGGAACTGCACCATTCGATGGCGACGCCCTTGGATCCTGCGGATTCGAACGCCGCGGGAGCAGCACCTAGCCATCGGAGCCCCCCCAGGTCGCGAAGGATGAGGCAGGGCAGCTTCGGCACGTTTGGGGCAGAGGCGTTGGATCGTGCACGGCGCTTCTGGCGCGCCTATGACACCACAAGCGACGGACAGGGCGAGTCATGGTGTTGCAGAGGAGTCAAGATTGCGTCTATTTGGTGCAACGATACTGCACGACACTGAATTGTTTGAAGCAGAAGATAAGATATGATGATGAGCCGGGAGCAGGATGCCACGCAAGACGGTGACCAATGCAGTACTGTTGAGAGCCGGCCGGCCTCTCAGACGGCATGGTGGGAGCGGCGTATTTATAGCGAGTCAGGATGCAAGCGAGGTGAGGTACGTAGGAAGGAGGTCGGTTCCGGGAGTTGGGCGCCACTGCCGACGGGACAGGTGGGTAGCTTGAGCATTGAGGTGGTGCCCGCCCCTGGGACTGGCGAGCCTGTTGATTGTCCGCGCAGCAGGGCAGCTCCGTCAGTCAGTGCCCTCCACCCAAGTGCACAGCCACAACCACAGCAGCACCCGCCGCACCCGCACCCGCACTGACGAGCCCCTCCTCCTCCTCCCCGCTGTGCCGTCTGGACTGTGGAGGTGCCCAGGTGCTGAGATCGCGGGCATCCATGCCTCATTCCAGTCCCCCAGACCACAGCAGTAAACAGCCCGCGCTCTTGCTGACTGTACCGTGCCACCGCATGGGTATGGGTACTATCATCGCATCACACCGGGCCCGGCCAAGTTCAGCAGCGTCGGATCACGTCACACGCAGCCCGTGAGCCCACCTCCTACTTCGTACAGACAATATGCCGCTCCCGGGCTCCATCGCGGCGGGCCGAGGGGGCACTGCTGTGGCCAACACGAGATCACGTGGTCCCGTATTCAGCGCCTCGCCTCTGTCGGCTGAGGCTCCAGGCCTGCTTGTGACAGCCGGAGCGTGGTGGTGTGCTGGCAGAGTTTTGTTTTTCTTTTTTTAT